GGTCGGTGTTTCCGGTTCCGTCGCAATCGTCACCGTTCTCTACTGCCTCATGGCCGTCTCCATGTCAATGCTCCTCCCATACGATCTGGTCCGTAATTAATTAATTAATAAATATTTATTTTATTAAATCCAAAAAGAAAAAGAAAAACAGGACGTAGTTTGACTTAATAGCTCGAAAACGGCGGACATGTGGTGTACGCAGATAGATCCGGAGGCGCCGTTTTCCGTAGCGTTCAGAGAATCCAACGGCTGGGAATGGGTGACGAAAGTGGTGGGGATAGGAGCGAGCTTTGGGATATTAACATCACTTTTGGTGGCGATGTTAGGTCAGGCTCGGTACATGTGCGTCATCGGACGGTCCAGAGTGGTCCCCGTTTGGTTCGCTAAGATTCATCCCAAAACATCTACGCCAGTCAACGCCTCCGCTTTTCTTGGTACGTTTTTTTTTGTTTGTCTCTTTCATAATAAAAAACATTTAAAAAAAAAAAAAATACTGTCAAAACAATGATGATAAATAAATCATATATGTTGTAGTAAAATCTGATTTTGGTCCATAAAGTGAGATTGAGGCAAGCAGTTAGGTTAAAAGGGGACCCCTATTAGAACCGTTTCAGTTGTTTCAATGATCTTTTTTTCTTCCTTTCTATGATTTGAAGTTTTAACGTTTTCCCAAAGATCATACGAACCACGTGATTACACTATCTATACGTGTCCATTTCAATACATATATTTTAAAATCAAAACTTTTGGACTCAACCATTTTAAAATCTTTCCCCTATCCATCTCGATCGTGACAAGGGGGCTATGTGCGTTTATATTTAAATGTAGGGACATGGTTTTATGGTGTTTTTTTTTTTTTTTTTTTTTTTTTTTTTTTTTTTTGAACAATGGTTTTATGGTGTTTGGGTTTTATTTCTAATTTTAAGACAGAGAGAGAGAGCATCTGAGGTCGATGGCTAGATGTCATGCTCACCATTGGTTTATTTTGCTCTGTGAAAAGTTCTGAGTTTCAAAGATTCAATCTTTTCGATGGTCTTGATTGTGATATGTTATATTGGTGGGTCTCTTTTGGTCTATTTAGTGTCCCCTTAGTGTTCAAAATACATATTCCACTTTTGTTTCTTTTTCTTTTTAAGAAATCGCTACGATTGTTGGATAATTTACAAGGCCTTTCATCCATTGGCCGACTAATCATCAAATCCTTTTCTATAATTTATTTTTATGTGTGGAGATACTACTAGGCCTAGTCGGCTGATTTTTTCACAACTACCTGCTTAGTGGAATATGCAGAGATAGCTTCTACTTAATTAGGTGGAATAGTTTAGAGTTTAGAATAATGACCAGTTTTGAAAATACATAGAAGAAATATTCGAAATTTATTGGCAGATTGGAAAACATCCAACTGTTTGGAACACCCAAAATTATATAATTTTTGGTTGCCATTGATCATAGCATTTTTGTGAATTGTGATGCGTATTATTAATTAGAGCCATACATTTTGTTTTATCCACATATATACATGCATACTTTTTTGCAACAAATTAACTTTGGTTTTTTATATATAAAGCTAGTCATATTGTCACACGGTGGATCATTATAACTAAGGGTCATCATCGTTCAACCTTATCCTTACCAATTTTAGCATCCCACTTGCTCCATCAACAGCATTAACTTTTCCTTCTTGCTTTGACAAAAAAAGGAACAAATCCTCCCACCACCATCTCCGATTTCATTTTGGACTTTTTCGTCAGCCGAATAATCTTATTATATAATATGGTCAATCTTATATATTATTTTTTCATATCAGGCATTTTCACGGCGGCTCTTGCGCTCTTCACCGACCTTAACATCCTCCTAGACCTCGTATCCATCGGAACCCTATTCGTCTTTTACATGGTCGCAAATGCTCTCATTTTCAGGCGTTATGTCCCCGTCGGACCCACCAAGCCATGGCCCACACTCTCTTTTCTTACACTGTTCTCCATAACCTCTCTGGTCTTCACTCTCATCTGGAAACTTGCGCCACAAGGCAAGCCTAAAGCTTTCATGCTCGGTGCTAACGCGGTGGTGGCTATAGCCATCGCGCTCATTTTCCATTGCGTGGTCCCTCAGGCGAATAAACCCGAACTATGGGGAGTCCCCTTCATGCCGTGGACCCCTTGCGTGTCGATTTTCTTGAACATATTCTTACTCGGCTCGTTGGGTGCACCGTCGTACGTCCGGTTCGGGTTCTTCTCCGGTTTGATCGTGCTTGTGTATTTGTTTTATGGTGTCCATGCGAGCTCTGACGCTGAAGCGAATGGATATTTTGGTGTGAAAGATGGACAAGTCTTGAAAGAACTAACAGACGTGTGAAAACTGAAAAGTATTTAGTTTGATTTTTAAAAAATTAGCTCAAGTAATTAAACTCTCTATTTTAAAAAGGAGGGTGTTTTGCAATAATTAATGAAAGTTGCTTAGTTTAACTTTAGGGAAAATAGCTTATGTAAACTCTCACCATTTTTAAGGGGGAGATGGTGGATTAAGAAAGAACTATGCCTTTTTGTTTCTGAGAAAAGAATGAATTTAGTTTTCGTATACAATGTCTTGTAGGATTCTATATAATTCATAATCATGACACAACTAGAGTAATATTTATCCCGGAAGCTATAACTTAATGATATCCTCCTTTAAAGTTATCATTTAGATATATTTCTTCTTTGTGTATCTTTCTTTGTCAACTAAAATTTAAACAACTAATTAAACCGTATGCATGTGATAAGTTTATTGAAACGATAGAGAAGCGGGTGATGTTGCTGTGTTGAATCTGAATTACGATACGACGAAAATACTAGCTGGCACAAACTATTAATAAAATACAACTATCCGTCAAAGAAGATTGCGACATTTTGAACACCAATCTTTGTCAATCGTATAAGGCAAGATCTGGTGTGAAATAGTTATGTCGTATGTGTGATACATAAATAAATCCATACGTTAGATGGACTTTAAATACGAGAGATGGCGTCTAATTGATAGCGATGGGTCCCCATCCTTTCCACAATACACACATACGTGACTTTATCCGAAACATCAAGTCCAACCATATCACCTCTTTTTTTCACGATCACTTGTTTTAAATTCCTTGCGGATATATACATTCTTTTGTTGTTTATATTCATATTCTTGTATACAACACTGAAAGTTGATATATATACGAAATTGTCAGGTTTTTAACCTTTATACACTTGAAAGGTTAGTGATCACTAGTTAATCAGACACATTTTCAGAAACTCAGCTTTTACTTTCTTACTATTTTTATTCCCAAATATTGAAGAAATTTTATATGCAAATAATCAGTAATGTTCTTAAATATAGGCCCGCCCAAATGACACATTTGATAAGATCTCAAGTGTTTCGTTAGTTCTAAAAGTTTCAGTTTATTCAAGATGTTTTTTGTGGGTCCAGCACAAAAATGAAAGCTGATTTCATTTCTTTGGTTTAATTTTTAAAATATTTGAATTCTGCAGTTTCTTATCTTTCTTGTAGAGGACTGTGTAAGTCAGGAGTGAATATGTGATCTCAATTCGAATAATCAAATCAGTCCAATGGTTCTTTAATTTTCCCAATAATTATGTGAGATATTTGGTTAATATGATATACATAGTTACATTTATATATTCAGAAGTGGATGATATATATATATATATATATATATATATATATCCCGAATCTAAAATAAGTGTGATTAAGTGGGAGACGACACTTGCTTATATTCTGTCTCTCTCTTTCTTTTTGGTGACTATATTCCTAAAGATAGGACCCAAGCCAAGAATAGCCCACTTTTTCAAGATCTTCACATTGTTAGAAACTTTTTTTGTTCATATATATTTTACTGTATTTTTGTGGATTTGTTTTCAGAAAATATTCTGCCAATAAGAAGATGTGATTCTATTGGCAATACAAAGATTTGATGTCTTTCTAGAAACACCACTTTACCACTAAGACATGAGTTTCATCAGCGAAAGGTTCATTCAAAATTACGTTTGAGTATCTTCTTATGAACTTGCCTATATCATAATTTACAAACCTTAATGTTGGATTCTACATTGGATTACCAATATTTCAACAACAACAAATAGGATAGCAACACGTATTTTAGCGGTCATGAAAAAGCCGGTCTAAACTTAAAAACGGTTTGTGTAATACGTGATTCACAAAATAATAATAGATGAAAATAAATTATAGCCCTAGATGAAAATAAATTAATCCTGATTCACAAAATAATAATAGGGCATGGGACCACAAGAATGTCAACTTCTTTTTAAGCCATTTAAGTCACAATCTATGGCAAGTTGTGCAGAAGCTAGTGAGTCCATTAGTCCATATCTAGATAGGTCTAATCTAAGTATTTCACTTTCCATGAGATCTCATCTCCATCTTCATAAAATTGGAAAGAAAACGCGAAATGTTGAAAGAAACTTGTTCATTAGTAATTTTGCTGATGTGTCAATAATTGAAATTAACAATAAAAATAAGGATTAAAAGGATATTTTGGTGAAAGCCCATTTAGCCCAGTAAATTTTTGTGTAGTAGATAAATTATTTGTTAGAAAAAAGGGAAGTTTGACTTGCAAGTAATCGAATTAAGTGACCCTAAATTCTGGAAACTGAAGCTACGCTCGATTAGATTCTTTTCTTCATAAAGACAGACGGAGACACACTTGCGGCAAGTCGTGCTTAACGTGTATTCAAAAATGCATTTGCTTCAGGTAAATCAATAATATAAGCATTTTGGAGCTTCTATTTTTCAAAAAGTGGTTTATCAGAGTGGCATTAGGGAGTTTATTTTACATTACAAACCTGGGGTCGACCTTTTTCAACATCATATTTGTTTTTATTTTTCGAAAATAGAAATTAGATAAAAAGAAATCTAGATTTTCAAACCAAAAACCGAATTTTGTATCCAAAACAAAAAAGGAAAATTTCAAATCAAAAAATAATATTTAAGTTTATATAACTATGTTTATGTAGTTAAGTTTTTTCAAAAAACAGACCTAATAAAAATTACAAATAATTTTAGATCTATCGAATTTTTTGATATTTGCCTTAGCTTCCTAGGCACGGCACTGACTTGCGGATAGGAGCCCTAAAGTTCACAAAAGGTCTCTCTCTCTCTCCGACGAAACCATGTCCCACCTCCCAATCCCGCCGATGGTTTTTACAAGGGTAAAGATTTCTCTCTCTCTTTCTGTCTCGCTCGAAATTGTTTGTCAATGAATAACGATAATTTAGTCGTAATTAATTGTTAATCACTGTTGGCAGATTCTAAGACGTGTGTGTTTTGGGACGTGGTGGATTACCCAATCGCAAAAGGTGTCGACCCTGCTTCGATCCGTGGCAGTATCAAAGAGGCTATTCACGAGAAGCAGGAGGGTGGTGATGGGGAGGTGACAGTGTATGCTTACGGTGATAAGAGTACGACAGTCTCGGAGCGTGAATTTGCGGATGCTGGATTCGATCAATTCGAACTCGTTACCGAAGGTGAATGAATGAATGAATTTTTCCAGACTGTTTTCTCTTTACATACATATCTCTCAAATCTGATGAATCCGTGTTTGCAGGGGGTAAACGTGAGAGATTTTGGTCCATCTTTGCTGACATATCGTTGTGGCGAATGGAGGTCCCTGCACCAGCAAATATTATTGTACTCGCAAAAGTAATCGAAGACACCATGTTGCCTTACCGTCTTGTAGCTTTGCTTACATGTTGGGACTATGGTGTTCGCATATCCGAAGTTAAACCAAAATGGCGATTTCCTGGTGGAAGCGCAGCCTCCTTCTTGACCAGCATAATCGATGGTACCGAACCCGACAACACTCCTGCAGCCGACGCTCTTGCAGCTTACACTCTTGCAGCAAACACTTCTTCTGATTCCGAGGAGTTGAAGCGGCTGCAGCGCAAGCGGCAGCAGCGCAAGCGGCAGCGGGAGCGGAAGCGGAAGCTGAAGCAGGAGCAGGAGAGCAGCTGAAGATTATGAAGATGAAGGACGAGCAGGAGCTTCTGAAGATGAAGAAGAAGCTGGATATCGGCGAGCTGAATCAATTATAAGCTTGCAGCGGACACTCTTGCTGATTTCGAGGACTACACTTTTTGTGCCCTCACGGAATGTTATAGCCTAATCGGCTAATCCTGATTCACAAAATAACAATAGAGCATGGGACCACAAAAATGTTAACCTCTTTCTAAGCCATTCAAGGCACAATCTATGGCAAGTCGTGCAGATGCTAGTGAGTCCATTAATCCCTAGCTAGATTAGATAGGTGATAGGTCTAATCTAAGTATTTCACTTTTCTGTTGACAATTTTATCACGAATTTCCCCAACTTCTTATAAGCTTTTGACATTCGCTTGATCGAAAATGATCTTTATATAAAATAATATTAATAGGCCCTCCACAAAAATCGAAAGAGGAAAAAAACAGGATAAGAGTTTGATTAGATTCTCATCAAACGGCGAAATTTATGGCAACTTGCAATACCTTCCACATATTTTGTCTCGAGCAAAGTAGAATTAAAGTTAAAACATTCCATTCCATGATGTGAAAATCTTGTCGTCGAGTTGGTCTTACACGTATAGTTTCAACACTCCTATAATCATACAATATAGATTCACAAATTTTATGTTTATTATTTCACCAATTGTATTAGATTATTATGTTTCAACAATCCATAAATTATTTTTTATTAAAACAAATAGAAGATAAGAAAAGCTATATAAATCATACTTTATAACAATATACTATTAACACATTGACTTTAGTTTTTTTTTTTTTTTTTGACTTTAGCTAATAGCCTATCATATAACACGCATGTATCTGGTTTCAAATCTGTTTTGATAGGCTATTAGCTAAAGTCCATTAGTATTATGGTACCACATCTGTTTAGTATACGACCTGAGAAAAAGCCCATTAGTATTCAAATCTGTTTTGTACAGTTTAGACAGTCTAGGCCTTTGGCCCAAACTAAGTATGCTGTCTCTTTCGCTGCTGCCAAGGAAGAGGAGACTTGGTTTCACGGTGAACATCTTGAGCCGATGCAGGATCTTCTTACCCAGAAGAAGTCATACGACTTCTCTCTCCCGAAATCTCTACGCATGCGCCAGTTACGGGCAGGAGGAGTTATCACAAGGACGATATAACAATGACTTCTCGAAATGTAACGCGGTTCAAGCTTCGGACTTTATTGAAACCTTGCAGCTTTGTACTCGCAACGGAGATGTTTTGGAAGCAAAGGCTTGCCACGGGAAGATTATTCGTCTTGAGTTGCAGAGAGATGTTACTCTATCGAATGTTCTTATCAATTCTTATTCCAAGTGTGGGTTTGTGGAGCTTGCCCGCCAAGTGTTCGACGGGATGCTTGAAAGAAGCTTAGTTACTTGGAACACCACGATTTGTTTGTATACCCGGAACAGAATGGAGTCAGAAGCACTTGATGTTTTTTTGGAGATGCGAAACGAAGGGGTTAAGTTTAGCGAATTCACTATCTCGAGTGTTCTTTCTGCTTGTGGGGCAGACTGCAATGCCTCGGAATGCCAAAAAATGCATTGTTTGTCACTCAAAGCCTGTCTCGACTTAAACACGTATGTTGGTACTGCCCTGCTTGATCTTTATGCAAAGTGCGGGATGATGAAGGACGCAGTGCAGGTTTTCGAGTCTATGCAGGACAAAAGCTCAGTTACATGGAGTTCTATGGTAGCAGGTTATGTTAAGAACAAGGATTACGAAGAGGCACTAGTTCTTTACCGCAAGGCTCAGAGATTGAGTCTGGAGCAGAATCAGTTCACTCTATCTTCAGTAATTTGCGCTTGCTCAAATCTGGCAGCCTTAATTGAAGGGCAACAGATGCATGCGGTTATACGCAAGTCCGGGTTTGGTTCTAATATCTTTGTGGCATCCTCTGCTGTCGATATGTATGCGAAATGCGGAAGCTTGAGAGAGTCTTACATTATCTTCTCAGAAGTGCAAGAGAAGAATATTGAGCTTTGGAACACAATCATCTCGGGGTTTGCAAAGCATGCTCGCCCTAAGGAAGTAATGATCTTGTTTGAGAAAATGCAGCAAGATGGAATGCGCCCAAATGAGGTTACTTTTAGTTCTTTGCTATCGGTTTGTGGTCACACGGGCTTGGTCGAGGAAGGAAGGAGGCTTTTCAAACTCATGAGAAGCAAGTACGGTCTGTCGCCAAATGTGGTTCATTACTCTTGTATGGTTGATATTCTTGGTCGTGCTGGACTAGTGTCTGAAGCTTATGAGTTGATAAAGTCTATTCCTTTTGATCCTACTGCTTCCATTTGGGGTTCTCTTCTTGCGTCTTGTCGAGTCTACAAAAATCTCGAGCTGGCAGAGGTTTCAGCTAAGAAGCTATTTGAGTTGGAACCAGATAATGCCGGTAACCACGTCTTACTCTCTAACATATACGCAGCAAGCAGAAAGTGGGAGGAAATCGCCAAATCGAGGAAGCTTCTCAGGGACTGCGAGGTGAAGAAAGTGAGAGGAAAGAGTTGGATTGAAATTAAAGACAGGGTCCACATTTTCAGTGTTGGAGAGAGCGGTCATCCGAGAATACGTGAGGTCTGTGTGATGCTAGACAATCTAGTAATCGAATTGAGGAGATTTGGATATAAACCAAGCGTAGAACACGAGCTGCACGACGTGGATGAAACGAAGAAAGAGGAGCTCCTGATGCAGCACAGCGAGAAGCTGGCTTTCGTCTTTGGTCTAATGTGTTTGCCAGAGGGTTCAAGTGTTAGGATCATGAAGAACTTGAGGATATGTGTGGATTGCCATGAGTTCATGAAGTCTGCATCAATTGCTACAAAAAGATTTATTATTGTTAGAGATGTTAATAGGTTTCACCATTTCAGTGATGGTCATTGTTCTTGTGGGGAATTTTGGTGATAAAACATAAGGTTTTTTACGAGGGAGACAGAATTTGTTTTCGTGTACAGTAAGAAAATTTGACAAAAAGATTATTTTAAAATTTGGGCTAATCGGGTCTCAGCTTTACATTATTGGTTTGGGCTTAGGCCCAATGAAATATGGACCCAATGTAAGGGCCCATAGGTGGGATATATTAAACCCTAGCGAGAACCTTTATTTATATAGCAAGCCGAATTTATCTCTTCCGTCTTTGCTTCTTCGTTTTCGCAGCCGCTTCATCTTCCTCGCAGGTACGTTCTGATAAACCTAAAAATTGCGTTGTCGTCGAGTAACACTTAGGAAATTACAGAACCATTTGCTGTGCTTTAGGTTTGATCTGATTTTATTTGTTTGTTGCGGTTTTTGTTTGTGAAGGTGTAAAATGGTATTCTTAGGTTTTGCTAGATTCATCGATCTCGATAAGATCAGCTAAAATGTTGTAAAGTCGGTTGATTTATTACCTGATGCTGCTTCATCGTCATATTTTTAGTTTAGTTGATTTATCGATGTGTTTGTTTTTGATTATAATATTTCACACTTTTCAAGTTCACTATTCAGATATCACTTGATGCATTCACTTTTCTAAACTCTGTTTGACATTGCATTTTTCTTGCGTGTCCCGTGTTGTTTGTTATTACACCATCATCTTGGAAAATTAAGACACGAATCAACTATTCTGAGATTCATATGTTTTATGGCACTCTCATGGAAATATTTGATAGTTATAAATTCATGTGTTTCCACTCAAAATTTTGAATTCTAATGGCTTAAATCAATACTTCTGTGCTGTTCTTGATGGCCAAATGTTTGATGATACAATTGGACATGGATTATATTTCTGTAAGACTAATACTGTTATGTTTCTTGGTTCATCTTCTCTTAGCAGGTAAGTCTCGCAGGTAACTGAAAGATGGGGCGTGTCCGTACCAAGACCGTGAAGAAATCTTCTCGGCAGGTGATCGAGAAGTACTACTCTCGCATGACTCTGGATTTTCACACCAACAAGAAGATCCTTGAAGAAGTGGCCATCATCCCTTCAAAGCGACTCCGCAACAAGATTGCTGGATTCTCCACCCACTTGATGAAGCGTATCCAGAAGGGACCAGTCCGTGGAATCTCACTCAAGCTTCAAGAAGAAGAGCGTGAACGCCGCATGGACTTTGTCCCCGATGAGTCTGCTATCAAGACCGAGGATATCAAGGTCGACAAAGAGACTCTAGACATGCTTGCTTCCCTTGGAATGTCTGAGATCTCCGGCATCTCTCTAGCCGAGCCACAGACTGCTCCCGTTTATGCCAGGCCACCCAGAAGGTACTGAGGAGCTTTGTTCTCATCAGTCCATCAGGAGATAAGATTGGCTGTTTTTTCACAGTTAGGGACAAAAGACTTGTGTTTCTCCGAGTGTTTATTGTTTCTTTTGATTCAAGAAGATTTATGTCCTAAACTGAAAGTTAAGACTCTTTTGTCTGTTTAATGGTTTTTAAGTTTTGATGATCGTTTGCCCATGGTAGAAAGCCAAGTTAACCATTTTGATAGTATCTTCGTTTATAGTTCATGTCATCTTAGCTGATTCTTGAGATCAACATTTCCAAACTTTTTTTTAAAACTTATCAAACTGGATAACAATCTACCAAATTATATGATCTGAGAAGGGTAAATTGGTAATTTTATTTATCGGAACTTTTTTTTGTTCGACGACATCTTCATTTCATCTTTATGTTACGTTATGACCAAAAGGAAGAATTCACGAGAGGGAAGGGGATAGAGAATGGATAACGGAGGAAGCGTGTTGTCACTCTCTGCTCCACACTTCCCTTACTCAGTCACCATTCTTCGCCGTCACTCTGCGGCGGCTTCCATCTCTTTCTCCCTTAAACCCCAACCACCACAACCTCCGCCCGAACCTCCTGAGAGCCCTGACCTCCGTCGACCGGAGAAATCTCTCGGTCCTTCTTCCTCTCCTTCATCCTCTTCCCCTTCGCCTAAAACGCCTCTTACGAATCCACTCAAGGGTCTGACAAACCGGTCCTCTGTGTCTCCTCTTGTTCGATCAGAAGTCGCGAGCAAAGTTTCTTCCTTTGGCTCTTCTCTCGCATCCAAACTACGTTTGTCCAGCAAGCTATCTCCGCCTCCGCCTCCGCCTCCTGTGGAGGAAACCCAATTCCGAGATGAATCGAGGGTTGACACCAAACCTCCGGAAGAAGAGACTCGGAAGCCGCAACCGGAATTCCGACAGGAGGGGAAGATATTCGTCGGTAATTTGCCGACGTGGATAAAGAAACCCGAGTTTGAAGAGTTTTTCCGACAGTTCGGGCCGATAGAGAATGTGATTCTAATTAAAGGGCATCACGAGGTGGAGAAGAACGCGGGATTTGGGTTCGTCATATACGCGGCCGAGAAGTCTGCAATGAAGGCTGTCGAATTCGACGGCGTGGAGTTTCACGGGAGGGTATTGACGGTGAAGCTAGACGACGGAAAGAGGATGAAAACGAAGGCTGAGCAGAGGGTGAGATGGGTCCAGGAAGGAGAAGAAGACGCGAAGATGTCGAATAAGTCATCGTGGCATCAAGAGAGAGAATGGTCTCGAAAGTCTCTCCAGAGGATTCTTGATACCAATGGAGATAACTGGCAAGCTGTTATTTCAGCTTTCGAGAAGATCAACAAGGTTTGTCATTTCTTACATCTAATTTATTTACTCTGTTTTCGACTTATCTTTCCGTTCATTTGATTTGTGATTGGAACGAACTCATTGATCTTCTTAGTCTTCCTTTTGTCCGAATAGGTTTGATTACAATTCGATCTATGGTATCAGATTAAAAAGTCTCACCGATTCAATGTTTTTCCCTCAGCCTTCTAGGACAGAGTTTGGTTTAATGGTGAAGTACTATGGAAGAAGAGGGGATATGCATCGTGCACGTGAAACTTTTGAGCGGATGCGCGCGAGGGGTATCGTACCAACATCACGTATATACACAAGGTATCTCCTTTCATTACAAATGTGAAACATTTCTTGTTCGGGTTCTGCTTTATCAAACATGTCATGGATAAGCCTTTGATTGAATAAAGTTGGTAATGCATTGGCTCAGTCTCTTGTTGAAAAGATTGGTATCTTTATGGTTACGGATGTAATTAGTTTGGGATTCCTTAAAGGTTAAAAGAGGATTTGTTTCATGCAGCCTTATTCACGCTTATGCAGTTGGTAGAGACATGGAGGAAGCACTTTCTTGTGTTCGTAAAATGAAGGAGGAAGGAATTGAGATGAGTTTGGTGACTTATAGCGTAATCGTTGGAGGATTCTCCAAAGCGGGAAATGCCGAGTAAGTAAAATATTAATGTGTCTCCCTGCACCTGTAATCATTCAAATGGTTGTTTGTATACACTTAACTCGATCTGATACTTTGTTGTCTTTGGAAGAGCTGCAGATCACTGGTTTGATGAGGCCAAAAGGATACACAAAGCCCTTAATGCCAGTATATATGGAAAAATCATATATGCGCACTGGTAAGCACTGATGTGATTTCTGTCTCCAGTAGTGTGATCTGAATGTTTCGTCTTTAAACTAAAAGATCTCTGTCATGAACAATTTCTCAGTCAGACGTGCAACATGGAGCGGGCAGAGGAATTGGTAAGGGAAATGGAAGAAGAAGGTATTGACGCTCCTATTGCAATCTACCACACCATGATGGATGGTTATACAATGGTCACCGATGAGAAGAAAGGCTTAATCGTTTTCAAAAGACTTAAGGTGATAATTTGCTTTAGATTTGGGCTCTTTCTTGCTTTCTCTTTGGTATCCGAGCAAGTGAAGATGGTTTAATTTTATTTTATTTTGGCTATAGGAATGTGGATTTACTCCAACAGTTGTCACTTATGGGTGCCTCATCAATCTTTATACTAAGGTAAGGAGAAGAATTGTGTGTGAATATTTTGTAGAGAAAAATTTCTTGGTACTGTGTCTTGATTTTTGCCTCTTGTTATAAGGTTGGAAAGATTTCAAAAGCTTTGGAAGTTAGCAGGATAATGAAGGAAGAAGGCATAAAGCATAACTTAAAGACCTATTCGATGATGATCAATGGATTTGTCAAACTAAAAGATTGGGCCAATGCGTTTGCTGTGTTTGAAGATATGGTAAATGATGGCTTGAAACCGGATGTTATACTATATAACAACATCATAGCAGCATTCTGCGGGATGGGGAACATGGAACGAGCGATCAAGACTGTGAAGGAAATGCAGAAACTGAGGCATAGACCAACCACAAGGACGTTTATGCCTATCATACACGGGTATGCTAAGTCCGGGGATATGAGGAAATCTCTAGAGGTTTTCGATATGATGAGACGATGCGGGTGTGTTCCAACCGTTCACACTTTCAATGCGTTGATTAATGGTTTAGTTGAGAAACGTCAGGTATATGCTTCAAGAAGAATCTCAAGTCTCGATGTTGTCTTATAGAGATTATCTGGTTGATTATAATGATGTTTGTAGATGGAAAAGGCGGTGGAGATATTAGACGAGATGACATTAGCGGGTGTTAGTGCAAACGAACACACGTACACAAAGATCATGCAAGGCTACGCATCAGTCGGTGATACTGGGAAAGCCTTTGAGTATTTTACAAGGCTTCAAAACGAAGGCTTGGAGGTTGACATATTCACTTACGAGGCGTTACTCAAAGCTTGCTGCAAATCAGGAAGGATGCAGAGCGCATTAGCTGTCACGAAAGAGATGAGCGCACGGAACATCCCGCGCAATTCCTTCGTCTACAACATATTGATCGACGGGTAAAAATATCGGTTTCTGCTTAACCATTTCTTGGGTCTGCCTTTGGAATTCTCATTCTCTCTTCCTCTGGTTTACAGATGGGCACGAAGAGGGGATGTATGGGAAGCAGCGGATCTGATGCAGCAGATGAAAAAGGAAGGTGTTAAACCCGACATTCATACTTACACATCCTTCATTAGCGCTTGTTCTAAGGCCGGCGACATGAATGTAAGTTTTCCACTAGTGATTTTAGCTTCAAGAAGCAGAACCTTGCGTATGTTTTCACGGGTTTTTCTAAGTCTTGAAAATGTTTGGCACTTGGCAGAGAGCTACACAAACAATCCAAGAAATGGAAGCATTAGGAGTGAGACCGAACATCAAGACGTACACGACCTTAATAAAAGGATGGTCCCGAGCTTCTCTTCCAGAGAAAGCCTTGAGTTGCTACGAGGAAATGAAGGCAATGGGTTTGAAACCTGACAAAGCTGTGTATCATTGCCTTATGACTTCGCTTCTGTCGCGTGCTTCAATGGCAGAAGCTTACATTTACTCGGGAGTAATGTCTATCTGCAAGGAAATGGTGGAAGCAGGCTTGGTCGTTGATATGGGAACTGCGGTTCACTGGTCTAAATGTCTCTGTAAAATCGAAGCTTCTGGTGGTGAGCTCACTGAGACGTTGCAGAAGACATTCCCACCTGATTGGAGCTCTCATCATTACCACCATAACTTCTTGGATCAGGTTTCTGATGTTGATTCCGAGGATGATAATGATGATGTTGTCGGTGAAGATGATGATGATGATGATGTTAACTCGGTTTCGGGTATCTTAACTTACAAGTAAGAAAACTGGTCTTGTAACAACTTTCATATCGAGCAATATCGGCATTTTGGTATCTTTGTTTCATAGTTAGCAAATCTTTTTGAAAGTGAAAGTGAAAAGTGAAAACAAAGAGATCTCATCTTCATAAACTGCAAACCTGTTTTTTGGACAAATCTGTTTAAGGAAAGAAAAAGACGAGCTAATCTAATAAATTTATAACAAAGAGACCTAAGTAATTCAAAAATAGGCAAACCAAATTGTAGTGTACATAAATTTACGATAGTTGAACTAAATCATATCATTTTTATGATAATTTTTTCATGAATGAAATCGTTTGAAAAATGAAATAGAAAAGTATCATAATCTAGTTGAGACGAAGAGAAAGTAGTGAGGCGGTGCCCATGTGGCCTCCTAACATTTAAGTCCTAGGTGATTCTGATAATCACCGAACATTGTTCTTTGGTTGAAAGTTCAATAACAATAAAAAATCATTCGGTTCTGGAAAACATTTTTAACTATTCAAAACGTCAAGAGTAATCATATCATTGAAACTGCTTTCGACGACAATGTGGTTATAGTTTCTTAAGAACGAATATTTGTGAAATATTTAATTCACATTATAGAATAGTTTAGACCTTAGAACATTTACATGTTGCTATTTATAGTTTACGTAATTAGTTATAGTAATAGCTTTCTATTTTTAATTATTCCTGCGTTATATAGAATTTTTGTAAATAGTATATAAGTTCACTTTATTTACGGAGTCGTTAGAAATTAAACTTCTCCATAGAGTTTAGACGAATCTGAAAAAAGAAATGAAAAATTGGGTATAGTACACTGTACACGAACTTGTGCAGTTATTAAAGTGTTATGCATGTGCTGTTGAAAAAAACGCAGATTCCTTACATTGCTTTTCTTCGAACAATGAAAACAAGATCATGTGGTAGGTCGCATAATTTTGCCAAAGTTCAAATTAAAGCCTGTGGTCTATATAGGACGACGCATTCTTTTTATGAACTATTTCACTTTTTTGGAACTCAAATTTTATAAAATGCCTAATGAAAAAATGCGACCCACTACGAAGCCACGTATTTTTGTCTTCTTGCATGCATGATACAGCATGCTTCATCAATAACTCTGTAGAAATAGTACACAATAGTCCACAACCACTCGTTCTATCTACCATTTACCAATGAAGAAGATATAGTTAAGAAGTAAAGTAAAAGAGATGAAAAGAAAGACGCAAGTAAGTAAGAATATGCAAACCAACGGACACGGAGATTCATTTTTTTCTTCGAATGATAAATAAAAAGTTATTATTTTCCCAAGACCACCTTTTTTTTGTCGTAAAAAAAATATATCCTTAGATTTTTTTGTAAAAAAAGTATCTGATCAAAAAAAAATTCTTACGAAGGAATAATATTATCACAAGCCCTTTCAGTCAATTTACATTCTTTAACAATATCTATAATTATATAGCCAAACAAGATTAGAATATAAATTTGAAATCCTTAATTTGAGATATAGCAAGCCTCGTTGATCTTAGTAGAAAATTAGAAATGGTACAAAATGCTACCACTCGTCTATATAAAGCTTTTCTTTAATCATGTTTTCCCCATTGTATTCGAATTATGGTTATATGGGCCTTATCGCAAATCAAAAAAAAAAAGTACGAAATTATTATAGTTTTGGAACTTTGTGAAACCTCATTCTATTGTGGAGGCTTTTGATTCCTTTGAAACAATCAATGATCTTTACGTCTCCCATCTGCCAGCAATAATAATAATAATACGTTTTTGCTGCACACCAAAAAAAGTGGGAAATTTATGTCTCCTATCTGCCAAAATTTATGTCTCCCATCTGCCATAATACGAAAAAGTTCAAAACTTTTTAAACCACTTGTTCTACCTACCAATGAAGAAGATATATAATTAAGAAGTAAAGTAAAAGAGATGAAAAGAAAGGTGTAGTAAAAATTTGCAAACCAACGGACACGGGGATTCAGATTATTTTTGAATGATTTTTCTCAAGACCACATTTTAATAATTACTTATGCTTATACATTACATTGCTTTGAAGAAAATATGTTTCCCTTGATTATTCGTTCCGCAAACTATTTCAACAGAATTCTGCATTGTCAACGACCAATTAAAGCATTTAGACATCTTTATAAGAAAATTCAAAATTATTCATCTATGGTGTTAGTTTATACATCTGTATGGTTTTGTTTTTCTCTTCTAAATGCGTTAACGTGTGGATTGGTTTTCGTCGCTCGAATCAGATTCTCCTTCTCGGTCAGTTCTCACTTCTCATTAACCATTGAGTAATTAAAGGATCGCTGAAATGTTTTACGTTTGCGTTAAATAATAATCTGGTTACGATTTTGATTCCACACGTTACAATGGTGGGTTTTCATGGAAAACACAATGGTTTGTTTGTATTTAACTAAAACAAGTAAAACCAATCCAACAATACGATTCCTTGAGGACACTATTACATATTCTTCTTCATCAAATATATGTTTTCTGAAAGCATCTCAAAACCAGCAAAAGCCATCTGTTCCTTCCAAATTTAACTTTCTTTCCCAGTAATTCATATTCCCTATAATTATAGCCAAACAAGATTAGAATATATAATTTGAAATTGGCTTAGGCATAAGCATAATTTAAGATAAAGCAAGTCTTATCATACCAAGATTTTGTCGTCGTGCATGCACGTGGAAGACATTTTAGGGTTCTGAAGTCTTCTCTATATAAATGACTTTCACTTCCAACAATTACTTCTTTTATTTGTCTTCCACTTCTTTACAAACATATAATGTTTCAACGTAAATCATGCGGAAGAGAGATATGCTTATTATGCTAAGTATAAGCATGATGAAAACAATTTCAAAACATCTTATGCTCCAGATTTTTTGATGGAAAATCATCTAATTGATTTTGCATTCACTAACGATAATGTAGTCCATAAAAACCGTTTGTTAATAATTAGTGATGCAAACTTTGATCGTAGATTGGACTCGTTCTACCGTAACGACTATAAATTTTTTCTAGTAATGTATGCAGTATTCTCGGATTTCAAATCTGTAGGACACTATACATGGGTTTGGGAAGACATACAACGTGGAGGGGGTATGTTAGCTAAGTATTACTAGTTCTGAAATTTAATATTTACTGTAGCTTTTATTAAATTTCAGTTACTAGTAATACTTAGCTAACATACTCCCTCCACGTTGCATGTCTTCCCAAATCCATGTATAGTGTCCTGTATATTTGAAATTCAGGAATACTGCATGCATGTGTGATGACATTGCTAGAATTTCTTTATAACCGTTACGATAGAACAAGTCTAATCTACGATCAAAGTTTGCATTGCTAGTTATTAACAAAAGGTTTTTATGGACTACATTATTGTTAGTGAATGCAAAATCAATTAGATGATTTCCCATCAAAAATTCTGGAGCATGAGATGTTTTGAAGTTGTTTTCATCATGTTTATGCTTAGTACAATAAACATATCTCTATTCCGCATGATTTACGTTGAAATGTTGTGTATTTTTAAAATAATTTGCAACCTTTATTCGCATCTTATAAACATCTCCACATATAATTCTTATTTTAGAAAGAGAATATATAGAAGTGTTTTCATCTACCCCATGTATCTGATTCAATGCTGTTTAAATATTTGTTAATATACTATTAATGGAACAGCAGAGTCAATTGGACAGGAATTGGAATCCCAAAATATCACTACTGTTTATATTTTAATGTATTTTTCTCTCTTTTTTTATTTGGCATTCCTTATTGCCCTTCTTTGTATTGTTCTATTATATTAATGAAATTTCTTGCATTTGTTATGAATTCAAACATGTTGTTCCATGAAAATGATACTAATTTATGTTTATTTATAACCAATAATAGCTCGTGCTTAAAATTTTAATATACAACCATTGTGTTTCCGTTTCCTTCAGTGTATTTTATACATGATTCGACTAAGTACGAAGATTTGAGAATCAATCAAAACAGGATCAAACGTAGAAGGGACTAAAATGATGTATTACAAGAAACTGGGGTATAATGTGAATGTGTTGTAAATTTACGGGGACCATTTGTATAATCAAAGGTCCAAAATTTGCGAGGGTATTTCACGCGGGAGATTCTGGAAGGTATTCTTAAGCAACCATTTTAGCCGGTCGACAGGATTGAGAGAAACGGATTCGACCGGAAAAAAATGGGAAATATTGAAAAACTCGGTCTGGTTCTGATAGCTCCGACCCCGAGAGAAGAGCTCAGGTAAAACGACACCGTTGTCTTGATTCTCAACGAGCCGGACCCAGCTTAAGCTCCAAATAAATGTTTTTAGAAAAAGCCCAATATCATATGCAAGCCTTTATATGAACATGATGTCGCATCATAGCCTGATCACAACAAGGTTTAATTGTACCATCTGGTTTAAATGGCAGGTATCATATGTGCCGATGAACTAGTTATTATCATCAGGCCCGAATTACTAATGAGTATACTAACCGGTTTAATTGGCACGTATCATGTGTGCCGATGAACTAATTGGTTACTCAAGCTGAACAAAGTAAAACCAATTTTCATAACAACAATATTAGTAATGGGTTTCTCTATTATTATTATATCATATTCTAAGAATTTGTATAAACTCCGACATATGCATCGGTGCCTTGCACAAATGTCATATGCATCAGTCGGTGATACTGGAAAAGCCTTGGATACAAACTTTTGCAAATCTCACCGGATGTTCAATGTAAGCAAGCATCGTACATGAAACAAACCCTCACTGATTGATAGAACAAATGTTTGACTTGGGACTTTATTTCAAAAATTTACTAGCCTGAAAACAGGGAAGAAAGTCCACAAGCCATTCAGGGGCAGTTTCTTCTTCTGAGCTAAGCTCTTTACCAGGCCATATACTTGAGTAGCCACGATAAGCTGACTCGAGATCAAGATCAAAATCAAAATCAGCGTCCTTAAAAGGCAGAATCCGGGTCAATGAGTGTCTCAGGCTGTGCTAAGGCAACATAGAAACCTTTGTTTTCTAGAGCTTCACGAAAAAGGCAGAATTTGGGGTCTTGTTCGATCTTCTCCTTGTTTTGAGAGAGCATCAGAAAATTTGATGGATATCTCATGTTGAATGTCCAGTAAATATGATCCGTTAAACTCATGTAAAGTCTGGAACGTGCATCCCCTGATATAGTAGTGTACATCAATACATTACTTAGAGATATATCCTTTTTAGCGATTACTATAATAAAAAACAAAAGTTTTAAAGTACCTTTATTTTTCATAGCATTTGGGGATTTGATTAGTCTTCATGGTCCTTCGGTCTTGTTTTAGAAAACATTCTCACCGTCCATCACTCGTTTTCTGCATCAAAAGTGTGAACACAAAGCTCAAAACAGAGTGCTCTGTTCTGTTTCTCATCATGTTATTTGGTAGTTCAAATGGTATGAAATATTGTTCAGTGTAATTATATTTCAATATTAGATATTTTTTACAATAAAATATGAGCTATGATCTATATATGTGGTCTATACACAACTTAACAACTGATATTTGTTTTTATATGCAAATAAATTTCTTACTGAATATAATACATAAACAAAAACGAAAACATACATTATGTTGTTTTCTTTGATCGTATTAGAGCTTTGTTGACATGTTCGCGTTCTGGTCTTCTCTTGTCCCAAGTAATAAGAGTCTTAAAATAACGAATCCTCGAAAACAGGGGAGATATCTTCACAAGCCCATTGAGAGGCAGTTTCTTACTTAGCCCATTCAGGCAGCTTCTTGTGAGCATTCTCATCGGCATGGCTCGAGGAGATCATCAGTTGCGATGTATTCAGGCATATGAAATTCTGGGTCCATGAGTGTCTCAAGCTGTGACAAGGTAATAGCGAAACCTTTATTTTCTAAAGCTTCACGAAGACAGGAGAATCTAGGGTTTTGTTCCATCATCTCCTTGTTTTCTGAGAGTATCAGAAAATTTGTTGGCTTATCCAGAACGAATGACCAGCAAACAAGGTCCACTAAAAGCGAGTGAAGCCCGGCAAATTTCACCTCTGTAAATAGTAGTGAACATCAACAGATAGGATTATTATAAGTAGAAATAATTTTTTTTAAAAAGGGTTGAAGTACCTTGGATAGGATTGGTATCAAAGTCGGTTTTCCAATTCAGTCGACCATGTATTCGAACATCCATACACCGAGAAGTACACAGGCCCATAAAAACCGTCCTTTTCTATTCTTGATTTGATTTGATCCCTAATCGTATAAGGGAAGAGACTGTCAGCTGGGATTGAGAAACCATCCATGTCCCACATCACATATGTTTCACGCACTGCCATTAAACCAACTTACGATACATCAAGATCGATGATGAAATCTTGTCCAAAATATATACTACCTACCTACCAACTTACGATACATCAAGATCATAAAATCTATCATAAACAAATTTCTACATCTTACAGTGGGAGACACGTGTCTTTTCCACGTTGAACAATCTCGACATGGTGAGGCAGACGCTGCGGGATGAAACTAGGTTTTTCTCGCGCGATTTTATGATCAAGAGACTTTTGTGAATGTGTGAATCTCGACTTTATGATGAGATTTTAGGGCTACATGACTCGATTTATAGCTGTCAAATAGCGGGCTGGGCTTTCCATGGGTCAAGCCTTGTTTTTGGCAGAAGACGTTCCCACTTGACTGGAGCTCGCATCGCATCATCACCACCACAGCTCCTTGATGTGGATTCCGAGGATGATGATTTTGATGATGTTAACTCGGTTTCAGGTTTCTTTTCTTACAAGTAAGGAATGACGGTCCTCTAAGATTACATATATATAATCCATGTATATGCATGCATGTGGTTTTACATATTAGTACGCAATTAACGGATTTCATAAGCACATGTTCCAAAAAAAAAAAATTAACGGATATAAATATAGCAATATTAATAATGCTCCTACTCATTTAGTATCAAAAAGAAAAGAAAACTCGGTTTAGGGTAATAGGTTTATGTCACCGAGGCAAGATTCGCAGGTGATTGAGTAATCGGAGCGTTCCCATCCATCGGCTTCGTCATCTCTCTCTAGTCTCTGAGCCATTCTCTTGATTCCCTTTGCTTCTCCAACACGATTGTGACGCTACTTTATTTACTAGGGCTAAGCCGACGATGTTCAAATCCGGCTTCCCAAAATTTTCTTTTCAACTCAGTCGACCATGTTTTCTTATCAGCGAAAACGAGGAAGGAGACTTGCCCAACAAAACCAATAGCTGATGTGATTTTCTCCCTCATCGTATGAGGACAGTGTTGGAAAGAAAAAACTTTTAAGAGTGATGGAGAAGGTGTTTAAGAATTTGAAAGACAAAGGAACAAATTTAAGAAGAAGAAAGTTTTAGAACTTAGAGAACTTAGGAACTTCACTTAACTTTCTTTATTATTTCTTTTAGCTTGTTAGTTACAAAATGAGAGAGGAGGTAGCTATTTATAGCCTCCAAAGTACAAAATATCTAAAATATTTTATTCCTAAATCTAGAGAATTCTATCTTAATATCTAGATTATTTTACAACAATTATCTAGAGAAATCTCTAGATATTTATTCTCTACAACTTTCTAGAACATTTTAAGGAGGTGGAAGTGTTGATTTTTCTAGAGAAAACTCTAGAATCTTTGATTAAGCATAATTGGGTTTTGGCCCAATTATTATTGGATCATTAACCCAATATTTAAGCATGATCCAAAATCAAACTTATCTTTCAACACCCCCTCTTAAACTTGATTTTGCTACTCCAAGCAAACTTCTCATCTTGATAAAGGCTTCACGCTTGAGTGACTTGGTAAAGATGTCAGCTACTTGATCGTCCGTCTTCACGTACTCCAACTGCACATCCATCTTGGTAACACATTCTCTAATGTAATGATAGCGAGTGTCGATGTGCTTACTTCGATCATGGAAGACAGGATTCTTTGCCAAAGCTATTGCTGACTTGTTGTCCACAAAGATCTTCATCGGCTCTTCTTGTGGCAAACTCAACTCCTTTAATAAGTTTCGTAACCAAATAGCATGGCAAACACATGAAGTAGCCGCTACATACTCTGCTTCACAAGTGGAAAGAGTGACAATCGGTTGCTTCTTCGACATCCATGTGAAAGCTGTTTCTCTAATGAAAAACACAAAACCACTTGTGCTTTTCCGATCATCTACGTCTCCACCCCAGTCGCTATCGCTATATCCAACAAGCTTGTAATCATCAGAAATCGAGTAATACAAGCCAAAGTCGATCGTACCTTTGATATAGCGAAGGATCCTCTTAGCTGCCTTGAAGTGAGTGGTTGTTGGATGCTCCATGTATCGGCTCACAACTCCAACTGCATGTAAGATATCAGGCCTTGTGCATGTTAAGTAACGTAGACTCCCAACCAAACTCTTAAAGTGTGTTGGATCCACACTCTCTCCTTCATCATGCTTTGATAACTTAGCTCCACATTCCATTGGAGTACAAACTGGGTTCGAGTCATCCATATTGAACTTCTTCAGCACTTCTTTAGCATAACCTTCTTGAGAGATGAAGATTATATTGTCTTCTTGTTTCACTTCAATTCCAAGGTAGTAAGACATCAATCCAATATCGGTCATCTCGAACTCCTTCGTCATCTCCTTCTTGAATTCCTCGAACATACTTGGATTGCTGCCTGTGAATATCAAGTCATCTACATATAAGCATGCAATCAATATATCATTGTTCTGTGTTTTGATATATAGTGCATGCTCGTATGGACACTTGATGAAGCTTTTCTCCTTGAAATACTTGTCAATACGAGTGTTCCAAGCTCTTGGTGCTTGTTTCAACCCATAGAGCGCCTTCTTTAACCTCAAGACTTTGTCTTCTTCTCCTTTAACTATGTAGCCTTGTGGTTGCTCAATGTAGACTTCTTCCTCAAGATCTCCATTTAGGAAGGCTGATTTGACATCTATTTGATATATCCTCCACCTCTTTTGGGCTGCTAATGAAATGATTAGTCTAACTGTTTCTAATCGAGCAACAGGAGCAAATATCTCGTCATGGTCGATTCCAGCTCTTTGACTATAGCCCTTTGCCACCAATCTTGCCTTGTATCTTTCAACTTCTCCTTTGGAGTTCTTCTTCGCTTTGTACACCCATTTTACACCAATCGCCTTATGCCCATTTGGAAGTGAAGCTAACTCCCATGTCTCATTCTTCTGTATTGACTTGATCTCTTCATTCATTGCGTTTCTCCATGTCTTTTTCTCCATTGCTTCTTGGAAGTTCATGGGTTCGCAATCCGCAAACAGGCAAAATAGAGTAAGGTTTTCTTGATTTTCAGTTACCTCGTAAAGCTCTTGCAGACTTCTAAAACGTGGAGTCCTTTCACTCGAACTCTCATCTCCTTGAGAACTTGGTGTTGGTGAGGTTGGTGGAGTAATTGGCTCCTCTCTTGGCTGCTCCAAATCATCTTCTTCAACATGTGGAAAGAAGTTGTAGTTCTCATCATTTGATCTCCAATCCCATTCTCCTTCTTCATCAAAGATGACATTCCGACTGATGATTGTCTTCTTTGTATCAGGATTGTAGAGCTTGTAACTTTTGGAGTTTGCATCGTACCCAATGAATATATACTTCTCACTTTTGTCATCTAGCTTGCTTCGTTTCTCATCAGGTACATGAGCGTGGGCAAGGCTTCCAAAGACTCTTAGATGTGAAACACCGGGCTTTCTTCCACTCCAAGCTTCTTGTGGCGTTTTCTCCCAAACACTTCTTGTTGGGGATCTGTTTGACAGATAGACCGCACATGCAACTGCTTCTGCCCAAAACTCCTTTGGTAGCTTCTTACTTTTGAGCATGCTTCTCGCCATCTCAAAAATTGTTCTGTTCTTCCTTTCTGCTACTCCATTCTGTTGAGGAGATCTTGGCACCGTCAATTGTCTCCTAATGCCATTGTCTTCACAATACTTCAGAAACTCTTTGGACATGAACTCTCCTCCTCGATCAGATCTCATAGCTTTGATCACAAGGTCACTTTCCTTCTCAACATGGGCTTTAAACTTTTTGAAGTTCTCAAATACTTCTGATTTTTCTTTTAAAAAGTAAACCCATGTTTTTCTTGAAAAATCATCAATAAAGAGAAGGAAGTAGTTACTCTTACTGAGTGATCTTGGTTTAATTGGGCCACAAACATCTGTTTGTATGAGCTCCAATGGCTTCCGTGCTCTTGTCTCTGACTCCTTTGGAAAGCTCATTTTGAATTGCTTTCCAAGTAGGCACCCATCACACACCTGATTTGGATGATTGATGCAAGGTAATCCTCTCACCATTTCTTTCTTAGAGAGTAGCTCCAAGCCTCTAAAGTTGAGATGTCCATAACGAAGATGCCAAAGCCAAGACTCCTCCTTGTAGCACATTTTGAGACATTTTGCGATGTCATTTTGAATGTTAAGAACAAACATTCTATTCTTCGACATCGGCACCTTGGTGATGAGATTGTTAGTTTGATCTCTTATAGAAAGGCTATTATCCTTTAGTCGAATATCATAACCTTTCTCTAAGAGTTGTCCAAGGCTCAAGATGTTGGTCTTCATACTTGGAATATAGTAAACGTTGGAGATGAATTGATGATCTCCATTCTTCATTCGGATGAGAATTTTTCCTTTACCTTTCACCTCCATCTTTGATTCATCTCCTAAGGCCACGTCTCCTTTCACTGATTCATCGAGCTCCACGAACATGCTTCTTTTCCCGCACATGTGATTGCTTGCACCGCTGTCAAGGTACCACTTGTGGAAATCATCTCTTTCATCCTTCTTGTACGCCATTAATAACATATCTTCTTCTTGGCTTCTTTCTTCAGCATAGTTGAACTTCTCTTCAACTCTATTGTTGTTTGGAGCTTTGCATTCAGAAGCATAATGTCCAAACTTCCCACAATTATAGCATTTGACATTTGATTTGTCGTACCTTGGTTTTGGAGATCCTCTCCCACGTCCTCTTGATGAGCTTTCTCCTCTTTGGTTAGTCTTGTCTTCATAGGACCTCCAGCCACGTCCATTTCCATAACCACAACCTCTTCCTCGTCCTTGACCGCCACCTCTTCTTGGATGACTTCGGCCGCTTCCATCTTTGGTTTGATCAGTTTGCATCTTGAGTACTTGTTCTGCAAGGTCTTCCTTCTTCTTCTTCTTTTCTTCATAGGCTTGTAGTGATCCTAGTAGTTGCTCCATTGTCATATCCTCCAAATCTTTCGTCTCTTCAATGACAGTGACAATATGCTCAAATTTTGAATCCAACGATCTAAGAACCTTCTCCATGATTCTTATTTCATCTAGCTTCTCCCCATTCCTCTTTAGGTTATTAGTAACCGCTAGAACTCTTGAGAAGTAATCTTGGACAAGTTCACCTTCCTTCATTTGTAATGCTTCAAATTCTCCTCTTAGAGTTTGAAGACGTACCTTCTTGACTTGCTCTGCTCCCTTGTAAGAAGTTCGAAGCTTCTCCCATGCTTCTTTGGCCATCTTTTCTCCGGCAACCTTCTCGAATGTGTCTTCATCTAATCCTTGATAGATGAGACAGAGAGCCTTCTTGTCTCTCTTCCTTGAGTCTCTCAAACTGTCCTTTTGAGTTTGAGAAAGACTACCTTCATTCTCCGGTTCAATGTAGCCTTTTTGGACAATCTCCCACACGTCATGTGCTCCTAGAATGGCCACCATTCTTAGACTCCAGTTGTCGTAGTTGCTCTTAGTGAGCATTGGAACTTGGAAGAGAACACCATTACTTGCCATCTTTAAGAGAATCTTCTAGCTCTGATACCATTTTGTTGGAAAGAAAAAACTTTTAAGAGTGATGGAGAAGGTGTTTAAGAATTTGAAAGACAAAAGAACAAATTTAAGAAGAAGAAAGTTTTAGAACTTAGAGAACTTAGGAACTTCACTTAACTTCCCTTATTATTTCTTTTAGCTTGTTAGTTACAAAATGAGAGAGGAGGTAGCTATTTATAGCCTCCAAAGTACAAAATATCTAAAATATTTTATTCCTAAATCTAGAGAATTCTATCTTAATATCTAGATTATTTTACAACAATTATCTAGAGAAATCTCTAGATATTTATTTTCTACAACTTTCTAGAACATTTTAAGGAGGTGGAAGTGTTGATTTTTCTAGAAAAAAACTCTAGAATCTTTGATTAAGCATAATTGGGTTTTGGTCCAATTATTATTGGATCATTAACCCAATATTTAAGCATGATCCAAAATCAAACTTATCTTTCAACAGAGAGAGCCTTTCAGGGTTTGAGTAACCATACATGTCCCATAGCACATGTGTATCACGCACTGCACGGAAAACGAGTTAATCAATCAAGATCCATTAGATGGTTTTGCTTACTAAATCGCAATTAAGGTATATGGTTCATCTTATTATATGAGTCGCATAGTCGACTTTGCTTTCTTATTAAAAAAAAAATAAAAAAAAATATTGAGTTTCATTTCGTTTTGCGTAATTAAGATTTGTTACTTATGATTCTGCAAGGTTTGGTCTCTTAACATCTAACTTCACTGATACCTCAACATTTAAAAACGATATTGCTGCTGGTATGGCTCGTGTGGAGTCATCAGGTAAGAAGAAGAAGAAGAAGAAGAAGAAGAAGCTCCGTTGTTCTCACTTGTGCTTGAACCCATTCTCTGCGGGTCCATTGATGGGTAATAAGCCTCGTCTTGGTTAGGTGGTGGTGGTGGGTGTGCATAGTACTGATGCTGTGGTATTACGGCTCGAGCTAGTAAACCACTGCGACTGCCCCGTTGGTTCCAACTATCTTGATCAGGTTTGGGGACCTGAGGTCTTCCCCATTTGAGTTTTAGACTCTGACCGTTGATGACTAGCCTGTTGGAGAGCTGTTGCGTGGCTTCCTCTGCTCCTTGTCGGGTTGTGTATGTGACAAACGCACAGGCTTTCTCGGCCAAGATTCTGATAGATTCGATCTCTCCATACGCGTAGAACTGGCCTCGTATGTCCTGCTCGAGGATTCCCGACTTGACCCCGCCCACGTAAAGCGTTTTGATGCTTTCATCCTCTGGTGGTTCTAGTGTGCCCATCTCACCAACTTTCCCCAGTAACTTCATCGCAACCGGATCGTTTTCACTGTGAAACGTGTAAAAGAACCAGGCCGTAAATAACAAGCCAGCGTGAGAGCCAACATATAGTACCATGGCAGAAACATAGAGAATTTCATTAGGGAAGATATTGAAAAAACCGTTTGAGAAGGTGAACTACTAGCTTACCCATAGTAACGATCTTTAATGTTTTGGTGGGATAGCTCTCCTGTTATGGGCATCTCATGCCTGTATGCACATTCTTCACCTCTAGTACACCGACCACTTGTGTAGAAAGTACAAACGTGTGGCTTGTTCATTTTATAGAATGGTTCTCTTCTTTGAAGCTTTAGAAGAGTATCATTAGGTTGCGTCTTCCCATATGAAGATTCATAATCCAGTCCATCTCTGTTCTACACAAAAGAAAAAGAAAATAAGTCAAAATCTCTTGGGAAACTAGACTTGGTCAATAATCTTTCACATAGCAAACCGTTTAGTTAAAAGGGGAAAAAGGAGAATTCAATTAGCATACCATTCGGTCATGCTCCCCAGCAAAGTACTCTCTGTTGACATGGCTTCTTGGGATAGAGTGATCATGAGTAGTAATAATGTTGAGTGCTGTGTCTCTGACCTGAACCGGGAGACCGAAATCGAGATCAAGAAGACAGACTTGGCATACATTCTTCAGCTTGGAGCAAGTCTGACAGATCTCTGTTTTCTTGTATCTTGCATTCCGTCCAGGTTGCCACCTAAACACCGTGAAAGGTCGTGTACATATCTTGCAATCCTTGTCGAGACTCGCTATGGTCTACATAGCGTTACACTTGAATCAGAAGCTATAATCAATTCCAGGCTATAACGAATTTTAGATTTAAACGATGAGTTTGATAACTACCTAAAACCCTAGACCTAGATTACTGATAGGAAAACAAGCAACAGAGGAAGCACCATTCGCAAGTAGGGGTTGTCGCCGAGGCAAGATTCGCAGGTGATTGGGTAATCGGAGCGTTCCCATCCATCGGCTTCATGATCTCTCTGTGTTCTCTGAGCCATTCTATTCTCCTTCTTGATTCCCTTTGCTTCTCCAACACGTTTGTGACGAGTTGGATTTAAAGAAGGAGGTTAATATTCAGCAAAGATGCGGAATCAAACAACAGCCCCGAAACTTTTAATAAAGATGCGAAATTACCCTTTTGGTTTTTAATTGTCAAATTCAGACCTTGCGAAGATGCGAAATTAACCTTTTGTTTTTTAATTATCCAAATCAGACCTTGCGATGGCACAAAAATCCATCCAATTAATTGATGTGGTTCTGCATATTAGTTCGCAATTAACTGCCACACAAAATTTAGCGTATATTATTTTGTACATTGGTCTAATGAACATATTTGATCTCTTATGATTGAACTTGGTTTCTTTTACATTTTATAAGAACCAAATCTACAACAAAAACAGATCCATAATATAGATAACCAACTTATATGATACTTATCGAAACTCAAAATACTGAAATATTGATTAACTAGTGGACTTAATGTACATCCAAAAATGGTTATTGTTATCAATAAAATAAATTACGTTCTAAGATATCAGTCATGTGCATGTCTATATACTAACTGAAATTATATCTGTGAATTCATATACAATTAATTTTATAGATATCAGAAAACGTAACAAACAAAGCTGTATATCTCACTGACCCTTAACACCTAATAGAACAAACTACATTATCTTAACAACACATGTTTTGACAGTAAATCTTGTGAATACGCATTTAACGAAAATTAATATTTATAGCGTTTTTTATATGCTACTATAATTTTGTAGATATGCTAATCTGACTCAGAAAACAACAAAGTAATTTAGTATCGATTCTTAATAAAACAGCAGAACTCCCCAACATCATGAACCCATGCCGTTGTACATATTTAATTTTATAAATACTATATATAAAAAATGGCCAATACGTTAGATAAAGTAATAAATCATATTAAATATAAAACATGTGTGGTTCGTAAACGTACGTTTCACAAGTCACATGTTATAATGCTTGTATAACAAATAAACATCCATACACCAAATTAATCATAATGTCAAAAGACGTATAATTGTCATCCATCATTAATGTAAAGGTTAGGATAAGAACAAAAATATTAAAAAATACATAAATAATTTAACCAATCATGTAATTAGATTATGTTAAAAATGTTTGTGACTAGGAAGGCCTTAGACAAAAGGAACAATATGACATGGAACAAGATACAATGGATCTCCCACTTTCGTACCTTCTTCTTTTCTTCCACTTTTGAGTTTCACCTAACCTAACTGATAAAGAGATAGAGTTTGGATGAAACTTGTAAACCTAAAATTTAGGTATGTACTACTATATACTGGAAGCAAAAGCATATTTATGATAAATTGTTTACTTGAAAGTGATTATAATATTCTTGCAACTACGCATAAATGAAACTTGTATGTTGAACCCAACACAAAACATGTATATGAATCTTTGTATTGATCTGTAGAATTGATCGACATATTAAAAGCTTCTTGGAATGACAAATCAGCAATCGAATAGAAGTGAAACATCCATATCCAAACAGTTGTCAGAACATTACGTGAAACTCCCTAAATCTTGATTTACACTACAGAAAAGCGAACTGCCTGCTAACCTATTTTGCATCGCACTTGTGTAGGGCAAACTCTTTTCGACATTTTAATTTTTATGCAGAGATTAATGAAGAGAGGGGTCAAGAAAGAAAATATTTTGTATTTTTATGAATGAAATCGTTTGAAAATTGAAATAAAAAAGTAACAAGTCAAAATCTAGTTGAGACAAAGAGAAAGTAGTGAGGCGGTGCCCATGTGGCCTCCTAACATTTAAGTCCTAGGTACACATACACGACCTTATAGTTAATGTTACATTATTATTCCCATTATAATTAATTATCTCAGACTTCCCTAACGTCCATAACTATTTCATTCATAAATATGAACCATTTTAGACGAGATTTTCAAACACAACTTTACTGTTGACAACAAAGCTATCCCTTATTGTTATTGTAAATAAAATAATCAAATAGGAACAGTTTTTGTTTTGTCAACAAAAATGACATTTTCTTTATTTAATTTTAATTATTTTTTCCTTGTATCAATATGTTCCTACTGGTGCATTCTAGAGATGACCCTATTATCAGTAGGTTTCCACTTTGCGGTCATGCATATAACTTGTGGAAGGTGTACGAATGTATATAACTGTGTATATGTATATATAAAATATAGAAATAAATATTTGGACCAAACAAAGTAACAAACCCATGAGGTTTAGCATGATAATTATATATTAGTTCTAGCTAAATTTATTTATAAATTAATATATCAAGCCCTCATTTAGTAGGGTGGTGTTATACTAATAGATTAGTTGCTAATTTCTACAGAATTAAATAACTAATCATGAGGGTCAACGGGGTACAAGCTGTTCCATGCATTGCTGGCTTTGCCTGTTGCTCGATGATTTCAAGTAATGCTCTTTTCATGCAATCTTGATAATCATATTTTTAATGATCAAGTCGCACTTAATTGTACGTTCTCTGATTTTTCTAAAAAAATAATCATATACATTTAAATACTAAGCTCGATGAATTTTTTTTTTTTTTCCAGCGCTCGATGAATTATTCGCCAAAACTGAAGTTTTTAATTAGTTAACCTCGCGTAGAATCATATGAGTTGTTTGATAATAGGTCAAGAGATCTTTAGTTCGACTATAGTATCCAAATTTACAAATACAAATTCTTAACCACATTAACAAACCAAACTAATTAATTTTATATTCTGTACCGAATTACTAATGATTATACTAGCTGGTTTAATTGGCACGTACCATATGTGCCGATGAACTAGTTAGTTACTCAAGCCGAACAAAGTAAAACCAATTTTCATAACAACAATATTACTAATCGTTTTTTCTTTTCTTTTGGGGTACTCTTTGTAAGTTTTACCATTTTTGGTAATATTGAACCAACCTCTATATATCTCTTATTACAGATAGTTTGCTGGAGGGAGACTATTTATAAGTTAGTGAGTAGAAGAAAGACTTGAATTTTGTGTTTCGATGCTTTAAAGAAAAATTCTACTTTTTTTTTGTTTTTTAAGAAAAATTCTACTTAAAAAAAGCATTTAAGTGATCTCTATTATTATTATCATATACTAAGAACTTTGTATAAAGTCCGACATACGAATCACTTGGTCGCACGAGCACAGTATTCGTATCTTTTTTTTTTGTAGGTTTGTTTTGCAATTTGCAAAGGAGAATAATTTTTATAAAGGTTTATTTTTGCTATTTGAATGATCTAATTCATTTGTATCTTAATGGACTTTTCCAAATAAATTTTGACTAAAAACTAAATAACACCATTTAAAATTTAATTTGAACGAATGCTTGGAAGTTTTTTTTTAGTATTTATCATTAGTAAAGTTTTTATCAATAATTTAAAATCCTTTTCTAGAGACCGATTTGTAATATACTTACTTATTTGACCGAATGCTTAGAAAACACCGGATTCGTGTTTCAAAGTTTGCAAGTGTTTCTTTATTGTTCAGAAGATTTTGCGTGTGATAAATGAAATCCAATCTAATTTTGTTGTGATAAGAGAGCTTTTAATTTGGTATAAATTTGAAAGGCAAAATTTGGTTTGTTTTCTTTCTTCACATTAGGCACAACAGTTTTACTACAACAAAGAAGTTGTCAACTTCTGCGCCTTAGACCTAAAGATGATAATGTGCGTTAATAGATGGAAAGGTTTTAAAAAAATTATGTTCAATAAAAAAAGGTTTTTAAAAAATTAAATAAATACTAAGAGCAGTATTGATCTTTTATTAAATGTTAAGTTATAAGTAATAAGTATCAATATCAACATCGACAATATCTGAGGTAAATTTCTGAAAATACTTTAGATGGTGATGGATTAAAAAAGAGACAAAAATATAGTTTCAATCACCGTTGTAGTTGTTGAGAAGTTACTTCCAAGATTTCTTACAACTGTGACTTGCATTTATTAATATTATTATTACTTTTTACGCTGTCAAAATCGGTCTTTACCAAACGGATAAAGAAGCATGTCATGGGTTTTTTTTCTTTCAATTTTCTGTATTTCATTGAATTATATCGACTGAGCAGTTTCATAAGTTCGAGTAAAAAGTATTCAAATAATTTTTTTTTTTTTCAATCAACGTACGTTAAAATAAATTATGGCCAGACATTTCTGGAAATTTAAACATGAACAAAAAGGTAGAAACACTGTAGAATGTTACAAATTTTTTTTTTTAGAATTTGCACTGAATAGTCTATCATGACTTCGTGTGTTGTGCAACATTTTTGTAAAAACATATTGACACTCAACAGAACAAATCAAAGTATATAAAATATTACTTGTATAAGAAAGTTGGGAACAAGTGGTGCAAATAAAGATTACAAATTAATTTAAGAATATAGATTAACGTTACTGCCATTTTAAAAAATTAATAAATATAATAAAGGTAAACTGAGAAAAAATGAGCAATATATTTTAAATTTTAAGAATATATAGTTTATAAAAAAATTCAAACATATAACAATTTCAGACGGAATGAATATAAACTAAAATGTGCATTTTTCTTTAACCCTTTAATCTAAAATATACTACTTGAAGTAAGTAAAGTGAGGATATATTTTTGTAAATTTATCCCTATAAAGATCTAATAATAGAAAATCCACAATTAATATTTGCGTGATTCAACGGTGCCCTATTTAATTCCTCACATGAGTTTTGCACACACACACACTCTCTCGTTTTGTTTTCTTCTATTTTCCCATAATCCCATTAAAAGTTTATCCAATATCTTACGCAAATTGGAAAAACAGAGAAAAAAGAAGCAAAAGATAAAACAATGACGGTGTTGGTAAATAAAGTTAAAAATGTACGTAAAAAATGATGTATTTATTTCACAACGGTGGGCTTGAGCATCAGATTGGCTCTGTTTAAACCTTTTTCTACTTTCAGTTTTTTCTTGGTCGAAATTTCTACTTTCAGTATCTCTGAAATTCTAGAATATTGATTCGTCAAGGACACTGCCTCACAATAACATGTTGACCGATCGAGAATATTTGTGGAACAGAAGTTAGAGAGTCTGTCAAATACTAGCTCATAGGAAAGTCAATACGTACGAGTTCGTTTTATAAACGGGAAATATTTAAATTTGCAGGCATGTTTTACAATATGTACAAGTGAGAGAAGAAACCTTTTAAATTAAAATTTGAACACAATATTAGGCGATAGGAGAAAGTTGTTAATTCAGATTTAAGAGAAACCTAAAAATATGATGAAGTCTTAAATAGAGAGAAATTATAAATGAGAAGAAGATTTGACATGACGAGAAAATGGACAAGAATGAAGTACCGTCAATCAACCTTTATATATAAAATAATAGTAATACTTTTGTTGGGATTTGTTTTCTGCAACATTTTCTTGTAAGCAATCGTTTTTAATGCTTTGTGTTCTGCACAGTGCTTTGTCATTGGCTCGGGACTACCATTTGATGTAGTATATATTTTATTTATTTCTCTTCTATGAATAATATTTATCGCTTCTTGTCTTCAGCTAAATTGAATGCCATTGCTGTGTCTTACTAACTCCATACATAGGACGTTCTCAGAAGTAATAACATTGTCATCCTAGATTCAGATTGAGATAAGTAACAAAAAAATTCAAATATAGATAAAGTTATGTTATCGTGTTTGCGTGATTATGTGTTTATATGAACTCTATATATATATATATATATATATGTGAATAGTTGTTTTGCCACGCATTATTGAATCTTCTAAAACTAGTAAAACAACTTGTAAATTTATGAATAAAACATGATTCTTTCATTTTAGGTTACTTGAGAAAATGATAAATATATATTCATACACACTTTTTGATCAATTATTTAGACTGCATAGTGCATAAAGCCAAGTTAAGTTTGGATTGTTGCCAATCATATTCTAGAACTACTATTTAAATCCCTTCTGTGTTCAATAAAGCTAATCGCAAAACAAAACACACAAAAATTTCAAAACATTTATTGCATCTAAAAAGTTAAATATGTGATCAAAAGAATAGTACTTCTTACCCTTTTTAATATTTTCCATGAGAATCATAAAATTTTGTTGATTTGTACAGTATAGATTTGGAATCGCTGTAAAAAAAAGTATAGAATTCGGAATCGAAAAAGCTTTATTATAGAACTTATAGAAAGAAGAAGAAGTAACGACAAACAAAAATTTATTAAATTAACTTAATAATAGTCGGGTCGGATCGAACCGAGTTGATCTGGTTGACTCGAAGTATTTTCTGGTTTGCATTCTCGGTCGGGTTTGAAATTGAAGAAAACATTTGTAATATAAAAAATAACTTAGCAAAAGAAAAAACAAATAGTAAAAATTAAAGAGACACATGACCTGACCCACCAGCCCTCTCCTTCCCCCTCTTATATGATTCCCTCCAACTCTTCCCCTTCCATTAATTGCTAACTCAAAAGCTTCTCCCAAAAACAAAAAAAAAATTGATTTCAATGGGGAAGCGGAAGATGAAGCTTTCTTCTCTATTCAGAGGCGGAGCCGGCGGATTACTCGCGGTTCCTCTCTGCTACAATGCGAAAACGCTTTCATTTCGAGTCGGAGACGACATGATCAAGACGGTTAACTCCGTCTTCTTCGACCCCAACCACCACAATGGAGATGTATTGGAGGCCGAAACGCCTGAGTCATGGTTCACTAACTCGTCTGCCGAGACGGCGAGTCACTCAACCGAGTCGGATCAGGACCTTGACGCGGAATCGCTTGAGATGGTGGTAAGAGGAGTGGTTAGATCGGAGCGGTTGTTCTTCGATCCAGGAGTCACGAGCTCGATTCTGGAAGAGGTTAACGACAAGTCGAAAGCGGCCTGTGATTCTAAATCGAAGGCGGCGGTATCGGTCGGAGATGATCGGGATTGTATCTATACGCCGCCGATTGAGGAGATCAGCGTCCCGGTGGCCATGGAATCGGAAGATCCGTACGGAGATTTCCGGCGATCAATGGAGGAGATGGTAAGGAGTCACGGTGAGTTGGCTAGGGATTGGCAGAGCTTGGAATCGATGCTTGCATGGTACTTGAGAATGAACGGGAGGAGGAGCCACGGCGTAATCGTAAGCGCCTTCGTCGATCTCCTCTCCGGACTCTCCGATTCCGGCGCCGGAACAACATCGGTATCGGATTCGGCTCGTTACTCTACCGCCGTTTCGTCTTTGCCGTCGTCGCCTGTATATTCATCATCTCAAGGTCAAACGGAGATCATCGAAGAGGAAGAGAGACGGAGCTGTTAAAAAAGCCTTAATTTTTAATCTTTGTTTAAAAAGATTTGTTTTTAATCTTAATGTCGCTTTACCAGATTCACTTTTTGGACTGTAAAAAGTAATTAGTGGTTAGAGGAAGACCATCTATTTTTTTAATTACAGATTTAGAGCCTTCCTTGACTTATGTATAAACTTAGTGCCTTGTTGTCATAACTCATAAGCGAAAGTAAAACACTTTCTCCCAAAAATTCACAGTAACCGCATGAAACTCAGCAAAACAATACCAATAGATTCAGAAAACCTATAAAACAGTTTCCAAACTGTGATAAACAGTTGTTCTGTAAGTTTTTTTTTTTTTTAACATATTTTATTTTGAATTTTGTTCTGAAAGGATAGAAAGATTATTAACTTTATAACTAGATCTCTCATTCGGCATCTACAATACCGTATGTTATTATGTTAATAGTACAATCCGATATATCATATTTCCATACTGCGGATAAATAGATGGCCAATCATTAACTACAATGTGTCGCTGCTATTTTATAACTCGGATTCAAATACGATAAATGTGAGTTTGTGATTTTGAAACGACCAATTTTGTTACTAATAACCCAGTCTCACTCGTAATACAAGTACTCGAGTCTCTCATTTCATTTAGTATTAATAATCTCTAATTATTCGTTTTCAATATTTTTCAAAAAACCTACTATGAAATAAAAAGTGAAATATATTGATAAACGCAGTGAAAGAAGATGATGTCAATAAAACTGTGAAAACGTCAAATATATATAAAGGTGCAGCTGACATTATATAGACAACTTCATCATCTTTCAATCCCTTCATGGCAGGTAAGAAATCGATGTTTCCACAAACCTATTTGCTTTTGAATCGACTAGATCCATACATTTATGTACAAATGCAACCTTTTGATCATGGTTAATGATGAGTCACGTTTTGTGGACTAAAATTGCGAAAATTAAAAGGATATGGGATATGCGAAAACAAGCTATAATTTTTCTTATACATTTGTATTCGTTTTTGTAGTAATTTCAAATTTATTAAATAGAAATGGATACTGTATTTACGAGGGTGCATTAAAAGAGAATGTTGGTCTATAGTGAGTTTGAAAATGAAACAAAAGAGAGTTGCAATCTGTATTTTGTAATGTGTATAGAGAAATGAAGGAAGAGTAACATGAGATGATCAATGGTGGTGTGGTCACACACACACACACCCTGTGAAGCCCAACATCATAGACCTACTTCTCTCTTATCTCTTTCCATTTATTGCTCTACATTTAATTCTGGGACCAACCTAGACGACGACGTTTATTGTTCCTTGTTTTTTTCTCTTCATCCTTTTATGAATCACTTTCTCAATCACGTAAAATTGATTTCTTTTCTTTCAAAGAAACACATACACCTAAGACTGGTCCTCATATATATATATATATATTGATCCAATACGAAATAAACAAATTTGGGATTGTATAGAAACCCAAATGTAATATATTGACACAAAATTTACATTAAAAAAATAAAATGTAACATGAACATCCAACAACTAACAACAGTTTTCTTTCACAGAACATCTTTTTGTTTCTACTTAGAAAATCATTATCGCTGTTATATAATAGGGGCCCAACTTGTTTGATAAAAACGGGTATACAGTCACAAAATCTATCATCTACATATTGCGTCATGAACGAGACAAAAATAAATGGACACTTGGATTTGACAGTTGAGGCCCATAAGAGGAAGGTTCTTCGATTCGGCCCCACATCGGTTTATTTTATTTTATATGGGAAAACAAACCAAAATCAGTCTGGTTCAGGTTGGTTCAACTGCAGAAACTTTCCAATTAAAGTTTCGTTATCGCTTTGGATTAAATTCGATTCAGACGCCTTCATTAGCTAAAATACCGGACTCTTGGAACTGGAGGCGCAAGGAACAACAAGAAGTAGAAAAAGTAATCAACCATACCAGACTAAAAACCAACAAAACGTGAACATATTAGTACAAATATAAAAACTAAAACCGAAACCAAACCGATTTAAGGAGTTCGTCAAATCCAAGTAGTGTTTTGAAGAAGCTAGACACTAAATACTATTCTGTGTTTTTTTTCCCTTTGTGTATTTCCTTTGTTCAATGCGAGTCCGGATCTTTACCAAAACCCATCATGGCGTGAGTCGCTAGCATCAAGCCTCTTCGACCCATCTCCATTGCACGCCCCACTAACGGGAAGCTAACCGTGTCTCTGTTCCTCAGAGGTTTCTTGTCCCACCTTTTACATTATTCACCAGCAAGGCAGTTAAATGAAATGCTACATAAATAGAAACCCTGAACTTTGCGGTATTGAGAAAAAGGATGGAGTTATAATTGTTACCAGTCTTCGTGTCGGACAATCTTCCCGTTCTCGACATAGAGCTTAATAAGAGAGATCATATCTATGTTCTTTCCCATGATCTTGTAGTGTTGTTTGTTGTCAATTAGTATCTGTTTTTCCCCAAAAGTTATTTAGATAACGAAGAGGCAACCAAAAGATCATGTTATAGTAGTAACGAGGCCAAAATACGAGGAGGATTCTAACCTCTTTCTTCCCCGGTGCGATTTCACTCTCCTGAATATGATATTCAACTATTTTCGACTCACCGAACACCTGTGTAAGGGAATGAGCGATTAAGTCTTTGCATGGAGATAGAGATAGTTGATATGTATGAAGTGAGGGAACGAGAGGTGAGGCTATTGTACCTTAGAGAGTGAATAAAATGCTGATTTGATCTGCTTCACCCTGAAAAGCAAACGGCAAACAGAATCTTAAAAAGTGAGGAAATCTCTGCAATTGTAAAGCAAGAATATGAACGCACTAGTAGGACGACTCATCACATACCCTTGAGCATGTGTTAAAGGGTCCTCAAAGGAAGCATTTGGTGCGTACATGTCAAAATCGTTGGCTTTTGCGCAGGACCCGTACCTAAGAAAACCCACAACTTGGATTAGAGAATCAGAATCCAATTCATTACACGACTCAAAAAAAGGGTTGAAAACTAAAACCAAACCGGGCGTAGATCCCGGAAGAGCAAGCTGCTTGAGGTAAAAATAAACGCTTTTGTTCAAAAACTGCCACGAAAGTCTATTATCATCACAATCTAAAAGCTCGAATTCATACAGTGCTACGGAGAACAAGCTCCTAATCAGCTAATCTGCAATTTGTCAACTACGAAACTTGGGATGCAAGGAACACGTTGGAGTAGTTTAGCACTCAATTTACTGATATTAATCCGCTCTTTAGCTAGACAATTACAATCACAGGGATGAAAGCTTATGACACAGACATACCTAAGATTTTAATCTCTGTGGATGGATTCACCATGAGTCTAGAGTTGAGCAAATAACCAAACCTAGTAAACCCAATTCGGTTCAAACAATCCTATATTGAATGAAACAAAAACCAAAACTGAATCTAAACCTAACTTTCCGTGGATAAAATTTGGTTACAGGTGAAGCCGAAGGTAAATCGAACAGATACAGATCAAGTGGACAACCAATAAAGCCGGACTAACAAACTTCACGAAGAACATAAGAACATGGACGAAATCTAAAAAATAAAAAAAAATCAAAGAGATGATAAAATCGCCTCACAAGTTGAGGATATGAGGCATGATTTTATCAGCAAATCGCTTCTGTTTCAATTCACAAGCTCCTTTTCCCTCGCATTCCCACGCGGGATCCGTCGCCGCTTCGGTTTTATCTAGCAACAAAAAAAAAAACGCAAAACAAGGATCATTCATCATCAGAGAGAGAGATATTATCGATCGAGGAAGAAGATGGAGAGCCTCGATCCACAACCATCGATAATCAGATTATATATAAAGAAATCGAAGAGGTAAAAATGAAGATTCACTGGAAACAAATTAAACGAACCTGGACTCTGGTTATTGTGTTTCCCCATGGATGTTGTTGCAGAGAAATTACTGGAGAACGTCGAAGAGGCGAGAGATTAAAATTGGATGACGAAATTGAAGCGAGGGAAGGAGTGAGTGATATTGGAAGCCGAATAGAGGAAAATGGATCGTGGTGGGTTAGCCTCCACGTGGCACAATCATCTCCATATGTATGCTTTGTTTTGACCGTTGATTATTCCAACGGAGAAAACATGTCCCATGTCTCTTTATAATTAACCTTTGTTTTAAAAAAAACATTCAGATGAATAAATACTTGGAACGTATGTAAGTTTGCTTTGCAAATTGAAAGATAGGTGTGTTCTGGTTCGACAATATATATATATATTTCTCATGCTATTTCTCTATAATTTTTACAAATAATGTTGTTAATTCTGTTGTTAATTCTTAGTATTTCTCTATTATATTAAACTCCCTCAAACACACGTTATATTCACTGTACCTATAGGAATTGAATGTGCAACTTTCTAGATTTCAAGCAAAGATGAGGAATAATTGGATATATTGTAAAAGGTACACGTTATATGTATATGTAGATGAGTTCTTTCATTTAAATAGAATATAGCTTCTTATTTGACATGTCTAATATCTTAACATTTAATTAGTTCTATTTTCAAGTTTTTTTAAAAAAATCAAAGAGAAACACAAAAATCTCAACTTTGCGTAAACGAAACAAGGATTCTATATTATAATACTTTAAAGTCTGAAGCACAGCTGTTTTATTGGTTAAGTAAGTCTGTTTGTTAAACTTAAACCTTTGACCCAATACTGAAAAAGGCAAAAAGAAGACATTAATTAATTTAATTTATGTGGTTAAACCATACATAAACTACAATCACAATGGTTGTTCTATAATGCAGTCTGCTCCCTGACTCTTTTCTTTACAGCTGTTTCCTTCACGAATGTTCTAGATTGATCAGAATATATATATATGAATTTAAACCAAAAACAGGGACGTGTTAATGTAAGTGCCAAAATCTGTTCTAATATCGTAATCAATCAATTTGAGAAAAAAATATGTATATTTTAAAATAAAATAAAAAGTACGGATGGGTTTTCAGGTCACTGACCCCTTTGAGACCAAAAGATAATAAAATACGCAAAGGGCCCAAAAGCCGTCCGTACGCTTCCGGCTCCAGCCAATTGGGGATTTTTTTGACGTTTAGGCCTTCTTCCTCCTCCCCAATTCCAATTCTGCGTTTTACACATTTTTTTTTATACATTTATACGCACACGCAGCTGTGAGATAAAGCATACGAATAAATTCCCTTTTTTTTCGCAACTTGCTGCAACGAGAGAGAAAGAGAGAGAGAGAGAGAGAGAGAGAGAGAGAGAGAGAGAGAGAGACGATTGGCTGTTTCACGCTATAATATAGCTTTCTTCGTCTACACTCGCCGTTTCGCTCTTTTACTCCGCATTGTTCGTCTGTCACTATCTTCGCCGGAGCAACAAAATTTTCCCGGAGGTAAATAAGAAAACTGTCGCTGATTGAAAGAGTTATTACTTGGCCTGTTTGATTATTTCGATTCGAGCTCCGTAGATTTTCAGGGTTTTTTTTTTGTATTGTCGTCTAATGTCTCTCTGTTGAATTGTCTGGGTTTTATTATTTCAATGTCGTTTTCTTTTAAGCTTGTAATGAGTCTGCTGGTAACTGTTTCATTGATTCGATGTTGTTCGTCTAAGATTTTTGTTTTCTTGTTTGCTTTTTCATTTGTCGTGTGGGGTTAGTACAAGAATGGTTGTCGGGTTCTTTGTTTATCTCTCAAACTTTTTTTTTATACTAAATAAAGACTTTTTCTGGGATTGAGGTTTCTGTTTGATAGCTGAAATTGGGGTTTTAAGGTTAAGTTTTTCTTTGCATAGAGCTCTCTATTTTCATTAGGTTGATGATGACAAATAAGCAGCAGCTTTTGTATTATTCTCTGCTAAGAAAAGCTTTTCTGAATCTGTTGATTTCTTAGGAAAATCTGTGAAGCCAACATCTCATAGTTGTAATCATGTCAAGGCCTGGTGGTGGTCAGCTTCCTCCTCGTTGTCCGATTCCAAAGAAGCTGTCGCTGAATCCCGTTGCAGACACATTCTACTCTTCTTCTTCACCCATTGAATCATACATTGGCCAGTACAAGTCTTCCTCCACTCAAGATTCCACGCTCGAGGACCAACCAGCTTGGCTTGATGAGTTGCTCCGTGAGAAAACCGATGGGATGCTCACTGGAGGAGGTCCTCTCCGCCGCTCAGCTAGTGACTCGGTTGTGCTTTTGGGAGACATCTCAGCAAACTTCTCTGGTTTTAACCAAAGCGAAGATGAAGAAAGTCTGACATCTGAAGCTTGTGGGGAGCTGGAGTCAGCTTGTGTATATGGTCCCAACTCGCCCAGAGCAAGGAACAACTCAAGCTTCTCTAACAATCCTATTGCTTCTGCCTTCTCGGAATTTGGCTCTCAGAAAACTCCTCAGAACTCGGATGATACTTTTCAAGGGACCAATTGTTCGCCCATGGCAGAAAATGCTTGCGGTTCAATGGGCGTACCAAATGCAAAAAGGTGAGAGAACATTAATCTTCTTATGGCATTACTCTCTAGCATCATTACTTAATTGCAGGGCGGCCCTTAAGAGTATCATTCGTCAGCTAGTTGTTCCTAAAAAACATGTTTAATATGGTTGAATCTAGGAGTCCCTGAGCTATAATGTGGTACTTCTGCATCTAGTTGTAGATCAAAATGCAGATTTAAAGGAAGGGCTACTTTGGTTTATGGTTTGTAAGTGAAAAGGAAGACTTTTTGATTACCCATGGATTTTTAGTTAAAGATAGGTTCGTTATGGCTACTACATTGGCAAATATGTCGATGATATGTGCGTGTGTCCACAAGAGTGCTCTTAGAGTGTCCATTTCGGTACTTGTACATTATCTTGTTGTGTCATATGCTGATTCTTTCCTGAATTCTCTGTCTTTTCTTTGCCAGGAACCCAGGACAGCGCTCGAGAGTTCGTAAGCTCCAGTACATTGCTGAACTTGAGAGGAGGGTATCCATGTTGCAGGTAGAGTTTCTAATCAAGTTTGTGCTTTCTAAAACCCAATCCGTCTGGTCTCAACCGTGTCAATTGTTTTGTCTTCGGATCATACAGTTATTATATGTAAAAAATAGGATGCTGTATGTTAGATGCCTGTGATTGAATGATCGAATTATTGGTGTTACAAGACACATAGTTAGATGCACATCCATACGACATAATATTACTGCACATTGTATGATAGCAAACTGGTTTTGCAGGCGGTGGAAGCGGATTTATCAGTGAGAGTGGCTTCACTTCTTCAGGCACGTGCAACGCTGTCCCTGGAGAATAGCCAGCTGAAGCAGCAGATGGCGATACTAAAGCAGGACAAGCTCATAAGGGAAGGTAAATAAAAAAACAAGACACAGACCAAATATTTAAGGAGTGTCTGAGTCAGAGCTTTTGAGATGGATCCACTGATTCTCTTACCGGATATTCTGTGTAGGTGAATACCAGCTACTGAAGAAGGAAGCTCAGAGATTGCAATCTGGAATGGGAAACTTAGGGAGCAATAACAACAGTAACAGGTTGGTCAGGTCATATTCTGATGGTTACAATATAGCTCCAAGGATAGCTTCGTCACAGTTGGACTGGAAGTTGCTGGATCTAACCAAACTCAATCTCAAATAAAGACGAGAAGCCCCAACAAGAAGAATAAGTAGGTCAAGGAATGGTGGAGGTAATAACAGTTTCTATGTCTGAGAGGAGGACAAATCTTTTTTCGTGTTTGTATAAATATGATTTAGCCAGAGTATAAAGTATCCCACTCTCTGGATCGAAAGTGTGGGACGTAGTCTGTTTTAGCAAAAATGTTCTAATGTTGTAAGCATATTATGCTGGATTTGAACGAGCAGCTTCGAGGGAATATTAGCCATTAACTAAATTATGTGCCTAAGTCCAAATTTGACCCCTAGCCTCCTCCGTATCTTAATGGATATATTTCGTTTTCTTTTTGAAGAGTAATAGTACGAAGTCATGAACATAATAATGTTTTTGCTTGTCAACAATGCAATATTTATCAAAAGTGAAATCGCTGGAGACAAATATTTATAAATGCACACAAGCAAGTGTGAAAACGGAATGTTAGCCCCGAAGTGATGCACGTGGTACCGCCGGTAATCCCCATTCATCCTCAGCCTGTTCATCACAAAATCTCTCATCAGCCAAATTCAACATAACATGTACAGAGTATATAACATGTACATTATCACTCATTTTGTAATGAAGCAAAATGTGGAAACAAAGACTAGGCCAGCATCTAATACATTCCTCACAGGAGGATGATATAACATAAAGAGGTTTAACATCTGAATTCTCAAACTTTTGCTAGATAAGTTCCATATGCGTATAGTGAACAAAACTCACCTGAGTTCGTCCAGGTGGAGCTCCTGTACGCCGGTTTGGTGCTGGAGGCAAGTCCAGTTCGTCAGCAGGATCCGGTTCCATATCGGGTTGGAGATAGGAAGGCACTCCGTCTGCTTCAGTCTCGTTTCCCATATCAGCTTCAAGAGCATCAAGCTCTGCGTTCACAAACCCCATTAATTTTAATAAAGGCTTGTATGAGGAAATGTTTACATGGCAATCGCATAAAGTGGATGTCTGAGAGAAAATGTAAAGGGACCAACAACTTACCGCCCATGAGGTCCTCTTCGTCAATATCATCGGGAACATTGTAGCTCCTACCCAGTGTCTCTTGAATTTCAGAACTCACATCCATCAAGTCCATCATCTCATCTTGTAAATTCTGAGTGATATAACACAACAAAATCATTCATAAGCAAAACTAGTATCGAGGAAGCGAATACAAGAGACGCTTGAATAAGAAAAACTCAAACGTACATCTATATCTTGAATCTGGACGGTTTTCATCATTCCTTTCAACTCCTTGTTCGCAGATTTCAACGCTGTCATCTGCAAATATAAGCAATGCTTAGACTAGTGCCTACCAGATTCATGTACATGAAGCATCATACCAAAACACACATGAGATGGTCAGGAAGATAAGAAAAGAAAAAGCATACAGTTTGTTGAGCATCTTTGAGGCCTTCAGCAGCAAATGAAACTTGATCAAGGTTGAAAGTCTGATTGTAGAGCATGTCACGTTGTCCTTCGTACCTAAACAAACAAAAACCAGAATAAATGGTATCAGATGATATCAAACACATGGCCTATGGACACCGAGAGATGTGATGTGCAGATATTTACTCTTACATTTTCTTCTGCTTGAGAACTCTCATAGCTCGAGCCTTGATAGCTTCCTGAGCAGGACCAGGTCTTGTCCTTTTGATCTGTTCTTTGTATTTGCAGAGCTCAACATCAAGCCTCTTAACCTTATCTTCCACTGACTCTCCTCTTTTATTGATCTGAGGACATGAAAAAATCGGGATTAGAGAGATCAAGCTAGTTCGCATAGCTATGGTTATTTTATTTACTCTGAGAGCTAATAAATCTCGAAACACACATCTCAATTGATTATTCTACGAAGTTCGACGAACCCCACACGATAAACCCCAGAAATCGAAGACTCCCAAAACCCTAATTCTCCACATTCCTTAAACGATATCGAGAAGAAGGAATAAAAAACAAACGAATCCAAAAGGGAGATGGTAGAAACCCGATCGGAGGCATCCTGGATGGACGGTGGAGGCTCTTTGTTGTTCTTCGCACCAAAAATTCTCTTCATCTTCTCTTTACTACTACGACTCCTCGATGAATGAATCTGCGAATTTCTCAGATGATACACAGACACAAGACAGACAAGAGCTCGAGAATTTGGAGAAGCTTTGCCTTTTAGAATTCCGTATTTACCGATTTCCTTCAAAACTTTTATTGTTTTAAATTTCCACCTTTTTCTCTATTCTTTAATTAATTAAAAAATATTACCAAAAATATGAAATTACACAATACTGGAAAAAACAATATTTTAAAATTAATGTTTCTGTGTATAATATAATTTGACTATACACCAATCCATTGAGATCCAATAACGATTTATAAAGAGATTAATAACTGATTTTATTGAATAAGCAAGTCTGGTAAATTTCCTCAATACATTATTGTAGGAGAGGAAGAAAAGTCTTTCTCTTTGACTCGAGACATTATGAACACCAACTAGACATTTAGCCAGAAAAGAAAAAGCAGGGGTTATCAAAGTTATAAACACCAAAAAATTCACACAAAAGGAGACTCCTTTGCTCTATACACTTGTCTCAAACTTCAACTCCCAGAAGCTCAGCCATTTCGCAACCAAACCCACCACTATTGCTGAATTGGCTAGCCAGTGACCAAGCCACACTCACAGACACAGCAGCTTCTGACACAGTTGCTTCACTTGCAGAGGATTCCAGCAGCAGATGTGGTTGCTGGTGATGCTGAAGGTGCCTGGTGTAGTGAAGCTCGATTTGAAGACGGTGATGCAAAGAGGAAACCAATCCTTTCTTCATATCAGCTTTAACTTGTTGTATTGGAATCGCAGCGAGAAAGCTCTTTATATACTCTCTACATGACTCTTTCCCTCTACACACCACTTCTTCTTCTTCTTCTTCTTCCTCTGATCTCTCCGGTTGCTCTGACTTGTTTCCTTTCTCGGCATTGTTGTCCTTGACCGGTTGTAACCTCTGAATCTCTGCATCTTTGTCAAATTTCAAGACATAAGCTTGGTTGCAACCCTCATAGAGCCTCTCTCCAAGCGTGTCAATGATGTAATAAGCATCGTGGTCCACAAGGAGGACGAAGAAATGATCATTCCAGCTCACAATGTAGATCACGGGCTCGCTTCCCGACTCTTGTGGTTCTTGTTTCATGATCTCTTCCCAGATACTGTCAAAGGACATCACACCTTTGAGAAAATCAAGACTCGAGTCTTCTTTTCCTTCTTCTTCCTCTGATATCTCTGGATTGAAAAAGCCGATGAATGATTTCTCGGGTATTACACAGATGGGTCTGATTTTCGCCTGGAGAACCGTCTCGAGATCGAAATGTTTGTCTGGAAACCGTTCCCGGTATTCCTCGTTCTCGCACAGGTTTCTCCACTCAGACGAACCTTCTCTGATAAGACTGTCAAACTCTGACCTCGTTGGGATAATGTCTCTGTTGGATCCTAACCAATGCGCCATCACTGCAACTAAGGCTGTGCAGGCGCTTTCTCCAGCAGCTCTCTCGCTTCTTTGATCGATTGATGCGAGAAACACTTGAGCCGTGAGTTTCATCAGCCCATCACGGCTTATGATCTCTCTGGTTTCCCAGCTACCAACAACAAAGTCATCGTCATCAAACTCGGATAATGGTTTCATGTTTGAATCATCAGACCTATACCACTGCAAGGGAATCAACCAAAAAGTTAAAAAACAATATTGTGTGAAACAGTGAACCCATAAACGGTTTTAGTGAGAATGATGCCATACATCAGAGGCAGCCTCATCGGATGAACTCAGTTGCCTACGGTCAAAATCGATATCATCACCTCCTTCTTCGAGGCAGTCCTTTTTAAGAAGAGGTTCGCCTTTCTGTTTAGCAGATCTAAAACTGAGCTTTCTCTTCTTCCAAGATAACATCCTCTTCTTAGCCAGTTGTCCACTCGCCTGCTCTGATCCTACGGTATCATTCGAAACCACATCACCGCAATGTTCAGCTAATGGCCTGCGGTGGCTGTAATATATCAGATCCTCGTCCTCGGGGTTTGTATCAGCATGAAATGAGCCTCTGGCCCAATTTGCATGTCGGAGTGTTTTGTAATTAACCGGATCAGCGACACCGCTTGCATTCTCCTTGCTCTCTTCTGATTCATCCGCAGCATTGCCCTCGTCCACAGAATCTGTATCAGAAGGATAAGTAGACTCGGAATCAAGATTTCTCTCAGGGCTTTTGCTTTCACTTCCGCTTCCGCTGCTTCCATCGTTTTTACTACTCTCGCTCTCCGATGCCTGGGGGCTTGACATGCAATGGTTGAAAGTTTTCATCTTTCTCAGGCCTACTTTTACAACAGACTCGGCTTTCTCGGCCTCTGCGGAAAGAGGAGACCATAGAACAGGGAGAGCAGATCTCTGTCTTTCAGGCAATGATTCTTTAGGGGAAAACTGAAGGGATATCTGCAACATAAGTTACAACTTGCGATTAAGAGAAATAAAACAACTTGTAGAGTCAGAGAATCGTAGAATGAGGGAAACTCGTTGACGCACATGAAGGCATGGACTCCGCGTAGAAGATGATGATGATGATGAAGAGCCACAGATCTTTAGAGGCACTTTGACTTGAACATCATCCTCTTTCATCAATGAAAAGAATTCTGCAATGTTCAATGATGCGTTTCCAAAGCTACGAACTTTCTCCTTCGATCCTTGAGTCAGTCCCTACATCACCAGCGATTGAAAAACAGAACCACTTAAAACTTAGCTTTTTCAGTTCACTTTACCTAACAAATAAACAGGAACACAACACATAACCAATCTACGTGTCAGTTCTGTTCTAACAAAAAAATGGCCGATCAAGACCATGGACCAAAGTTATAAAATCTCCAGAATGGATCAAAATCCCTAATTTTACATGATTCCATCGAATTGGGGTTAAATTAAAGAGTACGAAGCAAAGGTACAATCTTTACACCGATCATCAGATGATTGGTCAGAAGCAGAGATAAAAGTCAACAATCACAGTCAACGATCGTAAATCAGATAAGAGAGAGAGAGAGAGAGAGACTGACATTGAAGACGGTGAAAGAAACGAGCCATGGAAGGAACTCTCCTTCCTTGTAAACAGAGAATTCGCAAACCCTCTTAAACTCTTCGTTCCACTCGACGACGCCGTCGCCGCGAAATCCACCTTCTTCGGTGAAATTCCGTGCGACGGAGCGTTTGAGAGTAACTGTTTTGGGTCCTTTCCATTTGATCTCAACGACCGGTCTCTTCCTCGTTGTGCCTCGGTGACTCTGATCACCAACGGTAATATTATCGCCGTCGGTATCGTAATTCAACCCCTCGATTTTGTGGACGACGACGACCACGTCGAATTTGACGGCGAAGAGCGGAGGCCACGGGGGCCACCGCATGATCTGTTTCATTTTCACCACCATACAGTGGCTTAGACCTAAGATCGGAGGAAAAGAAAGATTGGGATAAAGTTTGCTTTTAGACTATCGAGAGATTTCCGGTGGAGAGAATCGGATTTCAAGATATGGGCATGGCGGATTTGGTGGACGCAGTGTGATTCAGACGCAAATATTTGAAACTTTTGAGAGAGAGAGAGAGAGAGAGAGAGGAATATGAGTATAGAGAGAAGGAATCTGCGTTTGGTTGCTTGTTTAGAGTCAACCCTTATACAGAGAGGGACGGCAATATAAAATGATCCAAAATATTTAATTTAATACATTAATGATTTCGTTGAGAATTTTGAGGGCAGGTGAAACAAAGGATACGTCTTTGTACGCAAAAAGTCGTCTTCGGTTTATTTTATTTTATTTCTTAATTTACATGTCACATTGGAGAGGAATATTTAAATGCAGAAACAAATCCTCATATTATAAATGATATACTAAAAAGTAAAAAAACGGATTTCTTTTTCTTCATTAGTAGAAAATTAGTTCTTTTTCCCTGGCTGAATATATCTTTTTGTTTGTTTGTTTATATCCAGGATTTCCAAACTCATTTATAAATTACTAACCGTTATCGAATGACTGAATGTCTTCAGTTCAGTTTTTGATATTATCTATTATTGTATTTTGTACGGTTTTCTTTTAGTATTCAAGTGAATATATAGAACTGAATCTTTTCTTTAATAATAATATCACAGAATTTTTTTGGTCTTGGACTCTGATAAGGAAAAAAACTTATGTTAATTATCGATACATAGATGGTTGTTAATTTATCAGCATATTTTTTTTTTCATCTTTAAATTGCAGCCAGTGGCATGATGCATATCTACATTAGACTGTAGACTCTCTTTAAATCTTGATCACAAATCACAAGTCTGACTTTAATATGCATCTTGCACCAGTTATTTATGCAAATAATTTTGACACATCTTATCTAGTTATCTGTCATATGAAATGATCCTGTTCTAATCTTAATTACCAAAATTAAATACAGCAGATATATTTTATGTGCACAACGGTCCAATCATGTTTTCGTGTTGTTTTTACTATTGATCACTAACAATATTATTCTTTCTTTTCTTTTCTTTTTTTGTCACGGACTTTTCATTTGTTTATATATATGACTAGAAAGGAGAAACTTAAAGTTTGTTTTTGCAAAATCTGCAAAATATATGTCATGTGTGTTTTGCAAAATTTGGCTTTATGTCTCATAAATACGATTGCTACGTGACCTCGAGGAAACAGACGAAGAAAAATAACACATGTCAGAAGCATATACATGTGTTCATGCGGCATCTTGTTTGTCTATTTTGATCATGTGGTTCATGCTCGTATTTGTGAAAATCGTTCGAATTAGTAGTCATCATCGGTGCACTAAGACTATTCAAATGATTCATGCAGTTTTCGTATGGGTAAAGGTTGTATTTTGGGACAACTTAATATATAGTTAATTAATCTGATCTGAAGCATCCATGCATAAAATATGCGTCGATCATATTTTTTTAATTTGCTAAGTTTCTCTAGTCCATGTGAAAGATAAGATTCTTTATAATGTTCATGAAGGATGACACTTTTAGGCGTTTAAAGTGTAAGAGAAAAAGTTAGGTATGTCCTAATTCTTAAGGTCCTAACTGGCTCACTCCTAACCATATGTCATCAGCTTAAAGTTAATTGTCCCAACACTAACTCATGCTCTCATGATCGTTTTTGTTACTTACTTATTTTGTAATGGAACATATATATATATAAATGTACATTTGGATCCAATGTGAGAAATACAAACCATCAATCCAATGTGATAGGTAATTCTTAGATGTTTTTTGAGATTTAACAAATGAACACGTACATTCAAATAATCGAAGCGTTTTAGGATTCGATTTTGAGTTTGGATATTTATATTTATGTGTTTATGTTTTTTTTTTTTATCAAAGGTCTTGTTAATAAATTAGAATACGCGAGATTAATAATAAAAAATCACTTTGCATGACGACTTTGCTTCAAAAAAGAAATGGGAAATACTGTATGTTTTAAAAAAACATAAACAAAAACAAACATATTTGATTTTGAACCAATTAGACCCATACACTCATGCACAAATACAACTTTTAGATCACGGTTAATGATGATCACGTTTTGTGGACTGAAAATTGCGAAAACTACAGTGATAGAGACGCAGCTTTGAAGTAGACAATTTAATCAGATGATCTAAATATAGAAATATAAAACAAATTTAATAATATTATTAACCAAAAAGTCGTACCCTAAAAATGACCACTTTTATTTGATGTCAACAACATACGCACGCTTAAAAAATTATGTTAATGGAGAAATAAGTTGAATTGTGACTCGTGAGACCCACTTCTATATTTTTTTTCCTTAAATTAAAAAAGTAAGTTCGGTATACATATGTGTTGACAAAACAAATTAAAATCGCTAAGCTGCTTGAGAGGGAAAACCTAAAAACAGCTCGGCAGACTTCAAAAATTCTGTAGTGCTTTTCTAAATTCCATTAATCACTCAAAATTAAACTACGATAATGGAACAAATACGTGCTAAGATACAGTTAGGAACTTAGGTGGCTATTATTTTCAATTGTCCACTTCTATGCCTTTTTTCAGTTTCATCCAAATGATTCATTTAAATACTCTATCATTTATATTATATTTATTTGGAATTTGAAATTTTAAAAATATTTTGGTCATTTGTTATTTTGGAATGGACCATCTCCATCTAAATAATTCAATTTGATTTATTTAAATGAGTAAAAATATTGCCTAACTAAAAATTCATTCGGATAATTCATCTCCAATTTTATTACAAAGCGAACAAAAATTTCTATCTTCATCCAAATAAATCATCTTAATGGAGAAATGAACACCATTTTAGAACACCATCTAAAGTCTATATAATTCAGACAAAACTGAAATTCGGCTGGGTTATTTTTAATATATATTTTCAAAACATGTTGAACCAAAACGACAGACCAGAGTTTGGATTTGGGCTAGACCTACTGCTATAGAGTTTGACTATTTTTCTACGACCCAAATCATGAAATCTCTGGACAGACAACGACCACTATGAAGAGAATCACTATAAAAGGAAAAAAAAAGAAGTCTTTACCTCATCAGTTTTGAAGCATATAAGTTACTGTACAACTAAAACTGAAAATGAATAATTTACAATTGTCTATTAAATAGATTCAGTTTACTTATTTTTCCATTTTATTTATATATAGTGGTATGTTTCTGTATATAATTCTGCCAAAAAAACCAGTCAAGACAAAACCTCATCCAAAAGAAGGCAAAAGAGAATCTAGGCTGTGCATTTGTCTTCAACACAAATCAATCATATATTATCAGAAGAAACTCTTGTCTTTGGCTTTAGTTTTGTAGTTTTAAAAGACTGAAACTAGAGTTTAAGAGCAATGCTAAAGCTTTTCTCTAGTCCCATCTTCACGGGACCTCCTGTGATGCTCCCTTTCTGCATCATCGCCACAAACTCGTTATAGTCTATTCGCCCGTCCTGCACAAACAACAATTCAAAATGTTCAACATTCCCATCACTCAAACCAAGATACTCAAGAAGAGTTTCAGAAGTTTATGAGAAGTTCTAATAGAATTCTAGAGGTTCCACTAATCAAAATCCAAAGCTGATTGTAACATTGGTTTTACTTCACAGTTTCTCAAGGAAACAGAGATTCTACTATTCCCATAGGTTTAACAAAATAATCCTCTAAGCTGTTCATTGTAGGCAAGATGCATTTTATCCCAAGTCATATGGAAATTATGATGAGATGAGAATTGAGAGCTTACATTGTCTTGATCAACATCACGCATCAATTCTTCTATGCGGACATCCTCGACACCAAACTCCTCACAAGCTTGTTGAAGCTCGTCCGGGGTGATATAACCGCTCCCATCTTTGTCAAAGTACGTAAAAGCTGCAAACAAATGGTCCTCTCTCTCTATTTTGTTTAGATGCAATGTTGCGGCTATGAACTCTTTGTAGTCTATTGTTCCACTGTTGTCCACATCAGCCTGAATTGCATACACATGACAGGCACATCCCAGATAAATTACAAATCCAAAGCAAATACGCAGAACGTTTATATTTGTTAGTACTGTGACCTTCACTCTCGAATAACAAAGTAGCAAGGGGGTTATATGTTATTAACTTACAGCTTGCATCAAGTCGAGAATTTCTGACTCTTTGAGATTCGCCCCTACTCGTTTCAGTCCTGCTTTCAGTTCTTCGAAAGTTATCTGACCGCTTTTGTCGGCATCTATCATATTAAACATTTCCTTCAAGCCGGCTATTTCTTCTTCAGATAAGCTCTCAGCAATGACCTGCAAGAAGGGCATAAGGAGATAAACTTAATCCGCATTGTCTCTTGGGCAACTTCTAAATATTTGATGTTTGTGAGAATCTTGTTCTACTATGGTTTTAGATTTTTGTTTAGCATCGAAAATCCGCTTACCCTTAGAGCCATTTTCTTGAACTTGTTCATTGCAGAAAATTGCTTCATACGGCTCAGAACAGCAGAATCCAGAGGTTTGTCTGGAGCCACGCCGTCGACTTGTACCCATGGATGACCTGTTCAGAAGCGAAACCTCATGAGAGATAGAACCATGTCATAAATGGAGTCTACATTACAGGGCTGTGAGACGACGCATGTTATTCACATAGGACAAGTGAAATCTATGGTCTATGGAGTTAACAGAAAAAGAACCACAACGCTTTCGCTGAAAGAGAAAGGTTTGAGATCGAAGTCACTTACATAATACTTGGTGTGCAGTCATTCTTCTCTTGGGGTCCCGAACAAGCATTTTCCTGACCAAGTCTTTTGCACTTTCAGATATGTTGGGCCAGGGATCGGATGAAAAGTCAAGATCACCGTGGAGGACCTGCTCGAAAATACCTTGTTCGGATTCTGAATGTTCAAATAAACAAAAAAGAAGACTAAGACTTTGTTCAGAGCCTAATTAGGACAAGTGACAGATATCTTATTTATACATATATACACTACTTACCAGCCCAGAAAGGAGGAACACCACTTAACAAAATGTACACAATCACTCCAGCACTCCACACATCAGCTTCAGCACCATAACGCTTTCGAAGAACTTCCGGAGCTACATAATATGGGCTCCCAACTACATCTGTAAATACATCGTCTGCAATGAAAAAGGAACCGGATTCCAAAGTCATTGATTGATTTTCAAGTTAAAACACCAAATCTTTTGAAATTGAATGGTTGAAGATGCAAACCTGGCTTAAAGAACATAGAGAGTCCAAAATCAATCGTCTTCAAGAGGGAATCTTCGTGTTTACTGACGAACAGAAAATTCTCAGGCTTGAGGTCTCGATGCATAACACCAAGAGAATGGCAAGCCTCTACCACACCAACTATGGTTCGAGTGAGCTCAGCGGCTTTCCTCTCTGTGTAGTGACCTCGTTGAATGATCCTGTCAAAAAGCTCGCCGCCTGCACAGCACTCCATTACAAGGTGCACTGCCACAGCATCCTCATAAGCTCCTTTAATGGAGATAACATTCGGGTGACCAGCCAAGTGATGCATAATCTGGATTTCCCTTCTCACATCTTCCACGTCCTCATCGGTCAACAGCTTCCTCTTAGCAATCGTCTTGCAGGCAAACTCCTTCCCTGTAGTCTTCTCCACGCATAAAAAGGTCGTCCCAAATTGCCCTTGTCCGAGTTTCCTTCCCAAGGAATAGAATTCCTTAAAGTTTTGAGTTTTCCTCTGCAACACCGACTCAGTCCTAAGCCCTGCACTGGACACTCTCTTCATGTGTTTAGGCTTCTTAGGCTTCGCTGGAGCATCAGATTTGGCCTCCGGCTTAGTCTCTGAGCTGGTCTCAGGCTTGGACTCCGGTTTTGTCTCCTCTTGCGTTTCCAGCTTGCTTTCCGGTTGAATCTCTACGACGGATTCAGGTTTGGTCTCGGAGTTGGCCCCTGGCTTTGGCATTGTGAGCTGTTGAGGGGGTTTGTTCTGGACTTGAGCAGGTAACGGAGATCGAAGCTCTCCTGAAACAGCCTCACTTGCAGTATCTCCATTGCTCTGGGAAACCGAATCATCAGCATCTCGAGGCCGCCACATTGCAGCCGAGACAGATTGCAGGAACCCAGTTCTGCTTGGTCCAACACAAGTGTTACCCATTCTCCAATACCTTTAAACTTTCTCCAGAAATAGCATCAAGATCTGATCACGAAAAAACGCTCAAAACAATCTAATCTCATGAAAGTCAAATCCTTTCCTATCCCAAGACCATCAAACATCAAACTTCGTACTTCACGAATCAAACCCTACGCTTCTAAGTGTCTACACAGATGAACTGATAAACCCTGCTTGGTCTATCCAATAGATGAGACCAACAGATAAAACGGAAAACAAGCACAGAGATGAAAAAACAGCACGAAAGATGAAAAAGAGTATTGGAAAATTTGTGAATTGAAACGAACCCAGGAAAGAGAAGGATGCAATGAATCAAACCCAGAGAGTAGAAAATCAACCCCAGACAAGAGAAAAAAAGAACAGAGAGATCTGGGGAGTAAATAAAAAAAAAGAGAGGAAAATAAATTGGGTTGGGTGGGAAAATGAGGAGAAAATAGAAGGATAGTTTAATAGCACTACACTTGCATAAACCGTTGTTTAATTTAACGAGACAGAGTCAAAGGTGGAGAGAAGAGACGATGAACCAGTTTGAAAAACGCGTTTAGTCTTTTTTATTTCTGTGTGTTTTATCTATCGCCGCCGAGTTTTGCGCTGCGATTAATTTGTCTTAATTACTTTAATTTTTTTTTATGATTTGCAAGTCCAAGACTTTTCTTCAATCTTGGCAACTTCTTCTATTGCCGCAGCCTCTCAAGCGTCTGATATGGTTTTTAATTATTTACCATTAAAATCATTTTCCTTTCTTGAGTCATTATCATCCCTTTCTTTTTTCCTTCACTGGGCCATCGCCATGGGGAGGACTTCAACTTCACTCTGATCTTTAATTAATCCACACGAACTTTTGGGTAGCGACTTCTTTCTTAATCATCCAGAATGGGAATTGAGTAACGATGTAACATTCAAAATGGATATTGATCTTTTGGCCGGCCCTAAATTGAAACGCTCAACAAGTGTCTGAATCAATTTCATCTACTATGCTTTAAGAACAGAGGATCGTTATTACATAACTTGTCAAACATTGCCATACTTGTTCACTAAAGAAGCCATAAACAATCAGCAGACGATTCACACAATTGGAAGCAGTCATCAAGCTCGTCAGAACAAAGTATCTGCATTGAAAATGTATGACTTTAATCCTGCGAAGCCAAACTCGCGAAAAGAGCAGCACACTGTATGTTTTCGCCGGCCATGGAGATCGAAATTGCGGCGGCCGGAGGCGGAGTATCTTCCGTTATGCGTGAGATTAGAGTCGAGGAATCTGATCCTCATCCCGAGTGACACGTGTCTAAGGTGTGTTACGATAAAGCTCGAATTCGCAGAGCTATTTTTACGATATTAAATAAAATAAAAAGGGAATATTTGAAAAAGAAACATACTTTAATAAAGAAAACGACGCCGGTTTGTTCGTCGTTTCGCGTCCCGTCTGGTACAGATGTTTTGTGGAAAAACGTGAGCCAACCCAAGAAAAAAAAAACAAACCGCATCAGACGTTCCTTCTCTCTCTCTCTCTCTCTCTCTCTCTCTCTCTCTTTTTATACTCTCAAATTCAATCTGCTCTAAAGCGTTTATTAACTACTTCTTTTATCACTCTATTTTTAAAAATTAATTGCAGATATTTTCTGGTGTTGCTGTGAAGTGTGACTAACTCTCCTGTAAGTTCTTCTTTCTTCCTCCATTCTTCTGTGGGATCTTGCGTTTTCTTTCCCCCAATGTATACTTCTTGTATCCAGTTGTTACTCATTTTTTGTTAGCTTTAATCTTGTATGAGGCAAAAAACTTTATGGATTCGCCGAGGAAGAAAATGAGAAAAGATCTCTAAATTGTGGCTTTGTTCATCCTTGTTGAAACTCCAACAGTGAATCTCTAAAAGTTGTTTCTTTGCTGTAAAAATGCTTGCTTTTTTTTCTTCTCTCTTTTCACTGATGAAAAAAGGTTGCTTTTATTGTTTCTTGTTTGGCTGCTGAGAAGCACAATATATCAGAAACTTTGGTTTTTATCTTTCTTTAAAGGGACATTTCAAGATAAAGAAGTGAGAACTCTTTCTTATCTTAAGTTTCTGTCTTTGTTTCTTTTTCAGAATTTCCCCTGTTACGAAAGATGAGCAAAGTTCCAGTGAGGATCGTTGGGATTCTTCTATGGATGTGTGTGTGGGTTTGTAATGGGGATGGAGAGTATGTGCTGTACAAGGACCCGAAACAGAAGGTCTCAGATCGAGTTTTGGATTTGTTTGGTAGAATGACTCTGGAAGAGAAGATTGGTCAGATGGTTCAGATTGATAGAAGTGTCGCCACTGTTAACATAATGAGAGATTACTCCATCGGTATGCAAAAAACAATCTTTCTTCAATTTTCCAGAATTCTCATCACTTGGTTGGCTAATTTAGTTGTTTCATTTTTTTCCTTATGTTCTTCTCTTCAATACTTCACCGTGGAATGATTCACGCTTAAACTACTTTTTTTGCTCTGTACTTTCTCTCATTTTGGAAAATGGGTCGATCCATCTGTTATTTTAAGAGTTTGTAGGTGAATTTTTTCAGTTTTTGCTTTCATATGAGTTCAGTTTCTCGTCACCTTGTTATTATTATAGAACAGTCTGAGCTTTGTAATTTACTTGGAATTGAGTGTCTGTATAGTTAAAACTTGGATATTTTACACATCTTCTATTCAGTTCTTGAGAGAAATTTTTTCTTTTTTTACTTTTCTGTGTACAGGCAGTGTGTTGAGTGGTGGTGGGAGTGCTCCACTTCCTGAGGCAACTGCTCAGAATTGGGTTGATATGATAAATGAGTATCAGAAGGGAGCTCTAGTGAGTCGTTTGGGCATTCCTATGATATATGGCATTGATGCCGTTCACGGTCATAACAATGTCTACAACGCTACTATCTTCCCTCACAATGTTGGTCTTGGAGCCACCAGGCAAGTTTTAGCTAGAACGTTTACTTTGATTCCGTGTGTTTCTTATGAATGCTGTCTATGTTTCTTCTGCTGAGCAGTTCAAACTCAATCTGCTGATGTATTTTAGTTTCACAGGGATCCTGATCTTGTTAAGAGGATTGGAGCAGCAACTGCAGTCGAAGTCAGAGCCACTGGAATCCCATACACTTTTGCTCCTTGCATCGCAGTAAACTTTCTGTATTTTGGATCCTAGTAGTTTATAAATCTGGCACTTTTTTGAAGATCTTTGGTACATTGGACATTTGCTAAAGCTGCTTCTCACTCGCTTGTTGTAGGTTTGTAGAGATCCCAGATGGGGTAGGTGTTATGAGAGCTACAGCGAGGATCACAAGGTGGTGGAAGACATGACGGATGTCATACTTGGTTTACAAGGAGAGCCTCCTTCCAACTACAAGCACGGAGTTCCATTCGTTGGTGGAAGGTAAGGCTTTTCTTCTAACTCAATTCGTTTTAATTTAAATGAGCCTTACAAAAGTATGTTCATTTCTTTCAATTCGTTTTAATTTTGAGTAGGGATAAAGTTGCAGCATGTGCCAAGCATTACGTGGGAGACGGTGGGACAACCAGAGGAATAAATGAGAACAACACAGTGACTGATTTACACGGTCTTCTCAGCGTTCACATGCCTGCTTACGCTGATGCAGTTTACAAAGGTGTTTCCACAGTGATGGTTTCATATTCAAGCTGGAATGGCGAGAAGATGCATGCACATACTGAGCTCATTACAGGGTATCTCAAGGGTACCCTTAAGTTTAAGGTCTGCTTTCTTGGCTTAAGGTCTACTGTTCAGTCTTCTTGCAGTAGTCTGTCTAAATGGATTTTGCATTTTCTCCATGTATTTTGCAGAGTCTTGATCATGTGAATCTTTATAGATCAAAGGAGTTGATTTTGAGTGCTGATTCCAATTTTATCTTGTCATATGTGCAGGGTTTTGTTATTTCGGATTGGCAAGGCGTTGATAAGATCTCTACACCACCGCATACGAACTACACAGCTTCTGTCCGAGCTGCAATTCAAGCTGGCATTGATATGGTTTTGTGTTTTAAACTTGACAGACAATCCTGCTCTGAAATAATAAAATGTCTGCGTTAGCTAATGAAATAATATGCGCAGGTCATGGTCCCCTTCAACTTCACTGAATTCGTCAATGATCTTACGTCCTTGGTGAAGAACAAAGTGATTCCTATCACCCGGATTGATGATGCTGTCAGAAGAATCCTGCGGGTCAAATTCACCATGGGTCTTTTTGAGAACCCTTTGGCTGATTACAGCTTTTCAAATGAACTAGGAAGCCAAGTAAGTTGCTGAATATTTTTGAGCTAGAACCTGTTGCAAGTATTACAAAAATCTTGATGTACTGTCCTCAATTTCTATTAGGCACATAGAGACTTGGCAAGGGAGGCTGTTAGGAAATCACTTGTGCTGCTGAAAAACGGGAACACAACCAATCCTATGCTCCCACTTCCCAGGAAGACTTCAAAGATCCTTGTCGCTGGCACTCATGCTGATAATTTAGGATATCAGTGTGGTGGTTGGACCATAACTTGGCAAGGATTTAGCGGTAACAAGAACACGAGGGGTACGATTCTTGGCGCTATAAAATGCTATCATCTTGACTGTAATGATGATCATTTCAGCAATAAATGTACCTTCTTCTGATTCAGGGACTACGATTCTTGGCGCTATAAAATCAGCTGTTGATCAAAGCACTGAAGTTGTCTTCCGCGAGAATCCAAATGCTGAATTCATGAAAGCGAACAACTTTGCATACGCTATCATCGCTGTTGGTGAACCGACATATGCAGAGACGGCTGGAGATAGCGACAAGCTAACCATGCTGGACCCTGGTCCTGCCATCATTAGCTCCACTTGTCAGGCTGTCAAATGTGTGGTTGTGGTCGTTTCAGGCAGACCAGTTGTGATGGAACCTTACGTTGCCTCGATCGAGGCATTGGTTGCAGCGTGGCTACCGGGAACAGAAGGCCAAGGTATCACTGATGCTCTCTTTGGGGACCATGGCTTCAGTGGAAAACTTCCTGTTACATGGTTCAGAAACACAGAGCAGTTGCCTATGAGCTATGGAGATTCACATTATGACCCGCTTTTCGCTTACGGGGCTGGTCTTGAAACTGAGTCCGTTGCGAGCATTGTTGCTAGGTAAAAATCCTTCACACAGCTTCCTCTTCCATCTGTTTCATTATTCTCAGACATAAGATAAAAAGATCATTGACCCTTTTTTTTGGTGGTTGTTGTTGCAAACAGGTCAACCTCAGCTTCTGCTGCTGGCACAAAGCCTTGCTTAATCACAGTCCTTGTTTCTGCTACATTTTGTCTGTTTCTCTTCCCAAGGTATCATCACCAGTTCAACTTCCGTTTTTGATTTTTTCACAGAAATTGGTATCAATCTGACATTTCTGGTAACTTTTTGTCTGTAGCTTGGGCCAAGTTTTGAGAAGATGAAAAGCTACAAAAGCTTGGAGCAGATCATTCTTTCGCTTATCTGATCATGGGAGCTTAGTTTTTCTTTTAGCAGCGTAGCCTAGCTTAAGAGAACCTGAAACTGTGTCATGTATGTTCAGAGTTATTACAACCTGGAACATTCTTGGATGTTTAAACCCGGATTCTTCTTTTATTTAAGTTCTTAAATATCTAGAGGCGACTCTCGGCTTTATAACTATCAACGTTGTGGTAAATCTTGCTTAAAAAAAAAAGAGAAAAGAAATGGTACATGTCAACTTATAAAAGTGACGTCATTTGGGGAACACAAGGCATAAACTTGTGAAGAAAGCAACTTTATGCTTTCTTTGTAAGAGAAGAAACATATATGATGACCTGAGACTAAAGAAGAGTTTTTGATGAACAGAAGACATAGCCGCAAAACTAGGAATATCCATTGCATAACACAAGAGAAAATGGCGGCTAAGGCATTGCAGAGATTCAAATCCTATTTATATGCAGAGCATTAAAACCTAATGGGTACTCTCAAAGCTCAGACAAAACAACCAATTCAGATAGAGATCATCCGAAAGCAAATAAATTTACTCTAATGGCAGCAAGACAGCAACCGAAAGGAACAGGCTTCGGGATTCAGTATGAGGATCTTGTCCCCAAGTCCGAATGGATAGATCAACCTGAAGCCACTCTTCTCACCATTGATCTTCCCGGTTTGTATACAAAAACAATTATATATATATATGAATTGGACTCGTTAATTACGGTGACTTTTTTATCTGATGTGAATTGGTTTTTAAAGGTTTTGCAAAGGAGCAAATCAAGGTGACATATGTGCACACCTCGAAGATGATAAGAGTCACTGGAGAACGTCCTGTGGCTGATCGGAGATGGAGCCGTTTCAACGAGGTGTTCAATGTCCCACAAAATTGTCTAGTAGATAAGATCCATGGGAGCTTCAAGAACAACGTCCTCACCATCACCTTGCCTAAGGAGACGATTACGAAGATGCCTAATCTTCCAGAGTCTTCGGCAACTGTGGCTGAGAAGGTGGAGAAGCTAGAGGAGAAGAGGTTGTTGGAGGAATCCAAAAGGAAAGAGAAGGAGGAAGAGGCCGAGAAGAAGAAGAAGCTTCTGGAAGAGAAAGAGGGACTAATTAGGAAGCTACAAGAAGAAGCTAAAGCAAAAGAGAAGGCTGAAATGAAAAAGCTTCAAGAGGAAGCTATAGCAAAAGAGAAGGCTGAGGCAAGGAAGCTTCAAGAAGAAGCTATAGCAAAAGAGAAGGTTGAGGCAAGAAGGCTCCAAGAAGAAGCCAAAGCAAAAGAGAAGCTTTTGGAAGAAGCTACATTGGAGAAGAAGATCCAGGAGAAGAAGTCTGCCGATGAATCTGGACGAAAAGAGAAGATGCTAAAGCCAGAAGAGAGGAAGCTTCCAGAAGTGGTGTATACAAAATCAGGTCCCGGGTCAGGGACCAAATCCGGGCCTGGAGTAGTAAGCGAGGTCGTGAAATCAGCAGAAGAGAAAATAAGTTATTTGGTGGAGAAAGAAAAGAAAATGGGGAAAGGGATAATGGAGAAAATAAGGGGAAAAGATATAACAAGCGAAGAGAAGAAGTTGATGGTGAATGTAGGAGTGGCTGCTCTTGTCATCTTTGCTCTTGGAGCTTATGTTTCTTATACCTTTTGCGCATCTTCTTCTTCACCTTCATCTTCTTCTTCTCCTTCTTCTTCAGCACCTTCTACCAAACCAGAATGATATGCCTTCAAAGAAGAAGTTGTGTGAAGGAGAGAGATGGCTTTTATACTTTGTAACTGTGATATATTCTGAAATCTAATAAAGTTTGGTGATCATATTTACGACATATATACAGTATTAGCACAAAAATGATGCTATAGAAATTTTGATACGCTACTTATGGTTAATTTAACTGTGCTTCCTCATGATTTGGAGAAAACCGATAGTGTGGTGTGACAAGAGATTTTACTTAATATGGTATGAACTACGATGAAATAAGAAAAATGACTAATCTGCAGTAAAATATATTCCTTGTTATTTCTATCATTTTTCCTTGAATACTCTCAAATAAGCCTGAACAAAAGAAACAAAAAATAGCTCGGTCTAGAAACAGTAACCAACAGATCACAAAATCCATAAACCCTAAACCCACAGTGTTGTGACCAAAATAATCTGTCTGGGAGAGAACTCAATTGAGTTGGGCAGTGAATGAAGCAGAAAGTAACTTCCTTTGTCTGAGAACGAGAAGTACACGGCGAAGACGGCGAGGCTGAGAACCATGCCTCATCGTCCATTTCAATTTCTAGAATGCGTTTCACAAAACGAATAAGCCTCTTCCTGGGGCAGGCGACCAAGATTCCTAGTCGCGCTCTACTGGGGAATTCGTATTTATGCCGCTCTTATATCGTTGGCCCGGTCTCTAGTTCGCCGACGTCTCTGATTTCGAGCTGCAAAGGTGATGGCGTCACGGGATTGTTCTACCCGATACGTCGTCGCTTCATTGGGTACACTGCAGAACAGTTCTCAGATGATGAGTATGAGTGTGAATTCGAGGAACATAAGGTTCGTATTTTGATCAAGTTGGTGATAAATGGAATCAAAAGCCTTCTGTTTTGTTGAAAAGTTGGAACCTTTTGAGGCATTTTTGTTCAGACTGGATTTATGTCGATGTTCTGTGCTTGGTTGATGTTCATCATATTGATCTTCAGATGATAACCTTTCTCAAAATTAGAACTTTAGCTGTTTGTGAGAACGAAATGCTAGATAACTAGTGACTCTGTAAATGAGAGGTTTTCAAACACTTGCTATTTCATCTTTTACTTTAGATATCTTTTTTCTTATAACGGGAAATGATTTGATACATGGCTTTATAGGCTTCATCTTCTGTGGCCAATGTTGATGAGTGGAAGTGGAAGTTAGGCATTCTGTTGGCAAACGATAGCGAACGAGAAATCGTTTCTAGAGACAAAAGGGATCGAAGGGATTATGAGCAGATCTCAAACCTTGCCAAGCGAATGGGGCTGTACAGGTATGGAAATTGGAAAAGAGACGTTTATTGGTTCAATAGCCTATTTCTTTTCATTTACTATATGCAGACTTATTTCTTGTTTCGTTGGCTTTTTGGTTCCAACTAAACAGTGAGATTTACGGAAAAGTGGTTGTTGCAAGCAAGGTTCCTCTTCCCAACTACAGGCCAGATTTGGATGATAAGCGACCACAACGGGAGGTGGTACTTCCCTTGAGTTTGCAGAGAAGGGTAGAGGGACTCCTCCAGGAACACCTTGACAGACAGCAGCTAAACTCAGGAAAGGCTAATGAAGGCGTAGCTGATTCTCAACCTCCTAAGCTGACTGAAGAACTTCCTGATGAAAGCTCTGATTCCTTTCTGGATGGTTCTGTTATGGAGAAGGTACTTCAGAGGAGGAGTATGCGGATGCGCAATATGCAGAGAGCCTGGCAGGTATTACTGAATCATCTTTACCTATGGCCCTCGTATCTCATTATATTAACTACGCTTGACTTAAATAGTAGTTGTTTGGTTGAATTATAGGAATCACCTGAGGGGCGTACAATGCTTGAATTCCGGAAATCTTTGCCTTCATTCAAGGACAAAGAAAGACTTCTTCAGGCTATTGCTCGGAACCAGGTGAACCTTTAGAGATGATAATATTCTTTGCATTGCTACTACAGTGGATTAAAATTTACTTTCGTTGTACGTCTGTTACTGTCTGCATGAATGATGCCTTATAAATTCTCAGGTAATAGTGGTATCGGGGGAGACTGGATGTGGTAAGACAACTCAACTGCCACAGTACATTTTGGAATCGGAGATAGAGTCTGGTCGAGGAGCATTCTGCAGCATCATTTGTACACAACCTCGGAGAATATCTGCCATGGCAGTTGCAGAAAGAGTGTCAGCTGAGAGAGGGGAACCTCTTGGTGATACGGTAAGCCAAGATGCTTAACTTTCATATGAGCACCAATTTAAGGGAAGGTTGTCTAATCAACGCTAAAAAACTTGTTTCAAGATGCTTGTTTATTCTTGATTTCATACCCAACAGAGTTTCTTTGGTAGGTTGGGTTTAAAGTTCGGCTAGAAGGAATGAGAGGAAAGAATACCCATCTTCTGTTTTGTACCAGTGGTATTTTACTCCGACGACTTCTTAGTGATCGCAATTTGAATGGCATAACACACGTTTTTGTTGATGAGATTCATGAAAGGGGCATGAATGAAGGTACAGATTCTATATCTCGAATATATGTTTAGGGTTTCTTTAAGTTGAGTCTCATAATTGTTTACGCCTCTCGTTTCTATTGTTGCAGATTTCTTAATAATAGTGTTAAAGGAGCTTCTTCCACGGCGTCCAGATTTGAGATTGATTCTCATGAGTGCCACTTTGAATGCTGAACTCTTTTCTAATTATTATGGAGGAGCACCTACAATTCACATTCCTGTAAGAAACTGCTCCTCTTCCTCACCATAGTCTTGACGCTCTGGATATTCAGTACGCTTTCCATATTTGATTATTTCTCTGTGAAGCCTTGAACGTACAGTTGTTTTTCAGGGCTTCACACATCCAGTGAAGGCACATTTTCTGGAGGATGTACTGGAAATGACGGGTTATAAGTTGACCTCTTTCAACCAAGTTGATGATTATGGCCAAGAAAAGACGTGGAAAACGCAAAAGCAGTTAATGCCACGCAAAAGGAAAAACCAGATCACTACTCTTGTTGAGGTACTTAGCTAATTTTTGACATTAAGTGGATATTCCTTAGAATTAAGATTTCTAGCCTCAAAACCTATGTTTCTGTTGATGAAGTATGTTTGCTGAGCAGACCAAATCTTCCAATAACATAAACCTAACGTTGGCTATGTTCACCAATCTTCAAAATTGCAGGAAGCCCTCAGCAAGTCAACTTTTGAGAGCTATAACTCTAGGACTCGTGATTCACTTTCGTCTTGGATGCCTGATTGCGTAGGATTTAATCTTATTGAGGCCGTTCTCTGTCACATATGCCGCAAAGAACGTCCAGGCGCTGTATTAGTATTTTTGACAGGATGGGATGATATCAGCTCCCTTAGGGACCAAATTAAAGCCCATCCTCTCCTCGGGGATCCCAATAGGGTCTTGCTGTTGATGTGCCACGGTTCAATGGCAACTGCTGAACAGGTAGATTTGAGTCTTGATACTGCTGGCTAGGAACAACTGCTTTTTGAACCCTCTGATTCGTGGTTCTCATTCTTTACATATTTCTTTGATGTTTTTGCAGAGACTCATTTTCGAGCGAGCGCCTCCTAATATTCGCAAAATTGTTCTTGCTACAAACATGGCAGAAGCTAGTATTACAATAAACGATGTAGTTTTTGTGGTTGACTGTGGAAAGGCAAAAGAGACCACCTATGATGCTTTGAACAATACACCTTGTTTGCTACCTTCCTGGATATCTCAAGCTTCTGCTCGACAGGTGAATTAATTGTGCTAAAACCTTGCTATACACACACATATATAAAAATCTTTGTTGTGTGTTTCATTGTTCTTACACTTGCATTTGCAACATTGAACCCCTGTAAATGATTTCATTGCATGATCACCAATGTTGTAATTTCTGGTGCATTTTTTCCTATAGCTACAAAGCTTTTAGTCATTTGATATGCCTAACTTTTTCCCCCCTTCTTGGTCTTCAGCGAAGGGGAAGAGCTGGGCGTCTGCTTCCTGGAGAATGCTATCACTTGTACCCCAAATGCGTGTATGACGCTTTTTCGGAGTATCAACTTCCTGAACTCCTGAGAACTCCTTTAAACTCTCTCTGCTTGCAAATTAAAAGTCTTCAGGTTGAAAGCATTGCAGAATTCTTGTCAGCTGCACTTCAGGCTCCAGAGTCTTTGGCCGTTCAAAATGCTATTGGATTCTTGAAAATGATCGGAGCACTGGATGAGAAGGAAAATCTGACGGATCTTGGTTTGTGTTCCAAGTCCTGTTCAAAACATGTCCCAACTTTTTCTTATACCTACATATATCATCACTGATTTCTTACTTGCTTTCTTCTGTTACAACTAGGAAAACTTTTATCGATTCTCCCAGTTGATCCCAAGCTGGGGAAAATGCTAATAATGGGTGCCATCTTCCACTGCTTTGATCCGATCCTGACGATTGTATCTGGGCTCAGTGTCAGAGATCCTTTCCTTCTACCTCAAGAAAAAAAGGACGTAAGTATTATGACTCATGGCTGGGAATTCAATTTTTTTTATCATGAATGTAAAGTGATTGGTTGATTAATAGTCAAATAACTGTTCTTCATACACAAATCTTTCGTCGTATTGGATATTATTTTCAGTTGTAGTTGGTTTTAATCCAAACAGAGAGAACATCTGATGATTCCTTGTTTTATTTTAGTTAGCTTTATCAGCCAAGTTGAGATTCTCAGCAAAAGACTACAGTGACCATATGGCACTCGTTCGTGCCTTTGAAGGGTGGAAAAATGCTGAAAGAGAAGGATCGGCTTATGAGTACTGTTGGAGGAATTTTCTGTCAGCTCAGACGCTTCAGGCCATACATTCTCTGAGGAAGCAGTTCAACTATATTCTGAAAGAAGCTGGCTTAGTACATGAAGATTCAGCTCTCAGCAACAAGCTAAGTCACAATCCGTCTCTGGTTCGTGCTGTCATTTGCTCTGGCCTATTCCCCGGAATAGCATCTGTTGTGGTAAGTCTAATTGCCCATGTTTCTGGCTAAGTCTCCTTTCTTCTGTCATAGGATCCACTGAAATAACCATGTTTTCCTTTTTAATTGCACAGCATAGAGAGACTTCCATGTCATTCAAGACTATGGATGATGGCCAAGTATCTCTATATGCGGTGAGCCTCTTCAATCAAATGCCCCAAGATCATTGCTTGAATCTTTCGTTGCGGCCATCGTTAACTCTTAAATGGTTCGGTTTCTATGTTTCAGAATTCAGTAAATTCGAGGTTTCCGACGATTCCATACCCTTGGCTAGTCTTTGGAGAGAAAGTAAAGGTCAATGCGGTGCTCATACGAGACTCCACCGGTGTCCCTGATTCCAGTTTGATCCTTTTTGGTGGTGCACTGAGCACTGGCGTACAGGTGATTAGTCTCATATTCATCTCTTTAAAACGAGTCAGGTTTTAATGGAATATTTTGGGATTGAGTCGGTTGAATCTCGTGTTGTATCCAGGTGGGACATCTTAAAATGCTTGACGGGTACATCGATTTCTTCATGGATCCAAATTTGGCTGATTCCTACGTAAAGCTCAAGGAAGAACTCGATAAGCTTCTTCAGAAAAAGGCGAGTTCTTTTTTTTTTCGAACTTTAAAACGAAAGAAGTTCCAACTGTATTAGCTCGTAACAGCTTTAGTATATTTGTAAATTGCAGCTTGAAAATCCAAGCGTTGACATCCATAAAGAAGGCAAGTACTTGATGCTTGCAGTTCAAGAACTCGTGGCTGGAGACCAATGCGAAGGAAGATTCGTATTTGGCCGTGACACAAAGAGGCCAAGCAAACCGCAATCAGGAGAGGACAACAAACTCTCCAAAGACGGGACAAACCCGAAGAGTCTCCTTCAGACACTTCTGATGAGAGCTGGACACTCACCTCCGAAATACAAGACCAAACACCTCAAGACGAACGAGTTTAGAGCACTTGTGGAGTTTAAAGGGATGCAGTTCGTTGGGAAGCCTCAGAGGAACAAAACGCTTGCTGAGAAAGACGCAGCCGTTGAGGCCTTGGCTTGGTTGACTCATACCTCTGATAATAGAAGTGACCAGCACAATGAGGAAGCAGATTCTCCACCTGATGTTACTGATAATATGCTTAAACTCCTTGGAGGACGGCGCAGGCGGTCCAAGGGCAAGTAGTAGTGGGGTCTCTTCTCCGGCGTTTGTTGTATTTTTTCGGCCGGCGGAATTGGTTTGTGCATTGTGTATGAACTGTAACATTTAGTGGGGCAAAAATAGTATGGAGAAGATAAAGGGGTAAAAAAACATAAAATCCAAGAAATTTGGGGGTTATTTTATATACGAAATTTTGTTATCATCTTGAATAGCGCCACGTGGTATTTTCCTCTCGAAGAGGTTGTTTGCTCACGCAATCTCTCTCTCTCTCTCTCTGCTTCTCTTCAATGGCTACTGCGAGTGGTTTCCATGTCTCTTATACCCCGTATCTTAGGCTTCGCTCTTCCCCCTTCGCAAATGTCACTCAACTTCCGTTTCCCTCTCCTCGTAGCGGGCGTCGCTTACTGGCAGAAAGCTTCGGTCTCGCAACTATAGCCGTTTCGCGCCAAAAGCTCTCGATTTCTCCGCCGTCTGCGGCGGTGGAAGCTCGCATCTCAGGGAAAAGAGAACCGATGACGCCTCCGTATAACGTATTGATCACTGGCTCAACCAAAGGTTCACTCACTTTGTCCTCGTGAATTTTACTCGGCTGTTAATCTTTGCGAATTCATTTCTCAGAAGGGAGAAAAAAAAAACAAAATTTGAGCTCCCAAAAATCGTTATCCCGTTATGGAGCTGAGTATTGGTGTTTAAATTTATTGATTGTGCAGGTATAGGATATGCATTAGCTAGAGAGTTTCTGAAAGCAGGCGATAATGTTGTGATTTGCTCTAGATCAGGTCAGAACCGGTCCTACATTGTTGTCTTGAAGAGATTTCTGGGAGTTTCACTAAGAAACAATCAAACAAGTGTGCATAGTCATAGAACCAATCCTCATTAGATTTTGGTGTTCCTGTCCTGCAGCTGAACGAGTAGAGTCTGTTGTTCAGAGTCTTAAGGAAGAATTTGGGGAGCATGTGTGGGTACCGCCTTCTTTTACTGTTCCTTTTCCATTCTCACGTTTCTCTGAGGTTTTTTCGCTAAGATTGTGAAGTATGAAAAACTGAAATGTTAATGCTTCGAATACTCTCTTTGATCAGGGAACTAAGTGTGATGTTAGGGAAGGCAAGGATGTGAAGGAACTCGTAGCGTATTGTCAGAAGAATCTGAAATACATTGACATTTGGGTATACTTTTTTTTTTTTCTTTTTCGGTTTATACTTCCAACCACGAGATGAACATCCCATGTTAAATTTTTTTTTTCTGTACTATGTTGTACTCATAGATGCATGTGCCATTGTGTTAATACTGTCTTGAAATGATACAGATAAATAATGCGGGTTCTAATGCATACAGCTTTAAACCCTTGGCAGAGGCCTCAGATGAGGATCTTATGTAAGTCTTTGTGTTAAGCTTGATCCTCCTCTTTGTCAGTTCTTCTGTTTTGGTTTCAGTCATTTACTCTCTTTGAAATATCTTATGCAGTGAAGTTGTGAAAACAAACACTCTTGGTCTGATGTTATGTTGCCGAGAGGTATAAGGAGATCAATGTACCTTATCTAAGGCTATTATCGGTTGGATTGACTGACATGTGTTTGACATGTGTTCATGGGTTCATAGGCAATGAATATGATGTTGACCCAATCTCGAGGTGGTCATATCTTCAATATTGATGGAGCTGGTTCAGATGGGAGACCAACACCCAGGTTTCCGATATTCATTGAAGTTTCTTAGATAATTTGCTTTAGAAGATCTGGTTTAGGCTCTCTTATAAGTAATGCCTGATCTTAATTTTTTGACTAACAGGTTTGCTGCATATGGCGCAACTAAACGGAGTGTTGTTCACCTTACAAAGTCATTACAGGTACTGCGGAAGTAATATCTCTTGAACTTATCTTCAGTTTTCCTTATCGTTGTATAACTTCTCTAGCTGTTTCTGTCTCTCATAGGCAGAGTTGCAGATGCAAGATGTCAAAAATGTCGTGGTGCACAATCTGTCGGTATGTATTCAAGATATGTATTTTTCATTTGTTTTCCGTGTTTTACCTTTCCCATGATCATATTTCTAATGTGTTCCTCTGTGTTACTGCTGCAGCCTGGAATGGTCACAACTGATCTACTCATGTCCGGAGCGACAACAAAACAAGTTCGATGGCTTTACACAAAACGTAACTTAGATTCCTTTTCAAGAGATTTATCTAATATCTTCTCTCTATTGCAGGCCAAGTTCTTCATTAATGTTTTGGCAGAGCCAGCCGAAGTGGTAAGGCACCAAAGTCTCTTTTTTTTCTTTCCATGATAAACCATAAAACACAAGTTAAAACATGGTCTATAATCTCTAGTCCCATGATTCACGATTTACGATTACACATTGCTCCAGGTTGCTGAGTATCTTGTCCCGAACATCAGAGCAATACCAGCTAGCGGATCTATGAGGCCTACTTACATCCGTTTCCTAACTGGAATCAAAGCCTACACCAAAATATTCTCAGTTAAGACGACAACAGTTGCATAGAAGTAGATATGCATGTGAACGATTTCTTCAAATACTTACCATTTTGTTTTGTCAATCTTGGGATTTGTTTCAGCGAGTTGCATTGGGAGCAAGGAAGAATAGGTATGTCACTGAAGAGTAGATATCTTCATCATGTATCAAACTGATTAAGGATTAGAAGTGTATTGGTTTCACTCTTTGTTCAATGGTAAATAAATTCCTCTCCATGTTGATAATCACACTCCAAAACATGCAAATTAATGTAGAATATGGACTTAAGTTCCATTTGCAAAATTGTTTCAGATATCTGAATTTTATTTTTTACCCAAAAAAGAGGAGAAAAAAATGTTAAACCAGTTTGGTGAATTTGTGAACCAATCAAGAACAAGTTGAACTCAATTAGGAAGAAGACACAAAATCGAACAGGCGCAGAATATCAAAACATAGAAAACTCAAGAGAAGATGGGAAAAATAAGAAAATCCCAAGAGAAGTCTCTTTCTGAACAATAATTTGCCAATGTTGGCAAGATTGTTTTCTAGATTGTTGAGTGCGTGGGCACATCAACAGGGAACTCATGAATTTCATCCATCCATGGGTTCTTCTCCTTTTTAGGGTTCACCGACCTCACCGCTCTCCAAACCGAGCTGTTGCACTTGAACCCTGAGCCAAAAGCAATCTGCCAAATCCTATCACCTTTCTTGATCCTTCCTTTGGCCTCGCTATACGCTAATTCGTACCACAAGGAGCTACTTGATGTGTTACCAAAACGGTAGAGTGTCATCCTCGATGGCTCCATGTGCCAATCTGATAGCTTCAAGTTCTTCTCCAACTCGTCAAGAACAGCTCTTCCTCCCGCGTGGATGCAGAAATGCTCAAACGCTAGTTTGAAGTCTGGAATGTACGGCTTGATCTTCATCTTGAACAGTTTCCGTCCCACTAATGTCGCGAAGAACAGAAGCTGCTCAGATGTTGGCAGAACCAGTGGTCCCAACGTCGTGATGTTTGTCTTGAGAGCATCACCAGCAACAGCCATTAGATCCTTGGACAGTGTTACACCAACCTTGCTCGTCGAATCCTCTTCTTGAGTTATGCAGCCAAAGCATTTATCGTCAGCTCCCTTGTGAGTCCTAACCGTATCAACAAGCTCGTACTTCGATCTTCTTCTGTCCCATCGTTTGTTTGAGAGAAGAATCGCTGCACCTCCCATCCTGAAAAGACAATTTGAGACGAGCTTCGACCGGTCGTTCCCGAAATACCAGTTCAATGTGATGTTCTCCATGCTGATCACCATAGCGTAAGTGTTGGGAACGGAGTTGAGAAGATGTTTGGCAAGATCGATCGAAATCAAACCTGCGCTGCAACCCATTCCTCCCAAGTTGTAGCTGAGTATGTTGCCACGGAGCTTATAGTGGTTGACAACCATGGCGGACAAGGAAGGCGTCGGGTTAAACAGGCTGCAGTTAACAATCAAGATCCCAATATCCTTGGGGTTGACGTTCGTCTTGGCAAGAAGCTCATCGATGGCTCCGAACATCACAATCTCTGCCTCTTTTCGAGCTTCTTCCATGCACGGGTTTGGAGGAACATTGAGGACGGCCTCAGGCAAGTAAGTCGATTCCCCGAGCCCTGAACGCTGAAGAATCTTGCGCTGGAACTCGAGGTTATCCTCTGAGAAAGAGCCAGTGAGTTTAGAACGGTCCATGAAGGTCTTCTTGGTGCATTTACGGGCATCCTCGGGTTTGTAGCAGGAGAAGTCGACCAAGTAGACAGGACGAGGCCGAGTCATGAAGTAAATGGTCATCAGAAAAACGAGGAGCGTGGAGCAGACAATCACTGAGATGAGATTGTACTGGAGATGCTCCCAGAGGCTGGCGAGGTCCTTGAGAGAGAAGGTGGAAACTTGAGCAGCGATCACAAGGACGAGAGGGGAGAGGAAGAGGTACATGCCATGTGTGATGAGGTAATGGTAACCAAGCTTCACATACTTGAGCTTCACTGATTTCTTGAAATCAGGAAGATTCCGATCAGATGCTCCCATCAATGGCCTCTTCTCCTCCACCATCGCCTCCCTGCTTCCACAAATCAAAAATGATACAGATCCATTCATTTTCCCAAATCGGAAGCTTGTTCTTACTTCCACATCAATTACTAATATGTAAAGTACGATGGGAATGTTTTAAAAAAAAACGGATAAGAGACCCAAATCAGAATGCATTTACGAGACCTAAATTCGATTCATTTTTCAGGTTCGGTAAAAGGGAAAACGACCGATCACCTTGTTTTGAACATTAGATTACTGAGGAAAAAAAAATTAGAAAACAGAGGCTTACCTGAGAATTTAGAACTCTCGCCGCTTACGGAGAAACCGAGAAGAAGAGAGGTAATAATTGGTTAAACAAAAGTTAAGTTAGTGCATCATGACCATAATCTCATCAATTCAAAGGCGCTATTTTGAAAACCAGACCTGATTGGTCGGAAGTTAGAACTGCAATCCAAATACCTATCTGGTATGGTTTTACAAATTATAACCGCACTCACTGACCCAACCGTATAAAACCTGCAGGTTTTTCGGTTTTTCGGAAACCGGACTCACATAATTAGCAATTTTTGCTTAATTTACCCAAATCAGACTTTTTATGTATCCGCAGGTTTTTCCAAATTTTTTTTGTTCTAATGGTAATAATGATTGTGACTGTAAATATTTTTTTTTAAACTGTAATTATGAAAACTGTGATTTTTGGGATCAATGGCAGTGACTTTAAAAAAAAGGTTAAAGCCATGTTTTTTGTTTTAATATAAAAAAATAATGGGTTATAGAAAAAGAACAGAAAAAGGAAAAGAGAGTGAAAATTTTTTAAAAGGGGTTTCATGACTTTTAAAACTTTGAAAGCATTAATATTCTTTTTGAATTCTAAAAAGCTTTTAAAGTCAAATTGCCAATCGTAAAAGGGGTGTCATGAATTCTTTTTGAATTCACCCAATTCAAAATTTCAAAGTTTTCTGATTTGAAATTTATGTTATTAATAAGTTTTTGGCAAAAACTTAAAGAAACAAATGAAGGGGCGAAACCGTGAATATAGATCAACCAGAGGAAAAACCATAATGACGAAACAAATCGAGGGTAAATGCGAAAATATAAATAGCGAGAGGGTTAAACAATGAATATGGGATAAGCAGAGGTCAAAACCATAATCACGAACAAACTGAGGTGAAAAACATAAATATAGAGTAGTCAGAGGGTAACACTAAGCAAATATACTGAAACAGACAAACCGGATAAAATCGAAGAAGAACCGCCTAACCCGATTTAATTATTTTCAATGGAGTCGACATGGGAGCAATCAAATTTACGGTCCAAGTTTCTCCAATCGGTTGAACCAAGTAGTTTGCAAATTTCTCTCTGTCGTGCCTGTTTGAGAAGAGGAAAGAGTCTCAGAGAAAGATCGGAGGATGAGTGCCGAAGATTTCGAGAAGAAGGTTTCCATCTCAGATTCCCTCGCCGGAGATATCGAAATTGAATGCGGCGTTCCCGTCGGCGGCTCTACTAGTTCCACGGGCGGCTCCGGCGTCGAATCCCAAACCCTGGTTCTGCTTCGGAGACTGCTGGAGATTCAGCAGCGTCGAGCTCAGGCTTACGCCAAGCTCAAAAGGTTCGATCGATTATTGCAAATATCTCATAGAGTTATGTTCATACGCAAACTTGCGCGATCAAACTCCTTTCGTTGCGGTTTTGTTAAGTTATATCTCCTTTAATCAATTGTCATGGGATTCACTTGTTTGTTGACTGCTCTTGCAAGATGTTGAAATTAAGTAAACCGATTGTGTTAAGATTAAGAAAATGGATGTCTCATAAATTCTAGATTTTTCTTGCATATTCGTAGATTTACATGTTTTGTTACTCCATTAATGTGGCTGTATTTGCGAATTCAATCATCAGAGGATTCTCAGAGTATGTGGAGTCTAGTGCTGAAGCGCTTTATCAGAAGCTGTGCAGCGAGATTACAGCAGAGTTCAACGAGTGTTCGAAACAAGTCTGGATCCTATCTGAGATTTGACTAATTTACCTTCAAAAATATTTGTTGAACCATTTGATACTAAAGATTGCGTCTTTGATAACAATGCAAGGTGCGCGAGATGGAATCTCTGTTTCTGAATCCAGAAGTCGGAAGAGCTGATCTTGCTCAACTGCTCAGCGACATTCAAACTCAAGAGAAGCAGAAATTGCATCTGGTTTCATTCCCGTTTACTCAAATCTGGATATCTCATCAGTGCTTGAACAAAGTTGTTAGCTTTGTTGAACAAAAAGTTGCTTACTTTTTTAGTTCCTTTTGTTTTTGCAGACCGTCACAATACAGGTACTGAAGAAGGCAGGGAGACCATCAGAGCGGATGCTGACACATGAGAAGTGCAAGTTCAAGAAGCCGATGCAGCACGAGTGTGTGCATCTTCATGAGATTACAGAAGCTGCAGGAACAGAGGAAGCAGAGGCGGATGCAGAGTATGATAACGCGCTAAAGGAAGCCATTAGAGGAGTGCAGGACGCTGTGACTTGCATCAATGAGCATCTTGAAGATATTAGGTACGAGATTGCAGCCCTTGAAGCTGATTAATTCCCAAATCCCTTCACTTCGTTACCCTTCTACAGTCGACTTGCTATATTGAAGCTGTGGCTAAGTAGCTTGAGATATAAGATACTTAGAAATTGTGGAGGATGTTGGTTTCAAAGCATTATTATGCCTTTTGTCTCGCAGTCTTTTGCTCAACGACTTGATTATATTTCTGCGTCAGTGGAGTGGCTACGATTGCAAATCCTAAAACTATCATTTAAGCGAACAATCGTTGATGTAATGTAGACAGTTTTGTTACAAAATCAAACCGAACAATAAGTTCTTTGTTTGGTGCATGCAATTCACAAACGCTAAAGCCCAGAATAATAATTTTTTTAAAAAAGGAAAAAAAAAAGGATTATAAATACCATCTTCCTTTTCGAAAAAACCTTGCCTCTCGAAAACCTAGCGCAGGCGCATCCGCCATCAAAGTTATTATTGCCTCTCGAAAACGCATCTTCTCCATGGACGAATCCGCCATCAAAGTAATTCTTCTTCTATCCTAATGGCTTTCTTTAATCTCTGTCTTCCAATTTGAATATTCTGATTCGATATTTTGTACCGTAGGGTGATCTGGAATTGAACGATAGTGCCGGCATTCGAAAAAGCAGGTACAAATTGATCTTCTGTCTCTTTGTTTTGAGATGTTTATCAGTCTGTGATCTGTGTTGTTGTCATGTGAATAATAACATCGCCGGCAATCAAATTTACTGCAGTAGCACGCTGAGCAGGATTTACGTTGGTGGATACGACACTTCGCTCCCTGGCATTAAGGTCGTTGACGCTTTGATTAAACATTTCGCTTCATGTGGTATATGTTTACTCTTCTGGGACAAGACGCTATAGAGAAGGCGCTGCGACTTGGTGGATGTGATGTGGAAGGATTTCAGAATATTCAGATTTCTCTGGTTTCGCCGCCGGAATTAGCCGAGTGCAAGGTTGGCAACTGCCCCGACATTCCCAATAAGTAAGTTCTTGGATATGAAAGTGAGCGGGTGTGCACCTCGAGGACCCCATGTGCCCACTAATGTCGCAAAGAATAGAAGCTGTTCCGATGTTACCCAAACCTCGCTCGGGAATCCTTTTCTTGCCAACGCATTTACCGTCACCTCCCTTGTGTGTCCTAACCGTATCAACAAGCTCGTATTCCGGTCTTCTTCTCTCCCATCGTTTGTTTGAGAGAAGATTCGCCTCCGCACTATAAGTTATTGTTTGGTGCATGCAATTCCCAAGGTGTATTGTTTTTTGTTCTTGTTGTTGTATGTGTTATTACAAATAGTGTACAGCAAAAACTTGTCACGCGGACAACGAACTGGCCGCTTTCACCCATTCACCGTACGTCCCAAAGTCCTTGACTCTGCCAAATGACATGAACGCAAGCACAGAGGTTTATTAGTTTCTCAACGAGCAACGCAACATAACGACATCATGTGTGCTATTTGGCTTACAAATAGAGATTGGCTGCATCCATCTCGAGAAACAGGTTGAAATAGAATCGAAGCCCGTCTGGGCTCATGTCTCTACACAGCAAACCTGTTCAACACAAATACAAGCGTGAGCATTGCACAGATCTCATGTTTGTACGTGTTGGCTTTGGGTTACCCAAATGGGAGCGTGTAAGATGAAAAGTTGGACTTTGTTACCTTTCGTCTCTGCAGTGAGTAGGTGTTCCTTTGCCATTGCTGGAGCGATCTTCAGTGTCAGAGCTGCATCACTAGCAGTTACTCCGGTTCTTAGAGTTTCGGTTTTGGTAACCAGCATTCTGATTCTACTCATAACCTAAATGGCCAGAAAAACATTTCATCAAGAGGGATAATGATACATCCGTAGCACCAAAAGTGAAAACTTTCTGAGGACGAATCAGGGCAGTAACAATGAGACAAGAAACTTAAGAATATGGGATTTTAAGAGTACCTCTTCATCGCTATGGGACTTGTTTTGGATGACCATCACACCGCTATCAAACTTCCGCAGCATTACTGGACTACCAATCACAAAACATGACAGAGTCAATATATCTACATATTGGCTTCTTTAAATCTTTCAAGTATAGATGTTCAAACTTGCAAATGGAGTCAAAATATACATACACATCAAACTTCTCCCAGAGGGTACAAGCTTGCCACAAATCGTCTGGAGAAATCAACTCTAGAGGCAAAGAAAGATTTAGGATTTACAGGCTGAAGCGGAAAAACATAATAAAGAAGCTCGGAATCAAAACATTATAGTTTACAAAGAGCTCCAACCTGTCCCACGAGCACGATTGAAGTGGTAATACATATCAGTAAGGCTGATCATTCCTCCAGCTTGTTCTAACGGGATTCTGACAAAATCTGCCAACTGCAGATATGCAATTAAGGATTTCAGCTACAAATTCATCTAGTTTGAACAAGTATTCCCCAAATTCCAACACATTTTGTAAACAGTTGAAGGTTCTCTACTTGACTAATAGAAACAAAACAATGAACAAAACAAGTATTATCCTATCAGCTGCTCAGAGTGAATGTAAGCTAACGATAGCGACACAAAAAATCTCTGTTGCAAAATTAGAGGAAGAGAACCTGGCGGGACAATTCTTGATGGTACAAGGCGCCAGCAGATTCCTTTGTAACAGGGGAGATGATACCAACGCTCAACATCCATTGTTGCATTTCTTCTTTAGACCCCATTATTTCATCATCAGTTGATCCGTTCTGACTACTAGGAGCAGACAATAGCTTTTGCCGCATTTTTTCTGCAAGACTCACCATCTCTTTAGCCTTACTCTGTAAACCCAATAAGAGTGCTAGAATTTAGACAATTTGCCTTGAATAGGGAACCAAAAAGAGTAGATAACAAGCCCTTCTATCTACAGTCCTAGAACAGTTGCACAAGAACAACAACAAAAATAATCATAACCACCGCAAAGTTATGATTTTTGAAAGATATATGTTCCAGACTTATCATCTATCCAAAAACTTATGAATCTGCGAGGATGATGATGGTGATGATAAAAAGGCGAGAATGACGAAGAAGGGAAATACCATAAGAGCATTCAAATCCTGAAAAGCGTCCTGCAAGCTCTTGTCTGTGCTCTCCCACTGTTCTTGCTCCTTCCTCAATATCCCAGCCAATCCCACCATCCTCACCGTTCCATCGTTTCCGTATAACCCTTGCGCAACCGTTCCAGCTTCTGACCGGGAAGTCTCGCTCTCGCTCTTCTCCTCATCCTCCTCCCATGCCCTGCCTCTCCAACATTCCCAGAATTTCGTCAGAAAGCTTTCGAAATCCCCTTTCCCCCTGAAGACAAGAGTCACCACAACCGAACCCGGGTTCGCTTGGAATCGGATTCGGGGCGAATGGAACATAGCCTTGATGGATTTCTTATGGGAAAAGATTTGGGTAACGGCGGCGAGAGGAATGAAAGAAGGAACAGCTGCGTTTGATTGAGAAGGGATCCAAATGAGACGATGAGTGGTCAGGATCAGATTCCCGGACCTCAAGGCGGTGAATCGCGGCGGATCATCTTCGGAATCCAAATCGACGGAGGAGAGGAGGAAACACTCAACCTCATTGCGGCGAAGCACGGGTCTGCCACTCGTAGTCACCTCCGCGTTCTCAAACAAACCACCGACTCCGACGCTGCTTCCACTGGCCATGGAGACCTAATTCGGAAGCAGATCATACAGCTTTTAGCTGCGTTCCTCTCTAGTCTAATTCAATAGATCAGTTGACCAATCAAAGCTCTCTTGATGCAATTTCAATCAAAGCTTTATCATACAGTTTCCTCGCGACCAGGGGCGGCGTCTATTAGCATCTGCAAGAGGGTCCAAAATTTTGAAGGCTCCATTAAAATGTCCCGAAATTATAAAATTTTATTAAAGGGTCCCTTTTTTTTTGAAACTACATGTTAAAAGTTTTAATATTTTGGGAAGGTTAACATTCAAACTTTATTACATTATTAATAATTAATTATAAATATTGAAAGAACAAAACGTTTTTTTCAATAATTCTTTAGAAAATCATTATAAACAAGTTTTATTTTCATAAAATAAAATAGAAAAAATTTTGGTTCTAAATTTTCAGTTCTAGTCATTTGAAACATAACTTTAAAGTAATCTCATGTTTTATTCAATTAATTTATATACCTAGTGAACTTTTTCAATTCCTTTTATTTCTAATTTTTAATGAAGTTCAAATTTTATTTCTATGCTGATTTCTAAAGTTACAAACTCAAAAAGATTAATTGAATAATTTAAAGAATCTCAAAGAGATAGTTTCACCAGATATTTAATAGAAAACCAAATATATTTTTGCAATAAAAATATTAAATCTAAAATTCTAGAAGAATTAAATTAGTAGAAGAATTTATTTCAAAAAAAAACTAAAAGAATAATGTTATATAAACAAAAGTTATTAAATTATATCAGTGTACTTTTAAAAAATCTGATAGAAACATTTTATGAAAGAAAAAAAAAGATTAAATATTTTTTTTTTCAGACAATAAAAATAATTTAATATAATTATAAGAAAAATATTTTGATAAAAATCTAATTTTAATTTCTGAACAAAGTCTACCGACGACGATAGAAGTACAGCGTCAAGACCCAAAAAAAAAATAGATGCCTAAGGTCAAAGAGATTTAACAGAGAAGCAGAACTGAAAAATGATTATCGATTAGTAAACACGATTAATCTTAGTTTTGTAATATTACATTTTAGTCCTTTTAATAGAGCACAATATTGTTTTACCTTAAAACTTATGGTAAAACAGTATTGTGCTCTATTAAAAGGACTCATAAGTCATCATAACACAAAAGATAACTTGATAAATGAACAATCAAATAGCTATTTCAATATAATGGGTAACTATCTTCAAAGCAATGCATATCAAACCATTTTCATGACTCCAGTTGCGACCTTGGTTGTCTTGACATTCAAGGACAAGTCGGTTACCAATAAAGTCAATCCCCATAGCAAGGAGGACATGGTATGAGCTAAGCCTTCTGATGAGTTCTTCCTCTCTCTACTATTAGGGTTGTAAAGATCTGATTCTTCATAGCTAGGATAAACAGGGATGCGAACTAAAATAGGACCATTTCTCAAAGACCTTTTAAGCGCCATTTCAAATAAAACACTATCTATCTGTCCATCTTGCCGCAAAAAATATTTCACGTGAAATCACACATTATAGAGTTGTTATTTTTAAAAAAAATATTGGTTTTGTGTCAAGCTATGAATGTTAAAAGATCAAGCTAAAGTATACTATTTAGGTGTGGCTTGAATATTTTCAGTAAAAGAATTTATAAAGTATAGATATTGATTTAATTTAGTTAAAGATTGTAACTAATTTTTTTGAAATTAATGTAATTGTATGATATACTTTTCATATATTTGCAAAGAACTGAGTTCATTTTAAAATTAAATTGTCCTACATTTGTACGATAACTCTTTCCAGTTAAATTTGATATTCAACTCTACTTTGTTGATTTCAACTTAAACTTTCTTAGAAAAGTGAGATTTGTGTATACATTCAATTGATATTCTTAATTTTTTGACTGAGTTTTGTGTAAAATATAGGAGGAGAATGTTGGATTCAAAGAACAAGCCCTAGAGTTTATGGACAGTAGTGGTGATGGATTAGGCCATGGAGGGTTTGTGTACATTGCTTTAAGAGTTATCACGCATTATTTTGCAATTATGATATGACTGGTTGGCTGAGGGAGAGATCGTCGTACTTTCTTCCATGATTTGTTTTGGAGTTTTTAATGTTTAGAAATATATGTGTTGTGTTATGATTTGTTTTGGAGTTTTGAATGTTTAGAAATATTTGTGTGTGACAATTTTCCTTTAACTGTTGATGATGATGAATCACAGCAGAAATATTCTTCAAAATTCGAGAGTATGATATATAGCAAGCAATTAAAGCATAGCGCTGGCTTTGCTTGTCGCCGAATGCGTCTTTGGTTCGCGGTATCATAAAATGTGGAGTTTTGTTGTTGATCCATTCAAAATTTATATATAACTTGTTAGAGATGTTAGAGATGAGATTTGTACCATCTCTACAAACCTGACCAATTCATATCGGGCTTGTAGAGACGGTACAAATCTCATCTCTAACAGTAAGTCCTCCCCCCAGTTCGGCAAGTGAGGATATGTTACTTGGTGAATTTCAAGGTGCTGCTCGATATGAATTCAGATCGGACCATTACAAAAGTTAGGAAAAAATGAAGCATCATTTCTCTAAGCTTTTTCAGGTCGGCCATTTGATGGCGTCTAGTTCTCGAGATTGGCGCGTATAGGGAAGTTTACCGAGCTGAAGTGAAGTATAACGAGCTAAAGAACTCGGCTTGGTATATACTTGGGTATGAGACTATGCTCGGCTCATTCTATGATATGATTGCGAGATGTGCTCGGCTTTTGTAGAGTCAAATACAAACGTGCGATGCGATATCGACTTTAAATTGTTCGTATGACTTAATATTTCTAAGTCTGAATGTAAACCAGCGAGTTGAGGTTGGTTTTGTTTGTTTACATGATTTAGAAATTTTCCAAAGTCGAATGCAAGGTGCGATCAGGTCGGCTTAATAGTTTTGCATGACTTAGAAAATGCAAAGCGGATTCTGGCTTTAAAAAAGTGTAAATACAAACATGCGAGAGACTTGACTTACATTTGTTTATACCACTTAATTTCTAAGTGTAAATACTAATATGCAAATCAGGTCGGTATTTTTCTATTAATACCAATCAAATCGACATTTTTCTATTAGTACAAATCTCATCTCTAACAGCAACCATCTCACATTTAATTATATACCTTATAGTCCACGATCACTGTCATATTAGTGGAGACGACAAATATCTTTGATTACGGCAGATTATACAACCCATATATGACGTTTTGATTTTCTTCCGAAAGTCTTGTTGTGGTACTATTTAAAGAGTTTACGTTGTTAATAACATAGTATATAAAAACATGTACGAAAGCGATGCCGTTAGGTGAATTATTAACGTACATAGAATATAGTTTAATCATCATCATGCATACAACTTGGTTCCAACCATGTTAGAATGTACACAGTATAAATGAAATACTAAAACCGATATTCGATCTTTGATAATTTGCAATTCTTTACTATTTTTGTTTTGTAAGAGAATCAAATAGCTATATATAAAGTTTGAATACCTCTAATTAAGATTTGCATTCAATATGTAAAAAAAAAAAAAAAGATTTACGTTTACTAATGGTAATACAATAAAGAACAAACATATATAAAATGAGAGCGTGGACATCGTTTTCTTGGAACTTTCTCCCATCGGTGTGGGTGGCCATGTGGTGTGAACGGTGAACCTCTCGAGTCTTGACTTGTGTTGTCTCTCTTTGTTTAATTGTTTATTAAATACAATTTACAACTTATCCGAGTATATGACAAATTCGTTTGACGTGCTTAAACTAGTTTTAAAATTATAAAGTTGATTTTCTTACGTACAGCCTAAAATATTAAATTCTATCAAACGCGTTAATCAATTCAGACTCGACTGAAAAAATATATCAAAGCGACCAATAATCTAAAGAATTTGAATAGTTTTCTGTATATTATTTTATATATGTAATTATATGGCAACAATACAGCTATAGACCATTCTGTCATTTCAAATATATGCTCTACAGTTATACATCGTATATACTTACACTATACGTGCAAGTTTACAACATCAAAACATTTCTTTATTACAATTTATTTTCTGTTTGATATGTTTGTTTGAATCCGTACCATCTGCAGCATTATATTTTTTTAAAACTCAATTAACAAGTAAATCAATTGCATTTTCATGAATGTACTTTTCTTTTCATTTCAATGCATATATTTTATGAATAAAAACAATATTGAATGACTCAAGAGTATCAAATTCAAACTTCAATAGTTGATACTAAACTAAACCGGATCCAAAGATAGAATCTCTATGATAAAAAAAAAAAATTAAATGCGTAACTCGTATATCTCTAATCATAAAACGGATATGTAGGTGATTAATGGATTTATCAGTTACCACTATCACTTACGTGTAATATAATTTGATCATCGTAAATTTTAGATATTGTGATCAAATAATAATATCCAAAAATATTTAGCTTGTAATCGGCGGCTCTAATATATAAATAAATAAATATAAATATATATATATATATATATATATATAATAGTTCTAGAAGCATTATGAATTTCGAGTGCTTCTCTGGACAAACACGACATGACTTTTCCTCACTTTCCCTTCATATCTGTGTTTTTATTTGTGCCTAAAATGAAAATTTAAAAATAATTTATAAAAAAGGAAAAAAAAATTGAATAAAAGATTCGTCGACGTCGCCAGCCATTGGCGACTTCTTCTTCTTCTTCCTCCGACCTTTCTCCTGTTCTTTGTCTCCAGATCTCTCTATCTATCTCACAAGTCGTCGTTTTCATTCGTCTCCTCCTCGTTCTTCGTCTTCGCATACCCTCGCAGACGAGATATGAAACTCCATTTATTAGCCTTATTCTCTCTCTTCTCCTTTTCTTCCTTTAATTTCTCTTCTTCTTCTTCGTATTGACGACGTATTCGCTTGCGTCACCTCCATTTCATCTTCATCTCTTTTTCTCCTCATTCCATTTCTCTGCTCGATTTTATTTTAGCGCGCAAAAGTGAAATTCTTCAAGATCCGGATCTGCCCATTGGGAATAGCTAGGTCAATTTCGCCTTCCTTGTGCTGCATCAATTCCATTTTCGTCTCGAAAGCTGGGGGCTTTTTGTCTCTGATTGAGGATCTGGATCTGCCCCCATTTGCAATAGCTAAGGTCATTCGCTGGATCATTTCCATTTTCGTGCCTTCAAGGAAGGTTTTTTTTTTTTGTTTGTCTCCACAACAACAGGACTTGGTGTATGATATGCAAGCTGATTTGAGCTCTGGGGTTTCTGGATATTGTTTCTAAAGTTCGATTCATCTTCTCCGGAGAGGCTTGTTTCAAATGAATTCATCATTTGATCCGTAATTTTCTAAAAATTTCTGCTTTCATTGTCCATCAATTCCGCGAGTGGTCCCCGAATCCTCTCGATGGATTCCAGGAAATCGATTGATAAGCCCCCTCTTCACGAATCCATATCTTCGAGATGGAGCGTCTCTTCAAAAGACAATTCCCTCAGAGAAGTCACTTTCGGCGATTTGGGGTCGAAGCGTATCCGCCATGGATCAGCTGGAGCTGACTCGGAGATGCTAAGCATGTCCCAGAAGGAGATCAAAGACGAGGATGCTCGTCTGGTCTACATAAACGACCCGGAGAGAACAAACGAAAGGTTTGAGTTCACAGGGAACTCCATCAAGACAGCCAAGTATTCTGTCTTCACCTTCTTACCCAGGAACTTGTTTGAACAGTTCCACAGAGTTGCTTACATATACTTCCTCGTCATAGCAGTGCTGAATCAGCTCCCACAGCTTGCGGTTTTCGGCAGAGGCGCATCCATCATGCCCCTTGCCTTCGTCCTGTTGGTCTCAGCTATCAAAGACGCTTACGAGGATTTCCGCAGGCATAGATCAGATAGAGTTGAGAACAATAGGTTGGCTTTAGTGTTTGAGGATAATCAGTTTCAAGAAAAGAAGTGGAAGCATATTCGGGTCGGTGAAGTCATCAAAGTCCAGTCGAACCAGACTCTTCCTTGCGACATGGTGCTCTTGGCTACAAGCGATCCCACAGGGGTTGTCTACGTGCAGACGACTAATTTGGACGGAGAGTCGAATCTGAAGACAAGGTACGCTAAGCAGGAAACTCTTCAGAAAGCTGCTGATTTGGAGTCGTTTAATGGATTTATCAAGTGTGAGAAACCGAATAGGAACATATATGGGTTTCAAGCCAACATGGAAATCGATGGCAGAAGGCTCTCCCTTGGACCTTCTAATATTATTCTTAGAGGATGTGAACTCAAGAACACTGCTTGGGCACTAGGGGTTGTTGTTTATGCTGGTGGTGAGACGAAAGCTATGCTGAACAACTCTGGAGCACCGTCAAAGAGGAGTAGGCTGGAGACTCGGATGAATTTAGAGATCATTCTGTTGTCTCTGTTTCTGATCGCCTTGTGTACAACCGCTGCCGCGACCGCTGCTGTGTGGTTGAGACAGCACAGGGATGACTTGGACACGATTCTGTTTTATAGGAGAAAGGACTACGCCGAGAGGCCAGGAGGGAAGAATCATAACTACTATGGTTGGGGTTGGGAGATATTCTTCACTTTCTTTATGGCAGTCATTGTGTACCAGATCATGATACCCATTTCTCTCTACATATCGATGGAGCTTGTCCGTATTGGTCAAGCGTACTTCATGACCCGAGATGATCAGATGTACGACGAGTCTTCAAATTCAAGTTTTCAGTGCAGGGCTCTGAACATAAATGAAGATTTAGGGCAGATTAAGTATCTATTCTCTGATAAGACGGGTACTCTCACGGACAACAAAATGGAGTTTCAATGTGCCTGCATAGAAGGCGTAGATTACTCTGACAGGGAACCTGCTGAGAGTGATGCGGGATACTCCATTGAAGGTAAAGAAACTAGTTTCTTAATCATTTTTCTGCTGCTAAGAGTGGTATTTTTTTCCTTTCTGCCAACTGACTGACACTTTTGATGATGCCTGAATTTTTTCATACAGTTGATGGAAGTATTTTGAAGCCAAAAATGAGGGTGAGAGTTGATCCTGTGCTTCTTCAGTTGACGAGAAATGGCCACGCAACAGTAGAAGCACAACGTGCGAATGAGTTTTTCCTGTCACTGGCAGCTTGCAATACAATTGTGCCAATTGTTACCAACACATCTGATCCCAATGTAAAGCTGGTAGATTATCAAGGAGAGTCCCCTGATGAACAAGCATTGGTCTATGCAGCTGCTGCATATGGGTTCTTGCTCATAGAGAGAACATCTGGCCATATAGTTATTAACGTGCGCGGAGAAATGCAAAGGTAACTTAGACATGTGATGACTACTTTTTTGCGATTAATTTATGTTTTGCCAAGTGCATATCATAGTAGGTGGCCTATAGCATTTATTCCTTTTGTCTTTGCCCAGTGCAGATTCAATGTTTTGGGGTTGCATGAGTTCGATAGTGACCGAAAAAGAATGTCAGTGATACTGGGATGCCCCGATATGTCAGTGAAACTCTTTGTAAAAGGTGCAGACTCATCCATGTTTACTGTCATGGATGAAACCTACGGTGACGTCATAGAAGCAACCAAGAAACAACTTCATGCTTACTCATCTGATGGGTTGAGAACACTTGTTGTTGGGATGAGAAAGCTGAACGATTCAGAGTTTGAGCAATGGCATTCTTCCTTTGAGGCAGCAAGCACCGCCTTGATTGGTAGGGCTGGATTGCTAAGAAAGGTTGCTGGAAACATCGAGACTGGCCTAAGTATAGTAGGAGCCACTGCTATTGAAGACAAATTGCAGCGTGGTGTCCCGGAAGCAATAGAGTCTCTCAGAATTGCAGGGATTAAAGTATGGGTCTTGACTGGTGACAAGCAAGAAACTGCCATATCCATTGGCTTCTCATCGAGGCTTCTAACAAGAAACATGAGGCAAATTGTAATAAATAGCAACTCACTGGATTCATGTCGGAGGAGCTTAGAAGATGCAAATGCCAGTATTGCAAGTAATGACGAAAGTGTGGCCTTGATTATTGACGGTACCAGTCTCATATATGTACTCGACAATGATCTTGAAGATGTGGTAAGTGAACTTATGATGAAGATCGCTTGCTTACTCTGCTTATGACTGTCTTTCATGGTGATATAATTGCTCAGTTTTTACAATGTAGCTCTTCCAAGTGGCGTGTAAATGTTCTGCGGTACTCTGCTGCCGTGTTGCTCCTTTCCAGAAAGCTGGAATCGTTGCGCTTGTAAAGAACCGGACTTCCGACATGACTCTTGCCATTGGTGATGGTAATGAGACCACTCTTCTTTCAGAAAATCAGTGTACTTGATCCTGTCTAAGCAGCAAACCGATTCTTTATCATATTCTTCTCATTTGCTTCGGGTTTTGACAGGTGCCAATGATGTCTCCATGATCCAAATGGCTGATGTTGGGGTAGGGATCAGCGGCCAAGAAGGTCGCCAAGCTGTGATGGCATCTGATTTCGCAATGGGACAGTTCAGATTCTTAGTCCCGCTATTGCTCGTCCATGGACACTGGAATTACCAAAGGATGGGATACATGATACTATACAATTTCTATAGAAATGCAGTTTTCGTTCTAATTTTATTTTGGTGAGTATCGTCTTGCTGCCTTTTGTTACAATCCACAATCACCATGTATATACTAACCATAATCACCAATTTTCTCGCAGGTACGTTTTGTTTACTTGCTACACCTTGACAACCGCCATCACAGAATGGAGCAGTGTTTTGTACTCGGTCATCTACACATCGTTCCCTACTATAATTATTGGTATCCTTGACAAAGACCTCGGAAGGAGGATGCTTCTCAACCATCCTCAGCTCTACGGTGTTGGCCAGAGGGCAGAGGGATATTCCACTACGCTCTTTTGGTATACAATGATTGACACAATCTGGCAAAGTGCAGCTATCTTCTTCATTCCTCTCTTTGCTTATTGGGGCAGTACCATTGACACGTCGAGCCTAGGGGACCTATGGACCATTGCTGCAGTTGTGGTGGTTAATCTTCACTTGGCCATGGATGTAATAAGATGGAACTGGATCGCACACGCTGCCATATGGGGATCCATTGTTGCAGCTTGTATATGTGTTATTGTGATCGATCTTATACCCACACTCCCTGGTTACTGGTAAAGTTCTTTCTCCCTACAAATATCATTATGTTGAAGCAAATTCAAGACTTTTCTGGATATACAGTAGATAGAGTCTCTCATGTTTCTTTTTTAATGGCTGTGACAGGGCAATTTTCCAAGTGGCCAAGACATGGATGTTCTGGTTCTGCTTGCTTGCCATTGTTGTGACATCATTGCTCCCTAGATTCGCCATCAAGTTTCTCGGTGAGTATTACAGACCTTCTGATGTTCGGATTGCTAGGGAGGCTGAAAAGCTTGGAACTTTCATAGGATCCCAATCCGTGGGAACTGAAATGAACCAGATTCGGGATCCTCCAAGGAGATAATACACGATGCATTTCTCAAATCAAAATTCTTTATACCCTTCAGGCGGAAGTAAATATAAATATAAAATATATATATATATATATATATATAAATATTCCATTTTTCCCCTTGGTTGCTTACTATTTCAAGGATAGAGTTTGATGGGTTGTAGTGTATAACAAGATTACATAATCTCGGCTGTAATTTTCATTTTGTTGTAACATACGTACCAGTTTTCCTTTGTAAAGAGAAGATCGTCCAAATTTGATTTTAATTTATTTCCTGATTAATCAATTGAGTGCCTAATAGAGTTGATTTTGGCATCATAGTAAAGAATATTCAGTGCGATAAAATAAAACTGATAAAACTGACTTGTACACTTGATCACATTCATCGAATCTTTAATCAAACAAGGTAAAAGTTTCCAAGAGACTTGTCCTAAAACGATCTGAACACTAATTAATAAGATTGCATATCCAACAGGAGAAAAACATGAGAGAACACATCTTCCACAATCCGAGAAATAAACATGAGAGAAGCAGTAAAAATCCTTCACAAAAAGAGACTTATGCTGTTGAAGAGAATATCAAAAAGAGACTTAACACTTTAGTTGCCACCAAAAGCACTCATTCCACTGATCCCCCTGCCAAATAAACGAATACAGAGGTTTCATCAAAATTCATACATATATATATATATATATATATATGTACATATTAGTTTGATAATAACAAATAGGAAAGAGATACTAACCTTTTGCATCCAAAATCATCCGACTCCACTTGTTCACTTCACCAGAGGCCGCTTTTCTCGCAATCGTCAACCAAATGAACCACGGCAATACTCTGATCCGCAAAAGCACTTCTTTATGCCATGTAAAGTATCGCCATTTTGAGTTCCACTTGGTCGAGAAACTCCATAGTCGTATGTTAACTCAGTCATGGGAGGGATGTGAGAAAGAGCAAAGAAGGCAACTTGCAAGAAGAGTTGACCGTTGTTTTCATAAGTAACCGGCTGCCAGAAAACATTAGGGGAGCAACTGTGGTTCATGAATCGAGCAACGTTCCCAAAATTCCTGGCACTGATTATAAGAGGCAGCGGGATTTCAGGTTCTTCAGGCATCTCCTGGGAAGCATCTTCGTCTGCTAAGCCAGGCTCATAGTTCCATTTGAAAGGGGTGTAGACACGGGTCGTATCAAAAGTATAATCGTCATAAGCCATAGCTTGATGCACCTTCGATTTGTCTTTGGCCTCACCTGCATATATACATATAAACGAACCAGCACGAATAGGATCCCATGAGCGCAACCCCCATCCTCTATCCGCTGTCTTGAAAACTTCCATCCTCACTTTTAGTCCCATCTGAGTCACCTTGTTTTTGCAAGCCGAGCATGGGCAGGACGGGCTGCATTCATATATCATAGGCTTGCGGCTAACTAGAACTCCGTTACTGGAGTAAGGGAAATCGCCTCCGTTTTTCCTTATGCAGTGACAGTTCAAGTTCCCTGGTTTGCAAGAGTTGCTACAATCGCATCCAAAAGAAGGCTGCGCCAGCTTAAACGACTCTGAGTATTTCACCGTTGTGGAGTAGGTGAAATAAGCAGGCCCATTCTCGTTATCAACGTCATTCAGAAGTGAGACAGGTATGCTTTCGACCCCGGAAGTGAGATCTGGAAGAATCAACCCTTCCCTTAAAGGCATACCCGCTTTCCATTTCTGGATCGCAGTCCATGTAGCAAATGCAGGAGGCTGACCAGGAGCTCTCACCAGTTTATACTTGAAGGTGTTGTGTCCCAGTTTTCCTTTCTCAACCCATGACTCTTTGATCTCGTAGAGGCCATCATAGATATAGATCTTCGCGCTCTGAGAAGCCTCTTTCAAGCCCCTTATTACTCTAACCGCACTATTCTTTTGCAAGCTCTTCTCCAGCGCAAGATTACCCCTTTCAAGCTTTTGGTCAGAGGTTTGCTTCTCTTTATCAGCATTACCACCACCCTGACCAGTATAAACCAAAACATCGGGATTACCTTCATCGTTATCATAATATCCAGACGAGACAATGCTAGTGGCGATAGGCTCTTCGTCTTTTTCTCCCTTGACAATCAGATAGTCAATGCCAGCCATCGACGGAGAATGTAAACCCACCAAACACATCTCAAACCTGAAGTAGAACACGTCTCCAATCTCAACGCCATGAACAATGCCTGGTCTTTTCTTGGTGTTTGTACGGACGCCTCTGCTCATACAAGTAGATCCTGCTTTCAAATCAGGGCGTTTGATTATCCCGCTGACTGCTTCCTTTGCGTCATCCAGCTGAGAAAACCTTCTTCTCAGCGCATCAAACCGCATGAGAACACTCGTCACCACCTTCCTGTTGCCATTCTCTCTTTCTGCAACGCTAATCCCACTCTCGAAATTCAGATTCTCAGGGCGAACAACACGCTTTTTAGGGATCTTTCTCTTCACAGTTGACGCCTCAGGCTCCACGTCGCCATTAGACGTATCAGGAGATCTGAAGGACCTCAGAGGAGAAACCAACGAAGGCTCCGACGAAATCTGAGGCTGAAACTGCGGTGGCTGGTACTGAGGCTGATGCTGCGGTGTATACTGAGGATGATGCTGAGGTGGATTCTGGGCTTGGTTGAGATCTGGAGTGTGTTGATTCGCTTGAGACGAGCTAAACGGATAAAAAGGAGAGAATCCAGGCGGGAAAGGACCAAAAGGAGGTGCGCACACAAATGGCGGAGCTTGATTCCCGCTGGGGAAGACAGGTTTTAGACTACGCAATGGTTTGATATCCAACACTCTCGTCTTATCAGTGTAGCTTCCATGATTCCCTTCCATGGTTCGAAATAATCTGATTTTCCTAATGAAATGGACCTGAAACAAATTTCTCTTAGCTTATACAAGATCTCGGCAAGCAAAAGTCTACCTTCTTCTTTGTCACAAATTTAACCTAGCAGCTACGAACAGAGCGTTCTAGTATCAAAGATCAGGGATCCTCAAAGCTGAATCACACGCATGCACAGAGAAACCATCATCGCAGATTCAGAGATACAATTACAAGTACGGATGTTCACAAGCAAAACCCAAAAAAAAGCTTAAAACTTAGAAAAGAGAAACCTGAAAATGGAGATCGCAGCACTCTTCGAATTTCACTTGTCAGGTTAGGGTTTCCGAAAAGAGGGAGAGAGAGAAAGAGATGGCGAAGATTGAGAGGGAAACAAATAGAGAAAATATTTCCAGTTTTGGGAAATTACTGGAAGATTTGTTTAACATTCGTCACTTTCACTGACATCTGTAACAGCTAGATAAGGAGCTTAGGTTAGCCGTTGGATCAAAACCAATTACTCTTTAACCGTACAAAGATCTAATATGACTGGGATACCTGCGTAACAGGTTGTCCTTTCCGTTTCTATTTCGTCCTTCGTAGTGCATTTCTTCAGTTCGTGATGTAATGACGTTTAGGAACTTTTGTCGGTTGCCGGTTATCACACGTGTGTAAGAGGTTGTCCTTTCCCTTCGCTCAATCTTTTTTTACTTTCTCATAATTTTGTGTCTTAACATAAAGTTAATGATATATTAGGTCCAAATGTATTTCATATTTTAGAGAATCTAGATCATTAGGCAAAGACATAACAAGAGGGAAATAGATATTTGAGGAAGAACATAGTTTTTGAAGAAAATGACCATTTCTGAGAAATGGACAAAACTATCATCAAATCTTTAATCAAACACAAGCTACAAGTTGGAGAGATTTGTCCTACAAACAATCTGAAACCTAATAAGCTTACATACATCTAACAGAAGGGAAACCTGAGGATAACATTCCCCACAATCCGAGAAATAAATAAGGTTTTGATGGAGAAGCAGCTCAAATCCATCACAGCTTGCGTCTTGTGCTGTTGAAGAGAAGATCAAAGAGACTTATTAAAACACTTTAGTTGCCTGCAAAAGCAGTCAACTCCACTGATCAGGACTCAGTTGAGCAAAATCATGAATAGAGAGATTCGGTGGATATATAACAAATGGGCAGAGATACAAACCTTTTGCAACCAAAAATCATCTGCCTCCATTTGTTCGCCAAAGGTCGTTTTTTTCCCGTCATCATCACCCAAATGAGCCACGGCAATACTCTGATCCGCAAAAGCACTTCTTTTTACCATATAAAGGTTGTCCATATTGGGCTCCGCTTGGTCGAGAAACTCCATAGTCGTATGTTAGCTCAGTCATGGGAGGGATATGAGAAGTGGCAAAGAAGGCGACTTGCAAGAAGAGTTGACCGTTATTTTCATAAGTAACCGGCTGCCAGAAAACATTAGGGGAGCAACTGTGGTTCATGAATCGAGCAACGTTCCCAACATTCCTAGCACTGATTATAAGAGGCAGCGGGATTTCAGGTTCTTCAGGCATCTCCTGGGAAGCATCTTCGTCTGCTAAGCCAGGCTCATAGTTCCATTTGAAAGGGGTATAGACACGGGTCGTATCAAAAGTATAATCATCGTTAGCCATAGTCTGCTGCACCTTCGATTTGTCTTTGGCTTCCCCTGCATATATGCATATAAACGAGCCAGCGCGAATGGGATCCCATGAGCGCAAGCCCCATCCTCTATTCGCTGTCTTGAAAACTTCCATCCTCAGTTTTAGTCCCTTTTGAGTCACCTTGTTTTTACAAGCCAAGCACGGGCAAGATGGGCTGCACTCATATATCATAGGCTTGCGGCTAACTAGAATTCCATTACCGGTGTAAGGGAAATCACCTCCATTCTTCCTTATGCAGTGACAGTTCAAGTTCCCTGCTTTGCATGAGTTCCCACAGTCGCATCCAAAAGAAGGCTGAGTCAGCTTAAACGACTCTGAGTATTTCACCGTTGTGGAGTAGGTGAAATAAGCAGGCCCATTCTCGGTATCAACTTGATTCACAAGAGAAACAGGAATGCTTTCAACCCCGGAAGTAATATCTGAAAGAATTAATCCTTCCCTTGAGTGGAAATCCGCCTTCCATTTCTGGATCGCAGTCCATGTAGCAAATGCAGGAGGTTGACCAGGAGCTCTCACCAGTTTATACTTGAAGGTGTTGTGTCCAGATTTGCCTTTCTCAACCCAAGACTCCTTGATCTCGTAGAGCCCATCATAAAAATAGATCTTAACACTATGAGAAGCCTCTTTCAGTCCCCGTATTACCCTAACCATACTATGCCTATGCAAGCTCTTCTCCAACGCAAGATTACCCCTTTCCAGAATCTGATCAGATGCTTGCTTATCTTTATCATCTTTACCACCCACACCCGTGTAAATTAACACATCGGGATTGCCTTTGTCGTTCTCATTATATCCAGATGACACAATGCTAGTGGCAATAGGCACTTCTTCTGTTTCTTCCTTGACAACCAGATAGTCAATCCCAGCCATCGATGGGGAATGTAAACCCACCAAACACATCTCGAACCTGAAGAAGAAGATGTCTCCAATCTCAACACCAGGAACAAGGCCGAGTCTTTTCTTGGTGTTTGTACGGACCCCTTTGCTCATACACACAGACCCTGATGTCAGATCAGGGCGTTTGATAATCCCGCTAACTACTTCCTTGGCGTCCTCCAGCTGGGAAAACCTTCTTCTTAGCGCATCAAACCGTATAAGAACACTCGTCACCACCTTCCTGTTGCCGTTCTCTCTTTCACCCACGCTGATCCCACTCTCGAAACTCCCATCTGTAGGCCGAGCAATCCGAGTTCGCTTTCTAGGAATCCTTCTTTTCAAAGTTGACCCCTCAGGTTCCATGTCGCCATTAGACGTATCAGGAGATCGGAATGACCTCGCAGGAGTAGCCAAGGACACTTCAGATGGATTTGGTGGCTGGTGTTGCGGCGGATTTGGTGGCTGGTGTTGCGGTGGATTTGGTGGCTGGTGTTGCGGTGGATTCTGGGCTCGAGTGAGATCTGGAGTGTGTTGATTCGCTTGAGACGGGCTAAACGGATAAAACGGAGAGAATCCAGGCGGAAAAGGTCCAAAAGGAGGTGCGCACACAAATGGCGGAGCTTGATTCCCGCTGGGGAAGACAGGTTTTAGGGTGCGCAATGGTTTGATATCCAACACCCTCATCTTATCAGTGTAGCTTCCATGATTCCCTTCCATAATTGTAAATCAAACGAAAACTGTAATTCTCAAAACCAAAACCCCAGCTACAGACGATCCTGGGAATCTCAAATCCACGTTCTTCTTCTTCTTCTTCCACAAATTCACCTAGCTACGATCAGCTTCTGCCATAAGCCGAATCAAACGCATTGCACAGGGAAACCATCATCGCAGATCCAGAGGAAAAAACTCTTGTTACCCTTTTGCTCCCTTTAATTTTCTCTGTATATGGATTCAAACCGGAACAGAGCCAAAAACAGCAACAGATTTTGGCAAACGAAACCCAGAAAGGTTAAAACTTCACAAAGAAGATCTGAAAATCCGCACTTTGGAGATCACGCACTCTTGCAGCTCGCTCGTTAGATTAGGGTTTCCAAAGAGAGAAAAAAGAGACTGAGAGGGAAACAATGAAGAAAAAGAGACTTTTATTAACTATCAACAGTTTTGGGGTTTATTTGACATTTGTGATCTGTGACAAGCCGTTGGATCAAAATCATTTGATCTTTAACCGTACAAAGATTTAATGTAATTACTCGTTTTCAGTTTTCACCCTCGCCCAATATGAAACTTTTTAATACCTCCCCTCCCTAAACTCTTACTTTCTTATAGTTTTATGCCTAACATAATTTTATGGTATATTAGGTCCAGATGAGTTTCACAATTAAGGGTGATATACAAAATAAAATCAAAATATAAAAATATAGCAGATTTCAGTCACCATTAACATCAATCACTGACAAATAATAAAACAAATTGATAATCTTAATATATGGATGTGGATTCTCAAGATATCTTAAAACGGAATACAAAGGTTTTTGTTCTATTTTTATTAATGATAAAAAGGGACAAACAAAGGGTTCTGTATCTTCATGACGGTTCAAAGATCAAAGAACTCAAAAATTCACAAACTTATACTTAATAAACGTAGCCACACACGCTACGAAACACACAACACATGAAATGTAAACAGCAATTAATATAAGACAACAACATTAACACATGTTCTTAACAAAAGAGATGCGTTAGTTGATTACTTGCGTAATTACTCGATGGCACTAAACTCCTCGATCATCTTCTTCTTCTTGCAACGATTGTTCATGATCGCATGGACCTTAGAGCAGTTACAAGGCATAAACATGCAGCCACGAGTACCATTAACCCCTGTCGTGGTCGAACCACCGAGCTTGCGTGCGATCACAACCGAGTTAACCACGTCATCGGTTGGATGATAGATGGTCAAAAGCTGAAAGCCTTTGAGATCACAAGAGTCAACGATCGGATATAAGAAAGCTCTAAGGGCATGAGCACTCCGTAGCATGAGGACAGCTCCAGGAGCCATATGTTTCTCCAGGTGCTCTATGGCTTTGACCTTTGCCTCTTTGTCCATCCCAACGAGAGCGGCCAAGAAAACGACGTCGTATTGGTCTAGCCCTTCCTTAGCGTTTAGCACGTCCGTTGTGTGGAAGATCATGCGTTTTGAGAGGTCCGGGTCGCGAGAAACGAGGCTTGAAGCGAGTGTGTTTGCGTGTGAATCGATGTCAAAGTTGTGGAACATCGTGTTCGGGAGGTGAAACTTGGCCAAGACGATGGATGTGAGAGGCATCGGTCCGGAACCAACGAAAGCAATCTTGGTCGGGACATGGCTTGAGTGTTGACTCAAGAGATCGAACTCGAGCTTGCCTAGCTTGAGGTAGTTGTCGTAGTAAGGAAAGATGTGTAAATGGTCAAGTGGGTTTTGGTCTTCTTGTAAAGATCCCAAGATTGTGGAGAAGTGTTGCTCTAAATAACCTTCGGCTTCGCCACATAGCTTGATGAGGTTAGATCTCACGTATTTGACTTCTTCACACATCTTTGTGACATCGATGTTTGTGTCTGTGGGTAAGCACGTGGACACTAGTTGTCCGAACAGGGTGTCGACATTTTTGGAAGGTTTTAAGCTCTCGAGCTTTGAGATTTGGTCGTATAAGTCGATGATTTGCTTCACAACAAGATTGTTCTCGCAAGCCATGTCGACACTATGAGGTTATTTTTTAGGAGAGATGATAAGTATTGGATTTCTTAAATAATCTTTTTAAGACTTTGAAAAAAACTTGTTGTGGCTTTAACCCTCACAAAGGGTCGTTATTTATTGGCAGTTTAGCTGTGGGGTCCGTTCTTCGCTGAAATTATTTATCTATCGATGATTCTATTCATATATGTAATTTATAATTGAGATATATATGTGTGGTCTGTCTCGTTTATAATGATATAATTTCAAATCATCTACATAGATAATAATATAGTCAGTTTACGTATAAGGAAACTGGTAAGACAGAGTCACAGACATGTAGATTAATTTGTTCTTTATCAGTTAACAAGCATGCATCTAGAACTTATCTAATCACTGATCAGGTAATAAACTGTATTTTGAAGTATCTATCTACATAATCATCATCATTTATACATAAGCACTATACATTTTTACATAAATATATTATATATTTTTATGTTCGCATCCATGATCATCCCATTCTCATATTATTTTGCAGAATAAATGTGCGGCACTAACCATCCCAAACTAAATCTTTTATTATTGTAAGATCATTACCCACATGGCATGACCCACAACTTGAACTACCATATGCATACTTCTAATTCCAATTATATAAATCGTTCATTATTGTAAGATCACGAACGGTATATGTATATAAGTACTATATAAGCCTCTTGGGATAAGGTATCGTACGTGACACACAGTGTTTAGAAAATGTATTTAAGTTATAGGTAACGTACTACGGATAGTAGGCCTTCGTGAACGGTGAACAGTCCCATATTGCGGCTGAGAAGTGAAACAGGTCCTCTGATCAGGGTTTGGTTAGGTATAAAACTAATTTCGACATCCTTTAAGAAGTATTATTGACGTGCCAAACTGTTACACTAGAGTGTAAATACTGCACAAATGTGTGTGTTCAATTTATTACTATAACGTTTGAATGGAATAAAAATAGGAGATATTGAGATTCGCCGATTGTCACCACGTGTTTGTATAAGGGATAATATTATCGAGATAACGTATTGTAAAGTTGGTAAATGGTAATTAATTAAGGCATGTCTCGGAGCATTTGATAAGTCACCACGAAAATCTATCATATTTAAAATTTTATATTTATAAGAAATATGATCTATGTTGGGTATCATATTATATAGCGTTGGATAACAAGCACTCGCCAAATAATAGATTCCGTTTACTTGCATGCTTTGTTGGGAATACTAACCCAAAAATAGAATTTACATCATGTCCCAAGATCTTTTATTTACATCAATTTAGCCGGAACATGTTCTATCACTGAATTGCTTCGAACTAAAAAAATGATTATAACTAAAATAGGACAACGCTATTCTAAAATTGAGAGAATTTGACGTTACATGTAGACTGATTTTATTATTTACATTAGTACCTCTTGCGTAAAATGAATGGCCAATTTCGACGTCTCTCTCAACGTACGTCGACAGAAATGATTCTAAAAAACAAAATGCGATTTTGTATTCAGACTTCAAATCAAGCGTACTACAGTAAGCTATGTAACTTCTTGTTGATATTCATTTCATGATCCTATATAGTTTCCTTTGCTTTATATATACATATATATATATATTTTTTGGTTACACAACGTAAACAATGAATTAGTTAAAATCTTCATAATATTAGCAAATAACAAAACCATAAGTTTGGAAAAAGATTTGAAATAAAATGGCTAAATTGTTTAGGAAAAGCTGTTTTCTATACAGTGCTATTTTCTTTCTTTTCACTTTTTGTCAATATTTAAATTTGGGAACAATTCAACAGTCGATTGTGAGTATATATAAATTAATATATTAACTTATATATGAAGCGATGTTTAGCTGACGACCAAGACAAGATCCATCATGTTAGCTCTTTAAATTCATAACTAGATAATATTCGTGTGTGCAATAAAATAATTATTATTTATTTAATTTTAACAGTATATGATAATTTAATTATTAAATTAATTTAAAATTAAGTATCATGCATAATATATAATATAGTTGGGTAATAATACGAAAATTGAGATATAGATTTCATATATCTTGTGATTGATACTATGATTTAATTTTTATCATAAATATCCAAAATTTGGATATAAAATATTTATATAAATATTCAATTACTTTTCACTTCTGAACAATAATGAAATATTATTAATTAAATAACTTGTTACTTATCTACTATATTGAATTAATTAAAGAAATAGATTTTTATGTTTTTAATCTGAAAAATAACTATAACTATAAATTAATGTAAATAACTCTCTTTGTGAAAGAAAAAATTGTTTTTGACTCCAAATGCATTTAATAAAAAAATATTGTCAAAAATATAATAACATTTACTAATAAATCTATATATAATAAGCTGTTACTTATCTATTATATCTATAAATTAATGTTAATAATTTTTTACTTATCTACTATATTGAATGAATTAAAGAATTAAAAAAATAACTATAACCATAAATTAATATAAATGACTCTTTTTGTGGAAGAAAAAATTGTTTTTGACTTTAAAAATGTTTAATCAAAAAATATAATCGAAAATATAATAAAATTTTATCAAATTTAAGTATTTCTATTATTTGATTATTTATACGGTTCTATTAAAAACCATATTAAACTAAAAATACATTAATATGAATATCAATTCAATCAAACTTTCTACTTTTACAATCTTTTTTTAGCATTTATTTATTTTTATAATGATATATGAGTCATCTATTGATCTACAAATATCTTTATTTCCAATGTAAGATTTTTAAAATCTACTTTATTTATTAATAATTTGAGTAATTGTTTTTTTTAAATTCGAATTATAACACATGTACAAACAAATCTATATATTTTTTAGTATATAGATGATGTGATATTTTATTTATTTTAGAAAAGTAATTTTAAATAAAATAACAAAAAGTACCTAAATAAATAATTAATATGATATATTTTTGGTAAGAAAAAAAGAAAAAAATATATTTTAATAAATTAAATGCTGATTTATATTTAACCAATTTATATAAACCATTATATAACCAAATTAGTGTGAGTGATAGAGCATGTAATTAATATAATCAAATAAGTTTATTTTTATATATTTGCTAATAATGATTTTGCTGATGATACATCTACAAAATGACACTATTATAAATTATCTACAAAATTAAAGTTACTCTTTAAAAATAATTTTCAATTAATATATATAGAGAATTAGACAGCCATATACATACTTTATCTATTCATCGCAATTGCAAGATCCCAGAAATACAAACAGAAATCCCAAAATTTAAATGACTGTTTGTGATAATGTTTTAGAGATTTTTGTTAATATGTTGTATATAGTAGTGGTGAACAGAACAGAGATTTGCAGCCACTAATAAAAGTGTCTAGCAACACGTCAATACCAAAGAAAAGTTATATATTGATGCCAAAAATGGTGTTTTCCGCATATTGTTAATATATTAGTAATTGAAAACTGAGACCATAAGCATTCATTTGTTGCTAGCGGGTCGATAAACGAATCCCGACATGGATGAAAAGTTGGTTCGGTTGATCTTTGTCGGTTCTCGACTTGTGCAAAATAAATTAGATTAGTATGTGTGCTAGTTCTTAGTATGAACAAATCTAAATCATGTGTGCTTTGCCCCTTTCCTGATGGTTTTATCTTCAATGTTTGGGATCAATTATCCAAGTGACTTTTCTTCAACCAATTCTTTTAGTGGTTATATGGTCAACAAAATTGGTTTACAAGACTGTGATATACTCTAACTAAGTTCAGTGGCTGATAGACTCCACCCTGACATAAGTATTCATTTGTTACGACGACAATTCAGAAAATAAAAGAACTAGACTTTTCTATGAACAATTTGACATTCTAAACCGTGGGAACTTTACCATTTCGGAACCAATGCGACGTTTTTTGACATATTTAAGCTTGTCTCTTTGGCACAGATCCTAGGAGCACCGCACATCTGATGTGACAGCTTAATTCTGAACCACCTTTTGTTGCCACGGCCGCCTTTTGTAGTCTTTGCCGTGTTTCTCGATCTCATGTCTCATACTGGAACACTCTTTCTCTAACTCACAACTCCACATTCTCATACTGTCCATTCCCTGAAGCTTCTTGAGGACCTGAACGAGTTTCAAGCTTTCGCTAAACATGGATGATGCTGTGGAATCATCAAAATAAGAAGAAGAAACAACTTATGCGTTTCTGCAAAAAAAAGAAACCAGATACTCTACAAAACTGATGGATTTTATTTATACCTTTTAAATATTTATTGTGAGATAAGAGTCTATCATCTAAAAATCTGGCATATTCAGGAATAGAAGGGACTTAAGCTTGAGACTGATAGTTTGAGATTGACATCAATAACAACTTCGGAAAGATACCCATCGATCGGGTTTGCAACTTCAACAAGATACCCATCAATAAAATAATAAGGATGAATGAAAATAAAATAAACAAATAAAGAAGTAAATATTTTTTATTTCTCTCCAAATTTGATAAATAATAAGGAACGATATAATCTAACAAATAGTAAAAGAAAGTTAAAGAATAGAAAGTGATTCATTATTACTTATCATTTTTTCTAGTCTTTTTTTTTAACACTGATTATAACTTTTATTGAATATAATAAATCACCAATAGGTGATTATAATAAGAGATCAGTTAAAAAGCTATCATGATTATAAAATTTCTTACAAACCCAATCAACAAAGATTTCTAAAGAATTTGAAAAAATATTTAGAACAGATTTTCAAATTTTCTTGTCCTCACTTGGTAATGAGTAGACTTCGGCAATTATGAAATATGCTTCTTGAATTTACATGACGGAGCTTCTATTGAAGTGGTTTAAAACCGTCTAAAGATGTCGTAACCGATATTGTCGACAGAAAACGACATAGATCCGGTACTGCGGAGACAAAAACAAATACAAATCTCAACAAGATCTGGTTGTAATTTATAGTGGAGGAGACTAACATGAGTCGTCCAAACTCAACACCAAGCCAAACACATACATTGTGGAAGGCGGCAGATAGAACCGACAAAAGCCAAGGAAAACACCGATGAAAAAGGAGGAGAAACCAATAATCAATCAAAAAAACTCTTTCAGATCCAAAAAAAAAAGAAAAACCAACCAAAACAAAGAAGAATAATATAGAGAACTAGCAAAACAAAAGATGTTTTTTTCTGGTCACTAATTGTAGTTTATAAATGGACATGCATATTAAATTTGGTATCCCACCGAGTGATGATGGGATATATACGGTAATTTTGATAAAGATATCAACTAAATGCAATGTTTTGATTGACAAACTAATCTTGGAGAGAGATGCATTTTGTGTGCAGTTTTTGAATTCCCTCCAATGATTTACAATGCACTTCACTAATTTCTTTACAAAGTTCATAAGTCATTTGTCTTACTAAAAGACTATAAGTGGAATGTTGTGATGGTTGGAGATGTTGGGATACATACAATAATTTTGATGGAGATCTCTCAACCATTGCAATATTTTGATTAAAAAGTATATGTGTAAAATATAAAACAAAAGGAATCTTCTACAAAGTATGCATCAGATCATTACTTGGATGTTTGTGGTCCGATAAATTGACTTGATCAGGAGAATCTCGTATCATTTATATGATTGATGAACTCCAAATGATGCATCAGATCATTACTTGGATGTTTGTGGTAATTCACCTCTCCCCGCAGCAGATAGGTGTAAACATCGGCGACTATGTTTATGGGCTGCTTTCAGTTTACCAGCATATGTATACTATCTGTGAAGACTCTTATAAATCTAAGAAAATTTACACAAGCATCCGGAATAGGACCGCCAATTCAGTGTTAGAGCTTTTCATCCATCTCCTCTCACTAAGAAGTGGTGGGATGTTTCATCATCATGTCTGGTGAACATGAAGATTCACTCGCACACATCGTGGCACCACCCCGAATGGTGGATAGGTTCAAAGACATTGGAGATGATCTAGAGATGGCCTTCTGGAAGAGCATGCTTTTGTGGACCCACTTGGTTCAAAGACACTAGATTTATTGGGTTTTATAGATTGCAGGAAAATGTCTTTCTTATCTTTTAACTATCGTTTAAAACTTTAAACCTGTTTTTCTTTTAGGATTCTTTAACTCATGGTCTAATCAACAAATGCAGTCTCTAAAGTCTACTAGAAATTTTTGAAGTTTTAGACCGTTAAGACATTTGAGAAAAATTTTGAGGTTTTAAGTAGTGACAAAAATAGATGTTAGGAGGAAAAAAAATTTTCCTCCAATAATTTACGATGTGACTTAACTAATTTTTTATAAACTTTATAAAACATTTGTATACTGAAAGAAAATATTATAAAGTGAACATACATACTGAAATTTGGTATCCCACCGAATGATGGGATATACATAAGATCTCAACCGAATGCAAACATTTTGATTGAAAAGTATATGTGTAAAATATAAAACAAAAGGAATCTTCCCTACAAACAACTACTAAATCAAATGTCATTTTCTGTTAATTACATAATATGAATTTATAAACAGCAAGATCGGTCTTAATTTAAAATAAATAAAGGTTGTATAGAAACAACCAGCAAGATTCTAGCGTATATACAAAAACATGAGAAGCACTCGCGCAATGTGCTCAGCTTAATAATGAAAGTCTCAAACGATTCATCTTATTAGTGCCTCGCACGCAAGTATGTATGTGCCGCGTATAACCAGTTAATTCCTTACTAATTTGAAGCCAATAAAATAATGAACTAATCTATATATCCTCTGTTGAAGTGGAATCGAATTACTCAAAACATTTGATCATACAAATCTACAATATATCTATCATATTGGGAGGCCCCATATATAGGAGGAAATTACCAAAATGTCCTCCTACGGCAAACTCGACGAGTATGAGCAAGCGAAACTGGAGGCCAGCCGGAGGACGAAAAAGAGACTCGCAATTGTCGCTATATCTTCCATCGTTCTCGTCTGCATCGTGGTCGGAGCCGTCGTAGGAACCGCAGCTAACGGTAACGGCAAGAAACCGTCGTCGAAGGAGGGCAACGGAGACTCATTCTCCATCTCAGCCTTGTGCGACTTGACATTGCACAAAGACAAATGTATTGAGACCGTTGGATCGGCTCCAAACGGGAGCCGATCAAACCCGGAGGAACTTTTCAACTACGCCGTCAACATCACGATCACGGAGCTCTCAAAAGTTCTCGACGGATTCTCAAACCGGGAAAAAACGGACAACGCCACGTCAGCAGCAATGGGAGCTTGCGTGGAGCTTCTCGGACTAGCCGTTGACCAGCTCAACGAGACGACGACGTCAAAAGCGACGTCGGATCTTAGGACGTGGCTTAGCTCCGTGGAAACGTACCAAGAAACGTGTATGGAAGCGTTGGTGGAAACGAACAACCCGAACTCGACGAATTTCGGAGAAACCCATCTGAAAAACTCGACGGAGATGACGAGCAATGCGTTAGCGATCATAACGTGGCTAGGCAAAATAGCTGACTCGGTCAAGCTGAGACGTCGTCGTTTGATGGCGTACGGTGAAGTCAGCACCCTTGACTTGGCGATGATGGAAGGTCGGAGGCTTTTGGAGAGCGGTGATTTGAGGAAGATCGCGACGATCGTGGTGGCTAAAGATGGGTCGGGGAAGTATAGGACGATAAGCGAGGCTTTAGAGGAAGTGGAGGAGAAGAATGAGAAGCGTACGATTATATATGTGAAGAAAGGAACTTACTTCGAGAATGTTAGGGTCGAGAAAAAGAAATGGAATGTTGTGATGGTTGGAGACGGACAGAGTAAAACTATTGTCTCTGCTGGACTCAACTTTATCGATGGAACCCCAACGTTCCAAACCGCCACTTTCGGTAAGAACATAATTATATACAATATGCTATTGATATTTGATGGTGTGTGTAACTTCATATTATATATCTTTTATTTACTTATCTTTATTTATTGCATAGCTGTGTTTGGAAAGGGGTTCATGGCTAGGGATATGGGTTTCCAAAACAGTGCTGGTCCAGCCAAGCACCAAGCCGTAGCTCTAATGGCGAGTGCGGACTTAACCGTGTTCTACAGATGCACCATGGACGCTTTCCAAGACACGCTCTACGCTCATGCACAACGACAGTTTTACCGCGAGTGTCACATCTTTGGAACGGTTGATTTTATATTCGGAAACGCTGCGGTTGTCTTCCAAAACTGCAAGATCTTGCCTCGTCGTCCTATGAAAGGCCAGCAAAACACCATAACCGCTCAGGGAAGGAAAGATCCGAACCAAAACACCGGGATCTCTATCCACAACTGTTCTATCTTGCCTTTGGATAACCTAACCGGTGTCCAAACGTTCCTAGGCCGGCCTTGGAAGGAGTTCTCTACAACGGTGATCATGAAGTCGTTCATGGACGGGTTTATCAACCCTAAAGGGTGGTTACCGTGGGTAGGAGATACCGCACCGGACACAATCTTCTACGCTGAGCACTTAAACGTCGGGCCAGGAGCCTCCACGAAGGACCGGGTTAAGTGGAAAGGTTTGAAGACGTTTTTAACAAAGAAGGAAGCGAATAGGTTTACAGTGAAACCCTTCATTGACGGCAATAAATGGTTGCCGGTGACCAAAGTTCCGTTCAAATCTGATTTTTGATTCTTTTTTTTTTTATCGGAAAAGTTGATGGCTACTCGTTCTTTAATTTGTTTGCTAACGAACATACAAGTTTACCTTCCAAATTTCTTCATGCATTGTGTCTTTCAAAGTTTCTGAATTTGTTTCTTATAGCATCATCATAAAATTCAATTTATTTCCTTTGTGAAAATTTACATATTTTTAGATGATACATATTGAAAAATATATATTCGGCGATGTTTCCCTCAGGAAAATCATATTATCTATATCTATGCGTCAACTGATTCAATCACATTCCTATTTTGAAGTAAGAAAAAACAAAAAAGGTTCTTGATAACCGTTTATTATATAACAAGTTACTAACGCCAAATTCAGATTTCGAATAACAAAAATGATTTTATTGCATTTATCAATTATATATATAATATGGATATGGTATATTCATTCGGTGTGAAGCAAACCGCCGTAGAAGGGAATATCGGTCTGAGGCAACCAAGTGTCTCCCAAAGTGAAATTATACACGGTGAAGTTCATGGCTTGTGCCACGTTCAATAGGCGATATCCTGACCACTGGACTCTCTTGCTTGTATTAGCACCCGGTCCATAGTTGTCATATTCACCATAGGAGATCGTGTCTAGCCCGGTTGTACCATTCCATTCTAGCCACCCGACCGGTTGGATAACATCACTGATGTATGATTGTATGTATACCGTCCTCGAATAAGGCTTCCATGGCCGCCCAAGGAATGTCATGGTTGATTTCGGGTCAGCCGCAAGGTCCGGTGCGGCTCCAATAGTACAATTGATGATGGAGATTCCGGTTTTTTGGTTTGGATCGGTTCTTCCGTGGGCTGTCACTGCATTCTTCTGGTTTACCATCGGTTTTCGAGCATATATATTGCAGTTTTGAAATACCGCAGCTGCATTTCCGAATATAAAATCTATGGTACCTGGAACCATAAATAAGAATTAAAAAAATATATTAATAAAAACTTATTTTATTAGTTTGAATTAAAAAATATATGGTATATCATACCGTATATATCGCATTCACGATAAAACTGTCTCAAAGAATGAACGTAGAGAGTATCTTGATAGCCTTCAAAACTACACCGATAAAATGTTGATCCATCCGCATTGTTTCTCACGGCCACGGCCTGATGCTTCTCCGGTCCAGCTGTGTTTCGGAACGTCACATCAACTGCAACAAATCGGTCTCCGACCACCGCTACAAGCGCAAGTCAAATCATAATTAATTATATTGTATTGATTCTAAGAAAGTCAAATCATTGTTCCAAATGTATAGAAAATGGAAAGAGAAAAACAAAAATACAAAAATACTTACCAAAGGTGGAAGAATTATAAGTAGTCCAGCCATCGATAAAACTGTGGTTTCCTGTAATGATGGTTTTGTTGATCCCATCTCCAATAAGCATTATGTTCCTTTTTTTATTCGAAATGACGATATATTCTTCGTAAAGACCTTCCCTTGCATAGATTACGAAGTAGCCTTCCTCCGGTAATGTATGGTTAGGTGCTGCAGCAACGGCCTCACTTATGGTGGTGAAGTTGTCGTTTTCATATGGACCGACGATCACTGCTTGCCTTACCAGGATCGAGCCTCCGCTCGTTTCCCCTAGCTCACCTAACTTCCTGTCACCCTTACGACAATCCTTGCTCTTGTCGCATGTTTTGCGTAAAACCTACAAATTAGGTATATAAAAAGATTTTTATTATGCACATGCATTTTCGTACACTAATTATCATGTTCAAACTTTTAAAAAGTTGTGTACTATATGAGGGAATCCATGTGAGGGTATTGATTGGTCCGGAAAGATCATGTGGACCCATGTGATTTTATTCGCATATCTTTCGTTGTTCAATTTCGTGTTAAGTTTTGTACAATTGATGTCTGTATATTTAAAGTTGAAAGTCAAAACTCAAACGCTTTTCGATATATTCACACAGTTTCGTTGACTTAATATGCTCTGTAGGCCATGTCACATCACATGTGCCATTGATGAATGCAATACGTACACTCAAACTATTTAAAACGAATTATGCATGTTTTGGTTCAAAATACTTTTTATATATCTACGTAAGTAATGGTCCGATAAATTAAGATTTGATCAGGAGAATATAGCCCACCCAAATTCTATAATTAACGAATATAAATTAGGCTGTAAATTTGTTTTTACTACATCGTCTATAATCTATTTGAAGAGGCCACTGAATAGTTTTCCCTTAATTTCTAAAATGGTAACAAAAAAGTATCAGCAAGTGCATATGAAATCATCAAAAAATGATACTCCTTGTTCTAGCATCAGCAATTAGCGCATAGTTGGATGCTTATTAAATTTAATAACTAATTCCTATAATTAACGATCTTGAAAAATATCAAAGTAATCCTTCACAACATAATACCTTTTCTAACAATTTCTTAGTATATCTAAACATTCCCGATAAAATTAGAGTAAACTACTGTTTAGGCTTTTCTTTGTCCTATCAGGATTTGTCGTTACTAGAGTTTTATTTAGAACAAACATATGAAGACAAAAAAAAGTAATTAAAAAAAAAAAGAGAAATTACCTTAATCAAAGTCTCGAGCGGTTCCCGAACTGCTTTGTTACCACCACCAAAGATTTTCCCCTTGGATCCTTTATACCTCTTCAGATTACGGTTCAGCGAGTGGCTCACAAGCCCCAACGACACACTGTAAAGGCGCGTGAGATTCCCCAACGGCGATCCAATGGCCATCGCAAACGCGCTCTTCGCGTCTTCAAGACCATCGAGGCACGTCTGCTGGTTCGTCACAACGCCACCGAGAAGACTCGTCACACGATCAACGAGCGCCTCCGTCATAAGCTCCGCCGCTTTCAGCTCCTCCGAAACCGTTTCGAGATACTCAACGCTAAGCTCCGCCAGGTCGCCGCAGTCAGCCACCGCACTTACCTCTTCCGCCGTGGACGCACCGGGATCTTTTTCCACGCGCCGAGAAAATCGGTTGATGACTTTGGAGAGGCGACGTGCTTGTTTGATGCATTGCTTGAGCGTGAACTTTCCGTAACGGTATGGATCGGACGGTGAGGATTTGAAGGCGGAGAGGATCGTGCGGCAGAGCTTTGGGTAAGGAGTGGATTTACAAGCTATGTTTGCTTGTTGTGATGGAGGCTGTGTTGGAGGCTGTGATGGAGGCTGCGACGGAGAATGGGATGGAGGCTGCGACGGAGGATAGGATGGAGGCTGCGACGGAGAATGGGATGGAAGCTGCGTCGGTGAGATTAGCAAGGCCCATGACAAACAAAGAAGAGTCAAGAGCAAGAGAGATGAAGAGAAGTGTTGTGTTTGCATTTTTTTGTTTTGTTTTGGGGTTCTAAGTTTTATTTCTTCCTTTCTTGATATCGACTAAGAGCTTGTCATGTTTAATGTATGCATGGTATAGGAGATATATATATAGGTATAATTAAGTATAATTCATATAAAGTTATGTTATACTTGATTAATAATGTTGTAATGCATGTTGCCTTGTTTAGGAATTATTAGTCCGAGGGGAAATTTAAACATAACTCTATGGAATTATATAGGCATATATCATTAAACTTTTGACCAAATAATGGATTTTTTAGACTTTTCTAGATGCTCTTCTGAACATGTTACCGTAGGATCCAATGGAGTGCAACAGATTGTCGAGTCGTACATTGACACAAATATATGGATGTTATTAATCTATGATATATATGGTACATATTTCGAAATAGGATGGTGGCTTCTTATACGACTCTAGAGTAAACCCTACGTTCATATCAACTTTATAGCGAGTTTTTCAAAACTTTTTTCAAAAATAAAAAACAAAATAAAAGAGTTTGAGGCTAGCTGTTTAAAAATGTTAAACTCCTATACAAAAAATATAACTTTTTTCTTACCATATAAACATTTGGTTGGTGGAGAGGAAGGGTGGTAACGGGGGTATATACATATCCAGCAATCATCTTCTTAGGTAATATAAAAGGTTAATCTATGATTTCAAATAAACTAACAAATTAAAATAAAACCAACAATAATGTCTATGGTTCAAAAAACAGAATACATAATGATTAATTTGAAAATAAGCTTCAAAGATACAGTTGTTTGATGTCTTGTGGATTTCAGGATTTGTAATATGTATGTACCTACAACTTAAACTCAATCTTAAAATATCTAGCAATCGGCAGTAACTTCCTATATATATCGGAATACATAATCACACAATCATATCATGATTTATGGATGTACAATCATGCACATAATCTAATTAGGTTAAAGAAAAAAGAAAATCAAACGTTGTTATTGGGGAAACATTAATTTTTTTTTTTTATCATAATATATACAGCGAGTGTTATTTGTAAGAAATAATTCATACAATACAAAAATACAAAATTTTCTTCGTTGGCAAGTGTGTCAATCATCAAATCAAAGAGCTGGATTTATATTTTCGTTTGTTTGTTGGCATTGTGATACAAAACCGGAAGACTTGCCGAGATTTTTTGGTTTGGTCGGCCAATATTACCAACGAAATTCGGTCTACTGTTAACCTTTTAATCGTAAAATCAAGTGCAAATGTCACGCTAGTGGCAGAATCGTAATAAACGTTAAAGATGTGGCTTAAATATAATATATCAATATGTCTTTCAACAGTTGATGTATACTATTGTCTCCTAGTTCCGGTTTTACCCTCGCAAACCTCAACGTTGACAACAAACACGGCGCAGACCGGCCGGTGATCGGAGAATCGCGACTCGCCGCGCACATACGAGAGTTGCCGGATTCCATCCCCGTGCCAAAGAATCCGATCGCACCTGACGAAATATGACATAAAACATTTCAGCTTAAACCGAACCAAAACCAATCGAAATCAAAAGTAGAATTTATCCGGTTCTATTATTGTACCAGGCAGGAGTTCTTCTCTTGTTCTTTTTCTCTTTGGTAGTGTCTCCGGCATAAGCATCTGAGTTATAAGAGTACTTATAAGTTGGTGCGAAGAAAATTTTGCCTTCGTGCCATCCTTTGAACACTCGTCCTGCGTCTCTTTCAATCTTGAGCTGTTTTTCAGAACCAATAAACCGGTTTAGCTCTTATTGAGTATCAGTCAACAAATTGGTTTCTTGGATGGAAAGTAAGCGTTAGCGAAACCTGATCTTTGTTGAGAAGAGTCTCCCAAGCGTTTTTATCTAAGAGCGTCTTTGTTTCTGAGTAACTTAAAGCTATTCTATAGTTCAAATCTCCAAGCCATATGACCCGGCTGAGAGTGAAATACCATAAGAAAACTGAAAAATGAGCCAAATAGAGAAAATATGGCAAAACTGAAATAGAAGAAGATCTTTGTTCATAGTTCTTACTCGTGCTTAGTGATTCGATCGGGGACACGAGTGAAGGACGTTCTGCAGATTCTGGGGAAAGTTGTGTTCTTGAGAATCTCGATTACATCTGTGTTTCTGCGACGTTCGTCTCCTTCTCTCTCGCCGGAAGCTAGATGACTGCAGATGAAGCAGAAGCTCGTCTTGTAGAGCTGCAAACTCACAGCTATGCATCCCTATGATGATGAAGAAGAAAGAGATCAGAAACAGAGATTTTATTTTCTTGTTTTGGTTTTAAGTGTGAGAGTTGTGAGAGTACTGTACCTTGTTTCCTAAGCAACCCATGATTCCACGGGTGACAGAGGAGATCCTCAGATGAGTAACATGTTGAATAAGTTCCTTTCTCATCCACACAGTGAGGAATATTCCCACCATTTGCTTTGATGCCACTAGACCATACTTCATCATCATCTGGTTGCTTACAATAGAAGCAACTTTTCCTCCTCCTTCCTCGTCATCATCATCATCATCATCTTCGTCTTCTTCTTCGTCATCATCAGAAAGTAAACCGGATTGGTTAACCAGATATTCTGGACATCCGAAACAAGATTCTCTCCCGTACTTCTTCGCAATCTCTTCAGAGAAGGAATTGCAGTTGCATATCTTCAGCTTTCTCCTGCACTCTGTTCTGAAACTCTCACTGATCTTCTTCAAAGAAGGTTTCGCAAAGAACATCGATCCAGCGCCAAAAGAAGGGGTTTTGGGGCCAAGTCTTCCACCAGAGGATGATGATGATGACGATTTGTTCAGGGACTGATTGATCATAGCTAACCATTTCGCAGCAGGCTCGTTGTCTCCAAGCACAAGAACATTTCCAGCATTCAATGGAACAATCTCCTGAAAACTATGAAACAAAGAGAAAATTACATAACCCACAAGACATAGATCTATTATGCAATACTCAAGAGAAATCAGGAAGACAACTTACCCTAAAACGTATATATCGAATTCGCTGTGGACATGAAGCAAAGAGTCAAGATCAAGACCAGAGTGAGGAGACTTTCCTCCCACGTTCCATGTAGCCACAAAGACTCTTCAAATGGGAAGGAGAATTTTTATTACAGAACAAATCAAACAAAAATCTGTCCAAAGAGAAAACATCAATCTATACCTCAAGGATTGGAGTTGCTGAGTGGGCATTGAAGATCTGAGATTGCTTGAAGATAACAGAGATTCAACAACTATATCGGATTGAGACTCTGCAAAAATAAAATCAAAGTCCAAAAAATATCTGCAAGATATGAGAAAGAGACAAAATAAAGTTTTAAAGCTAAACAGAGACAGACACAAAAAAATATCTGTATCTATATACAGAGTGACATACTATTAAATCTATAGAGTGGATCCGACATGTTATTTTTCAAGGATTAAAGGGACTTTTTTTGGAGGGTTCTCAAGCTATGAGGGAGAGAGAATTCAAGAGCTTTTCTTCTTCAGGTTTGGTCTCCGAACACAAAAGAATTAAAAAGAAAAAGAAACTGCATACCACAAGGAAGAATGCAATTGCAAAGGGGGCATTTCTTACCATTATTTTATTTGGTTTTACGCAAGGCTTCGGTGTTCATTCCGTTTTTTCTTATATTTTATACAAATTTTTTTTAAAAAAGATGAGGTCTTTATCAGTTTAAGAAGCAAAGATAAGAAAGAATTAATATATTTGAAAGAATATATTCTGAAAAGTCTGAAATCAAGAACACTGCTCCCTTTCCTTGATACTTATATGCCCCTGTTTCTTTGCTTTTTTGTTTTGTTTATTATACAAATCTTCTTCTTCCCTTTCATCTCCTTTTTTTTTCTATTATATGGTGCATATAGACCTAGACTTCATTTTATATGAATCCTTTGACCGAACTTTGATTACTTCAGCTAGAAAGTAACGTTTTGAGTGCAAAGATGAATCTATCGAGAGAGCTCTCCAATCAATTTGACTTGATTTTTTACCGAGTAAAGAAACTGACTACTTTATTCTGCTATACAGTTTGGGACTTGCCATAAAATGTATTTTTTTAACTCCAAATACAAATCAAATCTCTGATTCGGTAATTTACTAATTTTTCTTTTCGACTTTGGCTATCGTTTCAGGATAATTGAGCAATTAGCTGACAGATTAGATTTGATTTAATTGAATATGACATTTAGCCATAGGTGTATATTCTGCACGATCAAAACCAACTTGGTGATATTCTTTTGAGATCATATCAGACTCTACAAGATAGGTAAGATGCGTTTTATGGATTAACAAAACCAATTGATTTTGAGATTACGTTTTTGCACACTTAAGATGCGTGGATCAGGGACGGCCAAAATAACCTAATCAAACTAAAACCAATACGCTAAGCCGCATTTGGATTATGCTCATCTTCTTAACCGAAAAAATCAATACAACCAGTCTGGTATACAAATTTCTTCCAATGGATTGAAATTTGCTTGTTTTGACATCACGGTGAATCATATTTATATGCAAGGGACATGGTTTTATGGTGTTTGGGTTATAATCTATCAAGTTGCCAGAATATATCTTTGTTGAATGTTGGAGAATGAGAGGCAAAAATGACGGTTTTGTACTTGTTCTGTACCAATTCTTAAGATATAAGTATCACTTTAAGAATTTGAGTTTTTTTTTAATCGGTCTCTTGACTCCTTTCTAATCGATTTCTTTGGTGATTACAACCTCAATGTCTTATACATTAGAAGAGTTCTAGAGCTATTCCAATATCACAGATAAAGTTTATTTTCTTTCTATTTTTAGAGTATGGCATCTCAATTTTGAAAATTTGCTTCCCATACTTGCTCGCTGCTATTTGTTAATAGACTTTGATCGAGATGTATAATGCTGATTTATTTAACTCCAACAAATTTCCAATGAGTTTCCTAGTGTGAGTTTATGTGCTATTTATATGGTTTCAAATACTTACTTTTAAAAAAGTTTTCTTTTTGATTCTTTTGTATTGATATCTACAGCGAGCAAGTATGGAAAACAATTCGAGACAACTTATCCCGACTCGCCTACAGTTGCATTTCTTGGATTAAAAACCTATCACCAACATCATAAACTCTTCGGAATGGATCCATTGCGGATCCATCTAGTCACCACTGAAATACTGTATTGCAAGTGCGGCATTTCGATGTTGATACGGTACATACTGTCTTTTGAAACTCCAAACGTTTAGATAGACTCGATTATTCGCGATAAATCATTGATCCTTGTTGCATACTACAAACTTATTCGTAGCCCGATGATATATTGGATCTGCTTCTATGAGGGAAGCTTTGATGTTATTCATCAAGCTGGGCTTTTTAATAGTGGTTTTATACTTGTTCTGTACCAATTCTTAAGATATGAGTATCACTTTAAGAGTTTGAGTTTAAACTCGACGGTTTTAAATGCAAATCAAATCTTTGATTCGGTAATTTACTAATTTTTCTTTTCGATTTTGGCTATCGTTTTCAGGATAATTAAGCAATTAGCTGGCAGATTAGATTTGATTTAAGTGAATATGACATTTAGCCATAGGTGTATATTCTGCACGATCAAAACCAACTTGGTGATATTCTTTTGAGATCATATCGACACTACAAGATAGGTAAGATGCGGTTTATGGATTAACATAATCAATTGATTTACAAATTACGTTTTTGCACACTTAAGATGCGTGGGATCAGGGACGGCCAAAATAACCTAATCAAACTAAAACCAATACGCTAAACCGCATTTGGATTATGTTTATCTTCTGAACCGAATAAATCAATAAAACCAATCTAGAATTGGCGGAATACAAACTTCTTCCAATGAGATGATGGCTAATTAACCAAGATAATCCAAACCTAATTACTTTTGGTTTTATTATTTCGGAATCACAATTTATGACTTTTGAAACCAAATAAACCAAAAGGTAGCACAGTATACTGTATACACGAGTAAACCCAAACAACTCTCTCTCTATTGGTCTTATCACAGAATCTGATGCGTTACTTTTTCTATCCAATAAACAGGCAACAAAAGAGATGTGGACGAATGAATGATACAAAACACACAAAAGGTTTATCCAGTTCCGGGTGAATTGTCCTGATCAAGACTGGGTTTCCACAACAGAGACTGGGTGCCCATGAACCCTAAACCGGTAGAAGCAAGTGTGGGAGTTACTTCCGTGGTTGGAGGTGAAGTCTAGCCTGATAGTATCGACCAGACCAGCGCGTGATGAGTCTAAGATGCTGAATGTCTGCGCGTTCGACCTGTCTAGGTCATAAGTGAACTCTGATAGAAGTTGCATCTTCTCTGTCTCGACTGGGGATTCCTGTCCTGTTCCTTGCAGCCATCCTGATACACTACAATCTTTTGGAGCACTCGATCTGTCGTATGCTACGCTCTGTTCATGTTCACAATGCATAAATCCATCAGGCCAGTGTATATATATACTCTCCAAAATTAGAACCAAAAATGATCACAGATTGACTTTTGAACAGTGAAGACTGTAAGTAATGCGCTTATCAAACTATCTTATTTGTTCATTTTCCTCTGTTTATGTCTTTAAGATAATTACAAACTACAAAGAGCATAGTCCTGTAATTTCAAAAAGAAACATAAAAAATCCATTTATGCATACTGTTGAACTCTTTAACAAAGATCTGAGATCCTTTGAGGCTTTGATAGAGTGGCACTGTGTAAAATGAATTCCGAAAAAGAATGCAAGAAAATCAGGCAAAATCTGTTAAGAAAACTCCTAATGGTAAGTAGCACACAGAGAACTGGAGACGTATGTTGAAACCTACTAGATAATGGAAAAAGATAGGAGCCTCGAGGCTACTACAATGCAGTTTTTTTGCAGCTACTGACCTAAACCAACACATAATTTCATAAATTTTGAACCTTGCCTCTACCAGGCATCGGAATACCAAACCATTTAACACAGTCACTCCTGTATGTGAGCTAGTATCTTTTGGAAATGCAAGCACCAAAGGTCTAACGAGCACAATAGAAGAAAACTAATACTAAGCCAAAAATCTTTTTGCAGTGCACGTAGCATTACCTTAGCTACATGCTCCAAGGTGAAAGCTTCTGGGACGATTGGTCCTCTCAGCCTGATTTGAACGTAGCCACTGCTACCTTTCAGAGCAAAACACTGTCCAGGCTCCCCAAAACTCGGAGATAACATCTTGAGTGCATTGGTATGAGCACGTCGACTGCTAGTCGCAAACCAGTTACTCCCTTTTCCAACAAAATAAGGATCTGAGTGCTGCATCACAAAAGCACCACCTGACGCCAATGCATAGTCTACTCGGCCAAGGCCATCTGCAGCATGCTTTTCAATCTCTTTCTCCATGGTGTCCCGAGCATAAGCCCTTAATTCATCGATGCTAACCTCGCTAAACGCAGAATCATCCACATTACCTTTCTTCAATTCCTCATAAATCCTCTCTAACTCATCCCTCGAAGCCCAAGGTTTAGCATTTACTTCTTCTACTGACTTCTCTAGTGAGTCAGTCCTAGATTCTATCTTCTTCAGCTCACTCTGGAATGCAGAAGTTTTGGTCTCGAGTTCTTGCCTCAGTGCTTTCGCTTCCCTTTCCATCTTCTTATCAAGTAATTCAACTTGAACCTGCATCGTGTTCGTCGTGGCCTTCACAAGACCATCTACTTCCGCAATTCGGCTCTCTAATCCCGAAAACGCCATCTCCGTTTCATAGGAATAAGAAGTCGGAGAGGACGGAGGCGTCACTTTCAGAATCGCTTTCCTCGTCACTTGGATTAATCCAACGATTATCAGAAGAGCCGCAAGCTGCTTCGCGAATATCCTCACCACTCTCTTCCATCGCGCTTTCTCAGGCTTAGGAGTGGCTACCTTCCGCGTCCGGCGCTGCGTGGCGGTTGTGTTAGTCCCCGTCACGGCGGAACCCGACCTCCTCGCCACAGGACCCAAGTCTTGGCCGTGAGATCGATCAACGAGAGCCTCGGAGCGGATCGGATCCCTGCTCGTACCACCGGCTTCACCGGCGACGCCGTTCGCAAGCGATTCGCTTGGTGGGTAATCAAAGTTGGATTTCTTCTCTCCGGCAAGAACCGGCGTCCGTCTAGTAGCCGCCGCCGGATTAGCGGTGATCGACACCGTTGATGCCGACATTTGATCTGGGTTTGACTACACAATCGCACCCTCTAAAAAAAAGCAAATGTTTTGACAAATGTCGAAAATCAAAAACCCTAATTCCACTACAGAGAGTTGGAAGATTCGAAAACTTGATTTGAAATTAAGGAAGAGCAACGAGATCTCTGCAAATTCAATTTCACAAACTCCAAACCGTCTCCACCGTTTGCCCTTTGACGTTGTTTCTTGGTCCCTCTCTTTTTTTTGCCGTTTTCCAAATTTACCTTTTCTTCCGTTTTTTTTTTAATATATTTTTTTATTCAAAATGTGCATTGCGTCAATGATAACCGCAGCGGTTATTTCTTCGTAATCATTCATCAAGAGGTCTTAATTTTACGGAATAATCTCTTCTGCGTAGTGATTACTGTTAATTACGAGGTTGCAATAGAAAACTCAAGACGTAAAGCTCTCTCGCGGTTTGTTTGCCAGACAAAAAAAAAAAGCTTAATCCGTGAACCACATTTGTTCAGTTATCAAAATAAACTACAGAAAATCTCTCAGACAAACAAACAAACCATACAAAACCGGAATTAAGTCCTTCGACTTGCTGAACCGGAGTCCCGCAACTCCCACGCCGGTTTACTCTCTTTAGCAACATCCGACTTGATTGCTCGAACCAAAGGCTTCATGAGCAGCAGGTACTGTAATTCAAAACATAAAAAGTTGAATCATGAGAAAACTGTTCTTGGATTCATCAAAAAAGATGCAAGACTGTAGTTTGTGGGAAGCAACTTCAGCTTTAAGTATATTGTTACTGAATGGTTCAGAGGCTTACTTGGAATGCAAAGATCAAAGGAATTAGTCGTTTCCCTCTTTCGTTTGGGTTTCGGCCTTCGACCAGTTTCTTGTCAACGTGAATCGGCTTGCTACCATTAAAAGAGATCTCTGTGATTGTCTTGACCAGATTGGGAATCCAACTAGTCCCGTCTGGAAGAATCTGTCACATGTTTGGAAAATCCAAAAACAAGATTGGCCCCAAGCTAAATGATGATGCAGGAAATAGATATAAACATAGAAGAAAGAAACCAATCAACTCACCTTTTCATCGCTTTCATTCTTATGGCATCTTCCGCTGTTCTCAACAAGAATGACGGGAATAGATGAACCCTAGAACAGAAGATTTCAGAGGTTAATGGAATCTATTAACCTCACCATGACCAAAGTAGTTGCAGATGTATATACAAAACAAGAGGAATCCACGATACCTGCATATCTTGTTTCTTCAGTTGAGCGCCTGCACGGATCACCTTCAGAAGAGCATCAGATCTTCTGGAGACAAAGAGATCATAGTTTAATCCGTCCGGTGGGGAGAACTGAGCATGACTGAGGACAAGAGCAGACTTCATCCATATCTCTTTACCAAACGCTTCGGTTATAGCCGTGACAACCTGCCTGTCCAAGTCATCCACCCGATATACATCCAAACGGTCTACGTATAGTAGCACATCTATAGTCTTGTTGAGGAGAAATCTGTTCAAATTCAAATTACCAAACATGAAACAAAGGAGCCTTTAAATCAGGAGAGTAAACTGTTAGAACATGAAACAATTCCAAATACCCTTTTATTAGGTTGACGGCTTGATCATTCACGTATCCTCCCTCAATAAGACCAGGAGTGTCGATGATATTTAATGTGAAACCTGACCTTGAGCGAGAGACCAAGGTAGGTCTCAGTCCTTCAGACTACAAAGATGTAAACCAACACACTTTACATAAGAATATATACAGGAAACATTTAGCCAACAGTCAATGAAGAGAAGGGATGAGAAGAGCATTGAACTTGGCACCTGGAAAGTACTAACTGCAGCAGCTCTCTCGCCTATAACTGAATTCACAGTTGATGACTTTCCAACACCACCTTTCCCCATTACAAGTACTGTTAGCGAGCTCACATCCTACACCATTTCTTTAACTTCCCACATTAGAAACTAAAAGCAGAGATACATTAAACAAACAAGAAACAAGCAGAGAGCGGATGAAGCTAGAAGCTAGAAGCTAGAACAGAACCTCTTCTTTATACTTCCCAAGGATCTCGAGCAATTTAGATTGAGTAGCAGGTGGGAACTGCTGGATACCGATCCATTCACGTGACATCTGCAAAGCTGCCATAGACACAAATCCTTGTCCTACACTTTGAGGAAAGCAAAAAAAAAAAAAAAAATCACAAAAGAGAAGACTTTATCATCTGCTAGAATCTAAAGTTGTCTGATTCCACTACCTGAGTTAATCCTACGACTTTCTATCAAATTGAAATCTCTGGAAACCGCAAGGAAGCTAATGTTTTCACTAACAACACAAAACCCTTGAACTTAATCTTAATTTCTTTTAGATCTTTCATAGCAGTATAATCTCATTCCTCTAGAAACGACATGGCGTCAGTGGTCATACCAGCTAATAACTTAAGCACTGATTAAGTTTCACTAATCCAGTATTTTAGAAATAATCACAATCCAAAATCCAGAGAGAGCGACGCATTTTAGAAATACTTGTAACTTGTAAGCGAACAAAGTGAAAACCGGAGAGAGCGACGCAGGTAGAGAAAGAGACAGAGATAGTAACCTGCCGGAGCTTGAGTTACCAGTCGCGGGTATTCGTCGCCGGATTCGCTGACCTCGAATCAAATTAAAACCCTAGAAATGAAATTGACTTTTGACGGTGATTGATTTCCCACAATCCTAGTACACAGTTACATACACATTCAATTCAAGTGTCAACCGGACTTAACCGAAGGACGGTCTTCACCAGAATCAGCGAAAATTAAAAGATTGTTTTTTGTAATTACAATTTACATGTGCGGTTAAAATTAAGGATGGGCTGGGCTAAAAGTCCAATAAGGAATTGAAGCGGCCCAAAATACTTGCGGCCCTAGTTTTGCTAATCTTCTCCACTTTATAATCTCTCAATTCCTTTTCATCTTTTTTACTTAGCGAGCTCTGAAGAAGTTGGATTCATCGTCTGTGATCAGTCCCTGGTATGGTCTTGTTTCCTCGCTCTTCGCCTTCAATTCTAAACTTGGTTTTGGATCTCCTTTCTAGTAACATTCTTGCTGTCGGCGTTTCTGTGGAAGATTTGTTTGGATCTCCTTTCTTCTAAATTTTTGCGCGGAAGCCTGTGCGATCTTGTTTGGTTGCGTTTCCTGAGTTTTACCCGCTTTTGTTGATTTTGATTCTACAGTAATGTTTCTCGATTTTGATGCTCTTAGATCCGATCCGTTGGATCTGCGCGATTCTTTCGAATTCGTTTGGTTTGTTTATTATTTATTTGTTAGTCGAGTCTGTGTATTCGTTTGCTACCCGATGCGAGATCTCTTCAATTTTACGCAATTTATGATTCCGAAGATCAAATCTCGTGATTGATATTTACCGCACTAACTGGATTAACTTAACCGTCAAGTTCTTTGGATTGCAGATTGACATTGCATTCCCTGTAGCCGCTTGGATTGTTGGAACCCTAAAAGCAAATCAAAATGGTATTGAGTTCTATTCTATGATCTGTATTTACATTATCTCTGTGTAGCTTCAGGATTTGTTGTTAGCACCTTGCTAAAGTTAGAACCTGGGTGGTTTATAGGTCGTGCTTGCTGCTTCCATTGTGAGCAAGTCTGGGAAAGGTGAGCACTATTTGTATTACAAATGTCATTATTCTCAGTATTTTTTTTTGTGCGTTTTCCCTAACTTTGTTCTTTTATATATATAGTGCTTGTTTCCAGGCAGTATGTGGATATGACACGTATCAGAATCGAAGGTCTACTTGCAGCTTTTCCTAAGCTGGTTGGCATGGGCAAGCAGCATACCTATATCGAGACAGAGAATGTTCGATATGTGTATCAGCCTATTGAAGTTCTGTTCCTCCTTCTTGTTACAACTAAGCAGAGCAACATTCTAGAAGACCTGGACACCCTCAGGATGCTCTCCAAACTTGTATGCTTGTTTCTTCTCTCGTGTAGTTTGTTTCCTTAAGGAGTCTTGCATGTGTACTGTTTGATCACTTTGACTGTTTTTCTAGGTACCTGAGTACTCCGAGTCGCTAGATGAGGAAGGGATTGGCAGCGCTGCTTTCGAACTGATATCCGCTTTTGATGAAGTCATATCTCTTGGGCACAAGGAGAGTGTGACGGTTGCCCAGGTGAAGCAGTACTGTGAAATGGAAAGCCATGAGGAGAAGCTGCATAAACTGGTTATGCAGAGCAAGATCAATGACACTAAAGACGTGATGAAGCGTAAGGCTAATGAGATTGACAAAAGCAAGGTACTTGACAGCAGCGCGCCCTGCTTTTTGTGTTATCTTTTGCAAAACTCCTATTAATATTTGTTCTTTTGCAATTTTTAGATTGAAAAGAATAGAGATCTTAAGGGAGGATTTTCGTCCGCGACCGGAATGGGATCTGGAAGGCTTGATAATAGTTTCAGTGACATGAGCATATCCAGTGGTCGTGGCAATAGTTTCGGAGGTGGCCCTGGGTTTGGCATGATTTCAGATGTTGATCCTATCAATACCAAGGCGAAAGGTTAGTGTTGCTACTGGATCCTGAGTTTTGTTAAATAAAAATGCACCAGTGTTTGCTCAGCGCCTCTATTTCCTGGTATACCTGTTTTTGATAGAAAAATTTACTTGCTTTGATAGTCATTTACACCATGCTTAACTTCACAGATCGATCAAGGTCTTCCGTGACTGCTGCTCCTAAGAGTTCTGGCATGAAACTTGGCAAGTCGGGAAAGAACCAGTTAATGGAGTCTCTTAAAGCAGAAGGTGAAGACATCATTGAGGATGTTAAGCCTACTGGCCAATCCAGAGCAGCTGCCCCACCTCCCACTGACCCCTTCACATTAACTGTCGAAGAGAAGCTCAATGTCGGACTGAGACGAGATGGTGGAATCAGTAGCTTTGATATGCAGGGAACCTTGTCGCTTCAAATTCTTAACCAAGAAGATGGGTTTGTCCAAGTTCAGGTACTCCAACTGTCTTTAACTAAACTATTTCCAAGAGTCTCCGAGGCATTTTACGATTTTCTTGAATACATATTGTATGGATTTTGTCTCCAGATTGAAACCGGTGGAAACCCTGAAATTCTTTTCAAGACCCATCCCAACATCAACCGAGAACTCTTTAACAGCGAGAGTATTCTAGGGCTGAAGAGAGCTGATCAGCCATTTCCCACTGGACAAGGCGGAGATGGCGTTGGTCTTTTGAGGTGGAGAATGCAAAAAGCAGATGAGTCCATGGTGCCACTAACAAGTAAGGCTTTGGAGATTAGCGTGTCTGTTTCTTGAAAGGTGTACAAGTAAATGTTTGACTGATTGATGCAAATCTTTGTGTGGTGCAGTCAACTGCTGGCCTTCAGTCTCTGGAAATGATACATATGTCAGCATTGAGTATGAAGCCTCGTCCATGTTTGATTTGACTAATGTCATCATCTCCGTACCTCTTCCTGCTCTGAGAGATGCACCAGAAGTTAAACAATGTGATGGGGACTGGAGGTTTGAAAAATAATTGACTCTAATTTTGAGATGAAACTCGAAGCGTTTGCTTTTAGTCCAGTCTTGGAAGCTAACAAAAATATTTTGTGTGAATAATATCAGGTACGACTCAAGAAATTCTGTTCTGGAATGGTCTATACTTCTTATCGACAACTCCAACCGCAGGTAAATAAATGATGACAGCATCTGTTATATCACAGCTTAAAAGTTTTGTTTGTGAAGGATATAATAGACGAAAAACTTGTGCAGTGGGTCAATGGAGTTTGTTGTGCCACCAGTTGATTCATCGGTTTTCTTCCCCATCTCAGTTCAGTTTGCAGCCACCAGTACCTACAGTGGTTTGAAGGTATGATGAATCTTGTTCCTCTTGAAAAATATAAATTCCATATATATATATATATATATATATACATACTGGCTCATCTGAGAGATGAAAAAGGCATTGTGTTGGATTACATACGAATGAGAGGCGTGTTCATAACGGTGCAGGTGACCGGAATGATTCCTCTGAGAGGCGGTGGTGGTGCGACTCCAAGGTTTGTGCAGAGGACGCAGCTGATTGCACAGAACTACCAAGTCCTATGAGAAGAAGCTCTTTGAGTTTCTTTGCCTCTGGTTTTTCTTCATTTTATTATACTTATCTGCTCTTTGGTTCTCTCTCATATCTGTATGCCAAAAGTTAATTCTTAATTTTCTGGGATTTTGCTAGTTTCTTTCTTGACTTCCTTCTAAGACTACATACATATCCTTTATTTCTTCATGAACTCTCCCTTGCGTTGTCAATCTTAACGACTTTTATGTTCATAGCCATTTGTTGAAACCCAGGTTTACTACATATATGATGATAATTTGAAGTTCTCAAAATGATCTTATCGCAAAATTCGGTATGCTAAATTGTTGTTATTTCCCTTGCAAGTCGTGTTATCCAACGTGATTTTGATCACACACACAGAAAAAGGATTTTGATGAAGAATCTCGTTTAGGGTTCTTTTTTATTTTCTTAATTTGTTATCAACTATTGTTATTTGATCCACTCTCTTTTTCGAACAGTATTTATTGACGACTAAAGAAAGGCGTAGGACATAATTAGTCTATTTTCGGGTAGGAGTCAGAGATTAGCGTCTTCATATTGGCAGATTCTTTCGACAAATCAAAGGACGAGAATGAGTAGGGCGGGAGAACAACCGTCAGGTCCAACTCCTCAGGCTTCTCCAGCCAGCTTTCTTGCGGCACAATCTTCAGAAAATAAAAGAAAAAAATGACTTAACAAACGTTTATCAGAAGAAGAAGTAATAATAAGTCATGTGTGATTGATTCTTGATCCGTTTTACCATATCAGGGTTGGAGAAGGAATTCTCATCCATCACACTGGCAGATGTAAGTACTGTCTTCTTTGATCCAGAAAGTTTTGTGTCCAATCCGGTCACCGATACCTTGAGACTCACTGATTTGTTCCCAAAGTTTACAGCCTGCCATATATATAGATCAACACACACAAAAAAAAACATTCATATTAGGTCAGAAGCAGAACTCATGTGCGTGTTGCAACCTGATACACTATGTGAGTATGCGAAGAAAGGCAAAAACCTTAATCTGTATGTAATCTGAGCCATTGGTTTGGAAGGATATGGCAGATGCTTCAAGGTGAGAAGTGATTCCATTGAGTGTAGAGTTGAGAAGAGTTGCTCCACTCGACTCTGTGAAGAAGTGTTGCACCCAATAGCTAGGAGTTCCATACAAATGAGACGCATTGAAAACTATTGCATCCGGAATCCACCTGAACATACAAAAGCAACGTCTTGCTTTCTGACTAAACAAAGAAAACGAAAATGTAACTAAAAGTGAGAGAGATACCTTCTGTTGTTTGTGTTGACGAACAGAGGTGCATAACTTGCCATTCTTACAATGTCACTGCAACAAAACAAAGACAGTAACTGTCTGAATTCTTTGCTCTGTGGTTATCCAAACTCAAGAAGACAAGATTTTTTAAAAAAGAGAAAAAACCTGTTCTTTTCCAAACCAAGGAGGAACCCTGCTTCCCCAAGAGCGGCTAGAAGGCTTCCACTATTAGCATCTGTTTTGTTTACAGCGTATTCACTAACAAAAGCCTGTGTAATCCAAAAAAAAAAATGTTCAAAGAAGATATAATGAAAATGAAATCTTTTTCTACCATCATCTACTAATTACCGCACCTTTGGACCGTTGCGCGATGCATTGTCAAATTTATGGGACATGGAAAACAAGTCCATGGCAAGAGTGTAAATCTGGAACAAAAGGAGATGATCATTACTTTTCAGAAATCAATGAGATGCATAGACGCGGCTAACTTTTGTTCCAAGTTTTAAACATTTTACGTGATAATCATAGTAATCTGCAGGGTGATCGAGCGGCTGAGACGATCCATCGCAGTTGGAGATGATTTTGATATCTGGATATGCATTTTTTATAGCATTATAGAACTTAAGGTAGTTTCCTGAAGAAAACAAAAAAGGCTGTGTATCTAAATTATTTGCTTCTAAATTTGGTTATTATCATGGAGAGAAATGTAATAAAAAACCTCTGTAGTTTTTGAAGTTACAATCTTCATTTCCGACAGCAACATATTTCAGTTCAAAAGGCTCTGGATGTCCCATTGCAGCTCGTACCGATCCCCATGTGGAATTAGAATCACCACGAGCAAACTCAATACCTTCGAGCGCTTCCTGAAACCGACAAAAAAAGAAACACATCTTTTAGTTTTGTCTCTGCCTCACTCTCTATAACTAAAACAGAGAGAGAGTCTCATGCGGATTAATACTTGAACAAAGGGCATGACACTTGCTGTTTCAACTTGTTCATTGTGACTGATTCCTGCAACAGTTTCACAGAGGTAAATTGCATGTAGTAAAACATAAAGTCTTATTGATATAAAAAGGCTCTTAATTAAGAATTACCATTATTAACCACCCATATTGGGGCAGCACCGATATCTTCAGCCAACTGTTGAACAATTCTTGAGCTTTAGGGAATAACTAATTAAGGTTACAGATCCAAAAAAAAAAAAAAAAAAAAAAAAAAAATCTCACTTGAAAGAACTCAAAGTGACCAAGGCCATCATCAGTCCAGTAGTCCCAAACATCACCAAAATGGCCAGGTCTCTCTTCCCAAGCTCCCACTGTTTCTTTCCAGCGGAATGCATTGCGCAACCATACACCTTCCACAAAACAACCACCTAACTCTCCAAAACAAAAGATTGATATGTCTCTTTGCTTTACTTCATCTAAATGGTATTTTGTGCTCTTTAGAAAATTACCCGGGAAACGGATGAAACGGGGTTTTAGATCGACCATCATTTTGAGAAGATCGTTTCTGAAACCATGTCCCTGTGGCCAACCAAAATATGCATTATTTGTTTATTTTTCCGGACTAATTTCTCTTTTTTGGTTGGTTACTCAAAGAAGTAGAGGAACCTTGTAAGTATCCACAGGCATGGCTGAGACTTGATCAAACCAAACTGAACCCTTTTTGGTAGTTGTCAGTTGAAGTCTTGCACCGTGATCTGTTCCATTTGCCTCCAAAAGCAATTCCTTCTTAGTCCAGTTTGAAACATCAGAAGCCAAAGCTCTGCAACAAGTCAAACGGTAAACAACAGAAAGTATGTATATATGGGAATGTGAGAGTTTTGATCTCTAACATGATCTTTTCTGAAGCAAGAGTCAGTAATCCATCCGAGCTAGTGAATGACACAGACACATCAATATCCCCAGTGGAACGCATATAAAGGGCCACTTTGTATTTCTTCCCTGATTCAATGTTCTGAAAACGCATTTCACCATTAATAGAAGAAAACGCATAATTTGCATTTGAGAGTATATGGGAAATGAATGCAACCATGCCCCAGTAACCGGGGTTATAAACACCGACTCCTTGTGATGGACAAGCATTGCTGTGACAAAGCACTTCCATTCTAAGTGAAATTTTGTTGCGCTCAAAACATGAAGAACGGTCTGTAACGACATAAATGGATGATTCATCTCCAATAACAGACCAAGGCCAGATATTTGAAGGAATGTTTTGTCCTCCAGCTTCAAAACCTGGAACCAATGATTTTCAAAACCAAGAGTTTGTTATTATCAAAACCATTCTATCTTCATGAAAAAACAATATCTAAATAGGGAATAAAGTTAACCTCTGTTGCTAACAAGTTCAGCCCACAGTCCACCTGCTCCCGCATGATTGATTTCCTATAAAAAAAAAATGCATCAGATTCTGTTTTTGATGACAACATGAAAAAAGCAGAGAAGTAATGAAATTTTGCAAAACCTCAAAGAAGATCCCGAAAAGGGTTTCAGGAATGGGTCGTCCTGTGGCGTTAGAAGCATCTACATGCAGTGTCACACTATGTTTTTCGGCGTCTTCTCGAGCATCAACAAGGCTTTGGTCGTAGGCAGAACAAGAGCCAAGGAGAAGTGAAAATATGCAAACACTTTTGAGAAACTTCCAAGAATACTCCATGCCCATCATCACCACAGCCGATCAAAGGAATGTCCCTAACAGAGACAACAAATTCTAGGAAAATCAAAACATTAGTCTTGTTTTCAAACATTGTCCTAAAATGTCTTCAGAAAACAAGAATGTGTTCAAATTCAAAGATTCTTTTAATGCAAAAATCCATTATCCTTGAAAACACAACAAAATTTCAAGATCAAGAGAAGAACACAAAAGATCCATTGTGTAAGAGAAACAAAAAAAAAACGTGGAATCAACTAAAAATGTACCGTTGATTGAAGAAAGACACGAAACGTATAGGAAAGAGTGAGAAGTAAAACCAGGATTATAAGTAAATAATTTACCAAGTGTTTTTCTGATCTCGCTTGCTTTATAGGCAAAATCGGCAAAAGACTTATGCTTTCACGTCTCCTTTAATTTCCTTGTTTTTTCATGCAAGAGTGCGGAAGTTGGTTTACAAGTGAAATTGAAATTCTCGTCCATTTTTGTGTTCTTTTCTCCTTTTTGGATTAGTTTAACTTTCTTTTCTTATAAATAATTGTATTTATTTCATTTCTGAATTGGTTTCTTTCCCATAAACAAAGGGAAAAAGAGCATTGGATACTATGGGTATTTTTTTTTTTTTTTTTCAAAACTGTGACTTTTTGGTCATTAGTCTACTTTTAAACCTCAAAAATTCCCGCCAAAAACAGGTTCTACAACCTACACACAGACAAACACGCAATCTCAACCATTCATTGCTAAGTTGACCATTAATCTCCCATAGACGAGTGATAATAACTATGGTCAGACGTGAATCCATAAACAAACAGTAAACGACAGAGAGCACAATTTAAAAGCACAGTAGAGAGAGACTCATCACACCAAACTAGAAAAGATGGGTGGCTATTCATTTAAGCTCTTCTCACAAACGTGGTTCTGCTTTCATCAAAACCTGCCGAGCTTTTCCTTTTCTTTGGTTTATCGTTTTCTTGGTCCATATACTTAGCACCAGAACGATCACGGAGCGCTTTCATGCTATCGTTGTCATCATTAGCCCACCCCAGCACCTGCAAATAGAGAGGGAGAGAGTCAAGAATGAACAGGCTTGAGAGAGAGAGAGAGAGACAAGAGTGCAGCTTATTATAGAGTTACCAAATGGCGTCCGTAGAAATGGATGTTTGATAATGCTTTAAATGCGTTTGAAGCTTCTTGCTTTGTCACGAATTCAACAAAAGCAAAACCTTTAATCTGTTTTGTATTACGCCTTGGAAGCCTAAGACCCTTGATCTGCATCATAAACAACAAGAAACATGAATGTGGTTTTGATGTTTTTGAAAATCCAAATGCGAGCTACTATAATGTTACCTGTCCAAATTGACTGAAAAGCCCTCTTAGTTCTTTAGGGGTTGTCTCAAAAGGTACATTATTCACAATCAACTTTGTACAAGTTTGTTTGTCCTTCTCTGAACCTTTTTTCCGAACCGTGTCACTCCGCTTGTCTTCACTGAACGTCAAGATCAGAGCATGACTATCCAGAACAGTTCTCTGCAAATTTTTAAAAAAAGTGTCAATGTACTTGATCAAATCCAATCAAACTTTCAAAGAGACTTAACTATCGCATACATGTGCATCTCTGATGGCAGTGGTCGCTGTATCATTAGAGTCGAATTCTACAAAACCATAACCCTTTGAAACCATCTTCCCATTCTTTTCATGCTTTATTATCTGCTTAACAATCGATAATTTAAGAAATATTAAAAAAATAGACTTATGTATATATGGCATTAATCATGTGTCAGCAATGAACAAAAACTTACCTTGACACTCAGAATCTTTCCCTGCTTCACCACTTGAGTCAAATGCTTCTCCAAACTCTCTTCACTTGTCTTGAAGTTCAGATTCTTAACATAAACAACACTGGACTGAAATATAAGGAATTTTGTTAGCTTGCAGACCAATTCATTAATTTGTTTACAAAATGGATCAGAAAAAAAGATATGATTTCATAACTGAACATACCTCAGTTATATCCGTATCGATATTAACCAGCTGCTCCAAGTTGACTCTTCTCACATGATTTTCTCCAACATCATCACTATTATTTTCGTTGGTATCAGGAGCAAGTGGTTTTGGCTCAAGAATATCTTCAGGAGCCCACTCCAGATACAGGGGAGCATCTCTGCAATGATAAGGAAATGTGATGAGGGCAGTTTAGTTTAACAATAATGGCACCATCAGTAATCTATAAGAAGCACTCTAGGGTTTATGTCAGAGCTTACTTATAACGCTTGCCTGCCATTCGCTTATAAGCTTCACGTGCTTCAGCCGCTTCGAGGCAAACAACCTGGAAGGTCATGTGAAGACCAGGTTAGAGAACAATCAACTATAGTGATAACTGAAGTCAGACACAAAAATGGAAGAAAAAGCACCAAGGCCATGGTCTTGGTCGGAGGGAGGATGATTTTGTCTAGTCTTGCATATTTTCCAAACATTTGAGCAAGTTCCTTTTCTGTGGAAGCAAATGGCAGATTCTTTACTAAGAGGATATGTTTGCTTCGTTTCTTGTCATCACCTTTCCCTGTAGCAAAAGCTTCCAGAGAAGTGACATTTACTCCAGCTTTAGCAAGAGCTTCTTTGGTTTCCGCGATCACTTTTGTCTCTGCCAAAGCAAGGCGTACAGCAGGATCTTCACATTCACGGTCAAGTAACTCGCTCTTGCTTACACCATACATCCTGACCATGTTTTCTACAACCTACAACACATGAGAGAGGTAAGAATTTAAAAAACTAGATTTAGAAAACATTAATGGGATGCATTCTCGAAACAAGGATAAAAACCGTACAGTATCAGAACGCATAAATAGACTATTCCAAGCCTTTGTATTTCCACCAGCTTCAGACGCCTTTCTTTCTTCCTCTCTCTTTTGCTTGAATGTTGTTTTTGGCACATCATGATTCCTGTTGGGAGAATCCATGTTTAAACAACTAGTGGAACATTCTTTTGGTTCACAACAAAAATATTAGAAATTAGGGCTAATATATATTAGGTCACTGACACTTGTCTATGAGACGTTTCACGGTGCTTAGCTGGCGATACACGCAACACCCGGCCCTGGAAAAATGAGTTATCAAATCCCTCCATTGCCCTGCATCACCATCCAAGTGATTTTAACAGCTAAAGATTAACATAGGGGATACTTCTTGAAAAGCATTCACTGAGACCTCAACATACATATAACTATATAAGGCTATACTTTTTACCTTGCCGCCGATTCAGGAATCAGGTAAAGGATAAAGGCAGTTCCTGTGGCCCGTTTTGTCTCCTTGTCAATAACGAGATGGACCTCTGATATCTCACCGAATTTGCTAAAATGTTCCATAAGCTCTTCTTCTCTATTGCATTAGATTTATTTGACAACAGTCAGAGATATGTATATGCTGAGTATAACACAAGGATAACAAAAAAACAGAAGATGAGCAAGACGAACCAGTACGTTGCTTGGTAAGCCAAGTTATGGACGAAAAGGCGACCAGTGACAAGAACATCATCACTGTCAGCTTTCGATTCTTGAGCCATCTTGCCATCGGCCTCTACCTCCATAGCATCGTCATCGTAAACTTTATCCAATTCGCCATCGCCATCAATGGGAAAAACACGGACATCAGCATCATGACCGTCTGCGTCGTCCGCAAGATTATCAGCATCATGTTGCTCATCACTATCACTGTCCGAATACGACAGGTTTTTCTTTGTCCTCCTACTCTTAAAGTATTCCATATCAGAGACATCATCACTGGGAGCAACAACTTTCTTCTTTTTAGCCTTTTCAGTAGTATCTGATGATCTCTTAGCTTTGTTACGCTCAGCACCATTGGAAACCATCGGCTCATCCGCTTTCTTCACCAAGACCTTCTCTTTGCTAGTGACTTGAACGGTAGGAGCAATCGACATGTCATTGGACCACATTTTCTTCTTACCCCACTGCACAACGTCAAGAAACTCTTGGAGAGAAGGAACAGCAGACTCTGGTTCCTTCTTAATCTTTTCACCAATTTTCTTGAATTTCACTTCTCTCTTGAGTGAATGACGACTCCGCGGACGGGGAGCGTTCTCATCTCCGGGTTTATGAGCAATCTATATATATATATATATATATATATATATATAGGTTAAAAGGGGAATCCAAGTTGGATTCAAGCTAGTACTTACACAGAAAGTGAAAAACAGAGTCTCAAAGTCTAAGCGCAAACCTCAACTACTATCCGAGAAGTGTCAAGATAATTCTTGTTGAAATACTTAATAGCTTCTTGAGCTTCATGCTCAGTACGAAATCCAATAAAAGCAAGTCTACTTCTACCTTCCCTGCAAAACATCAAACGCTGGTGATTCAAATTAAACAACACAAAATTAGTTGTGAAATCACTCGATTTAAATATAGAAGAAGTAGTACTCGGTACGCATCACTTTCACGTCTGTGACTTCTCCTTTCTGTGAAAAGAAATCTCGAAGTCGTTCGTTTGTCACCTGCTTGGGCAGATCTTTCACGCATATCCTCGACCTGGAATTTACAAAGCCGATCAAAAGAAGAAATACTTTCTTACATTGGTTTTATTTATGCGAATCAAAACCCTTAAACAAAGCTATCTCTGGACCAATACTTACATTTTAATCGAAATTAGGGTTTCTAAGAGGAGAAGAAGGAGACGACTTTTTTTTTTTTTGGCTGTTGCAAGATGAAAGAGTGTCGGAATAATATGATGTTAACCGATCGGCCGCCAACGACGGGAGAGATAAGAAGGGGATAGGGTTTTTACCATTTACTTCTTTTAGGTCGACTTTCATGTTTTTTTATATATTTAATCTTTCAATTGTTATTATTATTCTTGCATATCAAGTTATCAGGGTAAACAAGGTTAATTTGATCAACTAGACTGGATATCATTCACGAACTCTGGTTCCTTCTTAATAAATAAGTAGGACACAAAGTCTACATGCTATATTTCTTCCAGTCTTCACACGGTAAATCTTATGCATCTCCAGCAAGCTTGCTTTCGTGTTTCACAAGTTTTCTTCTTTTTTTATGTTTCTATACTATATATTGGGTAGTTTGGTGAATTCTCGTTATGAAAAAATAACAATGTTCGCCAATGAATCCAAATGGTAAAAAAAATTGGTGTTCTAATCTACAACATCATCTGCAGATGGTTTTGTTGAGTAGTCTTGGATAGGACAATGGACACATCAACCTCTGGAACCAGTCCTCTTTAAGTCTTGCTATAGACACTTCATCAGAATGTTATAGCCAATTTAAACAAGATGATACAACATTGAGAGATTCTTCAGTGTAATTACTTGGGAAGGTCTAGTTGTGATGAGAAGAATGAAGGATCAAGCTCAGAAGCATCCTCTCTAGTCGTCTTCGTTCTGTCATACTCATCGCTAATGTCACTGATATCTAAGTTACGTGTCTGCAAAGGAAGCTTCTTCGGGCTCTCCCTTTTAGTGAGCTTGCCTCCCATCTCTGTATCATATCTCACGGATGAGCTATACTCTGACTGATACTCAGATGCTATTGTCATGTCATCTTCTTCCGGGACCATTGCCCTCAGATCTAGTTGCGAAGGTGGGATCTTGGCAAAGAACACTTCTCTAACATTCTTCAGTAACCCTCTCTTGTAAGGATTTTCTTTCTTATCATAGCGGTACCGGAAATTCTCATATGTTGTCTGCAACAGACACAACACAAGAAAGATCTCAGGGCTAAGGCAAGGCAACAAGACTAAGGTATGTTCCCATGATGAAGGTAAAGACTTTACCTGATTTGTAGACATGAGATAGAAGTGGAAAATGGTAAGGCCACCGACGAACCAGACAGCTACAAACGAATAGACGATAAGAACGACAGAGACTATATCATAAGACATTGTCCTCCATAGCTTCCCAGGCTGTCGGATTAGATTGATCCAGGAGAAGACAAAGACATATATGCATAACAATGTTGAAGTTGAGATGAAGCAGATGAAGAACGGGTAGTTTCGCTGCAAAAGATTCATACCAAAACAGGTTTTACTTGCAGTTTCAAACATCATTCATATCGGAAGATGTGAGAAAGAAACATACTCGGGCAATGCATTGTCCAACCCATGGACAATGATGATCAAAGCGTTGGACACAGTTGTTGCAGATGGAGCAATGTGATGCGCGTGGCGGACGGTAGAGAAAGCAAGTGTCACAGAACTTGACTTTGATAGTGTAACCGTTGATGAAAACGTCCTTGGTTCTTGGAATCTTGAGATGAGGGGTTTTGTTGTTGACCCATTCCATAGACTGTGTCAAGGAACTATCTGAACCATCTTCAAGATTCATCGACGGTTTGTTCCTCGGGATGATTCCTGGATCCCTAGCTGATGTCAACAACAGAAACGTAAAATCCTGCAGATGCGGATGCAAAGATATCAGGTTTAAGGCAAGCAAAAATTTGAACAGCTTAAAAGGATTTACAAAGGAGACAAACCAAGAGGGTGAGGATAAACCCTGAAGTAAGAACGGAATAGTTGAAGAAAGGATCGCCTTTTCTGATCCATACGAGCATCCTTATGCAGAATGTAAGCGCAGGAGCTCCAATTAAGAAGGACGTTAGGAACAGAGATGATGCATCAGGACCAAATATTAGCCTCCCTCCACAGCAAAATCTCTGATGCAACAAAAGTAAAATCAAACAAAGAAAACATATATAATCAACGACAGTTTCAGGTATATATATATATGCCAAGAAGAAGAATCATGAATCCAACATCTTAAAAAGGAAGAAAGAAAATATTAATATATTACGTTGTTACCCTTCCAGGCTTTGTACAATCTGATCTCAGAAGTGTGTTTTGAAGTTGAGGCCGTCATGAGAATATGATCACCAGAGGGAATACAATGAACCTGACTACTCTTCTTCTTGCTCATTCTCTCCCTCTGCATTCTCTGTTTTCCCACACATGAAGCCTATCTTCAAACAACTCTGCCCTACAAAAATTCTAAATTTTCAACTGGGTTTTCAAAAAAAAACTCAAATTTGTCTTTGGTATTTTAAGTTTATAACCAAATCAAAGAAATAAATCTGGGTTTTTGGGATCTTTTTTCTTCTTCTTCTTCTTGTTCTTTAACTATAATCCATTGAAAACCAATCCTCTGCAGTTTTGTTTTCTCTCTCTCTCTCTCTCTACCAGATTTCTTTTTGTCCTCTAATAGTTTCCAAGATTTTCGGTAATTAAATAGATAAAGAAGAGGAAGTGCCGGAACGATAATTTTGTTTTTCAAGTTTGTTGTCTCCCTTATGTGAACATTATCTAAGATTCTTCTTAGCTTTAAATTTAGCTGTCGTTGGTTTTCTAATTTTAAATTTTGGTTTTTGATCTTTTGTATCTGTAAGCCTTTCCCTAAAACCATAGGATCTATAAATAACTAGAATGGCAAATCGGAACACAAAAATGTTTAACATTCGGCTTCATTAGCAAACGTTATTATTTCCCAGAATGAGAAATCCCCAGACAAATGACATCTCTCTCTTACAATTAAAAAAAAACAAGATATAACATTTTAAGTTCGAGTAGTAGCGTTGAGACACTGACTGTGATTAAGCATCATCATAGTCTCTTCAAACTTTTCTTTCTGGCGTCTACTTTCTTCTTGTCTGCCTGAACCTTGGCCAAACCAGCTTCCCTTTTCTGCGTCGTAGTGATCACACTTGCAGATCCTGCAGTAGCTGCTACAGAAACACTAGCCACTTGTTGTTGATCTTGGCCACTCGTTGCTGTTGGTCTCTTGACGTCTGCCACTGAAGACGGTATTGCAGTAGCAGCACCAGGCGTCTCATTGTTAGTCTGCCCAACATTTAGAGCCGTCGTTGACTCTGAGATAGCTCCTGTCTTGAACTTGGGTTTTGGTTTTGCATGGATACCCGTGTAAAGCCTGCAAACAAGTCCGGTATATACCAACTTAAAACTCATTCGTTTCTTGACCAAAAATAGAAAACAGTATCTTCAGAGATTTTGACAACATGTGAGACCAAAGTAGATGACTCACCGAGCATGCCTTGCATACTCTTCATAGTTTTCAAGCAGCATCTTGCCCGCCTGCTCATTTAACGCAGATTCTGGAAATGGCTCGATCAGTAAGCACCTCACAACCTGTTAACATGTACAAACACACAGTAACTCAGTGTCAAATTTTAAGTAATCTGATCAAAGCAATGAAAACATATGGGTCAAGAAAGCAGCTTACAGAGAGAACATGTCTTAATCCTAGACTAGGGTTCCAATCTTTTTTAAGCGTATTCACGCAGATCTCTCCATTAGAAGCAACATTAGGATGGAATATCTTTGTCATGAAGTAGCCTACAATGTGCACACCCAGGAAATTCGAAACCATCAGAAAATTTCTGTGCGTCTCACTGGCTTAACATCTCAGTGGACTGTCTATCTAAGTGGCATACCTTTAGGCGGCGAATGTGGAAAATCATGCGACAAGGCTAACTTCATTCGGAAAAGTCCATTCTCATAAGGAGTCCCAACTGCATGCAATCAAGGTAGAAGAACGTCTTACTTTACATCACTCCATATCTGTAATCTTGCAGAGTATCGAAATACATAGGGAAATAAATGTGCACCTGGTCCTTCAATATCAGCACATATTTGTGAGAAATCCTCGTCATTCACCACAACCTTGATGCCATCTGGAGGGGATTCGTCAAGACTCTTCAGTTCCTTGGCGAGCTGCTTGATAACATTGGGTGGTAGATTCTCATTACTTGCCTGAGCAATCAAGACACCGTCAAAGAAGACATATCAGAACAGGTAAACTTCAAAGGCCTCTCATAAACTCCAAGTAAGCACAATTCTACTTCTAAGCAAGAAATACACAGAGAGAGAGAGAGAGAGAGAGAGAGAGAGAGAGAGAGAGAGAGAGAGAGAGAGAGAGAGAGAGAGAAGTAGAATTACCATGGAGAATAAAAAATGCAAAAGGACCCTCCGCACAAGTTCTTCTCCTCAGGCTCAGATAAACAGCCAGACGCGCCAATGTGACAAGATCCTATTCTGGTCTTCAAGACTCAAATGCGATAAAACTGAGCCAAAACCACACACAGAAGAAAACAAGTCAATGCTTCGCTTTCTCAACAGATTTGCATCAAACAATTATCCAATTAGTATAAAGGTTTCATAAACATATCAATTTGGCAAGTGATTAAATCCATTTCTGCAACAGAGAAGCTATTGAAAGTAAGGTCATTACGCAAACCGATGAGAAAGGAAAAAAAAAAAAGGCCTAAACTTGGATCTCCTAAAGAAGGGTGAAGACACCAATTCACTGAGAGTAAAGCGGAATAAGTGAAATCAGACCGAGATAAGAACCAAACGCATTCAATACACAAGAAGGAAGCCAGCGATTGAGGAATCAGAAGAAAACCCTAATATGAAATAATTTGGGATCTCGACTAATCGAATCTAGGGTTTTCCTAAAAAAACTCAGATATATACGAACAATCGAAGAAATCAGAGAGATAACACATCGCAGTACACAGACAAAGCAAAGAATCACATCCATAGTCCAGCGTTTGCAAGAACGAAACAGACTCGTTGAACAAGTATAGAGAAGAAAAACGATGAATTTATATTCATCAGAAATCAAAGGTACCTTTCCACGAAACTGAGATACGCAGAGAGTGAGAAAAGGCGATCCTTTTCTCTCAACCTCTCGCAGAGTTAATGATTCAAGTTGAAATCGAGAAGAGAGAAGAGAGACAAGGAGGAGGTTCAATTATTGAAATTTTTAATAAGAGAGAAAGAGAGAGAGGCAAATGTTTTATTAAAAGGAAATTAAAGGAGCGTATCAAAAAAAATAAAGTAAAAAAGAAAGAAACTGTGGGTAGTTTCGTAAATTTTCTGCCAGGCTGGAATTGACCGTTAGGATGTCTTCTTCTTCTCACCCGCTAACTACTAACTAGCCGTTACTTGTGTCAGGTGTTTCTTTAACTATGATTTCTTTCTCAACCTTCAAATTTATGATATCCCAAAAATGAAACATAACCCATATATAGATTTTATATATATAAGGAAAACAACCCTTATGCAGAATTTATGTATAAATTAAAGAAAAATTATCGTATATACACTGGTAGCATGTGGTCGAGTGACAAAACCAAATCTTGTTATTATTTACTAACCAAGATTTTAAAAAAATGATTTATCGAGATAGGTTCTTGCAGAGATATATTTTCAGTTTTTTTTTTTTTTGGCCTCTTGTAAAGGGAGTTTCTTTGAAATGGAAGAGAGAGAAGAAAAAATAGAAATATGTAAAAGAAGAACACAACAACAATCAAGTGTTTTTTTTTTGCTTTTGTTAGGAATTTAATTTTGGTTTTTTCTTTGTTGAAGTACAGATATGTATTTCGTGGCTTTTGTGTTCCTTAGAGGACGAACAAATATGTGTACCCAAGGCGTCACACTGCAGTTTATCAAAAGAATAATTTTATATGGTTCATGATTGTTAGAGTAAAACAATATTTAGTGCGTTGGAGTTGTCGGTAATGTAGAGTTGAAGTTTAGATTTCTGTGGATATTTGATTATATTAGTTTGGCTCTAAATAATTTACAAACAGTAAACCTTTTTCTAATCTGACATTCGGTGAATTAATAACTATCTAGACTAACTTTTTTAACCGGTCTTAACTTGGATTAGTTGAACAAATAAGTTTCGATAAGATAAAGAAGAAATAAAACCATCATGTTAATGTAGTAATATCGTAAATTTTGACGTAATACTATTAGGGTTCGTAAGTTAATGAGATTATGTTTCATGAGGAACTGAAAAAGCCAAAAAGTTGCGACCTAAAAGAAGTATCGGAAAGCAAGATTTGTTGGTTGAGGTAATGAATCAATTCTCACCGGGCACGTTCTGTTTTGTGTTTTGATGAATGCAAATTTAATATGGTAGTGCCAATGATATCATAAGCCCGAATACAACGGCCCAACTACCATTACTGCAGTGATCATCTCCCGAACTACAACGGGACTTGTTTCTTCTCGTTAGATGTTCATTTAGACTATTCGCTATATTTAGCAAATAGATTTAGACTCTTTGTGGTTTAGCAAATTTCTCTCCACGTGATTTGTTTTCTAGGTTACATGTTTACACATAATTTTACCTTTAATTGGACGAAACCTTGAGCTTGGTTCGATTTTGTGTTATGAGAAAAATGACCTAGTTAGATCCAAACCATTTCAAAATTAGATTCATAACTGTACTCATGGAAAATTTTATATATCTAGTATATGATTAGGTAGTGTAGTTTCCATAATCCATACATTAATCCTTATATAAACAAATAATATGAAGTTGGTTCCTTTTCATGGACCCAGAAAAAAAAAAGTTAGTCTCTATATTTATCATTATCATACACATGTTTTTGATGTGGATGTGTACGTTGCAGCACTTGTTCGACAAAGGAGATTGGAAGGTGTTGTGTTTATCTTTTGGAGTCTTTCTACGATGAGAGTTATCTTATAGATTTTCAATCAAATAAAGACAAAATAATCTGAACCTCATGGACCCAAGATCAGTTCCGATTTCATCATTTTGAATATGCATTAAAAAATAAAAGACAAACGAAGTTGCATGATGTGGACCAAGTTTCTCAAACAATTTGGCTACTCATTTATTTATTTAGAACTGGGATATTCTACATGTATGTTCTTGTTTATCTTCGAGGATATCTAATATATATGGAAGTCTGTTGAAAAAATATTGTACGGCTAGTAACAAATTAGATGAAATTAGTCGAATAAAGTCCAAACAAGTCAAAAAGCTTGCGAGAACTTTTGTTATAAAATCTTTCCCGTGAAGCTTTAATCCTATATATTGAATATCTTGAGGGAATCTATATTAAAGACATGAAGGCGAAAGGTTCATCAATTGCCCCAATTGCGGTAAATCGGGTCACGTCAAACTCGTGTTTGGAGCAATCCAGTATTGTTCTTTCATCCCAACCTAAAAAAGGTGATTTATTGCACACACAGCCGTAAGTTTTTTCTTTTTTAATTATAGATTTCTGTGAACTATTTGTTTTAACGTTAACAGTTTAGTTATCTTATCCGCGTTATTGTTATTATTCGCTACATCAATGTGTTAATTATATAAAACTTTGAAAGTCATTTGACTCATAATTTTGTATGGTCTTTCTGAGTCTATAGCTGTTGATAATCGTACAAGAGAATTTGTTTTGTCATAATATTTTTATGTTTTGACAACTTCATCATTAAAATTCAATTTATTTCATAATCATTGTTATTTATTTTTAGAGTGATTATTTAAGTAAATTTAGACAATTAAACGTACCAATTATACACGTTTTTAACTGTTGAAAGATATGTAATGTTATATTTCTGAAACTAACGTATAGGGTCTATCTAGTTTGTCCTAACCTCCAAACTGATGTGATTATAGTTAATTTAATTATCTTGACATACCTAAACACAAGCGTCACAGGCTAGGTTAAACAAACACATAACAACCAATAATTAAGTGCCATGTAGATCCAAAATAAAGTTAGGTGCATTATCTTAAATTAATCTATAATTGTCCAAAATCCAAAGAACAAAATGGCATATACCATAATGATACAACAAAACCCCGGTTTCATGTTGAAGCTCTCTTCATTGGATATTAGAGATGCATTGAACAAGATGATTCTCAACTTTGTAATCTAGTAACTCTTCTCATTCATTCGAATCCAAAATTAGGTTTTCCCTAAATACATGTTTTACATCTATTAAGTTCATTGCACATGCGCCTCAGGTTCATTGCTCATGTTAATGCAATGAAGTGGCATTATAAGAGAAAAAATGCAAACGAAGTGAAATAAAACTAAACCGAGTTTCAAAATGCAAAAGTGTTCTCAAGTTAGCATAAGAAAGAATCAAAGAATTTTGCAGAAAGTTAATAGAAAGGGCACTAAAAATGGGTCAACAAGTGGAGGCCACGCGCCAAAGTAGGCGTCGGTCGAATCTAATGATGGCTCTCAACGGAGAAAAACAAAAAAACGGATAAAAATATAAAGAATCTTCTCATGTCTCTTCAAGTCTTTGCCTCAAAATCAATAAACTCTCTCTCTCTCTCTCTCTCTCTCTCTCTCTCTCTCTCTCTCTCTCCTCTCTTCCTCGTTTCATCATCACTTCTCAGATTGCGTTACCTTCTTTCTTGATGTTCTTTCTTCATCTTCTTCACCATATGGGGTTTGAGCGAGAAGGTGATGACAGTCAAACTTATCTCATTTGAGTAATTTGCCATTTTCAGCTGGAGACTCATTTTCCTCTTGTTTTCCGGGAAAGTTTCTGCCTTTTTCTGTTGCCTTTAATTGTCTTCCTCTCGAGTATGATTGCCTTTTATGAATACAGAAAAAGGTGAAAACAGTTGCTAATATAGGAATAGTCTTTCTCTCTGTAGTTGTGATTCATTTTTTCAAAAATGTTTCAGTGAAAAAAAAACATATCTTTGTGGGATCGAGAGTGTGAATTTGAGATTTGAGAATTTTTCTCTTTCTTAATTTTTTTCTAAGTGTTGAGGATGAGAGAGGAAGTTTCGAATTGGTTTTCCAAATGGGAAGAAGAGCTTCCGTCGCCGGAAGAGCTCATACCGTTATCTCAGTCACTAATCACTCCCGATCTCGCCATCGCCTTCGATCTCCGCAGCCCTAACCACCGTAACGACGGAAATTCCGGTCAGCCTCTGCCTCAGACCACGCCGCCACAAGCCAATTCCTCCGCCGAATTCGCCGCGGATTCTAACGGCGACGAACCAGCAAGGACCCTGAAACGACCGCGTTTAGTCTGGACGCCGCAGCTGCACAAGCGTTTCGTAGACGCGGTGGCGCATCTCGGGATCAAAAACGCCGTTCCCAAAACCATCATGCAGCTCATGAGCGTCGACGGGTTGACCAGAGAAAACGTCGCAAGCCATTTGCAAAAGTACCGACTTTACCTCAAAAGGATGCAATCCGGCGGCGGAGGCGGCGGTGGAGGAAACGTCGGCGAGTCCGATCTTCTCTTCGCGAGCTCGCCTGTTCCTGCACATTTCCTCCACCCGACAGGTAGACAAAGCTCCGAACATTTCATGCCGTCTTTTGTCCCAATAGCGGCTCTTCAGCATCACCAGCAGCAACCACCTCAGTTCCTCCACCGGCAAATCTCCGCCGCGAATTTCACCTCTCCAGCGAGCAACGGGAAAGCGATGGAGCAGTCGCTGTTCTTGGCAAGGCAGAGTCAGCAGCAGCCAGTTCTCATCAGACCATCTTCATTGCATTTGCATAGTCAATTGGCTAATAACGCAGAGGATTTTGAATCAGGAGCCAAGACCGTCTTGACTCTGTTTCCATCTCGAGACGATTGAACGAACATCTATTTTTAGGTTGGAACATCCATAGACAATCCGAGCTCTGTTTTTTTTTTTTTTGGTCTTTTGTTTGTGCAATGTAGTAGATCCGGTCAGTACCAGGCTCTGTGACCGGATCTGTGTTTAATGATTCTGTTTTACTATGTTTCAAAGTGTCTCTACAAATCTTCAGGAACATTGGCCTCCTTGGCCTGTAAAAAGATTGAGTGTTTTTTTCTCTGTTAAATCCTGATTGGATAAAAAGAAGTGATCTTTTCAACTTGTTTAGATTTAATTATTCAACTACTTTTTATTGCTTCTGTTGTTTGTGCTTGTGGTTCTAGATTTGTTCGTTAAAAGTTGTTCATAGCTTTGCAATTAATATAGCATTTGCAGCTTCTAAATCTCTTCCTCATCTGAAATTTCAAGAATCTGAGTATCACCAAATCCATGTTGCATATACACATAGAAAAAGAATGTGATGTGTATATCTAGCTATATATGTGTATGTATATATAAAAATCTATATTTATTGACCAAACCATTTTGATTCAATAGTACAGTGTACAGAGAACATGAAACAGCCAAAAAGCAAAGACTAGACAGTGCCAGGCAGAATCTGAATCCCAGGATCTGATGCTCTCATATCCTTAATCATACCCTATTTATTTAATTATTATTTCTTGTTTATGTGCATAGAATCGGTTATGGGACCAAACCCAATCAAGATTTTTCTATTAGTTATTTATTGGTTATCATAATCGTGATAGAGGAAAATTATAGGATATTTATTGGGTAAGGGTGGGATCAATTAAAAGCAATGATGGTGGGTTCATTAGCTGGCATGTTCTTCTGATCTGCTTCTACAAAAGTCATGCCCCTATAAAAGTCTTTCGAGAATTATTACTTTATTCTTTGATAGAAAAATAATAACAAGCCACATTTCAAATCATAAATCAAAAATTGGTAGAAGAAAGTTATACAAAACATGAATTGAAGATTGTATTTGATTGTGAACTTTTTTTTGTAAACATATTTGGTTACAAATTAAATAAACATGAATTGAAGATTGTATTTGATTGTGAACTTTTTTTTGTAAACATATTTGGTTACAAATTAAATATTGAATGTTTTTGAAGGTTACTTCTATAAATGGGCCTCAAGTTTTGTGGATCGGTCCACTTAGAGCAACCTTAGCTTCTAAAAAGAAGGAACGCTTTCAGTTTCAGATGGTAGTCTTTCGGAATTTTGATGCAAAAGCTTGATAATAATAATTTGTAACAAAAGAGTAGAGATGTCTTGTGATTAAAGCGGGAAAATGTTTCCAACAACAGCAAGAGAAAAAAGAAGAAAAATCTAAGACTACATCTATAAAACTTGTTTGCATACAGACATGAACACGACCAAATGTCAGGGATTGTGATGCCTGCAAAAGACGAAGAAGACAAAGGCACAATGGTCAACACTAGGGTAATTAAGCGTTCAAAAGAGAGTTTTTATCAAGAGTGAAAAACTAACCTGAAAAGATGTGCCTCTGAAGCAGTAGGCCACTCTGTATAAGCAGGTGCGTTAATAGAAGGTTGGTTTAGTGATTGTGTACAGAAAGCGTTCATAGCCCGGTTTAAAGGATGTCCATAGTTTATGCTGGCTTGAGTTCTTGGCATCGGTGGGAAAACCGCATCATGGAACGGAAGCTGAATAGGTATCGGATTGAAGTTTTGTCCCGGTGGCGTAACCCTCACGTACCTGCAAACACATTGAAACCCGTTACATTTTGAAGAAGAAGGTTCTTTATCATTAAGAGGAGATGGAGTGGGGTTTAGTTTAACCTGTTCCGGTCATAATCAGGATCATAACGATCCTTCTCTCTATCTCTAATAATGGCAACCCGAGAAATCCGTCCAGACTCTCTCATAACACCATTCCTCTCAACATCAACAAGATTCTCGGTCTCATTTCTGGTCGGGCATCTACTGTTATGTTTCGTTTCAAGAGGAAGCGGAGGAGGAGGAGCTCGTGTTGAAGAGTCTTCAGAGTCTGAACTGCTAGGGCTGTTGAAGATGCGAGCCCGGGCTTTATCGTACTCCTCTTTTCTCTCCTCAACGCTTCTCAAGAGATTCTTTTCTACTCCTGATCCACTACCCAGCCCACCAGACCCTCTGTTGGGTCTAGGCTTGATGGCGATTTTGAAACCCTCAGGCCTACCATAAGTCTCAGGTTGCTTCACGGGAATCTCGGACAAACAGACAAATGGGTACCTACTTTCCGCCGTTTTTGTCACCAGGATTCTGCTCCCTGAGCCATCTACAGCACCACTGTCTAAAGCTGTGGTGAATAGCCCGTAGTGCTGAGCAACACGGTGAGCAGCGAGACGAAGATACGATGTTGGAAAAGGCCGGAACTCAAACTGTTGCTGCTCTGGACTTTGAAAGAACTTCTGTATGTCTAGCTCCATACGCAAAACTGTCAACACCCAAAACAAAAAAAGAGAGAGAAGGAATGTTATCATCCACTCACCGAACTGAAAAAAAAAAAAAAAAACAAATCTTCCCAGGTATCTATGATTATAGTAGCAGTTAACTGAAAGACATGATTACATGAACAGACAAAGGGCACCTATTGAACATAAAGAGTGAAAGAGTCTTGTATCTATAAAAATTCTGACGAAAACTCAGAGCAATTGCATTCAAATTTAGCTAAATCGAGTTAACTGTTTTGCCTAAAGCAATAGCCATGGATCTAATCATCAAGCGCGAAAAGCCAAACCCTAGTCTCCAAAAGAGAAATTAGAAGTCGACCAAAATCCTAGACAGGTCGAGAAACCCAGAATTCCACTAATCAATAACGAACCCTAGAGACTACTGTATAAGCATAATCCAAAAATATATAAAATTAACTTCGAATCAAAGGGTGATTGACTAACTGGTGAGACGATGACGAGGGTTCTGAAGAGCCTCGACCAGAAAAGGATCCACCATAGCTTCCTTCTCGCTCATAGCGGCCATGAATGGATGGAGGCGCTTCTCTTTCAAAACTCCTATCCTCGATCTTAGTTTTCCTTCTTCTATCCCCTTAGAAATAAGGGAAACACACCAAAGATGTATCACGGAAGAAGGAGAAGGATTGAAATTGGGAGAAATTGGAGAGAGAGATTAAGAGAAGCAAATCGATGATGATGATGATGAGACGACAAAATCCCAAAATTCCAAATCCAAATCCAAATCCAAGAGGGTGAAGGAAAATACCTTATCGACCTTTTTAATCTCTCTCCTCTCTCACAAAACTAGTGGGGAGAAAAATGGGCAAATAAAGTTACAGCCTTTGAATATATTTTTTTTAAAAATCGTCGTGTCTTCTTCCAATTTCCCAAAGTAAAGAAGACAACTTTAACTTTTGAAATTATGAAAAAGGCTTCATTTGTTCATTTTCTTATGATTTGGTGTGGTCGGTTCCGAATGTAGATTTCAAACACGCATTACACACCCTTTTTTCCAATGTTTAGTAGATTTCTTTTTCATATGAAGTCATGTATTTACAAGAACCTTTTCTACAGCACAACGTTTATTTCCATTACAAAGGCAGTTTTAATTGTATTCTACTAAAGCTTTATATACTGTATATGACATAACCCAGAAGCTATCCACAGCTCTAGTGAAACTTGCCGTTTTCATACTTCATCACTTCAACCATAAACTTCTCTGGCTTGTTGCCCCTCTCTAGCTTCAGAAGCAGTTCGAATTTCACTCGGTCTTCAAACACCTGCACGTAAGAAAATATCATTACTTTACCTACTTACTTAGATGCTGGGGTTCGTTGATTAAGAAACTGATAGTGAAACGTAAGAAACAACTCTACCTTTGCCCTGGCCAGGATTATATCTATGAGTTTGTAGAGGAACAGCGAGTTTGATTTCTCTTGTAATGATTCCATGGCGTGCTTTGCTGCCTCTTGGACTTCAGGGTCATTTGTTGATACCGATCTCCACTCAAATCCATTGCCATCTGCCACATACAGAGCAAAGAGGAATAGTTTATTGACTTTTACAGTGATATACCATGGGTGACTATAACTAGCTGATCAAACAACGACAAGCAGATTCCGATTATAATATTACCAAACCAAATACGGCGTGTTTGGTGCTCACTTCACAGTTGATTACCTGATTTCAGGCCGAGGTCGGAAAGAGTGAAGGAGGGGATAACATTCTTGAACTCCTGAAGCTGTTTAAAGTTCATCCATGGCTTCACCCAAACTTTAGCTTCATAAATCTTCTTCTCGCCGGCTTCAATTACTTCAAGAGTCAGACGGTAGAGTTTCCCGGCAACCACCTGCTCCGTTGCCTTTAGTACTCGAGCAAGCTCAAGAACAGCATTCTACGCATTAAAGCCAGAAACCAGTAGAATAACATCAGAACAGAGAAATCATAATATTGATCACTACTAAAGAGAAAGAATCAAGCCTTGAACTTTCATCTTTAGTCTCTAATTCAAGAACAAGCAGTCACGTAAATTTCACTTGAATTCGCGCTAAAGAAAAAAACAATAAATTTAGAAACTAAACCAAATTTTGATTCTCCTCGTAAAATGAATGAGACCCTGAATTTCTAAAAGGATGAAATAAACGATCGATTCAGGAGTCACTCCAATTCAAAGAGTAATCATCATCTAACAGGAGACGCTAATCTTACTGTAATACAGAACAATCCGAACCCTAATTCCAGAGAAACCGTACCTCACGCCTATTGTGCTCTTGAACGGCAAAGAGTGCAATATCATCGACCGCTGCCCTATCGTTCCAATTATTCATGGAATCGCTAAATCCACCAAGCTTCATCTTTACCACGTTGTTGTTGTTTCTGTACGTTCCTTTTTCTTCACTGCAGATCGCAAACTGGCCAAATCCAGAAAGGAGAACCAACGACACGCAAATCAACATCATCCACACCGATGAACGTCTCATCTCCATCTTTGGGATACTCCGATTCCCAAGTGTTCGATCTAAACTCCGATTATAATTTTCGAAGATACCTTCGCAATCGCAGTCGCAGTCGCAGTCGCAGTCGCAGTCGGAGGTTGTTTCTTTCGCCGATTAGAGACTGAATCCGTTTTAGAGAAGAAAGAGCCACGGGCCGATAAATAGGCCTTCAGCCCATTTTCATTGATTCGTGGGCTGTTCTTAAAGCCCATGATCATATCGGCCTAATCTACTTCAAAGTTCATGTTTAAACTAATAGTGACCATATGTGTATATACTGTATATACTGTATGTTTAGGAGTTTCAGATAATGTTTGATAAAGTTGACTAAATCTTCAAAGTTTAAACTCTTATAAATAAATGTGTTTTCAACCATATCTAAATTTAATAGGGAAAAAAGCTAGCAACCAAATTCTCCTAAATTGCTTTGGAAATCAAATAGTATCTAGAACTAATTTTGACTATGTAAGTGTAACAAGTAATTAAGAAACAATTTTAGTTTTTGGTACCAGTAATTAAGAATTAAGAAACAATTTGAGCAAATGTAGTATGCTGATAGGAAAATGTATCATATCAATATATTTGATTTTTTTTTTTCGGTCAAATCTAAATCTTAAAAATTATATACTTGCGTAAACACGTAAGTCCAAAATCTACGACTGATAGATTTGTTTTTTATGAATTTCCTCAATGAGTCAATCCTTTACCATTTCTCTCAACAGTCAATATGCATTATTTAAAATAAACTTATTCAAACATCATAACACTAAACATAACTTTCTTTAATTTTAAAATCACATACAAAGTGTTAATCTATAAATACCAATCCCAGTGCAATCACATAATCAAACCACTAAAGTTAAGCCTATAAGATCTCTCGATGGATCCAACTGATCTTGAGATGCTGTCATCAGATTCGAGTAATGCTAGTGATGTTAGCGACCATGGATCTGCCATTGTGTTAAAAAAGAAGCGGACGTACAGATGCAAGTACTGTTCGAAAAAGTACTCCAAAACGCAAGCCTTGGGTGGTCACCAAAATGCGCACAAGAGGGAGCGAGAGATCACCAAAAGACAAAAACAAGCCATGTTGCCACATGTGAACCAACCGGATCCAGATCCGTACCCGTACCCGTACCCGTATCCATTTCCTAACCACTACGCTCTTCCGCCAGGATTTGAACAGCAGCGTTTCACCATTGAACCGGATTATCTAGCCACCATGGTCTACAACCAACGTAGCGGATCATCAACCTCCGACTTTGCAAGACAACAAATTGGTCCAAGTCAAGTAATGGATCAAGGTTGGCCCATTACCAGAGACCTATTCCATCCCATTATGCCCCAACCAATCTCGTCTGCACCGTCGTCAATTTGTTTAGACCTTTGTCTTGGTGTTGGAAACAGTTCTCAAGTCCAAACGCAGTCTAAAAAACCAAATGATGCATCAGAGAAGATGGCTGCTGAGCAAGATGATCTTTCTCTTTCTCTTTCTCTCTCACTCTAATTTTTCTCTTTAAGTTTTCTTTATTATAAAACTTTTGTTTGGTTTTCAGTTTATATTCGATTCAGTTTTTGAGTCGATTCAAATGACAAAATCGAGTGCAATATTGTATCAAATCCAAATTTGTTGATTGCAAAAGTGTAATAAACTTGTTTTCTTGGCTGCCATTTGTATTACACTTGCGTAAGAAATCAAAATAATTATAAAATTAACAACTTACATTTACAGAACAATTATACAAAACTCAGCGTATGTTTGTAGAACAAAATGTGATCCATGGCATCGTTTACCAAAGACTCTTCTTAGTACAACGCTGGCTTTGGGGGTGCATAATTGTAATTTTAGGAATTTGAGCTTTAATCTCGAATACAAATTTTTTGATGGGCTTGTACGGTATAATACACTTAAAAACGAGGGCCGAAAGTCGAAACCAATTTTTGGCGAACAGAGGCGTTTTTTGAACTTTCGAGTTCTCTTCTTTCTCTCACTTTTTTTTCAATTCCGCTTCTCCGTCTTCGGTGACAAACATGTCTCAGTTTCTTCCGCACTTCTCTTCTTCTTCCATGGCGAATGAAGACGAAATTCGTTCTTCCCTGGAGCCTTCGCAGCAATCTCAGGATTATATTTCAGAGCCGTACATGGTGGGATTCGTCATCGCGAACATAGTAGGGTTAAAGTACTACGCAGGGCGAATCAACGGCCGAGAATTGGTGGGTCTGGTTCGAGAGCCCCTGAACCAGTATGACCAGAACGCAATCAGAGTATTGAACATGCGATCCGTTCAAGTAGGTCACATCGAGCGTACGGTAGCCGCAGTTCTCTCGCCGTTGATAGACTCTCACAGGATCGTCGTCGAAGGTATCGTACCCAATACTCGTTCTAGCACCAATAAGTTTAAAATCCCTTGTCAAATCCACATCTTTGCAAAGTTAGAAGAGTCCTCCGCTGTGAAATCAGCGATTTCGCGAGCTGGGTTGGTGTTGATTTCGGATTCCGATGCATCGTTTGGGTTATCAGAGGCTGTTGTGGTGAAGGAACAGATGGGTAATGGAGATAATAAGAGCGTGGACAAGATTTTCAAACTAGTTGATAAGAATGTGAGGCAGAAGGAGAAAATGGATGAGGTTAAGCCGCCGAGGGAAGTGATAAAGTCGGAACTCTTTGCTCATCAGAAGGAAGGATTGGGTTGGTTACTCGAGAGGGAGAAATCTGCAGAGTTGCCTCCTTTTTGGGAGGAGAAAGATGGAGAATTCCTAAACGTCCTGACGAATTACCGCACGGATAAGCGGCCTGAATCTTTGCGTGGAGGGGTGTTTGCTGATGATATGGGTTTGGGTAAGACACTTACTTTGCTTTCCCTGATAGCTTTTGATAGATATGGCAATGCATCCACCAGTGCGCCGACTGAAGAACCTTTGGATGTAGAAGGAGACAAGATTGAAAAGAAGGGTAAAAAGAGAGGAAGGGGTAAGAGCAGTGATAGTGGAACTCGAAAGAAGCTTAAATCTGATGATGGTGTTGGCATGAGTGTGTCTCAAAAGACAACGTTGATCGTTTGTCCACCTTCTGTGTTTTCAACATGGATTACACAGCTAGAGGATCATACTGTACGGGGAAGCTTGAAAGTGTATATGTATCATGGTGGCGAAAGGACAGACGATGTTAATGAGCTTATGAAGCATGATATAGTGCTGACTACTTACGGGACTTTGGCTGCTGAGGAACCGTGGGAAGATTCTCCTGTCAAAAAGATGGAGTGGCTGAGAATAATTCTGGACGAGGCACACACCATTAAGAATGCAAATGCTCAGCAGAGCCGAGCGGTTTGTAAACTGAAGTCTTCCCGCAGATGGGCTGTCACAGGAACTCCTATCCAGAATGGTTCATTTGATTTGTACTCTTTGATGGCGTTTCTCCGGTTTGAGCCGTTTTCAATAAAGAGTTATTGGCAAAGCTTGATACAACGCCCGCTTAGTCAAGGGAACAAGAAGGGGCTTTCACGTCTGCAGGTAAAATACATTATTCACACTTATGCCTTTTGCTCTGTTGTGAAAAGTTATTCAACTACACGTTTTTTTTTTCAGGTGTTGATGGCGACTATTTCGTTGAGGAGAACAAAAGAAATGAGTTCGATTGGTTTGCCACCTAAGACGGTTGAAACTTGCTATGTTGAACTCTCACCGGAAGAACGTCAGTTATATGATCACATGGAAGGAGAAGCCAAAGGTGTTGTGCAGAATCTTATAAACAGTGGAAGCTTGATGCGCAACTACTCGACAGTTTTGAGTATAATCTTACGGCTTAGACAGCTTTGTGACGACGTTTCTCTATGCCCTCCAGAATTAAGATCTTTTTCCACTTCTACGTCTGTTGAAGGTAAAAACAAGAAAACAGTTACATATTCTTACTTTTGGTTGCAGAGCTTAAATCTCGGTGTGTTTGTGAAACAGATGTGACTGATAAGCCAGAGCTGCTGCAAAAGCTGGTTGCAATATTGCAAGATGGAGAAGATTTTGACTGTCCAATTTGCATATCTCCACCAAGAGACATCATCATCACTCGATGTGCTCACATCTTTTGCAGGGCCTGTATTCTCCAAACCCTTCAAAGAACTAAACCCTCTTGCCCTCTTTGCCGTGGTTCTCTAACCCAATCCGATCTCTACAATGCTCCTCCTCCTCCTCCGGATACTTGCAATACTGATGAAGGAGACGCAAAATCTTCGACCAATTCCTCAAAGGTTTCGGCTTTACTATCCCTTCTCATCGCATCGAGACAGGAAAACCCCAACACAAAGTCTGTGGTGTTCTCTCAGTTCAGGAAAATGCTGCTTCAACTAGAAATGCCGCTGAAAGCTGCGGGTTTCACCATCTTACGCTTGGATGGGGCAATGACTGTGAAGAAACGGACACAAGTCATTGGAGAGTTTGGGAAACCGGAGTTAACCGGACCCGTGGTGTTGCTTGCGAGCCTCAAGGCATCTGGTGCTGGTATAAACCTTACTGCAGCCTCGAGGGTTTACATGTTTGACCCTTGGTGGAATCCTGCTGTTGAAGAACAGGCCATGGACAGGATTCATAGGATTGGGCAAAAGCAGGAGGTTAAAATGATAAGGATGATTGCGAGAAACAGCATCGAAGAGAGGGTCCTTGAGCTTCAGCAGAAGAAGAAGAATCTTGCAAACGAAGCTTTTAAAAGAAGGCATAGGAAAGATCAAAGAGAGGTCAATGTCGAAGACGTGATTGGTCTCATGTCTCTGTGAAGTCTGAATGCCTGTTTTTTTTTTTTCTTCGTTCTCTTAAGATGAACCGGGTAATTTACTGCTTTTGGCACAGTTCTTTAAGACTTTTAACCTATATTTCTGTCTCGGTTAGTTTTAATCAAGGGTTAGCTTGTAGCCTCGTATTATATGGTTTCAACCCGGTTTAAGAAAATGTAACTAAGGGGGTCGCGGAGTGGGCTTGAATGTATATAACTGTCAGTACAAGTGTGTAAAGCCCAGCCCGCTTATATATTGACAGTTATAAATCGTCGAGTATGTAAGCCCTAAAATCCCATGATACTATCGAGAAATAGCTTTTCACAAATTCACAAAAGTCTCTCATCATAAGCTAGTTTCATCCCGCAGCGTCTGCCTCACCATGTCGAGATTGTTCACCGTGGAAAAGACACGTGTCTCCCACTGTAAGATGTAGAAATTCGTTTATGATAGATTTTATGATCCATCCGTCTCGTAGTAGTACGTAGGTAGTATATATTTTGGATAAGATTTCATCATCGATCTTGATGTATCGTAAGTTGGTTTAATGGCAGTGCGTGAAACATATGTGATGTGGGACATGGATGGTTACTCAATCCCAGCTGAAAATCTCTTCCCTTATACGATTAGGGAGCAAATCAAATCAAGAATAGAAAAGGAGGGTTTTTATGGGCCTGTGTCCTTCTCGGTGTATGGGTGTTGGAATACATGGTCGACTGAACTGGAAAACCGACTTTGCAGAGCCGACTTTGATACCAATCTTATCGAAGGTACTTCAACCCTTCTTTTTTTTTTTAATTTATCGTTTTACTTATAATAGATGTTTCTGTTGATGTGCTCTACTATTACAGGGGGGAAACTTGAGAGGCTTCACGCAATTATAGTAGACCTTGTTGCCTCGTCATGTCTCATGTTTGAGCCAACAAATTTGCTGATAGTCTCTGAAAACAAGGAGATGATGGAACAAAACCGAAGATTCTCCCGTCTTCGTGAAGCTTTAGAAGGTAGAGGTTTCACTATTACCGTCGCACAGCTTGAGACACTCATGGACCCAGAGTTTCAAATGCCTTATTATATCGTAGCTGATGATGATGATGATCTCGATTCACGCGGATGCTCACAAGAAGCTGCCTGAATGGGCCAAGTAAGAAACTGCCTCTCAATAGGCTTGTGAAGATATCTCCCCTGTTTTCGGTTTAGTTTAACTTTTATGATCGGTTTCGTTATTTTAAGACTCTTATTACTTCGGACAAGAGAAGACCAGAACGCAGCTCTAATACGATAAGGCATGTAAAAAGTACTCGTAAACATTTATACAATGATTTATGAAAAATAACATAATGTAAGTTTTCATGATTAGTCTATATCCGTTAGTGAGAAACAGAACAGAGTGAGAAACAGAGCACTCTGCTTTTTGATGCAGAAACGAGTGATGGACGGTGAGAATATTTGCCAATTACATAGAACAAACATACCTAGAGGGCACAAAAGTTAGTTAGTAGCAAGATCGTGTCCCCTAGCTTTCGAGTATGCTAGTCAAGAACGAGGCAGAGCCTCCACCAGAAAATAGCCATTCCCATTCTTGTTCAGGTCCGGATAAGAGAACCCCATAACCCCAACGGCCACTCAAACGTCCAATACGATAAGGCAAACTGTTAGGTTCGATGATTTCTTTGTCGATGATTTTTGCGAGTAGAATCACATTTGCTGGTGCAGGGTTTTGCAATACCCACATCATAATGTCAGCATACATGCACCAAAACCTCGCATGTTTACCCTCTGCAAACAAAAGTAGTATAGGTATATATCAGATTACGCGCGTGAGAAAAAGAATGTCAAAAGAGTAAAGGAATATATATTCACCTTCGGCTATGACTTCGACTTCGAATCCAGCATCCTTAAATTCACCTTGGGAGAATGTTGTAGTATTCTTATCAGCATAAGCAAGAATTGACACCTCCCCGTGAAAACACTGCTTCTCCATAGCCTCTTTCATACTCTGATAAATCCAAGCAGGATCCTGACCTTTTGGGATTGGGATCTCATCGACATCCCAAAACACACGTGTCTTGGCATCTACCACAGTTACGATTAAATTAGATCATACACAAACAGTTTCGAGCGAGAGAGAGATGTTTACTATACCCTTGTGAAATTTCAGAAGCGGCGGACTTGGGTGGAAGATGGCTTTTGACTTGAGTATGGTGCTAGTCAACAACGAAGCTGAGCTTCCACCAGGAAAATTCATTCTTGTCTAGCTTCGGATATGAGAACACCATAACGCCCATATGTAACCAAGGCTTTGATACAATAAGGCATGTGGTGCTCTTCGACGATTTTTGCGAGTATAATCATATTTGCTGGTGAAGGGTTTTCCAATTGCCACAACTTTATGTCAGCATACATGCACCAAAACCTCGAATTTTTACCCACTGGAAAAGAAAAAGTAACATATTATGTAAGAGAAAAGAGAGTGTTAATTAAAATAGTCTAAGGGAATCACCTTCGGTCAATACTTCGAATTCGAATCCAGCATCCTTAAATTCAGCTTCCGAGAATGTGGTAGCATTCTTATCAGCATAAGCATGAATTGTCACCTCCCCATGACAACCCAGCTGCTTCTCAATAGCCTCTTTCATACTCTGATAAACCGAAGCAGGCTCGAGACCTTCTGGGATTGGGTAATCATCGACATCCCAAAACACACGTGTCTTGGCATCTGCCAACGGAAACAATATATGATTAAATGATTAGATCCGATTATACCATGGACAAACAATTTGGAGTGACATATAGAGAGAGGGAGAGATCTTTACCCTTGTGAAAAACCATCGGCGGACTTGGGTCGGTCGTTTCGTTGCTATCGCGCATGGTTTCGTCCAGATGATCAGAGAGACTTTGTGAACAAGTTAGGTTAGTATACAAGTGTGCTCTGCGTCTATCTTTATCAAGGCTCTTATTGGGCTGGGCCTGGTTTACTAAATACAATGTGGTTAGATTATCCGGCTAGTCTTTTTCCCTTGTTATAGATACAGATACTCGAGTGTTGGGTTTATATAACTCGACTAAAAGTGCCATTTATTATGGTTGCGTTTTTAGTTAGGTTTTGTAATGACGCTGCTCGTGGTAGATGGATTGTTTATCTCTTCTTCCACACAAAACACGCACCAGTTTCAGTGGGTCCACCGAAATCCCGTAAAGCAGCCACTATATTTGATGACGTGTCGGCTAATCAACGTCTGTCACTTAGAGGGCCACTGTGACAGGCCCGTGAGTTTAGCACTAAAATCAAAACGAGTCGCAGGATTTTCACGCGTTTGAGGGTAAAGGACGCGAATGTCTTCCCTTAACTCTAAAATTCTGACATGGGCTGTGATATCACCGCCCCAAATCCCGTACAACTTCGTTTGGTCACGTATAGCATAAAATCAAACAATAATTTATTTTTGTTGTGTGTTGATTTTGTTGACCAACATTAACAAATGCTTCAATTTTCACTATACTAAAAAACTTTCAGTTTTATTCTTCTTTGCTCCAACAAAACTAGCTGTTTGTTAATTACTTCATGGATTTTAGTTTCACTATTGAAACATTTTCACAAATTTAAAACATTTTCATTTATTTTAAAGGCAATCGCTGTCATTATTATACATTACATGTTCCGTATATTTGGTAATATTTGTTAAATAATTCTCTAAGATAAAATTTACCAGGGTTTGATTGTACTGGAGTTATATCTAGCTTCTATTTATCTGTTGTAAATAAACTATAGGCGTCTTCATCTTAAATATGGCTTTACAACCACATGGTTTAGGACAATTTGAGGATAATGAGCTTAATCCTTTTCTTTTTTAGTGGGAACCAAGTTTTGGAAAAAGACACTTATGTAATCCTACAGCCCGAACAGAATTTGCAAGTGGATTAGGTATATAGACTTGGATTATATCATATAGACTAGTGATTTATAAACATACTATCGATTTTTATATTTAAAAAGTTAACTTATAGATATAACGTATTTTAAATGTCAGATTATAAATTTTTAAAATTAAGTTGATATGAAATTCTTTTTTTTTTTAATTGGATTTACCAACATTCCATGTCACTTTTTCACTAGATATATAATCATATAAACCAATTTGATCAGTAGCTTTATGAAAAAATATCGTTAAAAGTTATCCTTAATATGTCTCTTGACTAATTTAACCTTTTGACATTTTCCAACGTAATGTACTCCATTAATTTAGCTTTATAAAAAAATAGCTTCAAATGTCACCGTAAAAAAGTTTCTTTGTGAAATTTACATTTTGACATTTTCCAACGTAATACAATCCATCAATAAATTGTGCGTGAAAAAAATGTAGACAAAAAGAGTTTGACCTTGTTTCACTAACTTGTGTCGTAGTTCAAGTACAACGCATGTGTAAGAGAAAAAATGAAATGAATATTTTGCTTATCCTTTAAAAATAATGAAAAGCCAAATAAGACCGATCAGGTCAAAAGAAAGCCGTGAAGAAAATCCAACTTAAAAAATAATCCCTTTTACCAAACTGATACAGAGACTTCGGAGAAAGAGAGTATAGAAAAATAAAATTAAAAGAATTTTTTGTTTCTCTCTCCTCAAAGATTGAGAGCTAAAAAAAAAAAGAAAAATTTATTTCTCAATTAAAAAAAAAGAAAAGAGGGAGCTTTCTTGTGGAATTGAATTGTAGCTGGTTTAACGTAGTAGCACTTGGGTTTTTAAGATAGACAACGTAACCAAAAACTGTTTCATGTTTGTCTGTTTTGTGTTGTTCTCTTGGTTGTTTTTGGGTTTTCTCTTCTCTTCTTTGTTTGCGGTGCATTTTCTATTTTCTCGGGAAAATCCTTTGTGGGCTTTTCCGGGAAAGTTTTGTCAGATTCGGAAAAGATTATTAAAAAATTAAGAGGGAGGAAAATAGAAGAAAATCCAGAAGAGCTACCAAACAGATTTTCTGTTTATCCTTACAGATTCTTTTGATCACAAACCTTTCTCGTTTGATCATCTCCAAATACTCAATCTTTAGATTTTCAATTGGGATTTTTTTTTTGGGGGTAAATAGACATTGAAAGAAATCCTGTGGGTAGATTCGGTATCTGCTTCGACTATTCTCTTGTTCTTCTTCCATTTCTGGAATATCTTTAGGTACTGCAAACAAAATCTGGGTTCTTCTTCTTCTTCGTCTGGGAATTATCTTAATTCTCTGGAAAATTTATTCACTTTATCTGGAGATTCACCAGGAAATTGAATCCGATTCAATTGGATCGACGCAAACCGGATTCAGAATCGATTAGCTGGCCGTTGACGATGACTGGTATGAAGCCGTCAGCCTCGTTAGATAGCTGGAGGGAGTATTTCCGGCGAGGAGAGTCCGATATATTTGGGATCATCGATCACGCGATCATGGTGGCTGCTGCAGATTGCCCAAACAAATTCAAATCGAGGAGAGACAGAATCGCCGAGCTTCTCTTCTCGTGCCGAGTGAGCCGCTGCACCGGATGCGACCACCTCGAGCTATCGGTTCCGGGAGACGACGAGGCTAATCGCGGCCGTGGAACCGCCGGGACAGGGATCGGTGACGACGGCGATACGGCGGTTGACGGCGATGAGGATTATGAAGTCGGTGGTAGTAAAGAGAGCAAGGCTAACAGTAGCAGAGGAGATAACAATCACATGGATGAGACGAATTTGAACAGCAATCAGATTGTTAGCAATTACACCTACGACGAAGCTGAGGCCTTGAGTGATGCGATCGAAGAGTTTTCTGTGATTTCCAAGGAAGTTGGGAGGATCAGAGAGATCTTGCTCAACAAAGAAGACGAGGTTTGATCCAAATTGCAATCAGAGTCTTTGTTAATTCCGACAGTGAAAGCTTGTCTCTGACTGAGTATTGTCTCTTTTGTTTTGCAGCCACACTCGGTGATACTCGAATCCTTAAGGAAGCTTAAGTTGATGTCTTTGAATGTGGATATTCTAAAGGTTGGTTTCTGGTGGATAGTGGTATGAAGTAGTAGTTGTTGTTGTTGATCCTGAGGTTTTAAAAGGTTTGGGATTATTCTCGCAGAGTACTGAAATCGGAAAGGCTGTTAATGGCCTGAGGAAACATGCTTCTGATAAGATTCGCCAGCTTGCAAAGACTCTGATCGCGTATGAGTTTTGATCTTTTCGTTAAGAAACTCTCTTTTTTTTTTGACACTTGTGAATATGGCATTGAGTTGTTTATGTGTTAAAACGCAGAGAGTGGAAGGAGCTGGTTGATCAGTGGGTGAACACCACAAAGGAAATCACTGGTAATTACTTGCGCTCTCTCTGTCTCGCTTTGCAACTCTTCTTGTTGGGAATTGGGATTCACGTGTCTTACGGTTTTGGTTTCTTGAATTAGATCCATAGTCTTTGGTTCTAATTTTCTGGTTTAAAACAGGCGGTGCTGAAGGTACACCGGAGTCTGCGAATCCCTCTGTCGTCGATGAAGAAGAAGCGTTCCCATCGCTTCCATATGATGTCGACATCTTTACACCGCAACCGGACGTATTTGAGATGGGAAACTTCTTTGATTCCATGGACTTTGATGGGAGTGAGTCAGACTTTTCTCTTGTTTGTTTGATATTTTTGTACCATGTTTTAGCTTTGGTTGATTGTATTTTCCCGTGGGGATGTTGGTTTCAGATCCTCGTAACTCTGGGGAATACAACACAAGCCGAGAACACGAGAGAAGACCTCAAAATATCGCCAAGAGAAGACCCGAGGGAACACATACGAGAATACAAGACGCTGCTCCTTTTAGATCTATTAAGCCATCATCAGCTACTGATTTTGATGGGAGTAGGAGACCACCTCTAAGGCAAAAGACAGAACAAAGGATGAAGAACGAAGTGGTATCTGTTCACAAGTCTGAAAAACCCATGATCCATAGGAAACCGCTTGTTACAGAACAGAAGCGGAGAGCTCCCGGACCTCAACAAGAGGTGAGTGTGGCAACAGAACTCTTTGTTTATTTGTTTTTACTCCAATCTTGGACATGGCAATGAGACGGGTTTTTTTTCGTTCCTGGCAGAAACTTAAAGGCCTTGATGCAGACGCAAAGTTTGAGTTTGCTAAGAGGAAACTTCAAGAGAGCTACCAACATCATGAGAATGGTTCGTTTCTTTTCCTTTCGTTTCGAGGTTTCCAATACATTCTTAAAAAACTGATTGCGATCTTTGCCGCAGCCAAGAAGCAGCGAACAATACAAGTACTTGAGATGGTACCAAAGCAAGGCAGTGCTCAGAAACCGCAACTCAAGAGACCTGGTATGAGCAACAGGAGTTGGGCAAACGGGCGTAAATAGCTTCTTCTCTGTTTACATGGTGAATAACTTTTCGGCAAAAGACGTCGTCACATAGATACCACAAATATCCGCAAAATCTCTGGCGAAATAAGGTGTTGAGACACTAGCTCCCCACAAGCTTGGAGACAGAAACAAGCAGAGGAGAACAGATTCCACAACTTAACTCTACTTTGAACAATCTGTTTTCTCCTCTGTTTTGTTCGGTCTGGATTTCACCAATTTGCAGCAGATTGTTACTTTCTGTGTTCTACTACATTCTTGAGACTTTCGGTACAGTCCCGGTTTAGTTTAATACGGTTTGATCGGGTTATGTTCGGTTTTGGGACGCGGGGAATCTCGCATTGAGTAAAGAGAGAGAGAGAGAGAGAGAGAGAGATGTCCCTTACATTACACATAAAAATAGTAGAATTGTAAAAGAGGATAGAAAAGCTCTTTCGAATTGACCGGCTCTTCACCTAACTTTTGTATAGTGACGTGAAATGGTTTGGGACACAATTGAGATGATCCCAAGTTTTTCTCCATATAAATGTGAATGCGAACTGTTTTTCTTCTTTGGCGTGTTGCTATTTTTTTATTTTTATTATAAAATCAATCAAGCTTTACCCAACAAAAAAAAATCAATCAAGTAATAAATAGGATGCTTTTTTTTTTGCATTGAAAGGCTTTAAGAAGGTGGGTGGATAAGAGAAAAGAAGAGGAGATTAGTGGTAGTGGGAGCTAACGTGGATGGATATGAATGTTGCATTGTGGCCTTTGTGCGCTTTATATATTTTATCATAAATATACACATTGGTTGCGTTTATATTATATTATAGTTATTTCATACGGCATTTCGGCGTTACGCGTTCGCGCAATTCACCACATGCCAGCACCACGTGGACTTCCACGTGTGCGCAATTTTATATGTAAAAAATAATTAAAAACCCAAACACTAGAACCGCGTTTTGTATGTGTTGGTAAATCATTACAGTAAATTCATTTACCAACGCATGCTAAACTTTACCAGTGAACCAACACGTACACATTCGATTTATTTACCATCACGTGAAATCAATACGTTCTCAATAATTTCATCCGCCTCGTGAATAGCATGGGCAAGGGTGTATGTGGGCTTGAAGATAGGGTCCATATTTGTTTAACTTATGGGCTCTCCAAAGTTGGTAATGTAGATTGGTAAAAAGGGCCGGAGAATAAAACTGACTCGGGGCGGATGGGCTTGACGATAGGGCCCATATTTGCTTGACTAGGGGGACATTAAAAAATCACGTGATTTATAGTTTCCTCCTTCGCGCCACATTCCAGAGCCAATCTTAGCAAAAGCAATATGACGAGTTGACGACAATAAGAAAGACTTTTGAAGCAAAATATCACTGACAAACATTGCTTTGTCACACAAAATGTTTTGGTAGTTCTGTGTATTTTTTTTCGTAACTTTAATGAATGGAATGTGATGTTTCTGATGTAAAGATTATATATACTCAATAAGCCTTTAACAAAACAATGAAAAGTCAACAAGCGCTCACATACATGTAGTTTAATTAGGTTATTATGTATTTTTTTCCTCAAACTTCATTATATTAAGAAGATAAAGTGTAAGTAGAAGATAATAATGTTGTTGATCAATAAGGTATAAAATTATGAAAATAAAAGTCCAAGCCATTTGGATTTTAGATTTTTGGCGAAGGCGTCTGCAACTCTATTGATGTTTTTTGGTACCCATTTAAAATGAATATGACTAGATCGTTGTGGTTAGAGCTTACTGTTGTTATGTAATTAATTAGATCGTTGTATAGAGTATTATGGACGTATCTAGAGCTCAGTAAAAAAAATTCAGTTGGAAACAAAAAAAAAAAAACAAAAATCATGGCAATTGCCCCATGTGATTAACGTTGCTCCGCCACTGATTGAATGTGATGGTGACTCGTGGTACCTGTATTGATGATGAATTATGTGTTGGTTGGTTTTGACGGACCCCAAAATTAATTTCTTAGGTAAAGATTGTAAAGGATTGTTACCTCTCTTACAAGTTACAAACTTACAACTCATCTTCTGTTTTTTTGGTCATCCACAGGCCACCACTAATCCGTTGAGCCACGTCAACGAGAAAACAAATATATAAACCTTTTTTCTTATCCATTTTTGGTTGTAAACTTGACATTAAGAGAATCAGGTTTTTGGTTGGTTGTTTACGGACTGTAGAGAGAGAAAAAGGTAATAAATTCTGATTGATTCAAAAATTACTCCAAGAATAGTATAAATCTTGTACAGCCATTCTTGTCAGTTAAGGACATTTAAAATAATGGGGCCGGAACAGTTTATTTCTTCTTCAGGTCCATTCAGGTCTGGATATTTTACAAGAATCGTATCTCTGCCGACACAAAGTGTATTTTGGTTTACTATTTTTACATTTTATGTAGGGTAGTTAAAGTAAAAAAGAATGTGATATGGTAAATTTTTACTTCTACGTTTGAAAAACGTAAATTTTAAATGATCTATTTGTTATAAATCTAATCTACATTGTGATATGGTAAATGATATTTTTGTCACCTGTCAAAAAAAATGGGTCCAACATTTTCAGTAACTTGTGACTTTCATCTATCCACGTAATGAAAGTTAGTTTTTCATTGTGTTAGCCGTTAGGCTTCATCATCTCTCTGTATAAATGACCCACGTGTTCGTAGTACAAGGCACAACAAAATGAGCTTGTTTTGAATCACAGGGTTGGTAATAGCCTTAGTGGTTGTGAAGATTACCCATTTTTGGTACCAATGGTCAAACCCCAAGTGTGATGGCAAGTTACCTCCCGGATCAATGGGCTTCCCGATAATCGGAGAGACGTTCGCTTACTTTAAGCCTCATGGATTCAACGAGATCTCCCCATTTATCAAGAAGAAGATGTCAATGTGAGACTTCGATCTTTTGTCTTTTTTTTTCTCTCTCTCTCTCTCTCTCTCTCTCTCTCTCTCTCTCTCTCTACACGTGTATATCATTTCTCTTGTATGTTTGTGTGAGTATTTCAGGTATGGGCCTTTGTTTCGGACAAACATTCTTGGAGTAAAAACCGTGATTTCGACGGATATGGATGTGAATTTGGATATTTTTCGCCAAGAGAACAAGTTTTTCACTTTAAGTTATCCGGATAGTTTAATGAAGCCATTGGGAGAAGATTGCTTGTCCTTCAAGTCAGGAGACATCCACAAGCAAATCAAGCATATCTGTATGCGTCTTTTGGGCTCCGAGAATTTGAAGCGAAAGATATTAAAAGATATGGACCGCGTGACGTGCGAGCATCTTAGTTTGAAGGCTAACCAAGGAAGATTCGACGTTAAGGACGCAGTTTCAAGTGTAGTCTATCTTTTTCTTTTCTTTTCTTCGACCCATTTTCAGTTTTTCAAGTGTATCATTATTCCTGCTGCATGCTAATGCTACTCTGACTCTTGTTATATTTTTTACAGCTGATAACAGCCCACATGACACCAAAGGTGATAATCAATCTCAAACCAGAGACTCAAGCAAAGCTTATGGATACCTTCAAGGCCTTCACTTTTGATTGGTTTCGGCCTTTCTATATTCTCAATGCCGCGAAGTGTCTCTACAACACCCTATGGGTGAGATTCTTCTTATTATATATATTATTGTTGTTTTTTTCACGGTGGGGGCATAACGCAAACATGATTTATTGTATAATATAAAATGCAGGCATGCAGAGTGGGGCTAATCTCAACATGTTGCTAAAAGATGTTTACACGTTGAGGAAGGCGTCAAAAGAAAAGCACGATGACTTCCTCGAGACAACGATTGAAGAATTAGAGAAAGAACGAAAAGCCTATCGGAGATGTGGTTGTAAACCTCATCTTCACTCTTTCCGCTATCACTCAAGATACCACCTCTAAGGCCATTTGCATGACTGTCAAAAGCCTATCGGAGAACCCAAAAGTTCTCGCAGAGTTAAAGGTATATGCATATAGATCGAGTAGCTACTAATCTAATTAAACAAGTGTTAGTACGTAGTCATGTATATCACCACAGAGATTGTGATTTCCACTCATTGGCCAATGCAAAGTGATATTCTATATACAAAAGAAGAATATAGAATATATAATGGAACTCGACTAAGAAATATTTCGAAACCATAAAAAAATATTTTTTCTTGGTAGCCCATATGACTAGAAATACAAAAGAAAAATACGGGATACATTATCAGTAATGAGAACCTCACATGTACATAGACAAGAAACATAAAATAAATTGGGCTTTAGGCCCAGATAAAAGGGCAATTTTTTTAAAAAAAATTGGTGCGAAAGAGGTTAGAACTTGGGTTTGGAGGGGTCACTAGACTAGTTTTTAACCAACTGAGCTGCTGAAATTTACATAACGTGGGCCCGCTTTTGATCAGTAACATAGACAAGATTTTTTTTAAAAAAAATAATAATGTCATAACTATAATATTTATATATATATGTTCTATATATTTAAATTGATTTAGGAGCTTTTTTGCTATCTAACCATATTTACAAAACGATAGAACAATATAGCTATGCTATTCAAATAATATGCAAACTAACCATGGCCCATGTAAAAATTACTAAAAACTCTTTCTTCTTAACGTTATAAATATATGTTGCCCATATTTCCTTATAGATTATACTATAATATATAATTTTTTCTGGACTATACTATAATATATAATTTTTTCTGGATTATACTATAATATATGTTCTTACACGAGAAGGCTTATATAGTATAGTACTTGAGGTTCTAATTATATATCAGTTTTATATTAATATATTGTACTATATCAATTTTTGTATCGTACTATACTATTTATAAAATTAATTATTTCACATAATTTATATAATATGAGTCATCAAATGGAAAGAAGAGAGGAGGGGAAGGGGAGGGAAATGGGAGGATGGGAGAGGAGAAGACAGGGAGGGGAGAGGAGGGGAAGAGGAAGAGAAGAGATAGAAGACGTGAAGGTAAGAGAGAAGAAGGGGAAGAGAAGACGAGAAGAGAAAGAAGAAAATGGTAGTTTGGTATATATTATATAAAATATAAAGAATACTATAACACCTCTTTTCATATGGTCATTCTATTAATTTCAACTGGTCTTGTGGTTATTACAACCAATTTCCCTTGATTTAGTTTGGAATATAAAAATATAAGTGATGTTGACAGGTTTTTTTTTTTAATTATATGTGTAATTTGGCAGAGAGCACGAGGAAATCCTTGCGAGTAGAAAAGATAAAGAAGGTGGAGTTACTTGGGAAGAATATAGACACAAGATGACTTTCACCAACATGGTAACTTCACTTTGCCTTCGTCTAGTGCTATTTATTGTCAGATTCACATGGTGTATCTGTGGTTTAATTTCTCTAGGTTATCAATGAGTCGCTTCGGTTGGCAAACTTGGCTCCTATGATGTTCAGAAAAGTGGTGAAAGATGTGGAAATCAACGGCAAGTACATAATAGTAATGCTGTGGCACTTATGTATTTATATAAAAGTTGACATTTTTGTGGAATATCTGTCACAACAGGATACACAATTCCAGCAGGATGGATAGTGATGCTTATTCCTTCAGCGGTTCATTTTGATCCCGAAATCAATGATAACCCTTTTGAGTTTAATCCATGGAGATGGGGGGTATATTCTTAGGGATACACTTACTCAAAAGTCTAAATATTGTTTTTTGGTTTGTTGGTTAAAGATGATCTTGTGGGCAGGGGAAAGAGTTGCGGGCAGGGTCTAAAACGTTCATGGTGTTTGGAGCGGGAATCAGACAGTGCGCTGGTTCAGAGTTTGCGAGGCTTCAGATTTCGATATTCCTTCATCATCTTGTCTCCACTTACGATTTCTCCCTCTCCAAAGACGACTGCGAGGTGGTTCGGTTGCCAGGTCCTCTCTTCCCCAATGGCTTCTCTATGGAAATCTCCAAGTCTTCCAAGTGACTTGATCGGAGTACATCTTCACGTGGTTGTTACATGGTGACTTGATCGGAGTTCACCATCTTATCATCATTATCATTATCATATCATCCCATCTTTTATCTTTTATCTTTCATCTTATTATGGCATCATTGGCGTTGAACTTATTTTAAAATGATATAATTTGTAATAAAATTCTGATTAACAAAAAATCAAATAAATTAGTATATTTTCTAATAATATTCTTACAAGACATATATAAAATTTCAATTGTAAAAATTGATATAACGTGAAACAAAATAGTTCCCAGCGATTTCGTGCGATGCAAGTCCATAATCTATAAGCAACAATGATTCTTCGTAAGACAAAACCCTAAAATCTAGAAGAAAAAAAGAACAGAACAAGACAAATGCGTTGTGTTGATCACATCACAAGTTCACAACCATTGTGTCGTTGTCTGCTTGTTGTAAGGAGAAGAATTGTTTGTGTTCCAACTCCACCATCTGCCCTCCTTCTCCATCAAACCTGCATCTTCGGTAACTTTACATTTTCCGACCATCACATCAATAAAAACAAAACAATCATCAGACCCCATAATTAAGAGCCAAAACAGACACAAGTCATAGAAACCAGAGAGAGAGAGAGCTAGAGATAATTTTACCTTCCATCGATGCCCACGAGAAGAACTGTGTTCTCCGGACCAAAACCTACAGTGAACTTGGTGGAAACCGGCAACGAGAACTGAGCAAACGATCGTTCATTTTCGTACGAATACTTTGGCAAGATCCCTGCAAAATTTGTTTCAGAAAATCTAATGTCAAAAACAAAGAAAATGATATGCATTCTTCAACGAGAGCACTCTCTTGATCAGGTTTTATAACTTTTACCTCTTAATAATGACAATGACGAGGCCTGATTGATGTTTTTCGGTGAACTGAGAATGTCAGGTCTCAAACGAAATACATGGAGAGTCCCTTTTTCACTTGACACAGCGACCCATTTATGATTCGTAGAGATTGCAACGCTATATATCTCCGCTCTCACAATTCCTCTCCGAAACTACGTACACAATGTAAACCAAAACATAAATCACACACTAACTAAGTAAAACTAATAAACCAGAACCACATATATAATATTATAATTAAGTTACCTCTTGTAAGAGAGTACCATCAAGGGCGTTAAAGATCCTGATCAGAGTTCCTTTGGTGCTAGCAGTAGCGAGCAAACTTCCATCGAGTGTCAGACTCATGCAAGCAATGTGAGAATCATGTGCTTTGATGTATTTGACTGTATTCCGTCTCAAGTCATGGACCTGAACTTGCCCCTGGTGACGCCCGGGGCAAGCCAAGACTGCTTTCGCCTCTACCTGAGAGACGCAACAGAGCCCTTTGGGGTTCACAGCGGTTTCCATCAGACAGTGAACCTTTAGGTCACTGAAGCTGTAGACATAGACGGTTTTTCTCAGGACGACCACAATGTGTTTTCTCCTGAGTTTCACGGAGATAACCTCTGATTTGAAAGCGAGCTCGCAGAAGCAGCTCTTACTATGATCGTCCCAAATGAAGACTTTATTAGGAGGATACTCGGAATGGTTATAACCGTTGCCAACAATGGCGAAGAGGTTAGAGAGGAAGAGCATCTCGGCGATCTTGAAGCCAGATTTGTGCGTATCGCGGCTGATGCGTTCATTGATTGGGTTGCAGGTATATACGCTAAACCCTTGGTTTGTTCCGACCATGAAACCGCTCCAATCCTGGTTCCAAGCCACTGATAATACCTTTTTGTCACCATTGGCTTCATCACTTGGTGAATTGCAAGTTTCTGATTTTAGTAATGATCCTATCCCACGGACTGTGGAGAATATCATCGAACTCATCATGCTTTTTTCTTTTCGACCGGAACTGCAGAACAAAAGCCAAGGGTTAGGAATAACCAACGCGTTTCAGGTTTACTGCTTAGGATGCAATGAAAAGCGATCTATGAATGTATCACATATGAATTATGATATTAAATTCCTATAATTGATTCGTCTCTGCGAGCCCTAGATAAACCCTAACTTCCGTATACCTCAAGTAAGGTGATGAGTGTCGTCGTTGATAGAACTAAACAAGGTAATCAATAAAGCAACCAAATCTAGTCATAAAACAACCCAGCAGAGAGACTCTGTAGATAAATAACGCAAAAACAGAGGAAGAAATTAAGAAAAAAAAAAAAGAGAAGAGCTTTACACTCTGTGGAATCACAGCGTTGATGGATGAGAAATTGAGAAAAGATTTGACACGAACAAGGGTTTTTATAAGCAAACCTGCTATTGTATTTTGGGCTATATCTGGAATCTCTGGCTTCTCCGTTGTCATCAAATTACTAATAGGACTAGGATTAGGAAAAAAGATGAGAAGTCGTCTAGATTTCTGTAAACTCTTTTTCCAATGCCTACACGGCGTCGTTTGACCACAATCTTAAAGTCAACCCATAGATTTGGTACGAATTAAGTCAAAAGCAGTTTGTTGGTTCGGTTACACCATTTGCTCCGGTATTTTTTGGTAAACCAATTAATAGAGATTCACGTACAACAACAATTTTCACATGTTCAATAGCTTTTTTGTTTTGCAAAATCATTGAGTTAATTGTAACAAAAGTAAATCATCAAAAGCCATAGTAATTATGTGACTGTCACTTCATAGTCAATCTTCATGGGTTTATTACAGTCCATCATCCATCATCATTCATTATTCATTTTGGTTAGACCAACTGTGAGTTGGAGGAACTTGAAAAGCAACACTTATACACTCACACATATTCTCGTAAGTCAATATCTTCGATTCTCTCTTGTGTTCTTCAATTATATGTACCTAATTCTGTTAAATGCATTTTTTAAGATTAAAACAGAGAGACCCCACTGCAGTGGTTGGTTTGGTAATTATCTCTCCATACAAAATTCACACTTTACTCTTTTAATAGTTAAAACTTAAAAGTCTTGCAGATGGGTCTTCTTCATAACTCAACACAATTAACCTATTACTTTTATATCAATTTTGATTTGGTCAAACACAAGCATCAACGCAGAATCGAACTCTGTCAAATTGACTGTGCCAACGACCAATTAAATTAGAAAACGAGGCAGATCCTTTTGGTTATATATTCGGTTAATTTTGATAACATTTGTTGAATAATTAGATGAGATCTTGATCACTAACCCTTTTCTTGATTTGCATGCTGCATAATGCAAAGAAAAGAAAAAGCAACATATTCTTTAATTTGTAGCGTCTTTTGTCTCTTAAAGAACAAATGAAAGATGCAAAAATTGGGATGCTTTTGCTTTTATTCCCCCCCTTTCTTTGCGGTGTCTTTGCTTTTTATTTTCTTTTACATATTAATTTGAATTTGAATCTGCTTTTCTCATATTAAAAAAGAACCCCATTATGTTTACTTAACAATGGATTCAAACCAACTAATCATTGATTCTTTATCTTATTTGAGCTCACTTTCTCTTTCAACTCTGTCTTTAAACCGAAAGAAAACTCTGTCTCTACCGCATGAAAGCAAAGACAAAAAAACAAACTTTCACAAGAAACCAATTTCTCTCTCTTTCTCAGATCATCTCATGGAGTGATCAGTAGCCAAAAGGGCTCAACCATGACCTCTTCTCACACCTCCCTGGCCGCTTCCTTCTTCTTCCTCCTCTTACTCGCCGTAACCGCGGTTTTGGTTTCAGCCGATTTAGCATCAGACGAGCAAGCCCTTCTTAACTTTGCAGCATCAGTACCACACCCACCAAAACTAAACTGGAACAAGAACCTCTCTCTCTGCTCCTCATGGATTGGCATTACCTGTGATGACTTCAGCGGCACCAGCCGCGTTGTAGCCGTGCGTCTTCCCGGAGTTGGTCTCTACGGCTTAATCCCTCCTGCCACATTAGGCAAACTAAACGCTCTTAAAGTCCTTAGCCTCAGATCTAACACTCTCTTTGGATCTTTACCTTCTGATATACTCTCACTCCCTTCTCTTCAGTACCTTTATCTCCAGCACAACAACTTCTCCGGCGAACTCACTAATTCTTTGCCGTCGATCTCCACGCAGCTTATTGTTTTGGATTTGTCTTACAACTCTTTCTCCGGTAATATTCCTTCCGGTCTCCGAAACTTGTCTCAGATCACTGTTTTGTACCTTCAAAACAACTCTTTTGATGGTCCAGTTGATTCTCTTGATATCCCGAGTGTGAAGGTTGTAAATTTGAGCTATAACAACTTGAGTGGACCCATCCCTGAACATCTCAGGACCTTGCCGGAACTTTCTTTCATTGGAAACTCATTACTGTGTGGTCCACCTCTGAATCCATGTTCTGGAGGAGCCACCTCTCCAACTTCAAATTTGCCAAGACCGTTGACAGAGAATCTCCATCCTGTTCGGAAGAGACAGAGTAAGGCTTATATAATCGCCATTGTAGTCGGATGCTCTGTAGCCGTTCTTTTCCTTGGGATTGTTTTCTTGATTTGTCTGGCGAAGCAGACGAAGAAAGAAGAAGAAGGCGGAGAAAGAGGGCAAACGCAGACGGGTGGAGTGAATGGCAAGAAACCACAGGATTTCGGGAGCGGAGTTCAAGATCCAGAGAAGAACAAACTCTTCTTCTTCGAGAGATGCAATCACAGTTTCGACCTAGAGGATCTTTTGAAAGCTTCTGCTGAAGTTTTGGGTAAAGGGAGTTTCGGAACGGCCTACAAGGCCGTGCTTGAGGACACAACCGCGGTTGTGGTGAAACGTTTAAGAGAAGTCATGGCGAGCAAGAAAGAGTTCGAACAGCAATTGGAGATTGTTGGGAAGATTAACCAGCATCCCAATTTCGTACCGCTCCTCGCTTATTACTATTCGAAAGACGAGAAGCTACTGGTCTACAAGTACATGACGAAAGGGAGCTTGTTCGGGATCTTGCACGGTGAGTCATGATGAGACCAAACCCTAAGCTTTTTTTGTTTTTTTTATCGAAAGCTTGTGTAAGTCAGAAAAAAAGATGGTTCCTTTTTGTATTTTTGGGACAGGAGGCAGAGAAGGAGACAGGGGAGTAGATTGGGAAACGCGGATGACGATCGCGACAGGGACGTCAAAAGCAATCTCTTACCTTCACTCGTTGAAATTCGTTCATGGAGACATCAAATCCTCCAACATACTTCTCAGTGAAGACCTTGAGCCATGTCTCTCCGACACATGTCTAGTGACACTCTTCAACCTCCCGACTCACACACCGCGAACCATCGGTTACAATGCTCCAGAGGTGATTGAGACGAAGAGAGTCAGTCAGAGATCAGACGTTTATAGCTTTGGTGTGGTGATTCTCGAAATGTTAACCGGGAAGACACCCTTAACTCAGCCTGGTCTTGAGGATGACCGAGTGGTCGTTGATCTTCCGAGATGGGTTCGGTCTGTTGTGAGAGAAGAGTGGACAGCTGAAGTTTTCGATGTGGAGCTCTTGAAGTTTCAGAACATCGAAGAAGAGATGGTTCAGATGCTTCAGCTTGCGCTGGCTTGTGTTGCAAGAAATCCAGAGTCAAGGCCAAGGATGGAGGATGTTGCGAAAATGATTGAAGAAGCGAGAAGATGTGATCAGTCGCAGCAGAACAGAACATCCTCAGAGGTGACTTCGAATGTCTCTGAATGATTTCTCATTCCGACTAAAAGATTCTGCTCCTTAGCTTCCTGAAGAGAAAGATGTTTCTTTGATCATAATTCTACTTCTGTCTTATGAATGTTGTTGTTACATTGTATCGTAGCTTAGTTCGTCTGAACAAATTCTCCTCCAGTGAATTTGTTTCTCTTTGATTTTTTCTTAAACAATAATTTCGCTTTGTATTGTAGTAAACTAACTTCGTTTTTCATTTCATTTCGAGTTTTCCAAGCCAGAACATGTCCAAATCCAATTAACATTAGAAATTAGGTCAACATGTAAAAAATATTCGCTTTGACATTAATTTATAATTTTCCATAAGTAACTAGAGTAAATATTCTACACATGAAAATATGACACAAGAACAAAGACAATACACACAACAACAAAAAGACAGCGAACAAATAAAACAATGAAAAATATACTTTTAAATTATGCGGTTTTTCAAAACCAAAAGCAGGTCATTACTCACTTCTCAACAGTTGATTCCACATTCCAGAATGTCCGGGCCAGTGACTCGGCTGGTGAAGGGATCGATTCTAACCCACAACAAGGAGAAGATCGAAGCCAAGAGAACAGACCAGACCACAACAATGGTAGGAGTCCGGTTCTGTCGACCCATCAAACCCTTGAGGAAAGGGTACAAGTGAACAATCACCCAAAAGGCAAAGAAGAGCTTACCAAAGAGTGGTCCCCATGATTGGTATCCACTGTTGATAGCATAAGAGACTCCTGCAACAACCCCCACGAGGTTCACAATGAGCAGCGTCGTTGGCGGAATCAGAAGTGTAGTCCATTTGAACAAGTAGAGCTCGGCAAAGTCTCCGTCTTCGTCCGAAGCTTTTGAGGTGACCGTGAAGTTTGTGTCGATACCGGCAAGGACTTTGAGGACACCTTGAAACACGGCGAATAAGTGAGCGGATACACCACCAATGACCCAAAACTGCTCGTTTCTCCACCACTCGTCTATGCCCACGCCACTCCACCTCATTTCCAGTATACCCGTGGCGAAAATGGAGAGAAAGAGAGACAGAAACCATATACTGGCAATGTTGCTAATCTGCGAAAGGGGAACAATAGAACCAGATGATAAGGTTTTGAACGTAATTAGGGTTTGTTCTAAAGATAGACAGCTAGAAAGAGAGGGGTCAAACCTGAGGAATAATGAACTGGTTGGTGAAGAGACAAACGGCGGGCAATGTACAGTAGGCAAGAAGAGGGATGGAGGTGATTGGGTAGATGGTTGTGTTCACATATGCAAACCTCTCAAGAAACTTCAGCCTCCCATTGTAACCATACCATATAGGACAATGCCGACTGAAGAGAATCTCAACTGAACCTAGAGCCCACCTCAGCACTTGGTTCAGACGATCTGAAAGATTGATAGGAGCAGACCCCTTGAAAGCCGGCAGCTTTGGCATACAGTAAATGGATCGCCATCCACGGGCGTGCATTTTGAAACCAGTCAGAATATCTTCTGTTACAGAACCATAGATCCATCCAATCTGAAGAAAGACAGCGGACAAAATAATTAACAAAGTGGATAAGTCAGAAACATTGCAATTTCATGCAGGCAGTTAAAGTGATAAAATACAGTACCTCCATTCCCCAATCTGACTTATCCTCGTAACCACAACTAATGACATGGATAGCCTCTTTGAGAAGGTTTTCTGGAGTTGCTGAAGGAGGAACACCCCCATTTTCCATTAGGGTAGACGCAACAAAAACAGCAGACTGTCCAAATCGCTTCTCCAGGCTCATTTGCGACATCAAGAGCGCCTTTTCATCGTCAAAACCAGCACCTGAGTTTTACAAATGGCAAATAGTTAGGACACGGTAAGCAACAAAAACACAAGACCATTTCTTCACGAACTGTCAATTGTAAATAACCCCCTCCCCTGGATCTCAACATCAGCATATGGGTATAACGAAAAACCAAAGAAGAAGTTAAAAAAAACAGTTGTACCTTCAACTCCCTCTTCTATGTCATCGAGGTTGAATACAGGAACAGTTGAGTCAGTATGCCTTCCTGATTTCTTTTTGTCCGACTCTTTCTTAGATTTGGAATTCTTCTTTCTTGATCCACCACAGAGCTTAGATAACAAACTTGGCTTCTTGTGCTTTACCTTTATTGGAGGTTCATAACCATATAATGCTGTTCTGTTGAAAACACACCCAGTTCCCACATATACAGGTCCTTGAATCCCATCTAAACCTCTCAAGTTAATCTGTAAAACATATCACGGAAAAGTTACAACAAACCTCAAGAAACTGGATGTTTTAAATGTATATTCATGTCTAAGAGCAATTTTGAAAGAACAAGAAAAATTGTTAGAGGTAAGTATAGGCAAGTGTGACTTACATCAAAGAAAACGGTATTACGATTAGCATATCTATCGTTCTTATCGATACCATCGAATCTTTGTGGAAACTGAACATAACAAACTTGCTTCCCGAGGTTTGGGTCCATCAGGAAGCACATTGCTTCTCTTAACGCCTTGCTGTTATTTATGTAGTGATCACAATCAAGATTCAAGATGAAAGGTCCATTGGTCAGGACTGCTGAAACTCTAACCTGTTTATTTGAAAAATACCCAGATTAGACTAACAAAATATGTTCAGAAAAAAAGGAGAAGTTAAAATTCCGAGATCAGAAACCTACCAGTGCATTCATAGCACCAGCCTTTTTGTGGTGCTGGAATCCTGGTCGCTTTTCTCGAGAAACATACACCAAACGCGGAAGCTCATTGCCCTCTGCATCAAGTCCACCATTTTGCCCTAAGAAAACCTGCATTCAACAAATGTTACTTCAACTATGAACTTCTGGAGAGAAAGAGAGCATACTCGATTTCCATACTTTAAACCAATTTATCTTACCTGGATCATTCCTGGATGGTCCCTTGTATTATTTCCAGGCCACGGTGTACCATCTTGCATAACCCACCCTTCTTCAGGACACTTTAAGGCCTTGGAAACAAGTGCATTGATTCGGATCTTGAATTCCTCATATTCCCTCTGCAAGAAAATATAAGGTCACTATAGCATATACTTAAATGAAAGTGAGGGTGACTAGTTGACTAAAACAACAAATTTACCTTCATAGCTCTACGATCTTTCACGAATGATGTCTGAACTTTATCCTTCAAGTAATCTATTTTCGCAGCAAAGTACCACTCTGGTGCGCGAGGCTCAATGCTATATTTCTTGCAGAATGGTACCCATTTACGAGCAAACTCTGATGTTTCTGCAAGTGACTCAAATGATAACATAGCAGCACCATCGTCAGAAACATAACAGGACACCTTGTCAACTGGGTAGTCAACAGCCAGAATAGAGAGCACTGTGTTGGCTGTCACAAGGGGTGGCTCCTTCAAGGGGTCAACAGTACTCACGAAAATGTCAACAGCGGCCAACTGTGACGGCTCACCTTCACGATCATATCTGTCCCAAAATTAAGAATGATCAGATTAAAATGGGAAATATTACAGGCAGTCCATCCGTTGAGCAATTGCTTCAGAAGCATGGGAAAATAGACCATACCTTAAAGCAAGTCTGTCGAGGTAGGTTTCACGGTTCACAGGAAACCACTTGGGAAACTGATCCAAAATCCAGGATATGGCAAACCAGATCTCACATATCACTGAGACCAGCCACAGAGCAAAGGCATTTGGCACTGGATTTGTTATACGGTAATGCAAGAAGAGACAGAGGATAACAAGCCGCAGCATAATAACCATTCTGTACGGATTGATCCGTGATGAAGGAATCGACACTTTCCTTGACAGAGGCTGCCTCGCTTCGTCATTTCTGCACAATAAATAAAATTGGATCAGGACAATGCTTATCAGGAAAGGAGCTTAGATCGTGCAATGTCATAACCCTGAAACAGAACAGGACACCATGACGGACCAAAGAAGAAAACAAAGCAAGAACTTACAGCAAAGCCTCATCTGCGAGGATATCTGTGCTGGCATCAATATCACCTCCACCTCTTTCAGAAGCAGCCTGCGTGCTAACAGGACCAGTATTCTTCTCCTGCTTCATCTTCCAGCCATCAACTCTCTCCTTCCAAGCGACATTTCCTAGGCCAACAGGGTCCACAACCCTTCTATTTGCTGCAGCAAGAATGACAACATAAACAAAAAGCCCAGCTAGGTACGAGTAATGAATTGGCCAGATAAAAAAGGTAAAAAGAAGGATATTTACGTGATTGATTGACATCTGATGAATAGGGAAGGCGCTTTCCACCAGCTATAGTAGAAGATACAGAGAGGCGTTCAGGTGAGGCAGCAGAAAACTCTCCTGAGGTCTGTAAATAAGCGAATGACGAAATGAGATTCCAAAACTCAATTGCGTGAGGATGTGAATGCTTAAGAGGGAAGAAGAATCGATAGAAATGCCTTACATCTTGTCTACTCGTAAGACGAGGAAGATGATTATGAGAGACCTCTTTGTCGTACTCGGGTTGCCCCATCTCATCTCCTTTCCCGCGAGTAAGATGCCATCCAAGCATCCGCTCTGAAATTTTTTCCTTCTGCGGGTAGTTGAAATCAACGGTAGCTTCATCAGCTAAGCCATCCTCGTCTTTATCACTGGGAATTGCAGGACTACCTAGGAACATAAAATAAGCAAATCATAGTAAATACCAATCTGATCTATAGCTTAAAAACATATTGTTGCACTATGAAACAGATGGATCAAAGTCTTGAACATTCAGATCAAAAGTAATAATACCCTTGTGCCTCTTGTATGGGGTTTTGCACTGAGGACAATATTGATTCCCATCCTTCCTCTCAAATTCATAGCAAGGCCTACAAACCGGGAATGAACAAAAATCACACGCCACAAACTTCTCTCCATCAACAGTCTTCCCAACGTTGTCACTACAGATCTGGCAAATCTGCCCACCAACATTCTTCATCGGCTTCCCCTACAATAAGTCGAATCAAAGAGTGAACACAAAGCCAAAATTAGAAACCTATCAAAAACAAAAAACTGGGAAAAAAAAGCCGCCCAATTCAGATCTCTCTAATACACAAGTAAACACCACTCTCAAATCCGCCAATTTCAGTATCTATATATATTCCTGATTTCGAGCCGATCATGCAGATTATAAGGAAACAAAAACAAAAGGGAACTAATATGATTAAGCAGAATCAAAACATACCGCGGTTTCACCTTCGGATTCCATCGTCGCTTACTTTCTTCCAACACCGAATCGTCGGGATAGTTCAAATCTGCTCGAAATGAACAAAAACAAGAAATGCGATTAGATCTGACGAGATCAAAGTAAGAGAAGTCAAATCTGAGAAGAAGAGGAAATGGAAAACGAGCTGATGAGTTAAAGCTATACCATGAGATCTGGAGATGGAGTCGCGATGTGACTCTTCAGATCTCTCTCTGAATCTGCGATTCTTCTCTAAAAGAGAGATATATGTAAGCAAGGAGGAAGAATCTATAGATGACTTAAGAGATGCAAGCTGCTATTTGTCTCAGCTCGTCACTCTTCAGATTTTTAAAAATAAATATTAATATTGTAACAAATCATATCCGTCGGCACAAAATTAAAATAAAATAAAATCATAGCCAACCAAGCAACCACCACCACCACCGACAACTCCACAGTGGATTTTTTTAGTAGTTTACAGATTTTCAGTGAAAAAAGCGTTTTAACTTACCGATTAAAAGTTTTTCAAAAATCAAAATTAGTGGGTCATTTTCTTATCAATTAATTAGTCTGATTAATAAAGTAACAAAGATTGATTTCGATAGTGATAGTATTAAATTGTTAATTGTTAAAATACGAAGAACAGAACAAAGCGTAAGGTTGAAGACGACAATATCTGAGCCTAAAATAAATGGCCCAAAATAGAAGACCATTAGGGCCCAACATAGCGGATAATTAGAGTCCAAATGAGTTCTGACTTCTGAGGATTGTGACGAAAAGCAAATCAGTTTATTTTCGGTTCATATCCAATCTTGGAAACCACAGGATCGAAATCGAACCGAACCGAGACCAATAATTGGTCTACTGTTGAAATGTAGGTCTTCTGCATGTGCAGATGTTTGGCCACTGGGCAGAATTAGACAGACTGTAAATTGACAAATGGAGAAAATGGCAAACATTTGAATCCCAAAGAGCGCCACTTTCTCTTCGCTATACGACAAATCTTCCCTCCTTATTCCCTCCTCTTTGTTCCCTTAACCTTTCCACCTTCCGCATCGTAACTCGTAACCCTACAATTTGTCTACATAAACCATCCTCTGTTTCTCCCCTTTCTGGGCATTTTTCCTCTCAATCGAATCAATTTCAGGTCAGTGAATTTATAGTTTCTCTGTTTTTCTGAAATTTGGACTGAGATCTTCGCTTCTACGGTTGGGGATTTTCTAGATCTTTATGATCTGAGTTACCAAATTCTGTTTATATGAGATTCGTGGAGTTTTTTTTGTTTGGGTTCTTCATCTGATGATCAAATTGTTCAAAAGTACTTACTTTTCTTTTTACAAGTAATCAAAAACTCCTAAAGTTCGAACTTTTGGTTATAAGAAAAAGGGGATACTTTCAATTTCAAGAAGCCCTAGTTCTTTATTTGCTGGAATTTCGTGCTTGCAGAAGTGTTTTTTCCCCCAGAACTGTTATTGTCTTCACTTGTGTGTCACTTGTTTCTATGTTGACGAAAATGACAATCCATCTTTTCTTCTTCTTTTTTTTTTGTTTAAGGATAGATGGATTCTCCCACAGAAACTGGACTAGAGATTTCTGACGATTCATGTGGGTGGCCACAAAATCTCAACTCGTTTGAAGAAATCTCATCAGGTACTGAAATCTTGTCGAATTGATCATACATGTCTTGGTTTGATTGTGTTTGTTTCCTGCTCAAACACAAATCTTATATACATAAACTCGTCAGGTTTAGACCAAAATGCCTCTTCCCCTGTAACTCCAGAATCTGTCAGGATACCTGTAGCTCTCAGCTTTGATAATGGCAGTTCCGATGTTTCTCCCAATCATGACTCTGACTCTTCTTATTCCGAGTTAGACTCGGAAGCTGAAGCCTTTTACTCATCTCTTAACCACCATCTGGTCTCACCAGGGACAATGGGTAGCCATGAGTTTGCTGAGAAGCAAATGAGCTATGGAGAATTGATGAAGAAATTTGTCCAACGCGAGGAAGAGCTTAGGACTACGACTCTAAAGCTCCAAGATACTGAACAAGAGATTGAGAAACTGAAAGGCGAAACCGAGAAGAGTGAGTCTGCTGTTCTACTTGCTGAGCTTGAAACTGCAAGGAGAGAAATAGAGACGAGGGACACAGAGATTGAGGCTGAGAAAAAGCGAGTTCTCGAGCTGCAAAGTCAGGTGGTGGGTTTGGAACGTACGCTCTCAGACTTAAATGTCAGCATTGGGAGTGTAGTGGATGAGCTTCAGTTGAGTAAAGAATGTTTGGGTGTATCAGATGGTGAGATAGCAAAGCTAAAGGAAATGTTGTGTGATTGCCAGCAAAGTTTCTCTACTGAAAAAGCAAAACTGGAGATTGAGATTGCTGGACTGTTAGAGAAGCAGACTTTCTTGGAAGCTCGGGTCAGAGAAATGGAATCACGTGGTGAGGTACTGGAAGATCAGATTAGGCATTCTTCTGCAGAGAAAATGGAGATGCAGAGAAAAGAGGCTCAGTGGCAAGCTGAGATCGATGCATTGAAGACAGACCTGGCCTCGCGAGATGAGCGAATTGAAGCGTTGAACAAAGACTTCGACAAGCACAAACTGAGTTACGATATGCTAATGGCAGAGAAAGATGGAGTCTGTGCCGAGGTAGACAATCTAAAAGCAGAGATGAGATCAAGAGACATCCAAATCGAGCAAATTGGGGACCAGCTTAACCAGCTTCGCTATAGGGAGACCGAGCTTGTGTCTGAATCAGGAAATGCCAAGAACACTGTGGAGGAACTGATAGCGACGGTTAAAGAACTGGAGAAGCAAGCAGAGTTGCGGAGAAATGCGATATCAGAAGGAGAGGAAGAGAAACGTGAGGCGATCAGACAGCTTTGTTTCTCTCTGGACCATTACAAAAGCGGATACAGACAGCTTCTGCGGGTTCTTTCGAACAACAAAAGGCAATAAGTAGTAATTCATGGCCGTGTGAGGTTGAATGGATTCGTTCTCATTTGCTTATTCGTTACAATAGTAAAATGTCGTCCTGTGTTCCATCATATTTGTGTCATTATGTGTTTCTCTTCTATCTCAGACATTCTTCAGATTATTTAGATAGAATTGCAGTTTATATGAAATCTAAGCTCGATAATGCTTTAATATGTGGGTGTGCTCGTGCAGTTATGTATTTAAAAGTTTATGTCTAAAGATTTATTTCATTTATGCTTATGTCATAATGACGTAAAGTCTTAGTAATTAAAAGGCGTGAGAAGAAAAAGTCAAAAGGCCAAACACAAACCTAATCCTCCAATATCCCAATTTGGTTGACTCTCTCAATGAAAGAGCTGGCGTTAATGTGAAATGCTGATAAAAGGTTTCTATATAGTAAGGGTTGAATTATTATGGACATTTATTACTGATTTAGTACTATGTTTTGTCAAGAAAAATTTAGTGAAGACTACATTAATTAAAATATGAAAATTATAAATAAAACTAACATGCATGGAACCAAAAAATAATATGACAACCACAAAGTTGAACGAGTCTGGTGTTTTGTATACTACGTATTCCGATTCTAATTCGTGTTGAGAATTTGTGCTTGTTGGTCAAACAATTTATTTATTAATTTTCTTTAAATAATATAATACGATCTGACTTTATCAGGATTGGTCATGTTCTGCATGACTTTGTTTCTAACTTATAGGAGAATAAAAATGAAAATTTTCAACTCTCAGGGTCGGTCCATTGCTTCTCTCTTTTTTTTTCTTCTCCTTGTGTAACGCGATATATGCCTGAGTCTGAGTGCGAAATTACGCATCCGCATGCAAATCTTGCGAGTATAAAGTTTATTTTATTTTTTAGTATAAAGTTTGTTAATGTGATTGCATGTATGAAACGATTTTGCGAGACTGCTGGCGACGAACTTTATTAGTTAGAGACAACAGATAACCAATTTAAAGATAGCTAAAGAAAATGTTAGTATATGGGACCTTTATATTTTCACTTTCTTTTATTCTCAATTAAGGTTGGCATACAAATATATTCTTAATTTAAGATAAATAAATTATTCTTTATCAGATGTAAAAAAAGTATAGTCTTATGTTTCTTTTGTTTTTTTTTGGCTTTGAATTGAGTTAGTAGAGATTACATTTACATATTCAGGAAATATAAATAAATATCATAAAAAAAGACAGAGTTTTACTATTTTGAGAACTTAAATAAAAATAAGCTGTATAGATAATTAATTTTAAACTAAAAAAAAACATCGTATAACCACAGTTTCCATATGCTCACGAAAATTGATGGGAGTATCATAATTTAAAATTTGAACAAAGCGCATGTTGCTTTACAGATAACCTTTCAACTTGTTCTGTTTTTTTTCTGTCTCAAAAGCATATAAGATAGTTTTTGACAGCGTTCATGTCTTGAATTTCAAGTAACAGCAATTTGCGATATAAATCAAAATTTTCAAAAAAATGCAGCGGTCCCAAATTTGTGAAGAGTTGACCGGTATTGAGCTTGATTTGAGTTGATTTGGTTTAGAGAATCGTATCCCGTGGTCATTGGATTGCGCAGAGAAGAAAACAAATACTGAAGCAACCTCTAGAGTCTAGTCTAATAGGACACCACAACAAAGGTTGACTTCTTCGGAATAACAAAACCAAAACTACTTACAAAGTCGAAACTCGACAGCACAAAACGATAAAAGACCAAGTCTGTCGACCATTACCTTATTACAAAAAATAATGTACCATATATATATATATGGTTGATATCACTACTTGATATTTCGTATAAACTTTTTCTTCTTTTATTTCTTTTTGTCCATAACATTTGCTGGAATATTATATTTTTGTTCTGAACATTCACTGGAATATTAAAATATATTGAAGTAAAAAAGTTCAAAATGTTTAACAAAAAAAGAAAGAAATGAAGTAAATGTTAAATGGAGAGGATATTAATCATTTAATGGTAAAGTAAAAAATATGGGATCAATAAATGATGCATGAAGAAGTATACAGTATAGGGCTAAATTTCTCTTTCCAAAATAAATGAAACAGGCGCCGACATTAAACAATGCCATTTCATTTATAACTCTTATCCAAAAAAAATTAATTAGGTGAAAACATTTATCTCTGCTCGTTCTTCTCTCTTCTTCTCTGCTTAACCAAGCTCTGTTTCAGATGCTTTCAACAAAAATATCATCAAATGGGTTTTCTTTAATTTTCGAGCGAACGAGTCATGGGGGGTTTTTTTTTTAGTCTATTTGACTTATAGGATATCAGAAAATTCCTCAAAAAGTAATTTTAAGAAAAAACTTTCTAGACACGGAAAAAGAGAGACTTTTCTCAAAGGAGAAATTAACATCCGAAGTTAAAAAATCCTCTCCAACGATTTGGGTTTTTTTTTTTTGTCTCTGTTCTCTCAATTCTTTCTACTTCGTCCCCACGACAAGAAATTCTCCCTCTCTCTCTCTCTCTCTTCGCCATTTCTATCCTCCACTCTCTCTCTATATAATCTTGAACTTCTGGGTTTTTCTTCTTTCACAATCTCTCGAGTTACAAAGACTCTGCAAAGAGTTTTTTTGATTCTTGATCTTACATCTGATATCTTTTTATGGCTTCTTGAATGGTGTAATCTTGCTTCCGTTTCGTCATCTCGACCCGGATCCGTGACCAGCTCTCAGACCCGGATTATACCAATTCCCATACCACTGAAATCTATTTAAGCTTTTTTTTTTTGCCTTTTCTCATCTTCAACAAAGTTTAAAACCACACCGCGTTGACCTTCATCGTCTGGTCTCCGCTCCAGTTCTGTAGAAACTCGAAGAACTTCTCAAAGTTTCGATCTTTTATCTTTGTTCCTCTTTCTCTCTCTATCTCTGTGCGTATTAGGACTTTTTCTGGGTTCTGTTGATGTGGATACTCTGATTCAAAAGGTTGGGTCAATTCATCAAATTCGGTACCAACAATGGCGAGCCAGACGGGTCAGAGAGTTCGGTTGGTGAAATGCCCAAAGTGCTTAAAGATTCTACAGGAAGACGAAGATGTTCCAGTTTATCAGTGTGGTGGTTGTTCCGCCATTCTTCAAGGTCATTTGCTTTTTCCTATCCTGCAACTTTCCATTTTCGATTTTGTCTAAACGAAATGTTAACTCTGGTCCTGAATCTGGGGCTTGTTCTAGTCCTGGGGTCTATTAAGGAATGTTAGTTAATAGGGTCCATCTGTTCTGATTTCCTCAGTTTTATCTTTGCTCTCAGTTTTATCTTTGCTTTGTCTGAGCTCAGACGAGTTGTGTGTTCTTGGTTTCTTTCTACTCATGTTCTGTCGGTTATTAAACTTGTTTGTTGCTTCTTTGTTTCAGCGAAAAGACGCAGCATTGCTCCAAACACTACACCGAGTTCAGGAGAGACAGAGGGGGCTATAGCCAGTGAGCCACGAAGCGAGCCTGAAACCAACAATGTGTCCAGCAGCTCACGGCAGGACACGGTTCTTCCGTCATCTCCAGGGCGTTCCTCGGGACAAGTAGATGAGAAGGCTCAGGATGGATCCATGGAGTCTACTGAGAAGCGGCTCGGTGGCTTAGAGTTATCTAACGGAGAGGAGGGGAACGAAACCCAACTGCAGGAATGCTCACCTGATGATTCCGACAAGAATGAAGGTGAAGACAGCTCCAGCAGATTAAAGTCTGATTTGAAGTCCGTGACAGAAGCTACAGGAGCAGGGACTAGCTCAGGAAGCTTGAGTGCTGATCATCTGGTGGCTGCAAGAGCGAGTCATTCATCCAGTGATGCTTACAACAAGCTAGAAGCTGAAATCTCTCCCGATGCCTCTCCTGTTGAAGAGGAGCAAAACGAAGATGGTTACGCTTTTCACCCTCACAGGGAGTCACCAGATGATCTTCCTGCAAACAAGACTTCTTCTGCGTATGATGGGAGTAAGTCTTCGTCTGACGAAAGGGAAGACCAGCTCCTCGACGAAAACGAACAATGGAATGCTCTTCAGAAAATAAGAACAGGCAATTTTGAGATGCAGAGATACCCTGAAAGTTTCAAGGAGCAAGGCGCTAGTTCCTCGTCCACTTTCTCCGAGAAGAGGCGCAATGGGACCACCACATACAGCGAACGGCACCAGAACAGATCTCTGCAACTTGAGGGACCAGGAGGGCGTCTTGGAAGACAAGGGAGGAGACATGTGACAGAACAGCTCCGGCCCAACATGCCTTTCTATCCGAGAGAAACATACACACGTGTAAGCCCTACATACCCATCGCACGATGAGTTTGATCGCTATTCCCGTGCACACTCGCTTCAAATGCCTCCATACGCTGGAGGCATGAACTACGAGAGTGCTGACTATATGTATCAAAACAACGCAAGGGCAAGAGGTCGGGGCCAAGGGAGTAGGTTCTCAGGAGAGATGGCGAGTGACCGAAGAAACCATGCCGGTTGGTATTCAGGTCAGCTTCATAATTCTTACAGTTCGTATTCTGCAAGTCCACAGAGGCCGATGGAACAAGCCGAGTATAATCCGAGATGGAGCCACGAGATGGTCTCTGACGTGGAGGAACATCAGCGTAATAGACATGCCGGCCACCACCATGAGTTACAGACCCGTCGTCTAAAAGAGAGACAACGTGTGGCCAAGCGTCATATCCGTCCTACAGCCGGTGGGGCCCCTTTCGTCAGCTGTTACAGTTGCTCAGAAAGCCTGCAGCTTCCTGTAGACTTTCTCATCTTCAATAGGAAGCATCATCTTCTCAGATGCGGCACCTGCACCACTGTTCTCAGATTCTCACTTCAGTCCAGGACTCATTTAGTTCCTGCAGTAACACCTGACGCTAACGCTAATAGGAGTAGCAACTCAACATCAGAGTCTCCCAGGGACAAAGCTCATTCCAAACCGGAAAAGGCGAGCTCATCTGCTCAGGAAGAGGAGGTACCTGTGGCTAGAGGCTCCCCGCTTCATCGGCTAATGGGATATTCTACTGTAAGCCAAGTCTTTAAAGCTTCTCAGCGTCCTCCTTCTGTGTAGATTCTCTGCTTCTGATCAAGTAACGAGAACTATGCACTTTCTCAGATGGAAAGTTTTGCCATTGCTTTATCATTCTTTTTCTCACATATATGCATAGGTAAAAGATTTGTTTCTGCACTTTTGTCTAAAGTAGGGAAGACCATGACACTTGTGCAAAATTATACAAAAGAAGATATTTATGATCTGTTGTATATAATGTAGGATTTGTTATGTTTGTAACAATATTGAATTCATTATCACTTGTAAGTAAAAAAAGTTTGAAAAGGTAAAAGTGACTGTATATCTTGTATGAACTTAGTTGAAGCTATCTTTATATCGATTCACCCTCCTGTTGGACACAACAGAGATTCGCTGATCCTGCAGCATGTTCAGGTTTGGGGCTAATAGTCTCGTGTACCGATCGAAATACAGAAGCTGCTTCATTAGAAGTGCAAACTCCCTCGGGAACTTCAGCCCATATGATTCACTAACACGCACCTACACATAGGAAAGAAGACTTGTTTACACCTAAACGCACTCCTTAAGCTCAAAACCATGGTTATTTTAACTTACATCGATGCACCTTCAGTATGCTAACAACTTTGATTTCAAAAACAAAATCCTTAAACAACTACGTCTAATCAGAGCTTACCAGGTCGAGGAAAAGAGCATTCATCTGTCTCTCATCCACAACTACGTTAGCAGCAACAGCAGTTGTGTCTGAATTTGTTCCACGAGCTGTAGCCACTACTATCTCTGTATCTATTTCCTGCAAGAAGAGATTCACTCCATCAGATTAATGATAGTTTTCGTATTTATTTCGCACTACGGTTCTGAAAGCAAATCACAATGGTTCCTCTGAACAGATGTAAGCTGGTTAAAATTGCCAAGACGAAAATTGCTTGCCTGTATAGAAGAGAACATCTTTTCCAAGTCTCTAGCAAAAGCTTTGGCATCAACATCTCTGTTTGTGGCACCCATTTGAATCAAAGCTGAGGCCATGGATTCATATTCTTCAGTTGCAATAGACGCTAAAAACACTTCCATAGCCGCCCATGTTTTGGGTGATATCCGGCCAACAATGCCTGAAAAAAATGTGGATACTTACTTGAATACACCAAAAAATACCAACAAACAGGGAAGAGTGTTTATGCAAAAAAAGAGGTAGCCACATGTAAGAACTGTTGCACCATTGAGGCTTGAGAAAGTATGATTTACCAAAATCAAGAAACCCAATCCGGCCATCACGCAACAGCCATAAGTTACCGGCATGTACATCAGCATGGAAACTTTCACAAGAAAGTAAACTTCCAAACCTGCAGGTTAGATAAAGATAATTTCACTAACTGCTACTTTTAGGAGGAGCAAGCTTATTTTCAATAGTGAGTTTCAAAGATCTTACCACACATTAAGGGCCGTAATAAGGCTGTTTTCTGGACTGGAAACAAGTGATCTTATAGAATCTAGATCAGTAAGAGGAACTCCGTATAGCCGCTCCATTGTGAGTACCCGCCTGCTGCTGCAGTGCTTATACACTCTTGGAGCTGTAGCTTGTCCTGACAACCCCATGGTTTCAAGATATCTCTTAAATGACTCAATGTTTTGAGCCTCCTTATTGAAATCTACTTCTTCAAGCATCGACTCACGAATGTCTTTGACAATACCAACCTATATCAATAGGATATATTGTTTAGGTAGTAACTTAGCAGCAACTGCAAATTATATTCAGCGAAGTTGGGAGTCTCTACAGCTACTTGAGAGTTTACCAGCGAAGTACGGCTGAACTCCGGACTAAGGAACTCAAATATACGAGCGACAACATAGATAAAGTTCAAATCTGCCATTAAGAAATCTTCTATTCCAGGCTTCAAGACCTTAATCACTACATCCTCTTGGGAGCCTCTAAGCCTCGCACCGTGGACCTGGTCATGATGATTCGCTTAGGCAGAAGAGTACATGAACAAAACGAATTTCAATCAACGAAGCAGAAGCAGAAGAACGCACTTGTGCTATAGAGGCTGATGCAAGTGGCGTAGGGTCAACATATTCGTATACGCTTTCTATGGGTCGCCCAAGCTCCTCTTGCAAGATTTTACGAATTTCCTCAAACGGTACTGGAGGAGCTTTGTCGAAGCAGTTCTGAAACTCTATGACATATTCTGGTGGGAACAAAGTTGGCGCAGATGCTATAAACTAAGAATTCAAAAGATATAATCCAAAAAAAAGTGGTGTTAAATGGGATCGAACGGGGAGTAAATTGAGAAAGAACAATATGATAACTAAGCTTATTTCAGACATTCACTTCACATGTTTTTAGCTTTTCACATGAAATCATCAAAAGATACAATCATGCTCTGCATTTTGTAATATGAATTACCTGGCCCAACTTAATGTAAGTAGCCCCCATGCGTTCAAAGAGTTTCCTCAAATATAGAGGAGACAGTAGACCAAGCTGCATTTCAGTTGGTAATCCACCAGACACATTTGTCGACTGCATCACGTGAGAGAGTGGATAACAATCAGAGATAGTTTGAATTTTGAAACCACCAGAAGAAATATAATTTCAGCACTATTCAGTTGAAGTATATATATATATATATATATATATGCGATCAACAGTCACCTTGGATATATCACTAAGCCATTCTCCTCCAACCCCTACAAAGGCCTGAACGCCTTGGACAAGGCGTAAGGCACCGCGTGGACCTGTGTTTATGGATGTCTGAACTATATCCTCCACTAGTTTGGGTAAGTTCTCTATACGGCCTGCGTATAAAAAGCACATGTCATCAGAGAAAGTTCTCACTCAAACATATTAAGATAAACCAAATTCAATTAGCAACAGAAACACCCTAACGAGATATAATTCTGCACGAAATTGCACCATAATTTATAAAATCAGTATACACAGTCCGAGTTCACAAAAAGAGCATGAAATTTTCGTACTTTGAAGGCGAGAAGTGAAAAGATCCTGGGTTTGCGAATACTGCGCCGAGAGAACAAACCCTTTCGAAATTCTTCCTCCGATCACCTTCTTATACCTCCCTGATACATTTCTCGCAACGGGAAACTGCGAAATGAAGCTATCGAGATTCAGCAGAGAGTAATGGCGTTTGCCTGTTTCGGTAGCTAAGCACTAAAGAGCAGATAAAAGAAAATTGAAAACAAGTAGACCTGAGACTGGTGAAGAAATGGTAATCGCGTGCCACGGAAAGCTGAGACCGCCATATCGCTAGCCGGAGACTGAAGCAGAAGACAAATAAACTCCGATCAAGCAAGCTTTTTTTACCCTGAGCGACACCGTTTTGGGGCCGTTTTGAAAGTTGAAAAACATGTGTGATGCAGCTAATACGAGAGGGGGGTGAAGAGGAACAACCCACGTGGAGACGTACCAGAGGTAGTTTCCTCCTTCTCACGACATATTCGTGCAAAAACTTCTCGGTTCGATTGAATCACCGGTTAACAATATTTCGATCTGTTAAACTGAACCGCTGTTAGGACGCTGAATGAGAGAAGTTGAGATACCGCATTTACATAAGTACCCTTATTGAAATTGAGAAATAACAACACCATTCGAACCCTAAAATTTTTCCGCGGCACCTCTTCTTCTCTCTCTTCTCTCTGTCGCCGTTGCTTCACCATCGTCGCTACCGGTGAGTGTTTTCCTTCTATTTTCTTTGTTTTATTTGTTTTCTTCCACCAATTCGTCTTCTTTCCATATGGGTTTGTTCTTGTTGTTTATGGAACTTGATTCTTGAGTCAGAATTTTTCAGAACGTAAGATAACGAGCTTTGATGAATTCTGAATTTGGATATAGATATCGAATTAAACTTGTATTTCTTTCTACGCTCTCGCCGCTGGATATAGATTTCCTCTACAATATTCATGATAAGCTTTTTTTTTTTTTTTTTTTTTTGATGCTTCTTAATCTCTTAATTCATCCTGCATTTAGTTAATTTCTAGTACAAAGCTTATTATGTTGGGTAAGGACTTGCTCTTTGCATAATATTTAGGGTTTCTGTGTCATCTCGCTGAAGGTTTTCTTTTGATTTATAGATTAAAAAGTTCCATCAATAAATTTGAAAAAACTAGGCATCTTGATACAATTGTAGATAATGGCAGATTTCTAGATGATAATAAACCCAACCGTTATACACTTTGTGAGCTTCGTTGAATATGATATCTAGTAAAGAAGTAAACTTGTGTCACTTGATGTGATTCACTGACTTCCTCAATTCTTATTTGACGCTGGCAAATCATAAAGTATTTGTATACTATCTTAGCTATAGCTATGTCTGAGGATGGCTTGATTCTTTCATGAGTAATATTTTCTTTTTTATTGCTGCAGCTTGACCTGAGGTTTACGACTTCTTCTGCGTGGGAGAGCAATGACTAAAACTCGTGGGACTGATGTAAGTTTTGATTTCTCCTTAACTGTTGAAAATTTGATCTAAAATCCCATCATTTGCCTAAATACTTGGTTAGTCTGCCATTGTAAGTCTTAGATGACAGTTTTGATTTGTTATTAGCTTCTGAAAGTGACTGATGAGTCCTTACTTGTTATTATTGTTTGTCATTTTTTTTTCTGATTTTGATTGGTTTTGACAATTGTTATAGATGGCAAAGAAAAAGGATAAAATTGATTCTAAATCGGATATCAAGTGTATGGCTCATCAGCATGCTGAATTTCTCGATAAGTTAATAAATCTTATCCCGGCGAGATTCTACTTACCTGATGAGACGGAAAGAAAGTGGTTTCCAGGTCTCCGCAAGCATGAAAAAATTGAAGCCAAGAGACAAACAAAGGAGAACCTAGGCGAAGCGAGGAGGGATAGGTTGGACCCAGAGAAGTCTGCTTTGACGACTCTGGATTTGCTGATGTTGAGGATAGAGAAGGAAAAGTCGAGTAATGATGACAGTGAGGAGGAAACAGATAACAAGAAGCCTAAGACTGCTGGTTTTCAGAAGGGTGATTCTGTTTCGTACGAGGAGCTGAGGCAACGTCTCCACCGCAAAATTGACGAGCTTAAAGGCGGTCGTGGTGGAGGTTCAGGTGGACCAAGAAGCCATGAAAGAAGGAAGAGGATGCTGCCAAGTAAGAGAAAGAGGGACTCAGTTTCTGAGGAGCAGACGGTGGAAGAGAATAAGTTAGCAGATAAAGGCAAGGCTAAGTTGGACGTTGAAGAGGCTGCGAAGGACCTTACATTTGGTTTTGTCAAGATCGACGACGGTGAGGAACATGGAAAAGATAAAAAGAAACGGAGACTTTCAAAGGCAAAAGAACTTGAAAGGGCTATGAAGTTAGAGGCTGCGAAGAAGGATCCAGAAAAAGGTGAAGTAATTGCAAAGAAGCACTCATGGCAAGCAGCCACAAGCAGAGCAGCTGGTATCAAGGTTCACGATGATCCAAAGCTATTGAAGCAAAGTATCCACAAAGAAAAGAAGAGGCACGAGAAGAACGCAGAGAAGTGGAAGGAAAGAGTTGAAGGACAACAAAAGGTCAGGGTGGAGAAGCAGCAAAAGAGATCAGGGAATATTGCGGATAGGATTGAACAGAACAAGATGCGGAAAATCGCCAAGAGGGAGAAAAAGCTCCTGCGTCCTGGCTTTGAAGGCCGCAAAGAAGGGTTTATCAATGAAGGTGGCAAGTAAAAACTCAAATCTTCCGTATGCCTTTTGTGTTCCAACGCTTCGAAGTTGTGATCATCTCAAAGGCTGTGAAGAACATCTGCGATAGAAAACCATCTTTTGCCAGTTAGGGAGTTTTCATCTAGTCAAGTCCCTTGCAATATCTGTTATCCTTTTAGTTCGTTTTGTTTTGCAGTTTGTAGACTTTATCAAATGTTACACTTTGCTACTCTACTCAATGAATGCTATCAAGTTTTGAAACTACTGAAGCTATGGTTAGCAGTTGTAATCTGGGCTTGGTCTGAGAAATTAAACTAAAACTAAACCTAGTCGAATTGAAAATGGACCCGGTTTTGTATTTAAAATCCAAAAATGATCTTTAGGTGTGGCTTGTGAGTTCTAGAACCGACGTAAATGATTGAACTAGACAAAACGTGTCTGATCTTGATCGGTAAGCTGACTAAACAAAAAACTTGGATAAAGCTGAAAAGAGAGCCAAAAGAGGTCGGCAAAAGAATCTCGAGACACGTGCCACGAGAACAAGCATGGAGAATCTCGAAAACTCTCTAACTCATCGCCACTCCCACACGTGTGACGGATGACGTGTGTTAGTGCGTCACATTTTACCACCCTCCAAACCTTATATAAACCGCCAAGCGGCCAAGCCTTTAGTTTTCAACTTAAAACTCTATCAGAAAGGAAAGAAAAAGACAATGGAAGCTATGTCTCAAACTTGCACAAAGATCATCACAAACCCGTCTCCGTTAACTCATCGAACCCTCTGCCCACGCAACAAAATTCCGGTCAATCTGAGCCTTAACGCTGGGAAGGAGAGGCGCGTTGCTGCTGCTAGATGCGTGGCTTCGGGATCGGGTTATGCAGCGGCAATGGAGCCAATCACGCCGGAGGAAGAGGAGGAACTGACTCAGAGAAGAGGGATATGTGGCGGAGAAGCAAACAGAGGAGCATGGGAGCTCTTGGAATGCCTTGAGAAGGAAGCTATCATGGGGGATGATGATGGAAGAGACCCTAAAGATTACAACAGAAGAGCAAAGATTTTTGACAAAAGTTCTAAGATCTTCAGGAACATCAAAGAACAGAGAGATCAGTCTCCGGAATAAGAAAATTGTTGTTTGTCTGTATTAGTCTCATAATTAGTGTTTGATTCCTCGTATTTACAATTTCCTTAATTTTGTAAGGATCCTCTCACTGTAACACAACTTTAATAATGGATACTTTCTTCTGAATATTCAATCAACAACAACAAAAAATCGATGCCAGCATATTTAATTGATAATTTCTAAAATTGGTACCAAAAGGGACTAAAATGTTTATTATAAGATATCTAGACACTCTTTTTTTTTTTAAAGTAGATCAAGGTCAGAAATGTGACTCAAAGCCGAGTTAATAGATGGATCATGATGATAATATTTTTTTTTATTTTTTTATCATGGATAATAATATATTCGCCCTTTTTGCATATTTGGCTTAACTCAATCAAACATCCAAGAGATGCATCCAATTTTTGCATTTTTTTTCAGGATTAAGCTTTCTAAGCCAAAATATCAATCAGAACTTCACTTCATAGCTCAGAACGTGTCAGTGCAAAAGTAGATTCTGTGTCGTTACATTTAGACAGTGAGTTAAATAAAATTTGCGAAGGAATAATTTTTCAAAATAACCTTTCCTATAAAAGACAGGAGAGATAACATAATGTTTATTCGAAGATTAGCTATCTACACTAAGCACAAAAGCTAATCTTGTTCATTGAGAAAGATCTCCCAAAATATATAATAACACAATATCTCCATTACACTTTACTATAGGCTATAGTAGTTGCACTTTTTAATTCAGAGGATCCTAAAAAACCATCTCTACAGTCCGTACAAGCAAAAATAAGGCTAAACAATAAATAATTTTCAGACAGTGAAGAAATATTCCGTTGACTTCTCTTTATATTTCCGTACAATGGCAAAAGTAGCTCAAGAAGTTCCGCACTGACTTTTTGGGTTCATGGGCCCCAGTATCCGAGTCTGACGTTACGCGAAGGTTGAAACGTCACCGTATCAATTTCGTTGTCCTCTTTCGGACGACGCCGTTTTGCACCACACTTTTCCTTCTTCTTTCTCCTCTTTAGTCTTTTTCATTTGATCTCTGAGAAATCTTTTCCCTCATCACTCATCTATCTTCCTTAAGATTCCTTCTCTGTTTCGCGAATTCAAGCCAAACTAAACTCTAATCAATCCTTCCTTATGTTCTTAACTATCTTAATTCCTTTTGTTTGATTTTTTTAGGGTTTTAATATTTTTTCAATCGTTCGATTCCATGTCCGGAAAAGGACTCTCTCCGGCGTCGTTCAATGCGCCGCCGATGATTGTACAAGATGCTGACCCGTTACGTTTCCGGGTCGGCGAGCAGGACCCTAAAACCCGTGAATTCGCGGCTTTTATCGGCGACCACCACCGGTATATCGCGGCAGCAGCAGCCGCCGCGGCCGCAGCAAACCCTCACCCTCACCTCGAGTTCCGGCAGAATTTCTACTCGGAGAAACCCATCGGCGGAAACCCTAACGACAGTGGTGGATCAGACGGAGAGGATGAAGTTGACGTGGAAGAGGACGACGAGGATGATGAGATAGACGGAAACGAAGGTGGCGGCATGAACAAAGACGCTGGTGAAGATAGTGTATCAGCAGGAGCAACTGGTAAGAGAATCCCACTAGAGTGCGAAAAGTTTCTACTTTTGAGATGTTGAGGCTTTCTCTGAAAATGGTATATGCAGTGATAGTGGGTGGACAAGACAACGCAGCTTACTACTCGCAGCAATTTAAGACGATGGAAGCGAGTTTTGCTTCGAGGCATGAGGAATCATCAGTCGCTGCAGAAAATGGGTGTGATTTCAGCGGCAGAAGAGACACTTCTTCTACTTCGAGCAATTCGATCGAGTCCTTGAGGACCATTTTGACTGATCCTATAACGTAAGTTCTTTTCTTTTTCGCGGTTTTCAAAGAAAAGGAGATATAGCACTTTTTGATTATTGGTATAGTGAGCTTTCTGGTCATATTCAAACATAAGAACCCTTAGGAAGTGGTAGTCTTTAGACAAGCAGCTTTCAGTGTTACCTCACCAAAAAGAAAAGCTGAATTTTTAATATCTTTTTAGTCAAAAACTGTTGGATTGTTATGGATCGTGCTTGTGTTTAATCTATAATACTCTGTTTTGTTTCTTTGCAAAATCGTAGAGGGGCTTTGATGGCTGATGCTATGATTTTGCCTTGCGGACACACTTTTGGAGCTGGAGGGATAGAACAAGTAAAACAGATGGTACAGAGTTCAATATCTCTTCCATCACGATCTCTCTATATACTTTTGTCTCTTTTCCTTTTCGCTTATCTTTTCGTTTGTGTTCTCTTAGAAAGCTTGCTGCACATGTTCGCAGCCAGTCTCAGAAGACTCGATAACCCCAAATCTCAGTGAGTCATTCATTCATGTTCATGATTCTTGCATTTGGGTGTCTCAAGGGATTCATTGTCATTTATTTTCACTGCAATTTACGCAGCACTGCGAGTTGCAGTACAAGCATTCTGCCGAGAAGAGAAGTCACAGTCGAACCATTCATCTAAGAGAAAACGAGAAGGATTTGATCAAGTAACTCAATACAACTTACTAATCATTATTGATCTCTCACGTTTCATTCTGCCCCAACGAGAGATTTATTATCCGTAAATGCAGGAGAGACGAGCATTTGGTGACTCGACTTATACAGGTCGTTCAAGGAACAAAAGTAATCATTTCCCTTTCGCTGTGGCAGATCGAGTTGTAATAAAGGTCAATCCTTTTACTTCTCCGTGAATGTATTTTCTTGATAATTGCGGGTGATGTTAACCGTTGGAGTCAAACAATGAAACAGGGGAACAAGAGGACACCGCCTCGTTTTGTTGGACGGGAAGCTGTTGTGACTACTCAATGCTTGAACGGCTGGTAAAGTCTCATTTTTTCTTCTTCTTTGATTATGACTTCATTATATACATTTTTATGATTCCACTGCATAGCATTTTCAACTTGGAGGTCTTTTGTTGTAGGTATGTGGTGAAAACGCTAGACAATGCGGAGAGTGTTAAGCTTCAGTATCGTTCATTAGCAAAAGCCCCGGAAGATCCATCGGCCAAGGCAACACCAAGCAAGATGGTCTCGAACTGGCTCTAAACAAACCTTCCTTGTTTCCCGCATGAAGAGATTACGTTTCTGATCCTGAGAACCAAAATCCTATCTACAGATGATAGATCACTGTTAAATATTGTAAATTGTTGATAGTTGCTCCATGTCAGATGTTTGAGGAAACTAGGATTAGGGCAAGATCCAGGCTACTACTAATAGCTGGAACATATCCGGATCAAGATATACAATACATAATTATTTTGCTCTCAATACTTTTTTTACTATTTAAACAAAAGGAGGAAAGACGTGTTTTGCCAATTGTTTCGTCTTCTGATGGCGTTTGCTCGAGCCTGTAGAGCAGGGCCCATCATCCATCTGGTCTTTGTGGATATCGACTGTTGAAGCCACAACGAGGAGTTGATTTTGTGTTAATGTGGCCATGGCTCGAGTGTGATCATCATGTCTTGGACCTTGCCATGTTTATAGATTCCAGATCATAAAGGAGGCCACAGACTTCGCACATGTTCCTCATTATAGCAAATGATGAACTTGCTATATAAACAAGTTGAGTTTAATAATAGAGATTGTTGTTTCTTGAGTTGGGCCTGAACAAAGAAACAAAGCCCAGTAAAGGTAATGTCTCTTCAACTGCTAAGCTGACTGAAAAAACAAAGAAACAAAACTTTTTTTTTTTTTTTTTGTGTGGCTTTAGAGCGGTATTGAGCTCATTTGATTCAGTTCTTAGCTCTTGAAATCTCCAATAGTGATGTTGCAAGTATCGTTCATTGGCTAAAGCAAAAGGCAAACACCAAGCAAGGTGCTCAACAAACCAAGTAACCAGTTTATTACAGCATCACGAGACCAGTTTATTACAGCATCACGAGACCAGTTTCTATCATAAGAGTTCTATGTAAGAACCAGGAACTTAACTACAGATCACATATCACTGAAAATAGCAGTAGCTGCTCCATGTCAAATGTTTGAAGAAACTAGGCCTAGGACAAGATACAGACTTCTCATAGCTGAAACATATTCAGATCATGATTCAATACACACTATTCCACACAAGACGAGTTTATGACTTTCATGTGTTGACACTAATTCAGCATACTAAGGTTCTCATAGTATAACAAAAAATTGCAGAGAAAATGAATCTATAAAAGACGAAAATAAAAGGCTGAGCATTGCTCCTAGTGTTACAGATGCACATACAGAGAAAACTCTGCTACGAAAGCTTACACACTAAAGTAACTGAGAAAAAGTTGACAACTAAAAAGCTAAAAAGCTCAAATCAGAAACTGGTCAGAAGTCTAACGGGAGTTCAGGTGCAGGTTATGTTCTCCTTTGTTGCTAGAAAATTGCAGGTCGAGAATATGGAGGCTGCGGCTGCTCTAACCACTAAATCCTTATCTGAGATCAGTGCATCCGCAGCTCTGCAACACAATTCAGACAGCAGGAAACTAAAAATCTGGATTGGGAAAACGTGTTTAAACAGTGAACAAGTTGTGAAAATGTCCATACCTAGAGTACAATGGCATTCCTAACTGTAAGAAGTTCGGACCAGAACTCAAGCTCAAGTGTTGCAGACCTCGGTCACAATGTGATTGCAGCTCCCTCACTTGGTTTAGCCAGCTTTCCTGAATTTTCAAGTTCGCCAACTCAAAATCAGATATACTAAAAATAAAGAGGAAAGATGATGTGTGGATAAGATATCTCAACATCTTTACCAATTGTTTCTCTTCTTCTGATAGCGTTTGTTCGAGGTGCTTAAACAGCGCCATCCATCTGGTCCTGTGGTTATTCACTACTGAAGCCCTCGAAGCTCCACCGATGAGTGAATTTGGCTCATTCTCTTGATTAGCTGGGAATTCTTTCTTTATTAAGAAAGGTAGCTCTGTCGCCACAACAGCTCGAACCCTCTTCTTGCTACGTCGAAGAGCTGAAAAGAACGAAAAGGGAGTTTCAGGAACAAAAGTAATGGAAGTTTTCATTGCATCAACAATGATCATGGATGAGTTTTTTGGTTACCTGAAACACGGCATTTGATGTCCTGATGAAGCAGTTCCAACCATTGAGACGCTACCGTAGCCGCTGCAAGTCAAAGATGAAGATCAGTTTCGGCCTCATATGATAGTACATTACAAAACCATGCGCATTAGGTAATGAATTCAAGAACATACCTTTAACAGTGAGCACACTAGCACATTTAAGCTCTGCTGCCTCCACGCTTGACAAGGAACTGCCGTCCTGAAACCTCGACCCAACTGTATTGTTTTCCTCACTGAAATCACCATCTGCGGAATTCTCCTCGTAGTAGCGCATAGAGTAGTTATCTTCTGGCGTGGCATACTTAAAATCAGATCTTGAGCCATCAGTGTTGACATCTTCCAAGTTCTTCTTGGAGCCCCCACTTGTAGTATTGCTATGCCTCATCGGGTGGTGATGATAGAAGTTTCCGGAATCTCTATCAGACTTGACAATGTTCTCGATAATGGAAAGCACTTGCTTCTTGTTTCTCACATGGTTTATAATTCCAGGGTTCAGTTCGTTGAGCAGCCCACTAGGAGCAGCAAGCCTAGCAAACCTGTCAACTTCTTCCTTCCTTGCAATCTCTATCTGTCTCCTCTTCACCATTGCAGCAGCATCGTTGTTCTTGCTTTTGCGACCACGTTTCCTTGGAGCCGGTATCCCTCCATGAGAAGATGAGACGAGACAGCTGCTTGATGTCGCTGAAATCCCACCGTGTGGATTAGACAGAAACCCGTTCTGTTTCATTTCTCTCCACAGCTTCATTGGATCTTTTCCCTCGACAGGAGGAACATTTGAACTCCCACACTCGGAATAAACATCCGTTGAACCAGGTTTATCGAGTCTCCTGGATGAGCAAACCGACGATAGATCATCATTCAACCAGCTGGAAACCGATAATCCACTTCTTCTCTGTGCTACACATTCAGCGTCATTACTCTTAACCAAAGCCCCTTTTTCAGAACCAACATCTGTGTAAAGACCAAGTTTAGTCGGAGAAGGCTTGACCTCTTGACTCAACAGTTCAGTCGTATTACTCTTTCCTTCTCTAACAAAACTCTGCGAGACTTTACAAGCTTGAGACATTTCATTTTCAGTGTCTTTAGAAGCATGACAAGTGTTACCTGTAGTACAAATGGAAGGTCAATGGCATTAATATCCAAAATCTCAGAGTTATAAAACGAGTCAGAGTTGAAGTTCTATTGTATGCCTACCCTAAACTTAAAAAAACTCAATTGGGACCATATTATAAAGGGAAATCTGTATGGAATGATAAAACGATGAACCATCGAATGAAATCGGCTCGGCTGGTAACAGTAAATCACCTGAATTTGGAATTGGGTTAACACGTCGAATTTTATCCAACTCCTCTTTTTCATCCAATTCATTGCCTCCGATCTAAATCCCAGAAACCCAAAAGTAAAACAAGATACAATTAGATCGAAAATATTGAAAAGCAACCAATTCAGCAAAAGAATCAAATCAGTCCGACGAAAACCAAAAGGAGAAATTAAAGAGCTTACCTTTAAGTTGGATCTGGGAATCGACGAAAACCCTGAAGACACATTGGCGTGTTCACCCATGGCGAGTCAATTAGTACCTCGAGACGAACCCAGAAAATTACCCTCAAAGATTTTGTCAAAAGAAGCAACAAAGTTCGAGAAAATCGGAGGAGACCCAGAAAAGGCGATTACAGATTCTTTAAATCCTCTGAGGGAAAAGACCCAGAAAGGAGATCGAGGGTTGAAGTGGTTTAGTCTAGGGTTTAAGATCTGATGGTCAATTAGAGGAGATCCGAATGTGAATTTGAGACCCTAGAATTGGAGCGGAGGCAGAAAGAGGGAGAGAGAAGAAGAAGAAGAAGAAGAGCGCGCGATGTGGGCGTAGTTTAATAATTTCTGACAACAACAAATGTAATTGTTTTTGGGTTTTCTGTGGGATCTTAAGGTTTTCAAATTCAAACCAGACTCTTTCGCGATTTGGAGGGAATAGTGGTTCGGGCCTTTCAAATTGAATTGCATTTTGAGAGCTCATTACAAAATTCTCAGGCCTTTTTACTTTTTTCCCCTTAAGTTAAATTTAGGAAAGGATAACACACAATTCAACAGGGGGATTAAATTAGATCTCTAATTTGATTCCCCAACAAGGTTAAAAAATAATCAGATTTGTAATTTAATCTGTGAAAGGAAAAAATCAAATATCAACTGCAAATACATGAATTTTAGCATATTATTATTTATGTTATACCAAAAGAGAGAAGATTCACTAACTTAGGGGCTAAATATATCAATGATTGTTTTTTTCATCTTCTTAACAAAATACTAATGGAAATATGTGGCTTTTTTGCCTTTTACAGATTAAATGGGCATAGTGGTTCGGACCTTGCATTTTGAGAGCTCACTACAAAATTCTCAGGCCTTTGTACTTTTTTTTCCCCTTAAGTTAAATTTAGGAAAGGATTAAATCTCTAATTTAATTCCCCGACAAGGTTAAAAAATAATCAGATTTATAAATTAATTGGTAACTACATCTGTAAAAAGGCTAAAATAAAACATCAATTGCATATATATGAAATTTAGCAAATAGTTATTTATGTAAACCAAAAGAGAGAATATCCACTAACTTAGGGACTAAATATATCAATAATTTTTTTTCATCTTCTTAACAAAATATTAATGGAAATATGTGGGTTTTTTAAATAATTTTTTCACAGTCAAAGATTCATATTAAAATAATTGATAAAATCTTAACATGGAAACAAGTAAAAATATAATTAAAATATAAATAATTTTTTCACAGTCAAAGATTATTCATGCTTATCGATTGCCATAAAACTATTTCTAACTTGATTTTCCTGTAGTTTTTTGTTTTAACATTTTCTTTTTCCTTTAGTTTTTGAATTGCAAAAACAGGATTCGTATCATCTTATGTAGGCGTAGCAGAGCGTGGAAACATTTCTGTGATTAAATTCAATAGCTCTCAAACGTATTTTCCAATGTAAACTCTCGTAAGGAACATTGACTATAAAATTCAATGTTTTATTTACACGATGAAACAATTTCTTCATTGTCAATTTCCCACAAGCCAACAATTTCTAAGCTGCGATTCACTTGTCTCCCTAAAACTCGACACCTTAGCTAAGCAGAAATGGGTACACAGCATGCCCAGGCCCGACCCGGATCCTGACCCGACCCGTGTAGTCTTTAGCAGATAACAAACCGGCCCACACTCCACTCCTTTCCCCTGCACCACCAACCCCCACGCACGTGTGCCGTCGCCACCGTCAAATCCACAACCGCAGCTCTCCTCCGCCTCCGCTCCTAACTGCTCCACGAATATCATTCCCTCCGGCATCTCCACCTCTCCTCTCTCCCATCTCCCCTTCACCGCCGCCCATTCCTCCGCCTTCATCACCACCACCGTTCCTCCCTCCTCTTCTCCGGCGTACAAATGGACTAACAACGGCGCTTCGCTTAACTTCTTCACGATCTCCGTCACCGATTCGCTCATCCACCTGTCCAGCTTCTCGCGCGTCATCTCCACCGATCTTCGGTCTTTTCCTCCTCCGCTTTTTCTTCCTCTCTGTTTCTCTATCTCCGAAACCGCCTCCGCCATCGACGCCGTGATCCTCCTGATGTTGGATCGGCGATTGCCGTCGCGATTGATCGGGAACGACGACGATGAAAGCGATCTCGCATTGTGTTCTGATCCACAGGGAAGCTCCAATACGCCGCGGTGCACCAGATAACTACCACCGTAACCTATTTTTGCGTAGGCCATCTTTCTTCGGTTGAGAGATTTCACGTCAAATAAAAATTTATCTTAACCAGAAAACCAAATCCTCGCCGGATTCGAATTATCGTATTTATATTAAAAGTATATCCAGCGGTCGGATGAATTTTAGCGTAGAAGGTGACTTTAAATAACGCCTAGGTTTCTTAACACGATGACGTCATTCTCAGCTGAAACTGCTTGACGAGCAATAATCGGCTGTAACTCTATCCATGCCAAGTGGCAGTGCACCGTGACTAAGTGCCAAGTAGAGTATATGTTTTAGTGGTTGTTAATCATTGCATGGGAGAATGAATGTGTATGGTTAAGGAAGAAATCGTGGCTACACGATAGAAATCCCGTAGTGGATTATTGCTCGGTGGGACAGTGGAAGAACGTCAATGATGAAAGACCTTTAACGAAATAACGGCGTTTTTTTTAATCCAGACACAGACGCGCCGCCGGCGAGTGCCGTTTGATCTAAGCCGTAGGATTATAATATAACGACCCAGAGAGACGGGATCGAACGGTTCCCGTGAGACGTAGAATTCGATAGGCACGTGGGAATGTGGTTTCGGTGCGTGGAGATCTCAGAGTAACACGCAACACTCGTCTTCTTAACTATGTGGACTCCGTGCTTCACACATGTTTGCCACGTCAGTTGAATGAATGTCCACGTTCATATAATTTGTCTTCAAAAAAATAAAAATAAATAAAGCATTACTTCCATATGAGAGGAATCGGATATTATGCAATGAAGTAATGGGAATGGAAGCGAACAAACGATGATGGAGAGAAAGCAGATGAATAAGAAAAGGAAGAACACAGGTGAGTGAGAATAAAAAAACAATAATATGTTAATACAAATGTTGATGGTTTCACTCATGGTCGTCTTTCTTCTTGTTGCTGGGTGGGCAATGCAGTCTTCTCGCTAGAGTTTTTGATTTCCTGTTCTTCCGGTCAAATCCCCTTACACAGACATATCCTGCACATATCACAACTGTAGTAATTAAGAAATGCAACCCCAATGATTGAATCTTCTTCATCAACCTACTAAGTCTATTTTCAATACTTTCATATAAAACATCTTACTTCATCAATGCAAAAAAAAAATAAAAAAAAATAAGCATACTTCACCAATATAAAACGTCTTTAAAAGGTGTTAGTATAAGCATCAAACATAAGCATACCTGCCCAGAAACCGTATTGAATAGCTTCCACTAATAAACCTAACAAATTAAAAATGTATATTTAGGCATGACCTTGGATGTTATCAACTTTATTATCATAAGCTGATACTTGTTTTGGAAATATACCTCCAAAACAGGCGCTAACAGAGGATCCAAAGTAGACGATTCCTCTTCTTAGGTTCCCTATCGAAGCTCTTGAGACGCGAATGGGATTAATACTAGATCTATGGTCAGCAAAAACCTGCACAAGCAACTCAATTTGTAGCCTAGAGTAGAATTTTTCTTGTAGTAACTGCTCAAACTGACTCCAATTAGGCAAAAGTTACCTCGTTAGTTTGGAAATATGTGCCATTCAGAGGGAAGCCTCCTCTCATTGCAGTTCTGCAAGGTATCTGTTCACAAACCAAGCAATTAATCTTTGTAACTCTGAAATATTCTACTTAGAAATTGAAAAATTTCCACCGTAAGCTTCTTACCAATATAGTTCCTCGAACTACTTGTGAGTTTTCTTCACGGATGTTGTTGCATGAAAAACATGTCTTTTCGTGACACAATGTATTGCTTCCTTGGGAAACACATATTCGTTTAGGAGGTTTAATCGAACTGGCTGTTTCACCTGGTACAGAATTTAGTAAAGTCATAGGTTAAGCGGTTGTTTATATGCATTATAAGGTTGAAACCTGTAAGATTTGTATTTGTAGTATCAAAGAGAGTGTTTTCTTTTGACCTGACATCCAAATAGCTAACAAGTAGGGAACCCTATCCTTGAGTTCTCGTTTCTCAAACTGTAAAATATCAAAACAGAGCTTTTACGACAGGGAGAAACAGAAACATTCCTGCTAATAAAACATCTGCAGAGTACTTACCCCTTTAAGAATGGGATGGGAGTCTGGGAGCTCATAGCTGTCGCATAGTTCAAAAATAAAATAGTAAATTAGTATGAGACTAGTGCTGAATAAGTTCCCAAGGTTAAGTTTAGGATAATAAGAGTGGAAAGTGGAAACTCACACGCAATGCTCTGTGCGCAGGTTTTCGATGAATTTGAGCTTGATTGGGTGCAACGATGATGCTTGATTGCCTATTAGGACCAAATCCTTTGACATAGCAGCTTCCTTGTTAAGTATGATGGTAGGAATCGCATCCTTGTTTTCCCAAGGATCAGGAAAGTCCTCAATATCAGCACACACTGTTTCTGGCGATGTTGGCTCTTCAATGATAGGTTCACATCCATGGAGCCTTTTTGATTCTTCTCGCTCTTTGTCTTCACCAAGAAACAAACACTGCCGAAAGTTAACCGTAACAGGCTTGGGTTTGCGTCTTCTCTCATGGATCACAACGGTTCCTTCCTCCTCTGATTCTGGTAGATCACGTAGTGCACTGCCATATAAACAACAAGCGTAAGAGAATACAAACCATCATTATAATGTTTCTACGATATATGCTCCGGAATAGTGTGTGGCGTATGATTATTTTGTATGCTATAATTTAGTAGAAATGAATTCAGTAGCTGTTGAAGTTTACAACCTTGCACGTGCACTAGCATAATGACGACACTCAGCTTTCATTGGACATGCTTTGCAATTAGGTTTTACTTTTGTGCAAAAGACCTGCAAAATTTTCCAAAAACACATGAATATCTTTCAGCCACTTTAAGATTTAATAATTATTTACAAACAGTTCAAATGTTATGAAAACCGAATGAGATAACATGAGATTTGTTTGAGCTACCTTTCCGAATGTAATCATATGATACTGCAACTCGTACCTAAAATTGTATCATACAATGGTTACTAATTTTTTCAACCAAAACAAAAGGATTTTGAAGTAATGGTAGATGCACCAAAGGCAATGTTATTTTCTTACAAAGTCTTTTGGTCAAGTTTGCAGAGGCGAGGCCACACGTATTTTTGAACAGAATCCAATACTGGGTACCTGAATAGAATCTAGGTCTTAGTTATAACAATTAATTTCACATGTTTTTATCATTGTTAAAGGAAAGATATTTTTTAAAAAAAATTGCTTACAGCTCTAGAAGATGCATTTGTAGCTCGTCAGGTAATGGTTGTAATGGAACCCATCCGAGTCTTACAACTATGCGTCCAACATTGGTGTCAACCTTCATTATATAACTTTCAGTATTTATATTACACATTCACTAAGGTGGATTAATATTGTATTTAACTTACAGGAAATGCAGTTTGGTGTAGTGACAAAAGTCTAACACACTCCACACTTTTCAATCCTAATCCATGTATGCTCATTAGATACTCCCTACAAACAATTAGTAACCACATAACTCTATTTCACTCCAAAAGTAACTGAAACTACATAACCTGGATCTTTTATAAAATATCTTACTTGGCTTTGTCCGGGGAAACATCTCTTAGCCACTCCAAATCAATCGCTTCGTGGTCTTGAACCAATCTGTTTAAAAAGGCCTGTCCAATTTCCAAATACACTTGTTAGATTGTAACTTCTCATACGCATTATATCATGACTTAATGCAATTTTGTTTTTGTAAATTAAACAAACCTTGATTCTGTGGGAAAGCATTTCGTGCATCCCACGCTTTCTTATTATAGCACCGATCTTCTTTACACTTGTACACCGTAGTGCGTCCCAGTCAACAATGTCCATTGTTCTTTCTGTTCTTCTCTTTTGGCCACCACTTTGTGCTTGCCTTCTCAAACTATCCCAGTCAAAACTTTCCTTTGGCTTGTTCTTTGCCGATGGACCCTTTGGACGGAGAGTTCTTGGTTTCTTCTTATTCTTCCTGACATGTTGATCTGATCTTGAGTTTGAGCCTTCTTGTTGATGGCTGACTATATCTTGATCTTGAATTCTTACATTGTTTCTGAAATAATCGAATGTTGCCTCACATTTGCTTGTAAGAGGTTCAGGCATCACCTTATTTAATTGATTTGTAGAACTTATGGACTTCTCACTGCTTGTAGAAGCTTCTTGACTACAAATAGCATCAATGTCGTCATCATCATCAATCTCATCTATTATGATAGTTGGATTGCATGATCCGTGAGTTGTAGCTCCATATCTCGGATCCAAATTCATTGCTATTTCATTCCACTCTTCAAGACACGGTCCCTCGTTGGAGTTGAAGATCATTGGAAACTCTGCTGCTATATCCATAAATACAGAACTGCAAAAAAATAAAGATGTAAATAATCTAAAAAAACAGTTCATTTTGCATATACTTTCGGTCTACCAGAAGTCTCTAGAATGCATTTACCTTGATGAGTGGTCTGCCACATTTTGGGTGAGGAAAACACCAACAACTGAATCAACGACAGATCCTTTCCAAGGTGAGAATCTTCTATCACCTGCAATAACAATCTCGTCTTTAGACTATTTCTCTTTTGGTCTACAAATATGACTGAACCCACAAAGCAATGCAATAATTTAAACAATAAACAGTACCTTGTACAAGACGCATGCGAGCAATGAAGGAGCTTGCACGTGCATGGATCTCTTTCCTCTCCTCTTCCCACCATTTCTTTTTATCCTCATCTAACCCATCAATACCCTCACTGTCGATACTCACCATGAGGAGTTTCCACACTCTCTTCGTTTCTTCATCTAATTCTACTTTCGTTTGATGGTTTTTCTCACTAGGAAAAGGAACGATTGACCCGTCTCTCTTGTACTGCACTGCTGACTTTTGTTGCTGACATGTCTTTTGATGTAGAACAAGTGCGGTTTCTCGATTATGTGGGAGGGAAAGACGGTCTCTCGTGATGTCTAGCTCCTCGATTAGCTCGGTGATAAAATCAATTGAAGACTTCTGTTTCCATAATTCCTCATGAGACGTACCTGTGTTTTGTTAAAGTAGAGTTGATTCAGGATCAGAAGTTTAAGCTAAGAAATAGAGATGAATTTTTTAGTGTGTTAGACTAACCTGTTAGATTCAGGCGTCGCCACTGCAAGCGTAACACCCTTGCGTTGAGTTTGCTTGCTATAGGGTCTCTGTTGCTTCGCTTCTTTCTGGAAACACCTGACTGCATCTTTGATATTATGGCTTTAAGCAGTGGATATCTGCATCTCTGGACTAGAATAGATCTCCGTTTCCTCTGGATCTTTGGAAATTCTACAAGTGGTTTCTCCATTGACTTAGTCCTGCTCCGTCTTTTTCTCTTAGGGATGCTACCAAAGATGTCTTCTACTTGAGCATCAATGTCGAATGTTAGACATCTTCTGGTTGATCTCTTTGGACGAACAGAGGTTTTAGCAGTAGCAGAGGCCTTTTTAACCGCGGATTTAGATGAGGGTTTGTTTGTGTTGACATCACCAGAAACCTTTCCCCTGATCTTCTTTCTCTTCTGTCTCTGTGGCGGTGTTTTCAGTAGATCAATGTCATCATCTCTTCCTCTCTTCCTTTTATTTTCTCCTACAGGAGTCCCAGTTTCATGGAAAGACTTATCGATAGGGTCGTGAGGCTCCTCGTCTGTGATCACCAAGATTAAAGAAAGATATCAGATATAAAGATATCATGTTTAGAAAACTCACTGAGAACTCTATTTTCAAATTTCTTTAGCTAATCGATTACTGATTTCACCCAACCTTGATTTACAGGTGTCTACAATAGAAATATAAGACTACTTTCTCTTAAAAAGGTCCAGTCTACTTCTATTCTCCAGTATGTAATATCATAAACGGATAAACCAAACATTCCTAAAGAAGACAAGTCTAACTCACATTGTAGTTTCTCCACTGTTCTTTTTCCAACAAGTCCTGTTTTTGTCCCATGGGAGGATGAGGATCCAGGGGTTACGGTCCACGGATTGGACTCCATCTTCCAACTATTGACCCACGAAATACGATAAGACAAGGGGTTAGTACTCCTCTTACTGTTTTCAAAAGTTTTAAGTTTATAAAATATTCAATTCAAGATCATCTTTACAAAGCCCTAGACCCCTTGTATATATAGCAAATGAAAGAAAGAGAGACGTATCTAAGGAAGACAAATATGAAATATCCATCAAATTACTTTGTCGGTTTTGCAAAAATACAGAGAAAATGAAAAGTTGTCGACCGTTATCTAATTTTTAAAAAGATAGGAAAACAAAACGTTTCGTCTCACAATGTATGTAAAAACTAGTTTAATACTAATAAATTTCTTACATAGTGATTACTCTTTTTCCTCCGCGAATCCTGGAGATTATCTATTGTAGATAAAGTAAGAAGCTGAAATAAGTGAACTTCGTATTTTTAAATAGTGATAAAATAAAATAAAACAATTAGTCAAGGTGTACGTTAATAATTGTAATTCAAAAGTAATAATAGACTCAAATAATTTTTTTTTATAGTTTTGAGCAAATATAAATAGTTTTGAAAAGACGTAAATTATAATTACGATGAACAAACATAATCATTTATAATAAAACAATGCAACTATTTATAACAAGAAAACATAATTACAAAATTTTGAAATAACACAATTTATCAAAATATAGATGGTATTTATTCAAATTATTATTATATTTAGATACATTTTGTAATAATCTTTACTTGCTCAATTAGATTGGGTAAATTATTGGAGCCAAACGAGGTGTTGCAACTGCATGTAAAGGTTTTGCCATGAAAAGATCACACTTGCTTTCCGAAATGTCAATTTTACCCTCACCAGGCATTGATGACCACGTGAACCCTTGAATCAACCGAGCCAGCAACATGTACGCCATGGCCGATCCGATGTTCGCACCCATGCACCCTCTTCGTCCCGTGCTGAACGATATTAGATTAAGATCTGGATCGTTCAGCTCCACGCTTTCGTTATTGCCCAAATGTCTCTCAGGGTCGAACTTAAGAGGCTTGTCCCACACGTTAGGGTTTCTCCCGATCCCCATACGACTAATCAATACGTGGCTTCCCTTGGGGATGAAGTAACCGTCCACCACTGCGTCGGAGGTCGACATGTGAGGGAGGTTAAACGGTGCCACGGGGTGTAATCGGAACGCCTCTTTCACACAAGCCTTCACGTAGTTGAGATTCGGGAGGTCGGATTCAAGGACAAAACGGTCTTTCCCGACTACGCGATCGATCTCCTCCACGGCTTTTTGCATGATCCTTGGCTTGTTAATCATCTCCGCCATGGCCCACTCCGCCGCATTAGACGGATTATCCACCGTCGCCAGCATTAGTTCCTTCATAATCCAACAAGTAATTGATTAACAACTGAAAAATTAGAGGTCATGGAATTTATAAAATGAATCATAAGTTTTGCCAACGAAAGTGACATATCTGTTTTTGTTCAAAGTTGAACTTATATACAATGGTGATTTATAATAGTTTTTTTCACGTTGAGAGTCGAAGGGTCAGGAAATTTAAGAGAGCAATAAATGGATTTAAGGCTTTTAGTTGGATCTAGCAGAACACAGTCAATGTGGATCAAAATCTCGGAACCAAGTTGCAAGGAAAGAATCTGAAGGAGACGAAGATTGTAGGAAACTCAGTATGGATGTTGCAACCTCTGAAAATGACATCTCTAATGCATGGCATGCCAATTGGAAAAATTAATTTTAGAGCCTTTAATTTATATAGAAACTCCAATATATTTCCTACGTTTTTTTATATATGATGGTTATTAAGAAGTTATTTATTTTTTCTTTTTCCAAAACAAAATATTAATTTCAAAATAATTCAACCAATAGAAAAATAATATATAAAATAAAACAATTACTTTTTGCATTGATTTCTGAAAACATCATCTAATTATGAACAAATTTTTTTTTTAAACATCTTATAAAGAAAAATGGAGGGAGTAATATATTATGGTGTTTGAAGCAAACGGTTTTGAGCTGTCGAAGTGTGGTTTATTCGAATCGGTTAGAACAGTATTGTTATAGTACTATTACCGGTTTGGAGTTCGAATCTAATGTTTACACTTGAAAAATGATGATTAGGTCGTGAAACCTACCACATGTTACATGTATTACCAAAAGCTAAAGACCTAAAAAATTGTGGGTTAAAGGTCGGAACTTCCTAAAGTTATAGCACAAATATATGTAAAAAATATTCCACTATATTGTAATAATATTAGTCGCGATAAATATGCATACCGTCACTTGTGCTTTGATCTCTTCGTCTGACAGAGCAGGCTTCCCGTCACTGTCTTTCGCCATAATAAACATGTCGAGAAAATCTTGAGGCTCCTTCATCTTGCCATTACGCCACTGCATGAGTCTTTCATCAACAAAAGGATCATTATACTTACTTACATTCCTCATTGCGCTGCTCACAACCTTCTCATGGCCTTCCAAGTCCAAGAACCGTAGCCACGGGACATAATCCGACAAGGCAAAGGCGTAAAGATGTGCTACAACCGTAAACAAAGAATTAACATGCTCAATCTCTTCTAGTCCTGGCCCCGATCCATCTCCACTTCCTTTTCCGAAATGCCTTATACCAAACATCATCTTCCGAGCTACATTCCCGCTATATTGCCGCACCACACGCCTTAAATCAATGATTGCAAAAGCATTTCCATCACCGCGGTTTTTGACACATAGGTTATTGATGTGCCGAACGAGGTTATCGGCCTCTTCGGTTCTCTTTTCAAGCATCAGATTGAAGCTCTTCTGACTCGTCACGTGAGATGCGACCACTTTCCTCATCTTCTTCCACTGCTCGCCTTGTGGCTCCACCGCAATGGTTAAGTACCCGCGGCTGCAGTACTCCGTGCCCATAGTTAGCGGTCTAGTGGCGAAAATGGAGTCTTGCTTCTTCAGAATCTCCCGTGCAATCCGCGGTGATGTCACGGGGATCACGTGAGTATTGGCGAGACGTATACATGCAATATCGGTGTCGAGTTCTTCCATGAGTGAATGTATCCACCGGAACACAGGTTTGTTGATCCGGAATATTTCCGGTAGGCTTCCGATCAAAGGCCAAGGCTTTGGTCCGGGAGGGAGAGGAAGGTTTCTTATGTAAGAAGACATTGACACGGTTTTCATCGTCTCCTTACGCTTCATCGTTAATGCAAAGATGAGAAAACCTAAAGTCAACGCAAGCAATGAGGTGGAGTCGACCATTGTTGTTCTCAACTTGGGAAAGTAGAGTAGGCCCTTTATAAGAAAATGAATTGAAGATTTGGGTTTTTTTTTAAAGGTGTGGAATTAATAAGGCTATAAATGTAGGCAGACATGAACAATAACGACGCGGTCTTGTTGTAATCGGGTGGAGTTAAATGTGATTTAATTGTTGGAAGAAAAGCAATGTAAAGAATCTGCCTTTGTTTCAACAGCACATGCCTAATCACTTACCGTGTACTTTTCTAAACCCAAATTTTCATTTCTTTTTTTCAAATTCGTCTAAACTTTATGGAGAAGTTTTCTAACGACTCCGTAAATTCAGTGAACCTATATATATTTATATTAACTAGCGATAAAAAAATCTATATAACGCAGGAATGATTAAAAACAGAGCTATTATTTATATCATGTGGATGTGATGCACACACACTCATCATTTCCTTTTCCATTTTTAGTAGCCCCACGTTTCAACTACTATGGGCTTGAAGATTTGGGTCAATTAAATTGTAAATAGATGGCCCATTTTTATTTGTAATAATCTAACGTATTTTTATCGAGAGAGACTACAAAAATGGACTCGCCTTGACTTTTGGGTTCAGGTTTTGTAAGTCCAATCCAGAACTAATTTTTTACATTCACTACTTAGTCAATTATCAAAACTTGAGTTAATTAAAAAAAAAATATCGCCATACGTAAAATTTTCTTTTACTCATCATTCCACATAGATTTATGACATTCTTACTACGTCTTTCTTTTTACTTTTAAGTGTTAAGTTATCTTTATTGGTAGGTAGAACGAGTGGTTGTGGACTGGCTGGTTAACCTAAATACGTGGCTTTCTGGTGGGTCGCATTTTTTCATAGGCATTTAATAAAAATAGTGTGTTAACAAAATGAAATAGTTCATAAAAAGAATGCGTCGTCTTATAGATCACAACCTTTGAACGTTAGCAAAACTATGCTATACCTACCACCAGTCCCTCACTTAATATATATAGATATTCACATTATCATTACATAAATTATTTCTCCATAAGCTAAAAGTGGATACACCAAGCTGTTTAAAGACCTCTTCACTCTCAGTTTCAAAAATATAGAAAGTAAGTTTATAGGCTCTCCTTGCATTGTTTTTAATTTGTTTTTATCCACTGGAGTTGTAGAGTTTCTTGTCCAGATCCTAATTTGTTTTTTGTTGGTTGTTCTCCTTATTTGTTATAACCATTTGTTAAACTTTGTGCATGTGATTATTTACCAAACAGTGGGAACAGAGATGGTAATGGTTCACGAGGTTCCTTTTCCTCAACAGATACTCACTTCCAAGTCCCTCTCTCTTTTGGGCCAAGGTTTTTATTTTTCTTTATTATACAAAAACTTAATTACGTCTGCTTCCATAGTGTTTGACTTTTTGGTAATTTTATAAATCTCAGGTTATGATTTTCTGTGGGTTTTTGTATTCTGTTATATCTTTTGTAGGGATCACAGATATCGAGATCCATTTTCTTCAAGTGAAGTTTACGGCGATCGGAGTTTACTTAGATCCTTCAGATGTCAAAACTCATCTTGGAAAATGGAAAGGCAAGACCGGAAAAGATCTCGCCGGCGATGACGATTTCTTCGACGCCCTCGCCTCCGGTAAACTTAATGAGCCCATCTTATTTGAATTAGAGCTTGGTTTTGTTGTTTTCTGGTTTAGATTAACTATTTGGTTCAGTGTTGGTTTTAGAATTATCAATGTGATGAAAAAGAACGAGTTTTTATTTCGGTTAGGCTTATTATTTTGGTTTACATCGGTTCAACTGGTTAATCTCCGGTTTACTTAATTTATTCAAAACTTAAAAAGTGCGTAAAAACAAATTGAACCGGTTCGGCTTTTTCTTTTGGGGGTCTGGTTAATATATATTCTTTTTGTTGGATGCAGGGGAGGTGGAGAAGGTTATAAGAGTGGTGGTGATAAAGGAAATCAAAGGAGCTCAGTACGGAGTGCAGCTAGAAAATTCGGTGAGAGATCGTTTGGCTGCAGAGGATAAGTACGAGGAAGAAGAAGAAACCGAGCTCGAGAAAGTCGTTGGCTTTTTCCAGTCTAAGTACTTCAAAGCCAACTCCATCATCACTTACCATTTCTCAGCCAAAGATGGCATTTGCGAGGTATACCTAATTAACGTCTACTATTTCGAATTCATATTTGAAAAGCAAGTCGTATATGAAACAATTATTAGGGCCTAAAAGTAATTGGTTTTGTTTTATTTGATTGGTGGAAGATTGGGTTTGAGACGGAAGGTAAAGAAGAAGAGAAGTTGAAGGTAGAGAATGCGAATGTGGTGGGGATGATGCAGAAATGGTATTTGTCTGCAAGTCGTGGAGTTTCGCCCTCCACCATTCTCTCCCTCGCCGACTCGCTGTCCGCAGTTTTAACCTAATTAAAAACCTTTATATAATAAGCGTTTGTTTATGTGTGTGTTTATGTGTTATTATATCATTGTTAAATGAGAGACATCGTGTTTTGTTATCTTTAATTTAAATGACTTGGTGCTTCCTGGTAAGTGATTTTGTCTTTAATTTGCCATAAAACAGAGGGGTGTACTGAACAAAATTTTGTTAATCACAAAGTGACAATGGTTTTACATTGAACAGAAACCAGCTGAAACGAATCATAATTATATACTAATTCATATTTTCTAACTAAAGATATTCTAAATATATTATTACATTCTATTATATCAATTACACGTAATATTATTTACAATTAGTTACTTATTTACTACATCTGTTTTATTCAAAGTTCAACCGTATCCGAACTGAAAACCGACCAAACCGATCCCAAAAAAATATATTTTTATTCAGTTGATACATTTCAGAACACAAAACCAGAAACAAATCGCAGCAAACAGAAAATCAAATTTCAGAGGAATTTATATAACTATGGATGAAACGATCCCTAATTGTAAATAGCATTAATTTACAATTCAACAAATTACTTACCAACCAAAAAGGAGGAAAACCGAAGCAAAGTTAAGACTCCGGAAGCGACGTCGTCGTATCAAGCGCATTACCATATCATCCTAATGATGTTGTGTTAGTGTTACGTTGGGACGGCCACGTCATAATCCGCCGGGAACCATCTGGAGTCTGATGTTCAAGGAGTGATTGTCTGCAAGTGGGGCAAGAGGAATGTGAAAGCAACCAAGTGTCGATGCACTTCACGTGGAAGCCATGGTTACATTTGGGCAAAACCCTAACTTTCTCTCTTTCCACAAACTCTCCTAGACATATCAAACACTCCGTGGCTTTCATCTTATGCTCCGAGCAGTATGAATCAACCGGAATCCGCTTCAATTCCTGTTTATTGATCCCCTTTGCGTCAATTGGATCTTCGTTAGGTCTGAACCTCCTTGTGCAGCGTAAGACACAACGCATGACCGAATTGAGGCCAAGGGCACAGATTAGGGCGCATAGAAGAATCGCTAGTATGATCACTATATTTGTATCCAAGCTAGCTATGTTCTTGTTAGCATCAGTAGCTGAAATCGTAGGGGTTGCTTGCGTCTCAAGCACAAACCTGCCCATTTGTAAACGCTTCAGAAACACTCCGGAAATCTTATATAACTCACCTTCAAGTTTCCGTTTCTTCTTTTTGCTCCACGGTGTGTTTGAATCGGACTACAAAAGAGATTGAGAGGAGGGATTTGAGTTGCTTCATGTAATTCCCGTAGCACGAGAACCGCTTCTGTATCTTTTTTTTTTTTTTATGAGGCTTGATGACCGTTTGATTTCAATATGAAACTCAGAGACTAATAAAGCACTTTCTTGATAAATCCATGAGACTTCGAAGCTCAATTTACTCCTAATTTGTTTCTTTGTGTATAGTTGGTTTCTTCCTTGAGTATTGCACGAAAGGACATGCAAGAAAGAGAGAAGGATGATGATGAGGTGGTCGGTCCAGGAAATATTTGGTTAGATTTGCTGATATATGATTATCTTTTCTAATCTAAGAGAGAAAACAATGGCATATGATCTTGTTGGGTTTGTATATATTTAGTAATTGGGACAAATATAAAGGACATGGCCAAACAGACAATCAATAATGCAGAATATATTTGTTGAGTAGATATTAAAAATTTGACGTATAACAAACTCTTAATTAGTGGTCTTAAGAACTTTGGAATCAAGCTAGAGGAATTCCACTCTCATACAGAAAAAATTAAGTGATAAATTAATTAAACGAGGAATTAATAAAAGAAACTTTTCTTTTGGTTATATATATATATCATGTTGGGGCATCAGATTCTCAACTGAATCATGATGATTCAAGCAGATATTGAGTATCATATGTAGTGGTAATTAAAGTTGTTACATTTAAGATGATATATATTTACATGAAAAAACATTTTAACCTTACAAATTTTTTTATAGTATTAGTTGGATTTGAATTGAATGGTCTGAGATAAAGGGAAAAAAGGAAGAATCTGGGTGGGCTCTTTGGTCCACATATAGGTAGGCAACGTCCATTGATCTCAACACATACTGTGATACAAAAAAAAAAACAGACGCACGCACAAGTTTGAGCAAGAGACACAAATAACTTGTCTCTCTTAGATCCACAACCTCAATTATACATTATTACTCCATAAGACTATATTTTTTTTAAAACATGTGGTAGATGATCTTCCAAGTGAGAGAGTTAATATGGCCACTAGAGCAATGAATAAAAATAAAAATAAAAATCTAGGAAGATAACGAGCTGGTAATTAGCAATGAATTTTTCTTTGCTGAAAACATCGATTGTTGTTAGAAAAAATTGCGATGGATTAACTAATGAAGCGTTTACCTGATCTTTAAATTTTAAGATGCATTTATCAAGGATAACAAGTAATATAAAAAAACTGGACAGAAACTGTGGGTGTGGATAGGCCACTGCATCTGCATGGATAGCCAATGTTTGTGATTGAATCATTTACATTTATGATTAAAATAATATAAAAAAATGATGATAGTAAACTGATAATTGTTTGAAAGGAAGTCAGTTGCCGGAAACAACGGACGATCTCGTGTTCTTCTTATATCTTCTCTCTGTTTCGGCATCATACGCCGAGTACGTATGCTTTTGATTATCTCATCGCACATGTCTCTTTCTTCCTTACTATTTATTTATAACCAAGTAACTTATGAATATAAATCATCTAATTTATCCCAAGTGCGCGCAGTTTTAAGAAACGAACTTCATGTTATAATTGCTCTCAGTTACTAATTTAGAGATAAAAAGACGTTATTTTAAGAACATGATTCGATTAATTATAATTAGCTAGAACAAATTTTTCATAACTTGTGTGGTCACGGACGTGCTAGCTATAGAGTAGCTTGTTACAGCATTAAATGCATATACGTCACACTTCCTTATAATTCCCTTTCTCAAAATTGATTCTATTATTTTAGGAAGCAGAGAATGGTTTTTGGAACTCTTACCAAAACAATGTTTGTGTAAGCACTAAGAAGAAACCGTGAACTATTAATGATTAGTATTCATCGTTATAACAAAATGTTGTGTTGCAGAGGGAACATCACATATATGTATAATTAACCAAAAAGAGCATCATAGGTTATGGGTTAACCCAATAATAATAAAAAAATGTGGTACATTGACATGTGACGTGTCCACATGGCATGGAAGTAAGGGCCCTTGCGGTATAGCCGTTGGGATGGTTAAGCGCCAAACAGAATTGCATGTGAGACTTTTGCATATCGCATAACTAACAAACGGAATTCCTGGAAAATAAAGCTGATACTATTACGTCAGCTTCTTCGATTTCACATTTGTGAAAATATACGCAATTTTCCTTATTAAAAAAAAAAGATCATAAGAGAAGTGATAGGCAGTAACGTAGTGAACTCTCTATATATAAGTGAAGTAGTCTTGAACGAATTAATTAAAAACTTCACTCAGCTTCTTTTCAAACATATTCCCTCCTTATTCTTTCACTCCAGTACAATCATGAATCTTAAAGAATGTTCCAAATTTTTATTTCTTTCACTATGCACCCTCAACTTCTGCTTCTTTGTTGTAAACTGCGGCGGCTGGGAGAGAGGCCACGCCACTTTCTACGGCGGAGCTGATGCATCCGGCACAATGGGTACTTAAAACTTATATATATATATATATAAACTTTTCGATTGGGACACACTACAACTCATCACCAAATTGGAATACTTTAAAATATACCTTAACCGTTGATAAGCGTTGCTTTTTTGGCAGGAGGTGCGTGTGGGTACGGTAACTTGCACAGCCAAGGCTACGGACTACAAACGGCGGCGCTGAGCACGGCTTTGTTCAGAAGCGGTCAGAGTTGTGGGGCCTGTTTTGAGCTACGGTGTGAAGACGATCCTCAGTGGTGCCTCCCTGGTTCCATCATCGTCTCGGCTACAAACTTTTGTCCACCAAACTTTGCCTTAGCCAATGATAATGGTGGTTGGTGCAATCCTCCCCTCCAGCATTTTGACTTGGCCGAGCCTGCCTTCCTTCAGATCGCTCAGTACCGAGCTGGTATCGTTCCTGTCGCATTCAGAAGGTAAAAAAATACATTTGTAGCCAAAAATAGTGTTATAATCGGTTTGGTTTCGGTTTTATTTTTGAATCGGTTATACAGAAACGAAATAAGAAAGTTGTATTTCGGTTCGACTTTTTATGATTAAAAATTAAAATATAAATAATAAACAATAATACAAAATTCAATTTAATAGGTTATACAATTTTTTAGTTTGAAATTCAGTTAACATGCATGCGCAAAAGTAGAAATTTTTCATAAGAAACCTCTTTACTTAAGTCTTAACACTACGTGACGTGTTTTTGTCGTCTGATAATGATAGGGTTCCATGTGAGAAACCTGGCGGGATAAGGTTTACGATAAACGGGAATTCGTACTTCGACCTCGTGCTGATCACAAACGTGGGTGGTGCTGGAGATGTTAGGGCAGTCGCTTTGAAAGGCTCAAAGACTGGTCAGTGGCAATCCATGTCCCGAAACTGGGGACAAAATTGGCAAAGCAACACTTACCTCAGAGGCCAAAGTCTCTCTTTTCAAGTCACTGCTAGTGATGGTCGGAGTGTTGTGAGCTACGATGTTGTCCCTGCGAATTGGCAGTTCGGTCAAACTTTCGAAGGAGGACAGTTCTAGATTCTGTATTAAAATAAATTACACAAGAAGAGTCAGTGATTGTGTTTGAGTCAAAGACTCTGCTTCTCAGGAGCCTTATGGATCATACTCTTCTCTAGAGTCACAATTAAGAAAGAGACTGAGGCTATTAATTTAGTTGGATTAATGGCATTTCTTTTTATCTTATACTGTAATATAAAAAGACGCATCTCATAATAATATAGCACCCGATATTTCATATAATTCTTCAGAATTTGATATTGTTTAAAAGCATTGATGTGGTTACAAATTTGTTGAACACTTTATGCATTTGCTAATCTCCTTGGCCATCTGATCCGATGTCAATATATATAAAAAAACAAATTTAGAAGCTGGTTTTCTAATAGTAATAACCTAAAATTAAATTTATTCGAGCAAATGAACACACAAATTTATTCGGTAAGTGTTGGACTAAAAAAAAATTGAAAGAATAGATGATAAGTTTTTCGTCCAACTATAGTATCACTTTTAAAAATTTACTTTTTCTGTTGACATATATTTACATTTCTTAAAATATCACTTAAGTACTCACATTTCTTAAAATATCACTTATATTCTTAAAGTACAACTTAAATATTTACATTTCTCATTTCTGATGATGTAAAAAAAGAAAACTATTTGGTGAAATGATAATAGGTTTGGAGATGTTAGTAAATTATTTATGGGCCTTTGTTGGGATAAAAAGAGATAAAGATGGGCCTCTGTTGGGCTATTTTGTAGCAACAACTTCTTCCTCTAATTTGCGATACTTCTGAATCTAATAGAGGCTTTCTGCATATGACATTTGTCTGTCTTCTTCCTGGTTTACTTCTCCGATTTGCCTCTCATCGGTCTTCGGGACGTTGACCTTCAACCTCGTTACAGCTAGAGGCTCCAATCTTTCCCTCTCGCCCGTGAAAATGGTATTCCGATTAGCATCGATGGTTTCCGCGATAGTCACAGTTCACCCGCACGAGATTCCAGCGTTGCTCCACTCCTCTTCCTGCTTCTTCTTCGTACCGATCTCCCTCTCTCTGTCTCCATCATGTATATTCATTTTTTAACCATTGATATTGAGTGTCACTAAACTACGCTTTGGTTTAATCTCCCACGAGGAGAATTTCAGATTTTAAGCGCGTATTTCGTTGTTCTTCCACTCCGCGACGAGGGCGCAATATCGCTTGGGTTATCAAAGCTCCCGGGTCTGTTCGTCGGATCTCTGTTTCTCACTCTGATTGCTGCTCCTGTTTCCACCTTGATCTTCTCTTTGCCCAATTTGTCCAAATCCAAGGTACTGTTGCTTTCTTCAACATGATCCATCTCTATGTTTCTTCAACATGATCCATCTCTATGTTTCTTTGCATCTTCAGTTTTCAGTTTTGATTCCTGTTTGATTCAAAGGGCAAGTTATATTCAATTTCTGATGAGATAGTGTAGCAAGCATTTTCTTACACATGTTTTTTTCTTGAAATGCCAGGCTTTGGTTATAATACATAGATTCTTTAGTCTATCGCTTGTTCTGTGTTTCCTTCTCTGGCGTGCCTCCCCAACAGAGTCTATGCCCTCTAGCTCAAAGGTAAGATAGGGAGACTTGTGTTATACTTAAGCTGCTTGGAACAAGTCATGTCTCATGGTTTAACACATACTACTGCTTCGAAGGATGCAGTTGAGTCGGCATCCGATCTAACAAAAGACCCTAAAGTTAGTATCGATGGAGCTAATCCCGGTTCTGGATGGGACGACCATGGCTGGTTTTACATTTCTGTTCGAGTTGGGTTTTTCCTTTGGGTATGACTTAAACTCTCTGTTTTTTTTTTCTTTTAATCTCAACTCGTCATAATGTAGCTGGATACATACATAATCCTTTTTGCTATTTCCTAGGTTGCGCTGCTTAATCTCGTTGCCATTTCTTCGACATGGGCAAGAATAATAGACGTTATGGACAGTGAGGTGGTTTCTGCTGCCCGTTACTTTATTTTCGAAGAAATGGCTATTGTTTTCAGAGCGTAACGCATTCTTCAATTCAGTCAGGTGCAAGATTGTTTGGTTTTGTTGGTGCTGGTGCTACCCTTGGTCAGCTTTTTGGATCAGTGTTTGCTGCTGCAACTGCTTGGATGGGTCCATGTAGGCATCACATTTTCTGATGATGGTTTCATTTACAGTCCTAGTATCTAGATAGAGATGTGTTCTTCTGCTTTTGTTGTTTCGTGAATGCTATTCTGATCTCACTCAGAAATCTTGTTGATGTTCACTACAGATCTACTTCTATTTGCTGCTCTTTTGATGGAATTTGCTGCCCAGTCTTCAAAAGGGATCGCCAAGGATATTACACAGTCCTCTGAGGAGTTGTCTCCTTTAAGGTTAGCAAAGCTACAATTTGTGTCCTTCATGTCTATAAGATGAATTTAATTTTCAAACCTACCTTTATTTTAATGTTTCCCAACTTTATGTTTGGAATAATATATGGCATGTGTGGAATTGTACGAAGAGTTGAAATGATTTATCTAAAGTTGAAGTTGGTCTTGGTAATGAGATAGTCTTAGATATTTAGTGTGAATTTGACTCAGTTCTGCTCATTGTTGGTCGAGATGTTGATCCGTGTTGCCTTTTGTATTAGGAGAACTGATAATGACCATCAGGAAGCTTCTTCTCCAAAAGTTGTTTCTCCAAAAGTTGCTTCTCCAAAAGTTGCTTCTCCTAGATCGCCTATCTCCACAACCAGGCCCCAGCTTTGGGCCATCTTAGACGGAATGAGACTTATACTAGCATCGCCTTATCTTTTGCTCGTGTCTTTGTTTCTTTGGCTCGGTGCCGTCATCTCTTCATTCTTCTATTTCCAAGTAAGAAAAAACTTTAAACTCTAAATGATTTCCAGAAATATAAAGAAGTCTCACTGATGAAATAAAGTTCACTGCAGAAAGTGAATATAATAGCCATGACAATCAAATCATCCATTGGTCGAAGAAAATTTTTTGCCCAGATAAACAGCTTTGTTGCAGTTTTCATACTCATTGGACAACTGACTCTAACGGTATGTCATATGCGAAACAAAAATTCTTACATTGATTCACCATACCTGGTAACTTTTAATTTGACGGCTCGTAAATATCAATTCGTGTGGCAAATGACAGGGCCGGATCTTGACTTTAGCGGGTGTCACGGTTGCAATATCTGCATCTCCATTTGTCGCACTTGGGAATTTGGTTGCTATTGCCATATGGCCAACGTGGGTTACAGTTGCTGTATCTGAAACCCTGAGAAAGGTTTGTGGTTTATTATACCAATCTCTTTCGTGTTGCCTCACCGTTGGATTAATCACACTTTGCGCTACTTTGGTAGGTGACAACATATGTTGTAACCAGACCTGGAAGGGAACTTTTGTTCACTGTTGTCTCGCAAGACGAGAAATACAAAGCTAAGGTACTGAATCTCTTTCATCTTCGTAACTTCTAGTAAAAACAATCAGCTCTGCAAACGGGAAAGGTTACACTTTGGTCTATTTCTCATTATGTGCGCTAAGGTTTTTACTTTTTAGGTATGCATAGATGTGATTGTTCAACGGCTTGGAGATGCTGCAGCGGCCGGACTATTCGAAGTCCTTACCATTGCTCTTGGCGGTCATACATCAACTGCTTCACTCTACGCCTTGCCAGTATAACAAAAGCTTCATCTACTTTCAAGCCAATTCTTCTTGTATGAGTATGGTAAACTAATTCGTCATGAAGTCATTGACAAGTCTCCGTTTGGTTTTACAGGTGTGTTTAATATGGATAGTCACGGCCTTCTTCTTGGGCCGGCGCCAAGAACAACTGGCGAAACTCCAGGTGGGTTTATATCTTCGTAGGAACGAAAATCTTATGGAGTCACATTGATGACTAGGATCATGCAGAAGATGAGTGGCTTCAACTTCATATATAGGAGTTATGCGAAAGAAACGCAAAAACCGACCGAGACGAAGGATCTCAAAGCGGAGCTGCGGAGTAATGGTTAGCTTTAAGAAGTCAGATTTTAAATTCTGCTATACATAGGCTAATTATTGTACAGAGGGAAAATACACTCTTGTAAACTTGGCTTTTCTTGTTTGTTCTAAAATTAGAGCATTCGATTTCAACAATATCGTCAAAAATTAGAGCATTTTATTTCAACTTGTAGCAATTACAGCATTTGAGTTTCACACTTCCCCCCAACTCCAAAGATCAACCGGCGAAACTCATGATGACATGGGCTGTACTTAGCAATGTTAATATGGGGTCCCAGGCCCGTTTAGACTCCACCCATTAGCATTCTGTCCATTTGTGACCCTGCCCATTTAAGTTGTTTAATTTTCTGACCCATTTAGACCCTGCCCGTTTAATTTTCTGACCCATTTACTAGACCTTGCCCATTTTGGCCCGTGGGCATGAGGCCCATTTTAACATCGCTAGCTGTACTACCGTTATACTGTATTGGCCCCCTTTTTAATTTAAAAGATTATCATTAATGGGCTTGAGCTTGAAATATTTAGAGCCCAAAGCATCTAACCCTAGTTACTTCTTTGTCCTCTGTATTTTATAGCTTCCGCCAACTTTACGGTTTTCTTCTTCGCCTAGCTTTTGCCTTTCGTCCACTTTTCCGGCGACAATGGTGAGATGGTCTTTCACAGTCATTACTTTCTAATTCCCCTTAAGTTGCTTCTATTCATTTGTCATTTCGTTTTCTGGCGGGCTTGAGACCTGAGCTGAAGTTTAAATTCGTCAGAATTTCGATTCATTCAAGTTTCTCTTAACTCAATCTCATCCTTCTCTAGACATAACCTGAGCTTGATCATATGGTCTATGAAAGCATGTTTCATTGTACACACTTTGTTTTTTTTAATTGCGTAATTTGCGTGAATAAAATATTTTCGTGTTATGGTTTCAGACGAAGAGAACGAAGAAGGCTGGAATTGTTGGCAAATATGGTGAGTGCCTGATGAAACCTTTCACTGTTTTATGATATTGCAACTGCAATTAGAGAATTTGTCTTTTCTCATTTCACCTTCAAGACTTCATTTTTACTTGGTTTCCGGACCACAAAGAATAGTAAATTGGCATCTTTTTGTTTCAACTACTAGTTGCAAAATCATTATCATAGGAGAAATGAATCTTTCAATCGAATTCATAAGGAACTAACAGTCATTTAACACATCAGCTAGTCTTGGATTTGGAACAGATTGGTGGGTTTTTGAGAAAATTCCTCTATGGTTTTGGTTCGTTCATAGTTCACAGTACGTGTATGTTGGTCGTTTATCACTGAGAAGTAAAGCAGAAATCATCATAATTCATTGTTATTAACTTCATGAATGTGCTCTGTTTCTGAATCCTGATGATTTTGTATCTCTGTCAAGGTACACGATATGGTGCCAGTCTTAGGAAGCAGATCAAGAAGATGGAAGTGAGCCAGCACAGCAAATACTTCTGCGAGTTCTGTGGAAAGGTACTCACTTTGTCATTTGTAATCTCAAATTCCTGCTCACCGGTGGATTCAGAACCACTTGATGCTCTTCTTAACTCTTGGATTATTTGATTTAATGGATTTCTTTATTCATGCTCTGAATTGTAATGTGTAGTACGCCGTGAAGAGAAAGGCTGTTGGTATTTGGGGTTGCAAGGACTGCGGCAAAGTTAAGGCCGGTGGTGCATACACCATGAAGTAAGAAACACAAAGATTCATCCTTTTTTTTTGTTTCTCATGTCTTCCATTATTTGTGATGATTGGTTTCCTGATTTGTTGTTGGTTTGTTCTTTTGGCAGTACTGCTAGTGCGGTGACTGTGAGGAGTACCATCAGACGGCTAAGGGACCAAACCGAGAGCTAGAGTTTGAACCTAACCGCAAAGTTTTGGATATTACAGACAAATTTGTTGATCTTATCTTTATAGGGAGCAGAAACAAGTTCTTGTGTTTTGTATTTTTTCCATAAACCAGATGATTTCTTATTTTGATTTTCTTAATTGCTTGTGCCAATCCGCAGTATAAAAGTTGCGACTTTATGAATGTTTACAGTTTGGTTGTACTATGGGTAAGATTGTCATTGCATCAATATGCTCGCTTCTTAAATCAGTTATTAGCCACATAATTTGAGTCAACTCTGGTAGTGACTGGAAAAAAAAAATGGATTAAAGAAGGCTGATTCCAAAAACGAGAAACACCTCTAAAGTAGGTACAGAGGAAGAAAACAAGATCAGCCCATCTTTGCCTATATTTACATGAATTCCCCAAAAAAAAGCTCTAAAACCTGTACGCAACAAGAGCCTAAACCCTCTCCATTAAAACGGGTGTCTCAATACTTTAGAAGAGTTTCGTCTTCCCTGTTTCAATGAAAGAAAAAGTGAGAAAACACGAACCAAGAACAAGTGATATTAGTAAATGTTGTATGGTTCAGAGCTCGTGTACAAATACCAAAACTCAAGTCCAAAATGATCAGATGAATCATGGTCCTCTTCATGAACGTAGCTATCACAGAACTGTACTCGAAATATGAAGTGGAATGAAGTAAGAATGGTTATTCAAAAGGCACATATAACCTCTTTTGATTATGTAAGAAACAAACATGACTCTGACCTTGTCAAATTTCGCATCAGTTTTCGAATCTGCCTCATCATCTGCCTGCAAATTGGTCAATGACATTGCTCAATAACCTCTGCGAGCTTCAAACTTTGCAAAAAGTATTTTAAAGAAAATCGAATGCAAAGGCTATCACAACAAGCTTCATTTGTAAAACTACCTTAAACCCTAATTAGTCTAACTCTAAAGCTAGCTTAAGTACGCAAAGCAATTTGATAAAGATGCAAATGTTGTTGGTCTCATTAAAGGAAATCAATCAACTAAGCAATTCTCTACATCTCGTTCTTAGACTCAGTAAAAGCAAGGGCTTCTTGAAGCGTCAATTTACATCCGGAGATGTAAGATACCTTATAAATACGTTTAGCTTCTTCTTTTAATTTCCTGTTGTGTGCCAAATCAACTTCGGCAGCAAGGGCTATGAAGGGTCCTTGTTCCTGGAAAACAAGGATGCAAAAACTAGGGTTATAATATATAGTTTGCAGCAGAAAAAAATCAAGTTTTTGAGTATTTATGAATAAATTCAATACCTCTGTTGACATTAACTTCCACTCATTGAAACATATTCTACTAGCATCCACCAAGTCTCCACCGTGATTTTTCATGAAATTCTCTCTAGAGAAAGAAAAAGAGTTGCAAGAGAGGTAAATTGCTACTCAGACTCACTTTTCACTGTCATTTTCTCACATACTGTATTTGCATCTAATCGAAGTCTTTGTATTACCCTTGAATTTTCACATACGAGATTACAAGCTATCTATGAAGGAGTCAGTTACAACTCAAGTAAGACCTTCCCAAAACTGAAAATACTATCTAAACAAATGAAGACCCAATATGTCATACTCGTTCATCCAAAATACATTTGTGTCACATATTTGCATCTACAACACAGTCCAGTATAATCACGCCACCAAAAAACCAACAGACGGGTCCAAATATTTCACTTTAAAGGAAAGAGAACGACCATATAACATAATCACTACCCTTCTGAGACCTAAGAATTCAATTTCTAATGCTCACTTAAAATCCACTTCTCACCTTCGTTTTATTTGCATCTAAGAGCAGAAATTAACAAAATCGTATTGAGTAACAGAGGAAGGTTTTGGTTACTGTACAAGAAGAAGATGAATGGTGATCTGGGTTCATCTTCAAAGCAGCCGGTTGGTTTCGAGATATTATCGATTTTGGGACTCGAAATGTACTTGAATCTCTTCACTTCCCTTCTTTTCTCACCGCACTCGTGCATATCAAACAGAGCAATCGCGATCGCAACGCCACATTCTTCACTGTGATTTAAAGCCCAAACAAATTTCACGAATCTAGTCAGCTACTAAGAAAACTGAACCGACGAATCAAAAAAAAAAAAAATTTAAAAGAGCAGTACCATTTCTCGAAAGCGCTTCCATCGGCAGCACGACGAACAGCTTGAACCCTTTTACGGATTCTCGGTCGAATCGCCATTAATGCATCGCTTTATCAACAAGTCTTCAATTTTTTCTATTTCTGACAGAGAAAAGGTCTTGAACTTTTTTTTAAGGTTAAAAACTTTCGTTATCACACTGTGTTTGTGTGCAAGAGCTAGGCCTCAGATCGCTTACGTGTCAATTAGCGCATAATAGCGTTGATAAAGTAACTGCTAACGTGCGCTTAACTGATAACGCGCGGGACGTTATTGGCGCGTACCAAAAACAGAGGAAATCTCCCGCTTCCGAAATTAACTATTTACGCTACCAATTAAATTAGCCACGTAATCAATCACTCGTGAATTAGGCGAGTAGAATATTCAAAAAGGGTAATTAAAAATCGCATTGTGTAGCCAATATCATTAGATATTAATGCGAAAATACACACTTGAAGAAACACACAAAACAAATAAGGGGAAACACATTAGAACGGATCTTCAATTTTTTTTTAGGGGAAGATCAAATCTTATTCTCATGAACTAAAATAAAAACGGCAAAACCCAATCCGAAGACGACACGTGGTGCGAGTAGATCAGTTGGTCCTCCCGCAAACCTTACGGATCTCACCGCTACTACCCGTCAAGGGGCTAATGTCACCCATCTTGATCATCGCCGCCGCGAAATCGGAGCTAAAGCTCGACGGATTGGTGCTGTAACCACGGACTATGGAATCGGTGGAGCCGCCGTTGAAGAGTTCTTGGTCGGAATGGAGGAGACCTCGCTGAGCCACGAGGTTCTTGAAGTAGCTGTTGTCGAAAGAAGTCGCCGAGTTGACGTCGAGTGGAGCTAGGTTTCCGTCGCCGGAACCGGCGGTGCTCGGACAAGATCTCTGCCGTAAAGTGGCGAATGCGGCGTTGATGTTTGTCTCGTTGTAGACTCTCGTTCGGAAGTTCCTGCAACTGGATTGCCCGATCGTGTGCGCGCCTGAAAAGAATAATATTAATTATTGAATGATTTGTTTAATAGTTGACTTAAGTATTTGTTGATTAACTGTCATCGAATTACTTTGTCGGAGTATATGATAAGTTAAACTTTGGCAAAGAGACAGAATAGTCGGTGGTGCGTAACGAAAACGTGTTGAATAAAAAACCACAAAAGAAAAAGGAAAAAAGTCGACAAAATTCAAAGACACAATCAAATTATTTTATTTTGTGTCGAATCTTAGTCCTTATAAATATAGATTTTCGTGATTCTTTTTTTTTTTAATAAAACAAGTTGGTGAAAAAAAACTTAAGCAATACTAAATATAAAAACAATCACAGATATATTAAACAAAGAACTTTCTTGCACCCGCTTTTAGCAATGTTTTAACCGAAATTTGAAAACATTGCAATCAACCTTAATCTATGAAAAAATAGTATTATTAGGAAAAAATAATAGCGTAAGAAGGAGAGATGAAACGAACCGGAGAGAGCAACCATATCTCTGGTGGAGAGTCCAACGGCGCTGAAACTACTAATAAGCTGGCTCAGACTAAACGTCGGCGCCGGAATGTTATTATTAGCCGCGGCTTGGCTCGCCGTTCTTGCGTCTCTTCTTCCTACTTTCACATTCCAATTCGGCCCTCCAAGCTTCAACGAGAACAAAGACGAAGATTTTTGACCGGTTTAGTGACTTTAGTCTAATAAATTTTCAAAATTTGAGTAAGAGATGATATATGGAGCTTACGAGTACGACGGAGTCTCTAGCTGCAATGGCTAAGATATCAGCACAAGACACAACCCCGGGACATGCGTTTTCAACCGCTGTTTTTATGTTGTCGATCACATTAAACCCGCGAGCAGTATTGCGGTTTGGGTTCGCGTTTTGTTCTCCCGTAAAGCCTGATATGTCATCTAGTAGAATCGAACCATCGCATCCCTATACGTATATATGTAATTAATGACTATGATTAGAAGGAAATAACAAAAAATAAACCATTATGCTACTTTTCTTGGGATGTAAGGTATATATAAGAGAAGGCTAAAAAATAAACTTACGTTGACGAAGCAATCGTGGAAGAAGAGACGGAGGATAGATGCACCAATTCGAGGCTGGCTGTTAACGGCAGATTTAACGGTCGATTGGACGGTAGAGAGAAGGTTAGGGCAAGAGGTTGAGTAGAAATTTGTCGTGAGTTGTGCTTCGACGACGTTAATGTTATCACTTTGAAATACAAGTGTAACAACGAGAACTAAGATGGCAATAAGTTGATTTGAAGCCATTTTGAGTATAAATAAAGATCACTTGGATAGACTTAGAGCTGATAATTGTAATATGAAGAACAAAGCATAACGGAATCGAGGTTTATATAGAGACGTGAAGGGTGTTCTAAAGTGAAAGATAGGTCACCTAACGCGTTGAAAAAATGTATATGGGTTCTGTTACTTATTTTGTTTTTTAGGGCTTAATATTCGCTTTTGCATGGAATTTATTTTGGAATTATATCTACGTCGGAGAGAGAAGCTAAAACAAATTAAAATTGTCAGCGCGCGATGATATCATTTACCCTGATGTCAAGTAATTAGCACAGCCATCAAATTATATCGAAGTCTGTATATAGTACTAGGTAAATGATGAGAAACTAAGCTATTAAGTTTATGGGGTTGAATAATAACATATATGAATACGATAGATAGTAGTGTTTATGCTTGGTCGTGTGGTCAGCGTGTGCGTGACACTATTTAAGAAGAAATTGTTTTTTAAAAAAAGAAAATAAATTGTTAGTTCTGAATAAGTTAATATAATTAGCTCATCTAAACTTACCATTCAGATTGTATATAATTGAGCAGGTGTAATATAATATACTTTTGTAATTGATATCATTGTGATTGTCTGAAAGCTTTTTTATTGTGTGTTTTTTTATAATAATAAAAAAAAATCAAATCAAATGTCAAACATTTGTTAACCATCTTACTGATTTGTTTATTCGATAACCATAAAAATATTTTTTCCTGCAGTGGCATATAGAAGAGGTACCTATTTATTTGCAAACGCGTCTTCTTCTGAATAGAGGCCAAAACCATATTTGTCGAACGAAATCTGTCTATCGCCACTGTATTTAATCTTTAAAAAAAAACTAAAAGGTACATAAATATCTACAAATGGTATAAATTTCTTTTAATCACGACATCTTCAATCATGACAGATATTAGGAATTCACAAATGTAGTTAATTGCCATTCTAACTGTAATATTTTGGATCCTAATATGACAGCAAATTAATGGGATCTTTTTTCAAAAAAAAATCATTAATTTGATCATAGTAATCGAAAACGAAATACGCTAATCTCTCGTTGTTCTCATTCACGCTTTGGATATTAAGATGTGAGGACTTTCACTAGCGTAACGATTCCCTAGCGGTGGTGAATCTCCTACGGAAATCTCACATTGCGATCGAAGCTATACTTCATGACATCTGAGATCCGATTCCTTCTTCTAGATCATTTTTTTTTTGTCTTTTGTTCTACATGTAGTTAATGTAGTGGCGTATAGACTTGCTAAAACGGGTTTTTTGGTCTTTGAAAGCTCTTAATCAATAGATCCACTTTTTGACCAGAAAAAGTGTTTTCTTATGAAATAATTTTCGTACTATTATATGATTGAAAACAAAACACAACCACACACAAATCCGTGATAATCCATATTACCATATAAATTTTTTTTTTGATTTTTCTGAGTATATTGGCATTGGGATTAAATGCAACTTAGGAGCCAAGAGACTCGCCGCGGGAACAGTGAACGGAGACAGTGGTGACGTATGGTAATACGGCCAGATTCTAAAATTGGTGATGCATAAGAGAAATATTAGCTAAAAATATATTTGATTGAAGTAAAAAATGAGTGTTGATTACAATGTTGTCAGATCTGAATTTAAGCTATCTGAATTCTAATTTCAAGTAATATTGGGAGATGATCTATGCTTGTGGATCCACTACATATATTATCAAAGGCTGGCTTCGAACGTAAAAAAAAAAGTAATAATAGCCTTCATGGAGATGAAGTTCATGGTTAACAAAGAATTATGATTTTCTCAAAAAAAAAAAAAATTATGATTGACCTAGCGTAATTTCAAATTGTACTGAAAATTATACCCATGCAACTAAAAACAAATCACGTGGAAAAAACACCGTGAAAGTCGCCTTAGCTAATACAGCATTTTGGTTGATTTTGATGCCATAACTAATGCTTATTATATTATAGGTTAGAAGTCATAATAATAAATAATCATGTAACAAAGTCGCCTTATACAGTTATATTTTATGGACTAGACATGTATATCTTTTTCAGCACACCGTGAAAAAATGTAGAGATAGAGTTTGTTAGAGAGAGTTGTCAAGAATAGTGGCCTGTCTTCTTAATTAATACTTTGGACCAAACATTTGATTTTATGGAAAGAGTTATTACATCACTAGATTTGTTAAAATTTATTTCTTTCCCTGTAAGTCTTTTTTCTTTTTTTTACATATACCAATTTACCAGCAAAACTCGTTGTTCCTTTGATTAATATATACAGTATTATCACATACTCTACATCAATTACCTTATACTGTTTATCATTTTGTGTTTTATTTTCCTGCACTTAAAAGGTATTATTAATTAATAATTATCGCACAGGCCTTTTGTTATCCATTTATGACCTAATGGCTTTCTCTCTAAAATTTATAAATTTCAATTGATGTATATATATTGTATACTAATCTAGTGTGAAGATCTTTCTCGTAAAACGAATTATAATTTTAAATATTTGGATTAAAGACTTGACCATATAACAAGAGTCGCATACTTTTACACTACGCGCTTTTACTTTTACAAAGTAAGGAGGCACGCTTGTCACTTCCCAGATTACTATATGCGTTCTAGTGAAGACTGAAACTAAGTGGATTTTTTTTTTTTTTTTTAAACAAACAAACCAATTCTGAAAGTTCGATACCTTCTCCGGTCTCATTTTCACACGGACCGAAAATTAATTATAGTTTAAGAAAAGATAATCAAACCCTCTTTTATAATCAAGAAAAAAGCCTTCTAG